TGTGAGGTGTAAACTTTTAACTCGGCACCCAGCGTGTTCTTTGTTTTTGTTTAGTTTGCATTATCATCATCGCCTTGATGATCCTCAGATAAGACGAAAACCTTTTTGTGTAGTCACATTATTTATGAGTAGTAATCAGTACATAGGATGACGTCACTTATGTTACAGTGATGTTATGTATAAATGCGCGATCATAATAGACAAAATGCATCGATTCGATGCTAAAAATGTGCGATTTTAGGGTGTGTAAGAAACATTACTGCACTCGTGCCTGTCAGATACCATTCATCAGACACCATCACTTTCGCTCGTAAGATACGTTTTGAAACAACTCGTTGCAAGATCAATGGTATCTGACAGACACAATGTTGTAATCTCTATGTACCATATGCAACCTTGCATTTGTCTTGTAATATTATATTCATATGTAAGACGTTTTATATACAGTCATAAAACGCTTGTCACATTACAAGACAAGTACCTGTCACCCTGTCTCCACTCAGCATGGTGACTTACCGAGTCACTCGCGCTCGTTGAGCCAAGGGTAAACAATGGCGAATCCGATGAAACAGGTATGTTAGTGTGTGTGTGTGTGTGTGTGTGTGTGTGTGTGTGTATGTGTGAACGTACATATATAGATACATTGACGGTTTCCTTCCTACTCAATACTGTCAAACATATTTTCATTACAATGTACGTTTTAGCATGATCACGAGGGGTTCATGGGGTTCCATGCGCCCCGCGTTAGGTTTCGTACCACAGCCGGAGACGAGCTGTATGAAGCCTTACGAGGGACCGGGGACGAGTATAGTATAAAGCCTTACGAGGGACCGGGGGCGAGTATAGTATAAAGCCTTACGAGGGACCGGGGACGAGTATAGTATAAAGCCTTACGAGGGACCGGGGGCGAGTATAGTATAAAGCCTAACGAGGGGCGCATAAAAGCCAATGACATAATGTACCTCGAGTGATACTGCACTACAACAAATTAATCTTAGCGACATGTCATCATCTGCTATTGTGAAAGAATTAAACCAAAATCAAAATTGATTCAAATATTATTTTCCCTCGCAGGCGGGATGCATAGTCTTTTATGAAAGTAAACCTGCATGGAAACAAAAAACTCTTTTGAACTGGAACATTAATTCACTGACGTTGATATCTAGTTATGAACATTGGTTCTCTTTACCAGTAATATGTAGTAACGATCGAGAGAGAGAGAGAGAGAGAGAGAGAGAGGGGAAGGATCGACATGGATGCAATCTTTGCTAAAGATTTGCCCTCCGTATAGGTGACTTGTTTTGCCGGAATTTACAGTTGCTTGGCTAAAGAGTGAGTCCTGCTTCTTTCATCTTTTTGAAAACTGACTTAAGGTGATACAAATGTTCTGTAAACGTTTTAGAAAATATTATCATGTCATCTATATATATTTTTATGTAACGCAAATCATTTCTTTAAGTGCCTGAAATGGTTTGCTGAAATGCCATAGGAGCATTTTTGAGGCCGAAAGGGATGCGATTGCATTCAAAAACACGATCGGGTGTAATGAAGGCCGACTTGTGTTTTGTATCTGAATGGAGCGGATCTTGCCAAAAGCCACTAACACAATCAAGGAACCTAAAAATGTTGACATGGCTGTCGACTTTATATGGCATCAATGACATCTTTAAAACGTGATGGGGGAAAATATAGACTTGGTAACTGCACTGAGGCGTCTTTAATCTACGGCAAAGTGGTAAGAGCTATCCCGTTTTTTATCCCCCACCAGGAAGTGGGGCAGGGGGTAAAAGAACGGAGTTCGTCCGTCCGTCTGTCCTTTCGTCCGTCCGTTTTCTCAGAAACTACTGAACTTAGTTGCATGAATGAAAGTTTGCATGTTTATCTAAGAAACTTGTCAAGACTGAGTTTAAAAATTGTTCCCGTAAATGATCTTTTCACAGAGTTACAGCCCTTGATCGATATTATTTTGCTTAGTGCATAGTGTCTGCAATGTGGACACGTTTTCTAAGAGATACTTATGAAGTTATTTATTCCTGAGAAGGGGCCTTTTGTGTGTATTATTTTCACATTTAGTCATTTTTACTGATGACATGAAGAGGCCAAAGTGCCTATCTTACGGTTTTATAGGACTCTTTTTTTATTGTTTATATTCATTTCTATATGAACAAGCCCCCATGGTGGGGGGGGGGGGGGGGGGGGGGGGGGGGGGGGAGTGATGATGCTGATTCTTTGTTAACCACGACAACGGGAGAGTGCCATTCAGAGTGAGTTAAGATTTAACGTCCCATCGGCAATAGTTTAGCCATATCGTGTTCCATTCAGATGAACTGGGCTGAATGATACTGGCTTCTAACATATCTTGCACCTGTCTGAAACATTCTTTCCTAATGGCTGCGATTTGCTTATAAAATTGGGAGTATTATAGGTCTGGCGTCACCTGTTTCTATTTTGTGATGATGTAAGTGAGTATGACCCCATCCTGACCAATCTGAGGCAAAAACTTATCTTTGTGATTCAGTAAATAAAGAGTCCCACCCTCGTGTCTTTTGTTATCAAATATATCAACACGAGTTGATAAAAGTGGCAAAACTCTTTTTCAGCTTTTATCAACTCGTGTTGATATATTTGATATCAAAAGACACGAGGGTGAGATTATATTTATCATCCAACATCATTCTTCCAACTTCTTCAGTTTGTAGACAGTGATAAGCAGTGTCTTAAGTGTAACAAGAGTTTGCCACTAACGTGGCTATATCCCCCCCCCCCTGTTGCAGAATTTATGACATAATTAAATCTAAACAAACCCTAACCTTTTTTAACCGAGGTGGAACTTGTTATGGAAATCCAAGAGTTTGGAACCTAAGTCCATCTTGTTACCATGCAAACGTAAAAAATAAAAATGTCTAAAGGCACAAAAGGCACCAGTTCAGCATGTACCTGACAAACCTGCAAAGTTTGATGAAACAATATTGAACGGTTTATGAGTTATGCTCCGGAAACGAACCCTACCCTCACAGAACCTAAGTCCATTTTGTTGCCATGGAACCGTAAAAAATAAAATTTTCTAAAATTTCTCAATAGCAAAAGGCACCAGTTCAGCATGTACTTGACAGACCTGCAAAGTTTCATGAAAAAATATTGAACGGTTTGTGAGTTATGCTCCGGACGGACGTGCGGATGGACGGACGGACCGACGGAGCCCATTTCTAAAAGTACTGCTAACAGCTTCAGTAGCAGAGCCATTAGTGATGTCATGTGATTGTGACGTAATGGTAACAGTGACGTCACAATGGTCTGCAAAGCATTGTGATGCAATTTCATTGCAGCGATATCTACAGTGTAGATATCGCTTGATCTCACCCAAGCGATATGTCCTGTGGGAGCCAGTTTTGGATGATAAATAGAGAATCTCACCCGAGTGTCTTTTGATATCAAATTTATCAACACAAGTTGATAAAAGTGGAAATATTCCGAGGCTTGCCGAGGATTTTTGCCACTTTTATCAACGAGTGTTGATAAATTTGATGTCAAAAGACACGAGGGTGAGATTGTATTTATCATCCAATATCATTCTTCCAACTTTTTCAATTTGTAAACAGTAATTAGCAGTGTCTTAAGTGTAAAATCTACTGCTAACAGCTTTAGTAGCAGAGCCATTAGTGATGTCATTTGATTGTGACGTCATGGTAACCAGTGACGTCATAATGGTCTGCAAAGCATTGTGATGTAATTTCATTGCAGCGATATCTACAGTGTATATATCGCTTGATCTCATCCAAGCGATATCTCCTGTGGGAGCATGTTTTGGATGATAAATGCATTTTACTGTATACTTGTATTTTCAATATTGTCACTATATTTAAAACGCGTTTGAGGACAAAAGCTCCACGACGTTCAGGGGTATTGTTATAGTGGAAACCCCTTCAATATGTTTCCTTAAAACTTCACTATTCAAAATACCTAATTGTTTCAATATGTGTCCAAAGAGCACAGAAATTCTTTCTTCTTTTTTCTGTTTAATGTATACAGCAAACATTCAGGGTATCCCCTCTAATCATAAGGCCCCTTCCCCAGCACTCTCTATAAATGTCAAGTAACACATCCTTACGCGTCACCTATGGTCTTTTATCATATAAATTCTTTACTATACTGCTATTTGCATTGTTCTGTTTAAAACCCACCTACATCAGTACAGTTATTATGCTTTAGTGACAGTGAGAAAATTCTAACATTCTGCCCATAGGAATTTAAAATGTGCCATAAAAAATCTCAGCTCTCTTTAGAGAAAGGGAAAAAACTCAGCACCTAAAAATGAAGAAAAAAACCCAACATGACTCCCCCTAGATATCAAATAGTCCGTCCCTTAATGAGATTGTTAAAACGCGGCTCTCGGCAATATGATCCCGCTATATAACGGCGGTCTGTGTTTATATACTTGAGTCTTTACCAGACAATCCATTGATTGACATCATGGGCATAGGTCAACGCAATCTGGATATCAATCATCACAGATCAGTACGCGAGAAGTGCACGCACTTAAATGACGTATTTATTGGTACGTATATTCGTGTGTGAAATACGCATAGGGTCGGAAAGCGCGCGTAAAAATACAAACTCTCTCTATTACTTCGTCCAGGCAAAATAAGGTTTCACTTGGAACAAATTGCAACAGAATGCTTTGTTGTGAAATAAATTCTGTTGCAATTTGTTGCAAGTTGAGTGAAAAAATGGACTAGATTGCCTCGACTAACTGGTAAAGAGAACAAATATTCCTGACCGGTATCAACGTCAACCACATGACCATATGTAACTAATAATAACAAACAAACGTATAAATTTCACAATGACATTATGTCAACATCGTCCATCTGTAGGGTGTCATGCGCGAAAAATTAAAGATGACCACTAAATTTCGAGTTTACACAGAGTTACCGAACAGAGTCCACTGTTGACATTTATTCACGTGGCCCAGAAGTCACGTGGGATTTCCCGTTGTTTCTGAAACAAGAATTTCTGTCGAAGAACCCACTATGCAAGCAGGAAGTAGGAAGCGAAAGACGACGTCCGTCATGGTGATATCTAATCATGTCAAAACTGTGAAAGGAAATGTTTTACCCGAAAGCATAGTTTGATCATTTGTAATTGAATGTCAATTACATTCGCGCCCCAAGCTTTTGCAAATAGGTTGAACTGAGTGCTTGCTTCGATCGATGCAACAGGCTGCCTCACCTACGAAATAATGTACACGTCCCAAAGGAGGAATATGGAGCCAGAAAATAACATGGTAAACATTTCAAGCAGGAATCTGACCGAATGAATTTACGCAGTGTTTATCGTGATGATACTTAGTCTAATGTTATTAACTGTTTCAGGAGAAGCTTTTGGTGAACACACAACTAAACGGAATAACAAAATACGATGGCGATGCTGTGAAAATCAACTTAGAGGGAGGGAGCGATAAGCAGTCTGGATCCGTGTTGACAGCCCACAAGGTCTGCTATGAGATAGCAGTAAAAGACAAGCCATGTTGTGGTCGCAATGTAAACAAGAGGATACTTCAAGATGTACAGTGAGTCGTCCCTTTGTTCTGTTGGCGCGCGTCTGTCACACGCTCGATCTCCGCTCGAGTGACTCCCCTTGCTATTGTCAACTTCGATATGCATCAGGAATACATATGTCGTCTCGTTCTGGACGTGTTTATTTTTGTTGGGGACTACGATTAAATGGTTTGGCCGTTTTTCTTTCTTGATCAATAAATAGACGGAGTGTTATCAGTTATAATGATCAAGACATCATGAATAGATTAAAGAATCTTATAATAAGCTATAATTCATCAAAATGATTAAATGAGATGATTCCAGTAATATAGTATAGTATGCATGTGCACCAGCCAAAAAAGAACATTTTCTGCCTGCTCATGGAATTGACATTGAAAATCTAACACTGTAACATATCCTCAAAATTCAGAGCACGCTGGAGATCAAATTTATATCACTATTCTGACAGGTTAGACACACTATTTGATTGCGGTCTGTACATTATCAAGTCTGAACCAGACAGTCCAGTGATTGACATCATGAGAATCGATCTACACAACTGGGATACGATGACATACATCAACCAAGTCAGCGAGTCTGACCGCGTGATCCTGTTAGTCGCCTTTTACGTTACGGCAAGGATGGCCGGTTGCTGAAGACCTATTCTCTAACCAGATCTTCATGGGTCTGCTATTGGTGTATTTAAGACCTGCATGATGAACATGTATAGACAAGAGTACTGTACTTAGGCATTAGTATCAGTAAGGTCAGGTTGCATGTATATAATGTCCTTATCACTGTACATGATATTACATACTAAATAATTCAATGCGCCACATTATTGTGGGATTTCACTATTGCCATTGCTTTAAACGATGTAGCTACTTTCTCCAAACAGACCCTGTCATTCCTTTACTCGAAATAAAACAGATGACCATGTTATAACTTGATAGGACTTAAGTACCTGCAGACTGAAAAAGATACATTACTGCTACTATGGTGAACATCATAGAGTCATCCTGTTGTTCCTCACCAACTACTAAAACATGTAAGTATGTGGCAGTCAGTCATCGAAGGCAAAGTCCTTGTACTGATTGGAGATGAGTTTTATTCATGCCATAGCATTATTAACATGGGGAGACCAGTACTGAAGAAGTACCCTGTTACACAACACTGCAGTGTTTGATACACATCATGTATGACATCTTCACATAAGTCTTTGTCATTTCCTCTAGCCAGTATTAGGTATAAAGGATTAAAGCTACATCACAATCATGCTATTTGTGGTGATCATTTCCAGATGGTTCCCTCTCATTGTTATACAACATACTACAATATAGCCTGTGGGTTCTGGGCCGGAAGAGCAAAATCTAGCCACAATCAACTCTAAAATCTCTTCGCTTTCGTGAAGCTACAGTAAGACTGGTCACGCTACAGTAAACACGGGATATTGCTATACCGGGACTCTAAAATTACAAGAAAAACACAGAAATGCGTATACCGTAATCACAGTAGTAATTTATTAGACGCTGAAGTATAGTATAGTTGCACAAAAGTACTTTACATTTAACAAATTTAATAACTCTAATACTTTAATATTTCATAGATGTACATCATAATTTCTACAAAAACAACAATAACTTATATCTTAAAATATAATGGTAAATACATAAATACATTCTATAATAAATTTGCGGTTGCGCTGGCATACACGTTGTGTTCAAGTCATTCACTCCAAGTGGATCAGGTCACCAACGTGATCTGTGTACTCAACTTCGCCGATGACTTTGTTGACAAGATTGTCTTTCAGAGCCTGAAGACGGTTGTCAATCAGCTGGTATCTTCTCTTTCTTGGTGGTGCTGACCACTGGGCTCCAATTCGTTGAATGGCGACTTCTACGTTGGATTGTTCTCTTTGAAATAGCGTAACAACTTCAAAAATGTTCGGATGGCTCTTCCTGGCAAGTTTGTTGAGTTAGTGATTCCATCCCTCGACGTTATTGTTAGTGCGATGCCCTTGGTTACCAAAATGGTTCCAGATCTCAGGTCCGAAATGGCGTCCTTCCACCCACGTTGTCGTGACGTAGTCCATGAAGGCTGCGACCTTGGGACCCGCGGGACTGACAGCGATGGCTTGGAGGCAGCCATTGTCGACCTTGTCCAAGGGAAGCAGAGGCAAAGCTGCAGCTCTTCTCACCAGTCGTCGCACTTCATCATCATTTTTGTGGTCCATAGCCAGACGTATCTTCGGACTTGCTCGGGAGCAGACAGTACACAAGCAGGAACATGTGGCCTTGGAATTCAGCATGCAGTGTGTAGATCTGCTCAAACAGTCGTGGAGCCGAGGAGAAGGTGCCGTCACCAAAGACTTTCTTCTGCTGCACACAGGCGCTCAATGTTCTTGCTTGTGGTGAAGATGAGAATGTCGTTGACGATTTGATGAAGGAAGTGTTCTCCTGCTTCGGTCAGTGTCCACTGTCCTTCAAGATAAATCTCAGGTCGGGTGGCAGGAAGTTTGGGAAGGGCCTTAATAATAATAATAATAATAATTGATTTGTAAAGCGCCTAATATCCATCGACAGTTGCCCACTGGCGCTGTGACAAAGTTAAAAAGTAATGTCTATGTACATATGCCAACAATCAGGAGAAAAGCTGAAGTGAAGAAGTGGGTTTTGAGGAGAGACTTAAACGTTTCCTTAGAAGCAGAGTTTCTCAGATTCAAAGGCAAAGAGTTCCATAACTGTGGACTGCAAAAGGAGAAGGCACGGTCAGACATAGCAGAAGTAGACAGAGGCTGATACAGTAGAGTTCCACCAGAGGATCGGAGAGCACGCTCTGGAGAGTACAGGGATATAAGATCTTTGAGACTGATGTGATTGGATCTTGGAACTTTAGAGATGCATCTAGCTGCAGAGTTCTGAATGCGTTGTAGCTTTGATATGGCTTTCATGGGAAGATTAGCATACAATGCATTGCAGTAATCCAGTTTGGAGGTCACAAGACATTGCATCAACAATTTAACTGTTGGGAGTATCAAGTAGATGGCGGACTTTACTGATGTTATAGATGCTATAGTAGCATGCTCTGCTGGTTAGTGAAATATGAGTGTCCATGGCCATTGTTGAATCAAAGGTGATTCCCAGATTACGGGCACTGGCAGTTGGGTACACAGTGGTATCACCAATATGAAGGTATACAGAGTCAGGGTGAAGCTTTCTGACTTGCTGTCGCGAACCAAGGATTAAAAACTCAGTCTTCTCTTCATTGAAGCTCATCCACGATCGTATGTCATCAATACAGCGCTCAAGGGCGGCGAGGTTCAGAGACAGTTCGAGGTTTTAAAGGAAATGTAGATCTTGTGGCGTTGTCGGTACAGAATGGTCTTCAGGGATGCAAAGGAAGGAACTACGTCGTGGTGGTGGCGAAGTCTAGAAATCTCATCTCCGTATATGGTTGGAATCGGCGTTGTTTCTGTCTTAGCACGGTGGATGAGCTTGGACTTGAAAGATTCCACTTCCATCTCATGTGGGTATGGTTCACCTGCAATTAAATAATTGCATTTTAACTAATATTAACTATAAACAAATACATACATGTGACAAATACCTGTGGTATCTAAAAATAAGTAATAATAATAAGTAAAATAAATTACTGAATAGTTTGTTAAGCAAAGTCTTTTGAGTCTATGTCTTTAAGATTATTATCATCATGTTCAAGTGCATTATTTTCTTACCTGCAAAGCCGCTTGAAGAATGCCGTTTTCAGTGATCACTGACGCTCTGCAGGCAGCAACAACGCAGTTCCAATACTTCTTCTCACGGACCGTTTTCTTACAACAAAACTTGAATCCCTCATAAAACAAGTGCTGACCACCTCGCACGGTATCAACCATGGTCACTCGAACTTGTGCGTTAGCCATTTTGACCATAGATAAATAAGTTGCACTCTTTATATATACCATCAAATACATACTGTATGTATTCTTAAGAAACAACTCTCCTCTAAACTCATCGGTATCATAGCCCATATCAACTAAGAAACTAATTGTTTGTTCAATTAAGAAACTGATCATCTCTTCTCCTTTGTTTAAACATCAAACAGTATTATTTTTTACGAAACGACCCTCTAGTAAATCTCCTCTCTGTTTGAACAGCACGGGCGCTAATCTAAACTAGGGTAATCCGGTGTTTTTATAGCAATTACTCATTTCTCGTTTTCGTAGGACAAATACCCCAACTTCGGTTTTTGCTTTACTGATACTTGGGAAAATTGGATTTTCGCTAACCAGGCACGACACCAGCCTGTATACCCGCCATAGTAACTGCCTGACTGAACACAATATTGCCTATCATCTATTAACGAGGGAGGCAACGAAAGGAACACTTGTCCCCTTCCTTTGTAGATGCTAATACCCTATTGTCGTCAACTAACGATGATTGTGACATTGTGTCATATTTGTGCCTGGTCTGTCAGAGAACACCAAACAATAAATTACAACCCAACAAAACCAACAAATCCAGCCCCAGACTCCAAGCGCTAGCTGGCAAAAACACTTCCTTCTGTGGGTCCACAATACTTTATTCATGATGTAACAAATACAACTACATACTGACGATGGTACAGACATGGCCAGGTGGCGACTTGGAGGCATGAGTCAGCCAACCTGCCTAGCCGCTGTCCCAGGGTCAAGTCCACAAAACACAAAATATTCCACATTTGATCCTGTCAGACTGTCACGTATTGCCTGTGTGACTCATGTATATTAATCTGCCTGCTGTGTCCCGCACCTCATCCACAAGGCAATGCTTCAGTGGCCAACCATCCATTCTCTTTAATGACAGGCAGCTGACCCCGCACATGACTAGGTGCTGCTGGCCATTATAATAGCCAACTAATTTGTATCTGTATATGTATGTACATGATGTATGTATATGGATGGATGGATGGATGGGTTATACTTGTATCATGCCAAAGTGCCTTCATTACTGCCTGTTAACAATAAATCTCCTGTTTATTATCAGGATATATAGATAATTTCTACATTCATTGATGTGTGTTGATATAATTAATATCAAAAGGCACAAGAGTGAGATTTTGTTTATTATACAATATCCTTCTCAATTAGAATATTTATAATAAACAATGTATTAATTTTTTTGACGATGTTGACATTTAAAGCTGTATTTATATGGGTGCATCACCACACAAAGAAATCTCAAAATGCACTTTTTTAGTTTGACTGTAACTTTAAGGGGAAGATATTTTATGTCGCAGTACGAGATATGTGAGAACTCACTATGTAACTATTGCATTTACCACTTGTTTTATAAATTCTTACTGCAAAGTGAAATGAAAAGCCTTTCTTTTGTTGAAATTTGTAAATCTGTCAAGAGTTTATGCCAGGCTATAGATGTGCCAACATTCTCCTGCGACATTACAGCTGATAAGTGACATCAATTTTAGCGTTACCATGTTACTATAACTATGAAAGTTTTGGCCTTGCACTCGATCACATCCTCACTAACCCAAGAGTTCTGTAGTTTTACTGTTATGTTGTGGCACTGATGAATGAAATGAATGAAAATATGTTTCCAAGTACAACATAATTAAAACAATTATCACTTTTGGTACATTTGAACCATCACACTATTGTTTATGCCAATCAGGAAAACAATATCTCCTCCAAGATATTGTTTGATTTCATACAAGCGATATCTGCTGTGGGAGCCAGTTTTGGCTAGTAAGTGTATTTTTCCCATTATGAGTTACCATTATGTTTGTAATTTCAGTGGTATCTTCAAGCCAGGCATGAATGCCATCCTGGGACCAACTGGAAGTGGGAAGACATCGTAAGTCAACTTCAATTTCTAATATTCTTTGTAATTAAGACTGGTCAATGAATTTACAAATAAGATTATTTAAGGAATAATGTGTACCCAGTACTTCATTCTTGTCAAAACAATGCTGAAGAATCAACTGCGATTGTGATGAGATGGTTGTGACCTGATTGCATTCAAAGCTCCTCGTACTATCAGCCAGGTATTGTCTGACCGAGACTCAATATAGAGGCCACCATTATGGCTTATAAATGCTGACTATTGTGTAAAACAATATTCACTCAACGTTCACTTTTCTCCCAAGTACATATGAGAGTTCCAGCCTCCTGAGCTCAGCAATAAAACAGTGTGCGCATGGCAAACGTTAACGTCTAATGATAAAGTGCCCACAACAATGAATGCAGTATCATATGCTGTCCCCTCTCCAGATTGCTGGACATCCTGGCTGGGCGGAAGGACCCCCAGGGGCTGTCCGGTCAAGTGCTGATCGATGGCTCCCTGCCCCCCTCCAACTTCAAGTGCATGGTGGGATATGTTGTACAGGTGAGAAACACTTCAAACTCATCAATAGTTGTTTGGAAAATGCTCTAAAGCAGGACTAACAGAGGAGGATGTAAATGCTCTAAAGCAGGACTAGCAGATGATGATGGTGGTGGTGTAGGTGGTGGTGATGTAGGTGGTGGTGGTGGTGGTGATGATGATGATGATGATGATGATGATGATGATGATGATGCATACAGCTTGACCAGACACTATTGCTTAATATGTGCTGAGTAATTGCTGCCCATTGCTTTAGTTTTGTCTAGCTTGACAAGTGGTCCAAGTGGCCTTATCACTGATGGGCTTGGAGCAGTATGTGACATGTATGCATGAACTGGGCCCTACATAGCATGACCTGTAGCATGAGTGAGTGACAGCAACTTCTCATGTAACTTGAGGCGCTTAATGGGAAGTGCATTGATAACAATGGTAAAGTTCATAGTTCCTTTGCATATTTTAGGGGGAGAGAAACCCCATTAAGACCCTCTTCCCTCTCAGTCGAACTTAATGACATACTGCAAACCACTTAATGTTCTTGTGTAACAGTTGGTGATTTATGATGGAAAAGATTTGTGACATTAGACATGTTGATGGAAAGATGACTCCTGTGGTTAACTGTTCATGTGAAGTTTATTGTGGAGCCAGTCCAGAGTTTTATGTAAGACTGGCCTATGGGCATGATAAAGAATTCCTCCTGATAGGAACTGTCATTCTTTTCTCGGGGATGGTTTTGCCGTTCCATTTAATCAAATGAATAAATTGCTAGATGAGTTGGAAGCTTTCTGGTCAGTTACATTTTGTTGCATATCTTGAAATTTTTTGAAAGAAGTTATGTATCTGAAATTCAATTTCCCCAGACAAAAGTTTAAGATAGACTATTCATGTAAAATTCACCTTGGAATAATGCTCTAAAAGTCCCTTATACTGATTGTATTCCCTGTTCCCCTACTGCAGTACAGTGTGTTGACAGTGTTCCCCTACTGAAGTACGGTGTGTTGACAGTGTTCCCCTACTGCAGTACGGTGTGTTGACAGTGTTCCCCTACTGCAGTACGGTGTGTTGACAGTGTTCCCCTACTGCAGTACGGTGTGTTGACAGTGTTCCCCTACTGCAGTACGGTGTGTTGACAGTGTTCCCCTACTGCAGTATGGTGTGTTGACAGTGTTCCCCTACTGTAGTACAGTGTGTGGACAGTGTTCCCCTACTGAAGTACGGTGTGTTGACAGTGTTCCCCTACTGCAGTACGGCGTGTTGACAGTGTTCCCCTACTGCAGTACGGTGTGTTGACAGTGTTCCCCTACTGCAGTACGGCGTGTTGACAGTGTTCCCCTACTGCAATACGGCATGTTGACAGTGTTCCCCTACTGCAGTACGGTGTGTTGACAGTGTTTCCCTACTGCAGTACAGTGTGTGGACAGTGTTCCCCTACTGCAGTATGGTGTGTTGACAGTGTTCCCCTACTGTAGTACAGTGTGTGGACAGTGTTCCCCTACTGTAGTACAGTGTGTGGACAGTGTTCCCCTACTGCAGTACGGCGTGTTGACAGTGTTCCCCTACTGCAGTACGGTGTGTTGACAGTGTTCCCCTACTGCAGTACAGTGTGTGGACAGTGTTCCCCTACTGCAGTACGGCGTGTTGACAGTGTTCCCCTACTGCAATACGGCGTGTTGACAGTGTTCCCCTACTGCAGTACTGTGTGTTGACAGTGTTTCCCTACTGCAGTACAGTGTGTGGACAGTGTTCCCCTACTGCAGTACGGTGTTGACAGTGTTCCCCTACTGTAGTACGGTGTGTTGACAGTGTTCCCCTACTGCAGTACGGTGTGTTGACAGTGTTCCCCTACTGCAGTACGGCGTGTTGACAGTGTTCCCCTACTGCAGTACAGTGTGTGGACAGTGTTCCCCTACTGCAGTACGGCGTGTTGACAGTGTTCCCCTACTGCAGTACGGCGTGTTGACAGTGTGTCCCTACTGCAGTACGGTGTGTTGACAGTGTGTCCCTACTGCAGTACGGCGTGTTGACAGTGTTCCCCTACTGTAGTACAGTGTGTGGACAGTGTTCCCCTACTGCAGTACGGTGTGTTGACAGTGGTCCCCTACTGCAGTACGGTGTGTTGACAGTGTTCCCCTACTGCAGTACGGTGTGTTGACAGTGGTCCCCTACTGCAGTACTGTGTGTTGACAGTGTTCCCCTACTGCAGTACGGTGTGTTGACAGTGTTCCCCTACTGTAGTACGGTGTGTTGACAGTGTTCCCCTACTGCAGTACAGTGTGTTGACAGTGTTCCCCTACTGCAGTGCAGTGTGTTGACAGTGTTCCCCTACTGCAGTACGGTGTGTTGACAGTGTTGCCCTTCTGCAGTACAATGTGTTAACAGTGTTCCCATACTGCAGTACAATGTGTTAACAATGTTCCCATACTGCAGTACAGTGTGTTAACAATGTTCCCCTAATGCAGTACAATGTGTTAACAGTGTTCCCATACTGCAATACAGTGTGTTAACAATGTTCCCATACTGCAGTACAATGTGTTAACAATGTTCCCCTATTGCAGTACAATGTGTTAACACTGTTCCCATACTGCAGTACAGAGTGTTAATGGTGTTCCCATACTGCAGTACAATGTGTTAACACTGTTCCCTACTACAGTATAATGTGTTAACAACGTTCCCTACTGCAGTACAATGTGTTAACAACGTCCCCCTAGTGCAGTACAATGTGATTAATGAGCCCAGTTTCTTTTTACCTAGTAAGATCATCCCATATTATTCTCTATGCTAAGACAATCCTAGTGAAAAATACACAGAACTTACCATGCTTACTGCAAAACATGTACTTAATAGCAGATGCAAAAGAATGGTACTGACTGAATGTGATGTCCATTGATTTACTGAATAACAGAGAGCATGATATGCCTCTGTTCTATCTTGAACACTGTGGTTATTTCAAATATTGAACTTAGCTCCTGTTGAAATTGTGTTGGCTTTAAAAGTATTACTGAGACTACTAGAAATATAATATTAGCAAGTAAATGACATCCTAGGAGGAAATACCTTTCATTGGGAAATGGTAACTTTAATGTTCAGCAGAAGTTTGTATTAGGTTAATTAGTTGTTAGATGTATTGCATCATTAACTGGAAGTCTTATTACATGTATTGTACCTTGTTTTCACTTGTTAATTAAATGTCCAGCTGGGAGTGTGTCGTCTGGTGTCTCTGTTCATCGCATTGATGTCCTAGTCGAGTCTTTCGTCCAGTATTCCGTCTTCTCCAAATAAGGACTATATATAGAACCTAAACACTTCAGTAACCAAGAAGCTTTGGCTTGATGAATAAAACAGAGAACCTCAATAGTGTGCATTAGGCTCCAAGGGCATTGTTATTACAAAATGGCAGGGAGTACTGGCATTCAAAGGGGTTGTTTATCTACCTGTTACATTACGTGGGATGTTATAGAAATGGAACAACCATATCACGTATCCAGCCTCTTTTTGAGAGTCAAGTAACCATGGTAATCACCACCACAATCAACTGTTTACCTTGACCCACATGGACATGATGGATAGTTGGAATGCAGAGATCTATCTTTGCTTCATAACATCCCTTTGTGGTTTGTGGGAGCGCTAGCGGCCATCTGTCACCCATCAGTGGTTTGCCCATCTACACGTGTGAACAGTGGTGACATGTGAACTGTGCTGTGGCTAAGGGCAGCACTTCCTTGTTTACACACACCAATATACAAGTCCAGATAGTGTTTAGTAAATGACATACGTTCAAGTTTCATTTTTCCTCAGAAATATTTGAAATGCATGGAGGACGAATAATGGCTTATTGAGATAGGTGGACACTGTATACAGCAAGTCCAGAAATGACATAAGTTTCTTTTCTTTGGGCAATATTTAGAGATTGGTGGTCAGCTTCTTCTGGTAAAGGCTATACTGTTTGGCTCACTTTGACTCAGTGTGAGTATATGTCATGGGTCTTTGTCTCTCATCCATCCCAACTTCTGAACAAGAAACTGTTCTGCTCCAAAACTATGGAACATATCAATGTCATCTTCACAGAACAAGTGCATGTCGCTGGCAACACAATTTTGCCTTGTCGTTTTGAGTTTGATATACACTTGTTTTCTTTGTTCCTACTGTTGGTAGGAGACAACAGGAGCAATGTGACCTGATGTTAAACAATGTCCAAGGGGACTAGGATCCGACAAAGTGGCTGTCCCCTACAAGTTTGATTTAAGTCATTTAGACGCTACTTTGTAAACACTAATTCACCTTTTATGATGAATATAAGCATGATTAGTGTAACTTTTTGTAATTATTATTCCTTCTGAGCGTGCTTAAAGACAATGTTTCAGCTTCACACGACACACATATTGTCTTTGCCTGCAAGTGGGCAACAGACCTCAAGGACCTGCTTGTCCTTTCCACTGCCTGCTACTTAATCAGAAATCAGTTTGCGACTCTCCCTTTGTGTCTGAAACATCTGACCTACTGAAATGTTTACTTCTTGTTCCTTAAATGTTGCTCCTGAATGTCTTTGAAGGTATTGAAAATGCAGTGAAGAATTGGAATTGGAATCTTATGTTTTTTTGGTTTATTTGATTGTTTTTGTTGTTTTTTAACGCCGCACTAAGCAGTATTCCAGCTATTTGATGGCAGTCTGTTAATAATCGAGTCTTGAACAGAAAATCCAGTGATTGACATCATGAGCATGTGTCTTTGAAACATTCTATATCTTAGGCACACCATGATTGTTCAACGTCTAATTCATTAATACAAAATGAACGTGTGATTCTCAAGTTGTATGTGTTTGGTATCTCATGACTTCTTGTTACCATGGTTACAGTTACAATCACTTGTCCAACTTCCACTAGGAGCAGTCCATACTCTTCAATAATACTGTTTCTCATAACTAACTGATATTTCCTAACTCTGTCCTATTCATCTGTTGCACCTGCTGTTCAGGATGATGTTGTGATGGGAACCCTGACCGTGCGGGAAAACCTGCAGTTCTCAGCTGCTCTGCGCCTGTCCCGGTCTGTGTCTGTGAAGGAAAGGAATGAAAGGATAGACAATGTCATCCAGGAACTTGGCCTGTCGTCCTGTGCCAACACCAAGGTCAGTCATAAAGGACATAGAGTTGCCTCCCCTTCCTTAACAGGATTTGCTAGTCATAGGTTTAAATCCATGATTTGTCCTCATAATGATCCTTGGTTTTTCAACAATACCCATTCTCTTTAGATTCCTGAGAAAAGTAAACATACACTGTTCTATGACCTGCCACTTTTAACTGTGACACCAAGATTTTAATTGAAGGGGGGACTCAGTGTCATGTGGGCAGAGAAAACTCACAGAACTTTGTCCATATTATTGTGTTTTATTTCAAAATGAACAAACAGTAGTACTGCAGTAAATCAATCAAGGTTAAATGTTGATTTATGATACTGACTTTGCAAGTTAGATATTAAAAGTGTTCACTGTGAGTTCTGATTGTATAATACCATGTACAAGCTATGATTTTCAGGTTGGTAATGAATTCATGAGAGGGGTGTCAGGGGGTGAAAGACGTCGAACAAACATCGGTATGGAGCTGATCATCTCCCCTCCCGTGCTGTTCCTGGACGAACCAACCACAGGCCTGGATGCTAGCACGGCTAACGCTGTCATCCACATGTTGAGGAGGTACTCCCATCATAGAAACACATTAAGATAAATGCACGAAGCAGGAATAATAAGCACTCCTCTGAGTTCCTGAATCCCAGCCACTCCAACATGGCTGCTAACTGTCAGGGAAATTTGATGATAGTGAGAATTGAGGACATTGATTTTAAAGCCATCAGTTTTTGTAACTCTGTATAATGGCTTACAGCCTTTTAATTTTCAATATTGATACACAGATTATTATGTAAATATGGTCTTTGAAAAGTCAGTTCACAGATCTATGGGTATCTATGGTATATCTATCTGGCTGGTATTTAGAAACATGGGAAGGTATTCTACTTTTTTAATATGACATAATTGAAAGTTTATTTTGGAGTTGTTTTGAAGTTTTATCAAATATAAAAAGTAAGTGTGAAAGATTACAGCTACTGCTGTTTGCTTGTCAGTATATCACAGAGAGGACGGACGATCATCTTCTCAATCCATCAGCCAAGGTACTCCATCTTCAAGCAGTTTGATCGGCTCCTGATGCTGTCACAGGGGGAAACTGTCTACCATGGCCAGGCCAGTGAATCTCTCCTCTTCTTCCGGGAAATGGGTAAGTTTCCATTTCTCATAGTTGACAACATAGAGACACATTGCTGCAGATAGGACAGTGTTGATGACTGGTTACACTTATTTTCCCAAGGCAAAGGAGCGAGTGAGTGAGTGAGTGAGTGAGTTGGGTTTAACGCCACTTTTAACATTATTCCAGTTATATCACAGCATGTCTGCTTAATGTGGGAGGAAAGCCCGAAGTAATGCAGGTCTCGGACGTTTACCAATTTGGTGAAAATCACAAGCACGGGTATGGTGCTGACAAACCTAGAAACATAATCAAGGTTAACCGGGATTCGAACCCACAATCATACGTTTCTGATGTGCCCAAGGGATGCAACTCTGCACAGCAAATCGCGACGACTGGGTCACCCGTGCCCTCCCAAGGCAAGGGAGATAACTGACTATGAAAGGCCAGTTTCCATCCTTGCCGAAATAGGCTGGAATTATGGAGATATATTTTGGCTGGACTAACAAGTCTTTGCAAAATCGCATAACGAAATCAACATCCAGTTTGTAAACTGCCATGCAAATTTTGGTTGATTGCAGGATTTGCATGTGTAACATCAACTTAGCATCAACAGACATATTCACATTTTTTTTATCAACGTTTCTCAAATGATTTGATGCACTTCGAGAAGTAAGACCCGTTTTATTACAATATAGATCTTGACTGGGTGCCGCTATTTGGTTTAAACAAATGAAAGTGATATGAGAGGTGGAATATGATTGATCATTAGGAGGGACATAACTCGTTATAACCACTTGTGGCCCTATGATGGAGCCCAGAAATTCCAGCCTAGTTCAGCAAGGGTGGAAACTGGACTTTTACAGTCAGTCAACGCCATTTCCTCGGGAAGATGGGTTACACTGCCCTTGGATGTACATTCTCACACAGGGAAATATTAAAATGTTATCAGTTATCTTCATGATCATGTGTTATTCCAGTCACTATAATACCTATTCTGGTTTTGTTTTTAATACCGGCCAAGGCACTGCGTTTTCATTGCAATGTGAATGTTGTTTGTTTCAGTAGTTTGTTGCATGTATTTACAGAGTTGACCATTGTGTCTGCCTACCCTTGGTCTTTTCATCAGGGTTTATTTAGCTGTTTACATATGATTTTTGTGCCCAAGATCATGGTAATAATATCTTCCAAATCATCAATGTTAAGATGCCTTAATTTAAATGATTACAAAGTGCAATTTGATGCTCAGTTTGTTGAATGTGTCTGTTGCCAGGTTACATCTGTGAGGAACACAACAACCCTCCTGACTTCTTCCTGGACGTCATCAATGGCGACGCCACATGTGTGCTGCCAGTGGAGGACAAGGGAGTAGAAGGTAGTGAAGCGGCTGACTGGCTGACTGGCTGACTGGTGGTGTGGCAGCTGACTGGTGGTGTGGCAGCTGACTGGTTGTGTGACAGCTGACTGGCTGACTGGTGGTGTGGCAGCTGACTGGTTGTGTGACAGCTGACTGGTGGTGTGGCAGCTGACCGGTTGTGTGACAACTGACTGGTTGTGTGACAGCTGACTGGCTGACTGGTGGTGTGGCAGCTGACTAGTTGTGTGACAGCTGACTGGTGGTGTGACAGCTGACTGGTTGTGTGGCAGCTGACTGGTTGTGTGACAGCTGACTGGTTGTGTGGCAGCTGACTGGCTGACTGGTTGTGTGGCAGCTGACTGGTGGTGTGACAGCTGACTGGTTGTGTGGCAGCTGACTGGTTGTGTGGCAGCTGACTGGTTGTGTGACAGCTGACTGGTGGTGTGGCAGCTGACTGGTGGTGTGGCAGCTGACTGGTGGTGTGACAGCTGACTGGTGGTGTGGCAGCTGACTGGTTGTGTGACAGCTGACTGGTGGTGTGACAGCTGACTGGTGGTGTGACAGCTGACTGGTGGTGTGGCAGCTGACTGGTTGTGTGACAGCTGACTGGTTGTGTGGCAGCTGACTGGTGGTGTGGCAGCTGACTGGTTGTGTGACAGCTGACTGGTGGTGTGGCAGCTGACTGGTTGTGTGACAGCTGACTGGTTGTGTGACAGCTGACTGGTGGTGTGGCAGCTGACTGGTGGTGTGGCAGCTGACTGGTGGTGTGACAACTGACTGGTTGTGTGGCAGCTGACTGGCTGTGTGACAGCTGACCGGTTGTGTGACAACTGACTGGTGGTGTGACAACTGACTGGTTGTGTGGCAGCTGACTGGTTGTGTGGCAGCTGACTGGTTGTGTGGCAGCTGACTGGTTGTGTGACAACTGACTGGTTGTGTGACAACTGACTGGTTGTGTGGCAGCTGACTGGTTGTGTGACAACTGACTGGTTGTGTGACAACTGACTGGTTGTGTGACAGCTGACTGGTTGTGTGGCAGCTGACTGGCTGACTGGTTGTGTGGCAGCTGACTGGTTGTGTGACAGCTGACTGGTGGTGTGGCAGCTGACTGGTTGTGTGGCAGCTGACTGGTTGTGTGACAGCTGACTGGTTGTGTGGCAGCTGACTGGTTGTGTGACAGCTGACTGGTGGTGTGACAACTGACTGGTTGTGTTGCAGCTGACTGGTTGTGTGGCAGCTGACTGGTTGTGTGACAGCTGACTGGTTGTGTGACAGCTGACTGGTTGTGTGGCAGCTGACTGGTTGTGTGACAGCTGACTGGTGGTGTGGCAGCTGACTGGTTGTGTGACAGCTGACTGGTTGTGTGGTAGCTGACTGGTTTTGTGGCAGCTGACTGGTGGTGTGACAGCTGACTGGTTGTGTGGCAGCTGACTGGTTGTGTGACAGCTGACTGGTGGTGTGACAGCTGACTGGTGGTGTGGCAGCTGCCTGGTGGTGTGACAACTGACTGGTGGTGTGGCAGCTGACTGGTGGTGTGACAACTGACTGGTTGTGTGACAGCTGACTGGTGGTGTGGCAGCTGACTGGTGGTGTGGCAGCTGACTGGTTGTGTGACAGCTGACTGGTGGTGTGACAGCTGACTGGTGGTGTGACAGCTGACTGGTGGTGTGACAGCTGACTGGTGGTGTGACAACTGACTGGTGGTGTGGCAGCTGACTGGTGGTGTGACAACTGACTGGTTGTGTGACAGCTGACTGGTGGTGTGGCAGCTGACTGGTGGTGTGGCAGCTGACTGGTTGTGTGACAGCTGACTGGTGGTGTGACAGCTGACTGGTGGTGTGACAGCTGACTGGTGGTGTGACAGCTGACTGGTGGTGTGGCAGCTGACTGGTGGTGTGGCAGCTGACTGGTGGTGTGACAGCTGACTGGTGGTGTGGCAGCTGACTGGTGGTGTGACAGCTGACTGGTGGTGTTGCAGCTGACTGGTGGTGTGACAGCTGACTGGTTGTGTGGCAGCTGACTGGCTGACTGGTTGTGTGACAGCTGACTGGTTGTGTGGCAGCTGACTGGCTGACTGGTTGTGTGACAGCTGACTGGTTGTGTGGCAGCTGACTGGCTGACTTGTGGTGTGGCAGCTGACTGGTGGTGTGGCAGTTACAGATGTCTTCCTAGTGTTGCAGGCATTGGGGGTTTATATAGACCAGTTCTCACCCCATAAGGCTACTGTCATCAAATAATATCTGTTTCTGTAGTGAAATTCTTCCTTTGTACTATTATTCCCATGGATCAGATTATACTATGAAAAATTGTCCATGATACATTGACACTGGCAATATTTGTTCGGGATGGAACTAATTCCATGTGCAACTGATCCTCGTTGACACAGGTTTGTATCAGGCACTTGTCTGGCTGTCTGGCACTGAGTTCATGTGAATTGTAGGGATCGTTATTGTGATTTAAAAAATTTATGTATCAATCCATATTTGAAACACAGTAAGTCTCGAATGGGCTGTTACTCTATAACCTTCACACCCAAAGAGTGAGTGAGTTGTGGCTATGATGCTTTGTTGGAACAGTATTTCAATTATGCCATGGTTGTCAATTAATGTGGGAAGAACGCCTGAGGTGCAATCTCTTTAAAATAAGATCTTTGTTCTTACTATAGCTAAACAAAGATCTGAGGACATCCAAATACGTGTCACATCAGACTGACCTTTTTGCAAATTTTGACCGACCAATGAAATGACTGACAAGAAGTCGACATTAGCCAATTCGAAAGCATCTTTCAAACTAGTTTCAAACTGGCGACTATGCTTCAAAACATACTTTGACAAATTCTCAATTAAAAATTTGAAAACTGAACAAAAGAACATTCTTGAAGGGCTAATAGATGGCCTAGACCGTCATTAGGAAAACCCTCTGTTAAATTTTTCGAGGTTGCATGATCAGAAAACACAATACGATTGTCACTTTCCTGATCTGTTGAGCAATGCTCTGATTGGTTGGATGAAAGGTTGTTCTGACATGTAATGGGACGTCCTCAGATCTTTGTTTTGCAGTAGCGAGACTAAGATTTTATTTTAATGAGATTGGCTCGAGGGGATGCAGGTCCTATACGTTTTCCACTTGAGTGGAAGCCACCAGTACAGGTATGGTGCTGTCAAACCAAGAAACATAACCAGGGCAAATCTGGAATATCAGCATCAGTCTGATTCTGGCACAACTGAGACCTGGAACTCTGAACAGCAAACTGGGGTGCCCTATACGATGACCCCACACATTTGAAGAAAATATACACTTGTGAAACACATAGTGGATATTGTAACTGGATAATAATAAAGATGCTAGTATCAGGTGTGTGTGTGTCTGTGATGGCTGAAGATGAGGCTCCCTGCTCACTTTGCATCCAAGGATTTGTGTTGTGTTGTGGAGGAATGTGTTTGTCAACTACACATACAGGAAGTAGCTCCAGCTGCTGACTGGCTTCTGGAATTTTTAAACATTTGATTGCATTTTAAGCAATTTCGTGCAGTTTGGACAACATTCACAACATGAAATGTAATAAGTCAGTGGCAAAAGTCAAGTCAACTATATAAAGATGGCGGGTGCAGTAAAAATTTCAAAGTTAAATCAGTACTTTTAAAAAATGAGGAATAGCTTCCGTGCACCAGCCAGGTCGGGGAGCAATACTGCCCCCCCCCCATCCCCCAGACACAAGGACAACTGTCACAAGCGTGCAATGTCTGACCATTTCCCCATGTTGAAGCAAAACTTACCATGTACTTACTTACCTGTTGTTTAAAAACAAAACACCTTTATAAACATAAGACATCAATACAACATATATCCCTGTGTTATGGGTTTTGGGATGCTGAAGTAACATTCATAGTTTTCTCGCTATTTACAATTTCTGTGTGATGCCACACCCTATGTTATAGTGCAAGTATTCGTTATAGAAAACGTATGATGTCCGAAAACCTATGATCTGACGATAGTATTGTCATGAATAATAGTAAAGGCATATATACAAGGGTGTTCATTAAAGATTTCCCCTGACCCACTTCCGATGGACCTAGTGGAATGAAACTTGGCATAGGTATTAGTCTTTCTCCACATAGGAACCACAAAGAGTTACACACTTCTCCCATCGTTTTATGCAACTATGGAGACCTCGCTTGTAAAAGCCCTCATTTTGCGTCTCAAACCAGGACTTGACTTCAGAAATCAGTGTTTCATCATCTGTGAAACGTTTTCCCTTCAAAAATGACTTCATGGTTGGAAAGAGGTGGAAGTCAGTTGGTGCAAGGTCAGGAGAGTAAGGAGGATGTACAAGGATTTCATAGCCACAGGACCGTGCTTCTGTCTGTGCAACATGAGAGTTGTGTACTGGAGCATTGTCTTGCAGGAGACGGACACCCTTGGTCAGCATGTCACGCCTCTTAAGCTTGATAGCGTCCCGCAATTTCCGCAGCAGTGAAGCATAATAAGCTCCTGTAATTGTGGTACCCTTTGCAAAGAAATCCATCATCACTACTCTGTGCTGGTCCCAAAACACCGTGAGCATGACCTTGCCTGCAGAGGGTTGGACACGTGCCTTCTTTTGGGGAGGTGACTCCACATGCTTCCATTGCATCGCCTGAACTTTAGTCTCAGGATCATAGTGATGGACCCACGTTTCATCCTGTGTGATAAGTCTGTCAAAAAAGTTTGCCTGTTTTTTTTGGCACATGTCCAAAAGATCCTTTGAGCAATTGACTCGTTCCTGCTTTTGGAAAGGTATGAGCAACCTCGGAATCCATCGTGCAGACACCTTATGCATGTTCAAATTGTCATGGATGATTTTTTCCCACAGACCCTACACTGATCTTGACATCTTGTGCTAACTGGCGAACAGTTATACGTCGGTCTGCCAAAATGGCGGTCTCCACTTGATGGATAGTGTCCTCATCAATGGCTGAATGGGGGCGACCAGGAATGGCAGCTGTTTCCACAGATGTCCGACCACACTTAAACTGGCGATGCCAGTGTTTAACAACGTCATATGATGGAGCATCTTCCCCATAAGTTGCTTTCATTTCATCGAAAGTTTCTTTTGGTGTGCGACCTTTCAAATATAAAAGGGGGCACGGGTGGCATAGTCGTCTAAGGCGCTGCGATTCGCTGTGCAGAGTTGCGTCCCTTGGGCACGCCAGAAACCTATGATTGTGGGTTCGAATCCCTGTTCGCCCCGATTATGTTTCTAGGTTTGTCAGCACCATACCCGTGCTCGTGGGTTTCACCGAAGTGGTAAACGTCTTAGACCTGCATCACTTCGGGCTTTCCTCCCACATTAAGCTGACACGCCGTGATATAACTGGAATAATGTTAAAAGCGGCGTTAAACCCAACTCACTCACTCACTCACTCATATATAAAAACCTAATCACTGCTCGGTATTCTACTGGCTCCATTGTCACACCCTACTCGATCATAACACCTGTAAAAGTGGTAAGATTAATAGTTCGGTGCTGCAAATTCAGACATAACCCATAGATACATGTATCATTACACATGTGTAATTTCACCGTAAGTGGTTTAGGGGAGATCTTTAATGAACACCACTCGTATGATGCTGAAAACTCTGATCGAAAACAGGACAATCCTTTGATGATATTTCTATACGGAAGATGATTTTTCCCAAAGACTACTGTTTAAAAAAAAATGAGTTTCCCAGTTTCTGTGGAGATTTCACATTCCTGAATATATGAATACATCTGACTATTTCTTGTTTACAGAAGAGGTGACTGTCAACCAGACACTAGCTGATGGCTTCAGAAAATCCAGATGGAATAAAGAGTTAGTATTGTGTTGTATTGCATTAGTCACAAAAGACTTGTCTCCCCGATAGCAGAATGTGTTTGTCAATTGCTTGTTCTAACAGTAGTGTCCCGAAGCCTACAACCAACCTTTGTCCAAGGTTCTCACAGATGTGGAAATGCCGTAAACCTTCCTGAAAACGTTGACAAGACCATGAGTGTGTGCAAGTGGTTAGTTTGGCTGTTGACACTGGGTCTTACTTTTAGCCTTGTATAGCTTTATCATTGTGTGGCTTAAGTTTGTATGAACAATGAATTCTCTTCCCAATCATGGTCCATCTCTAAAGCATGCACTGTCATGTTAAGGTATGCTGAGACTGTATATGGCTGCTGGTTGGTGTTGCCAGGTTGATGATGGAGGTGCAGCCAGTCTACGACCAGTTCAAGGAGGAGGCAAAGAACGGCGGTGTTGTCCGCATGGAGAGAGTGGAGTACGCCACCTCATTCCTACAACAGGTACAGGGAGACAACTTTTGCCCCTACTTTCACATCATGTTCACCAATATCACACAGACAGAATATATTACACAACAGATTTATAGATTAAAAAGTGATAAGAAAACTGAATGAAAAATTCTCTTTCAGTTTGTTGTTGTAGCTGGCCGGACACTACGGAACATTCTCAGGAATCCACATGCAGCCATGATGCAGGTTAGTTAGATGTTATGATAATTCCTTCAGTGAAATGGAAGCCTTCCATATAGGTATGTGTATACTACCTGGTTTCTTCGAGAGGATTCTATTTAGGATTGATCCTTCTCAAATCCTGCCTCAAATACAGCACCAAATTTGTGAGAAACATGGCAACTCTCGTGAGTGAGCATGGCCATCAGGATTCCTACACTTGCTCACATCAACTGTTCTTTGGGTGTGTTCGTACATGTCAAATAACATCATATTTTGTTTTGTCCAATTTCATCTGTTACGCTTATTGTGGTGGCAAATTAAAGGAAGATGTGACTTGGTTTTCAGGTATTCATGATGCTGTTGTTTGCCATCATTGTTGGAGCTGTGTATTTCCAGCTGGACACCTCTGCAGGCTCGGGAATACAGAACAGGTGTGTTGTTGTAGGACTGAGCCTTCATGGTGTAGGTCATATATTGCAGTGGGACACTGAGCCTTGGCAGTGTAGGTCATATATTGCAGTGGGACACTGAGCCTTGGCAGTGTAGTTCATATATTGCAGTGGGACACTGAGCCTTGGCAGTGTAGGTCATATATTGCGGTGGGACACTGAGCCTTGGCAGTGTAGGTCATATATTGCAGTGGGCCACTAAGCCTTGTTGGTGTAGGTCATATATTGCAGTGGGCCACTGAGCCTTGATGGTGTAGGTCATATATTGCAGTGGGCCACTAAGCCTTGTTGGTGTAGGTCATATATTGCAGTGGGCCACTGAGCCTTGATGGTGTAGGTCATATATTGCAGTGGGACACTGAGCCTTGATGGTGTAGGTCATATATTGCAGTGGGCCACTAAGCCTTGTTGGTGTAGGTCATATATTGCAGTGGGCCACTGAGCCTTGATGGTGTAGGTCATATATTGCAGTGGGCCACTGAGCCTTGTTGGTGTAGGTCATATATTGCAGTGGGACACTGAACCTTCATGGTGTAGGTCATATATTGCAGTGGGACACTGAGCCTTGTTGGTGTAGGTCATATATTGCAGTGGGCCACTGAGCCTTGTTGGTGTAGGTCATATATTGCAGTGGGACACTGAACCTTCATGGTGTAGGTCATATATTGCAGTGGGACACTGAACCTTCATGGTGTAGGTCATATATTGCAGTGGGACACTGAACCTTCATGGTGTAGGTCATATATTGCAGTGGGACACTGAGCCTTGTTGGTGTAGGTCATATATTGCAGTGGGCCACTGAGCCTTGTTGGTGTAGGTCATATATTGCAGTGGGACACTGAGCCTTCATGGTGTAGGTCATATATTGCAGTGGGACACTGAGCCTTGATGGTGTAGGTCATATATTGCAGTGGGACACTGAACCTTCATGGTGTAGGTCATATATTGCAGTGGGACACTGAGCCTTGATGGTGTAGGTCATATATTGCAGTGGGACAATGAGCCTTGACAGTGTAGGTCATATATTGCAGTGGGACACTGAGCCTTCATGGTGTAGGTCATATATTGCAGTGGGACACTGAACCTTCATGGTGAAGGTCATATATTGCAGTGGGACACTGAGCCTTGATGGTGTAGGTCATATATTGCAGTGGGCCACTGAGCCTTGACAGTGTAGGTCATATATTGCAGTGGGACACTGAGCCTTGACAGTGTAGGTCATATATTGCAGTGGGACACTGAGCCTTGATGGTGTAGGTCATATATTGCAGTGGGACACTGAGCCTTGACAGTGTAGGTCATATATTGCAGTGGGACACTGAGCCTTGACAGTGTACGTCATATATTGCAGTGGGACACTGAGCCTTGATGGTGTAGGTCATATATTGCAGTGGGACACTGAGCCTTGACAGTGTAGGTCATATATTGCAGTGGGACACTGAGCCTTGACAGTGTAGGTCATATATTGCAGTGGGACACTGAGCCTTGACAGTGTAGGTCATATATTGCAGTGGGACACTGAGCCTTGACAGTGTAGGTCATATATTGCAGTGGGACACTGAGCCTTGACAGTGTAGGTCATATATTGCAGGGGGACACTGAGCCTTGACAGTGTAGGTCATATATTGCGGTGGGACACTGAGCCTTGTTGGTGTAGGTCATATATTGCGGTGGGACACTGAACCTTCATGGTGTAGGTCATATATTGCAGTGGGACACTGCTCCTTGGCAGTGTAGGTCATATATTGCAGTGGGACACTGAGCCTTGACAGTGTAGGTCATATATTGCAGGGGGACACTGAGCCTTGACAGTGTAGGTCATATATTGCGGTGGGACACTGAACCTTCATGGTGTAGGTCATATATTGCAGTGTGACACTGCTCCTTGGCAGTGTAGGTCATATATTGCAGTGTGACACTGAGCCTTGACAGTGTAGGTCATATATTGCAGTGGGACACTGAGCCTTGACAGTGTAGGTCATATATTGCGGTGGGACACTGAGCCTTGTTGGTGTAGGTCATATATTGTGGTGGGACACTGAACCTTCATGGTGTAGGTCATATATTGCAGTGGGACACTGCTCCTTGGCAGTGTAGGTCATATATTGCAGTGGGACACTGAGCCTTGTTGGTGTAGGTCATATATTGCAGTAGGCCACTGAGCCTTCATGGTGTAGGTCATATATTGCAGTGGGACACTGAGCCTTGACAGTTGAGGTCATATATTGCGGTGGGACACTGAGCCTTGTTGGTGTAGGTCATATATTGCGGTGGGACACTGAACCTTCATGATGTAGGTCATATATTGCAGTGGGACACTGAGCCTTGTTGGTGTAGTTCATATATTGCAGGGGGACACTGAGCCTTGACAGTGTAGGTCATATATTGTGGTGGGACACTGAACCTTCATGGTGTTGGTCATATATTGCAGTGGGACACTGAGCCTTGTTGGTGTAGTTCATATATTGCAGTGGGACACTGAGCCTTGACACTTTAGGTCATATATTGCAGTGGGACACTGAGCCTTGACAGTGTAGGTCATATATTGTGGTGGGACACTGAACCTTCATGGTGTAGGTCATATATTGCAGTGGGACACTGAGCCTTGACAGTGTAGGTCATGTATTGCAGGGGGACACTGAGCCTTGACAGTGAAGGTCATGTATTGCAGTGGGCCACTGAACCTTCATGGTGTAGGTCATATATTGCAGTGGGACACTGAGCCTTGACAATGTAGGTCATATATTGCGGTGGGACACTGAGCCTTGTTGGTGTAGGTCATATATTGCGGTGGGACACTGAGCCTTGACAGTTGAGGTCATATATTGCAGTGGGACACTGAGCCTTGACAGTTGAGGTCATATATTGTGGTGGGACACTGAACCTTCATGGTGAAGGTCATATATATTGCAGTGGGACACTGAGCCTTGACAGTGAAGGTCATGTATTGCAGTGGGCCACTGAACCTTCATGGTGTAGGTCATATATTGCAGTGGGACACTGAACCTTCATGGTGTAGGTAGTATATTGCAGTGGGACACTGAGCCTTGACAGTTGAGGTCATGTATTGCAGTGGGACACTGAGCCTTGACAGTGAAGGTCATATATTGCAGTGGGACACTGAGCCTTGACAGTTGAGGTCATGTATTGCAGTGGGACACTGAGCCTTGACAGTGAAGGTCATATATTGCAGTGGGACACTGAGCCTTGACAGTGAAGGTCATGTATTGCAGTGGGACACTGAACCTTCTTGGTGTAGGTCATATATTGCAGTGGGACACTGAACCTTCATGGTGTAGGTCATATATTGCAGTGGGACACTGAGCCTTGACAGTTGAGGTCATATATTGCAGTGGGACACTGAGCCTTGACAGTTGAGGTCATATATTGTGGTGGGACACTGAACCTTCATGGTGTAGGTCATATATTGCAGTGGGACACTGAGCCTTGACAGTGTAGGTCATGTATTGCAGGGGGACATTGAGCCTTGACAGTGAAGGTCATGTATTGCAGTGGGCCACTGAGCCTTCATGGTGTAGGTCATATATTGCAGTGGGACACTGAGCCTTCATGGTGTAGGTCAGATATTGCAGTGGGACACTGAGCCTTGACAGTTGAGGTCATGTATTGCAGTGGGACACTGAGCCTTGACAGTTTAGGTCATATATTGCAGTGGGACACTGAGCCTTAACAGTGTAGGTCACATATTGCAGGGGGACACTGAGCCTTGACAGTTTAGGTCATATATTGCAGTGGGCCACTGAGCCTTCATGGTGTAGGTCATATATTGCAGTGGGACACTGAGCCTTGACAGTTGAGGTCATATATTGCAGTGGGACACTGAGCCTTGTTGGTGTAGGTCATATATTGCGGTGGGACACTGAACCTTCATGGTGTAGGTCATATATTGCAGTGGGACCCTGAGCCTTGTTGGTGTAGTTCATATATTGCAGGGGGACACTGAGCCTTGACAGTGTAGGTCATATATTGTGGTGGGACACTGAACCTTCATGGTGTTGGTCATATATTGCAGTGGGACACTGAGCCTTGTTGGTGTAGTTCATATATTGCAGTGGGACACTGAGCCTTGACAGTTGAGGTCATATATTGCAGTGGGACACTGAGCCTTGACAGTTGAGGTCATATATTGCAGTGGGACACTGAACCTTCATGGTGAAGGTCATATATTGCAGTGGGACACTGAGCCTTGACAGTGAAGGTCATGTATTGCAGTGGACCACTGAACCTTCATGGTGTAGGTCATATATTGCAGTGGGACACTGAGCCTTGACAGTGAAGGTCATGTATTGCAGTGGACCACTGAACCTTCATGGTGTAGGTCATATATTGCAGTGGGACACTGAACCTTCATGGTGTAGGTCATATATTGCAGTGGGACACTGAGCCTTGACAGTTGAGGTCATATATTGCAGTGGGACACTGAGCCTTGACAGTTGAGGTCATATATTGTTGTGGGACACTGAACCTTCATGGTGTAGGTCATATATTGCAGTGGGACACTGAGCCTTGACAGTGTAGGTCATGTATTGCAGGGGGACATTGAGCCTTGACAGTGAAGGTCATGTATTGCAGTGGGACACTGAGCCTTGTTGGTGTAGTTCATATATTGCAGTGGGACACTGAGCCTTGACAGTTGAGGTCATGTATTGCAGTGGGACACTGAGCCTTGACAGTGTAGGTCATATATTGTGATGGGACACTGAACCTTCATGGTGTTGGTCATATATTGCAGTGGGACACTGAGCCTTGACAGTGTAGGTCATGTATTGCAGGGGAACACTGAGCCTTGACAGTGAAGGTCATGTATTGCAGTGGGCCACTGAGCCTTCATGGTGTAGGTCATATATTGCAGTGGGACACTGAGCCTTCATGATGTAGGTCATGTATTGCAGTGGGACACTGAACCTTGACAGTGTAGGTCATATATTGCAGTGGGACACTGAGCCTTCATGGTGTAAGTCATGTATTGCAGTGGGACACTGAGCCTTGACAGTGTAGGTTATATATTGCAGTGGGACACTGAGCCTTCATGGTTTAGGTCATATATTGCAGTGGGACACTGAGCCTTCATGGTGTAGGTCATATATTGCAGTGGGCCACTGAGCCTTGACAGTGTAGGTAATATATTGCAGTGGGACACTGAGCCTTCCAGCATGATTTCTCAATTATGTGGACATTCACAAACTCACTGTAAACATCTTTCTCATTTGTTTCAGAGTTGGAGCCTTTTTCTTCATGGTGATGAATCAGATATTTGGTAACCTGTCAGCTGTAGAAATATTCCTTCGTGAGAGATCTATGTTCATGTGAGTTTCTATTTATGTAGAATCATCAACAGTTTTTGTCATAAGGAAAGTATTTGTTAAGAGAGCGCAGGCTCTGATGAATGAGTTGCTTGTTCAAGTTGTCACAGTATTGAAGTTTGTGTCCGACAGGCATGAGAATGTGAGCGGCTTCTACCGAGTGTCGTCATTCTTCCTGGCCAAGGTGTTCTGCGATCTTGTCCCCATGAGACTGGTGCCTACGGCGGTCTTCAGCTCAGTCGTGTACTGGCTCATTGGTCAGTACTCAATTGTTGCCCTAGAAATGTGCATGCCTATTTGTCTGATCACATCCACACATTACCTGAGACATTGACATTGGAGCAACTAAAACAATTTCTTGGCCCGCTTGAGACACTGCTGCCATAAAGTGGGAGGGGTATAGGAAGTGGTTCTGACCTTGTGTCCTGTCTGCTCAAACGGGATAAGAACGAAAACTGTAGGAAATAGTGCTCTGACATTTTGAAGAGTGTCTCTATCTTAAAGCGTTCCATATTAAGTTCTAAGCTTAAAAACACACAAAATTTGGAAAATTGGATTTATTTCTTTCAACCCCTTGCTATTCTGAAATCTGTCTGTCATAAGCAGGATAACAGCATAGCTGTTACAGATATGTAATATACTCAACACCAAAAGTTCCTGTGACACCAATATTTTAGTGTATTTTTCAAACAAGTAAAGTTTGGTTTTCAATATTGTAGTACATGTATGGAATCAAGAAACAACCACTCAGAAAAACAACAAAATTACGCAATTATTCAACATGACAAAATGCGACGCCTGTCCGAAAATGAGCGTCTGCGAGCCATTGGTATGCTTGAAGCATGATCGAGTCAACGTGATATTGCAAGACAATTTAACGTCCACAGAAACACCATTTGGTGTTTATTGCTACGTTGGCAACAGACGAATGCAGTCAGAGACCATCCTCGGAGTGGTAGGCCACGCGTAACCAATAATCGACAAGACAACTGGATGCAAACAACACACCTAAGAAATCGATTCCAGCCAGCAACAGTGACTGCAAGAAGCATCCCTGGCCTTCGACGAATATGTTCATAAACCGTACGTCATCGCCTCAGATGTGCAGGGATTGTTGCCAGAGGACCCGCCAGACATTCAATTTTGCCAGGAAACCACCATCAAGCACGTCTACAGTGGTGCAGACAGCATCTACACTGGACGGCCATGCAGTGGGGACAAGTTCTATTCAGTGATGAGTCTCGTTTTCACCTCGGCCACAGCGATGGACGGATTCGAGTGTACCTACGTCGAGGTGAACGTTACGTCAATCATTGTGTCATGAAGGAAGATCGGTTCGGGGGTGGCTGCGTTATGGTATGGGGTGGGATTACAGCAAGACAGAGGACCCGTTTGATAGTGGTAGAGGGAAATCTCAATGGACAGTGCTACCGCGACAAGATCATTGGCCCTGTTGTTCTACCGTTATTGCATCGTCATGGCCCAGGCATTACCTTTCAACATGACAATGCCCGGCCTCATATTACTCGACTTGTTGAGGATTCTCTTCAACAAAACAACATGAATGTCATCCCCTGGCTGGCTCGCTCCCCTGATCTCTCACTAATCGAGCACATGTGGGATAAGATGGATCGTCGCCTTCGACGTCAACCACGTGTTCCACAAACACTCCAGGAAATTCGAAACATGCTCCAGCAGATATGAACAGATATCCCACAGGACTTTTTGTGACACCTGGTCCATTGCATGAGACGAAGATGTGTTGTTTGCATTGCAACCAGAGGTGGACACACACGCTATTGATTTGTAAATTGACATTTGGGCATGTTCATGGTTTTTTTTATTAAATCACGCATTTTCTGAAGTCAGTATGACAAATTAAACCATTTGAACACTTACAGGAGTCTTTTATCTGTTGCAAACTGAAATTGTTTCAGATTTGGTAAAAAACATAACTTTGCATTAAATCTTATTCAATGTCACAGGAACTTTTGTTGTTCAGTATATATCTTTGGACTGGGTCTTAGAGGTAAGAAATACACCATGAGATTAAACAGAATTATTAGATGATATCAAATTACCCTTGTTTTTTTCTTGAATCTGGACACTGTGTCATGGTAGCAGGATGACAGCAAAACTGTTCAGATGTGGTTTTGAAACATTGCAAAGGATCATACTGGTTATATTAACATCAAATTGATTGATCTGTTCTGAATTAGTGTCTTTGTTTCACTTGAACATGGCCATTCTCTTCCATCTTGTAAGTTGGATATCCTGAAAATCATTGTAAATAAGATTTATTGGATAACATTAAAAAGTACTTGATCTTCTGTTTTGCTGAGAATGTACATACATTGCTGAATACAAAGAGAAACATTTTATTTAAGGCCATCTTGGATTGTCAAGTGTTAGGGAAAGGTTGTAAGTGTCTCAGTTTAATCAAATGTTACCTCCTCAGCCTCAGCTGTGTCATTTACCTGCACAAAATTTAATTTTCAGGATTTAAAAATGGTGCAAGTCATTTTTTTTTCTTCCTTCTGAACCTGTTCTTGACGACATTGTCGGCCACGAGTCTGGCGTTTGCAATCAGTGCCAGCATCCAGGTCCGAGCTGTTGCCAACATCCTCATCTCACTCTGCTTTGTCTTTATGATGGTGAGTACTTCTTGACACCCCAGGGGTGGTAGGGTAGTCTAGTGGTTAAAGTGTTCGCTTGTCACACGTGGATCCCATTTCTGGTGTCCCCTGCTATGATATTGCTGGAATATTGCTGAAAGGGGTGTAAAGACATACTCACTCACACTTCATAACTCAGTGTGACTTCATGACACAGGACTGTGTAACTTTATGATGATGTTGTTGTATTTTAAAGAGGTATGTGTATAATGTGCTCCTCACCTGGTTTATTGCAGCTGTTCAGTGGGCTCCTCATCAACCTGGGATCTATTGGGGAATGGCTGACCTGGGCCAAGTGGATCTCCATCTTCAGATTCAGCCTGGATGTGAGTATAAGCGAACAGTAGGACCAGTTATATCCTTGAAGATTTCTCTCCCAGACAAATTATGAGAGCAGTAAATATACTTGCCCATAAATTTCCTTATGTGAAAAAGAGAGAGAGCCTGAGGTTTGTGTGGAGGTTACAGTGTATGTGTCATGTTCCAGGCCCTATGTATCAATGAGCTGAAGGATCAAGTGTTCTGTGCTGAGGAGATGGAGGGGAACACAACGCAAATCTGGTAGGTTTCATAGCTGTCTTAGACACCACTTTAGTCAGATATGGAGGGTAACACAACACAGGCATGGAGGGTTAACACGACACAGGCATGGAGGGTTAACACGACACAGGCATGGAGGGTTAACACGACACAGGCATGGAGGTTAACACGACACAGGCATGGAGGGTTAACACGACACAGGCATGGAGGGTTAACACGACACAGGCATGGAGGGTTAACACGACACAGGAAGGGACAGTTAACACGACACAGGAAGGGACGGTTGACACGACACAGGCATGGAGGGTTAACACGACACAGGCATGGACGGTTAACACGACACAGGCATGGAGGGTTAACACGACACAGGCATGGAGGGTTAACACGACACAGGCATGGAGGTTAACACGACACAGGCATGGAGGGTTAACACGACACAGGCATGGACAGTTAACACGACACAGGAAGGGACGGTTGATGGAGGGGAACACAACGCAAATCTGGTAGGTTTCATAGCTGTCTTAGACACCACTTTAGTCAGATATGGAGGGTAACACAACACAGGCATGGAGGGTTAACACGACACAGGCATGGAGGGTTAACACGACACAGGCATGGAGGGGAACACACCACAGGCATGGAGGGGAACATGACACAGGCATGGAGGGGAACACACCACAGGCATGGAGGGGAACATGACACAGGCATGGAGGGGAACAAGACACAGGCATGGAGGGGAACAAGACACAGGCATGGAGGGGAACAAGACACAGGCATGGAGGGGAACATGACACAGGCATGGAGGGGAACAAGACACAGGCATGGAGGGGAACAAGACACAGGCATGGAGGGGAACAAGACACAGGCATGGAGGGGAACATGACACAGGCATGGAGGGGAACACACCACAGGCATGGAGGGGAACATGACACAGGCATGGAGGGGAACATGACACAGGCATGGAGGGGAACATGACACAGGCATGGAGGGGAACACACCACAGGCATGGAGGGGAACCCTTCACAAGTGTAGTAGTTCTCATATCTGCCTCGTCTCAGACACCTCTAGTCAGGCATGGAGGGCAACATTATCAGTTATCCATTTGTCAGTTTCTGGTGTTTTCTCCACATTGTCCAAACATTCAACTCCTTGTTCCAGTGTGACGGGCAACTCCTATCTGGAGCAGCAGGATATCGCGTACCAGACAGGATGGAACCTGTGGCAGAGAGAGGCTGCCCTCTTCATCATGTCCTGCATCTTCCTCTTCCTCACCTATGTCCAGCTACGCCGCATCAAGAAACTCAAGTGAGGCCACGTCCCCTACCTGGTCCTCGTGTATAGCCTGTCACTGAAGCTTGTGTGAGACACACAGTCATCAAGTCATGACTTGGCAGGACGAACACTCTCTCACTGTTGTACCTGCAGACAAATGGTAGCACATGGATTTCAGTGACAACACTCTCTTGTTGCCAAATACCCAAAGCGTATGATTCCAACACGTAAGGTTTGGATTATTCTCCTGGTGAAGTGTTTGACTGGACGACATGAAGCAGTTGTGTCATCAGCTGGGATATTTGGGATCTGGCAGATTGGCTGTCAGGGTTGTGTCAGTGTGATGGACTGAAAGTTGGCTTGGGTTAAGAAGACCAATATAAGAGGATTGACATTTGCCAACGAACTGGGGAAACTATGAGATCCAGTGTCAAGTAGCATCTGACCTTCCGATTTCCAATAAAATTAAGCTGGAAAATGGTGTACGATATGTAGAAAATATATGACGGAAGTGGAAAATTATAACGATGTGGAAATGAATGCAATCTTGATATTCAGAGTGTGGACTTCCACTTGAATTAACTTGTTTACTTGTGATCTGGATGTGACTTATCAACTGTGAAGGATCTAGTCATTTGTCTACAATCATGTATTTACCAGGTTGGATTTTGGAACAAGATCTGCACTTTCTTTCTTCCTGCAGGCACCCACGGTAGACATTCAAATACTGCATTTCCTGGAAATATTTCTTCCTTTCTACACAACAGTGACACAGAAATATATGTCGTCCTTGTCTGATATTTGTACAAAGTGTATTTGTGTTTTGGTATATGGTACCATGTGTCTAAGGCAACACTCTTTTTATTTTTTTTGTTTACAGATTTGACAGACCAGAACCAAATAAAATTAAAAGTAATATTATTAGTAGCTACAGAATACTTCTTCTCTGTTTTGACGAATCCATACTAAAAGTCAGCAAAAATCTGTGAACATAAAAAAGAAAAGTGTCCTAAAGTCTGTGTACTACAGATAGGCATTGGGTATGTGAAAACCAGGGATGCTTTGTAAAGTGACAGTAGCATATGGGGGGGGGGGGGTTGGATATTGCATTAAGGACACTTTTATATAGCTTCTCTATATCCTCAGTCCAGTTAATCATGCATTGTTCTTCAACAATTTGGAAAGCTACTACATTTAAGCACGATACCACTCAGTATTTTAGATCCCAGAAGACAGAAAAAGTTAAGGGAGTTTAACAATCTGTGCAGTATATGGCTTTAATCCTTCTTGTTGATGTGACACATTTTATGTACTGTTAAGAAACAAAATATACGAAAATTGAAACTTTAAAGCTACGAAAGGTAGGTCATATTTTGTAGATTCATCTTCTTGTGAGTCTAATATTTATCAAGATATGTAAAGGTTATTAGTTTGTGTTATTATCTCAGGGAAATATACCTACCTCCCCAGTTGTTGTCTTGCTGTTAATGGAGGTCACATGTTTGTAAGATTATAGCAAGCAGCCAATGGCACCTTTTTTCCATGTGCTCCAGGAATAGGTTTAATGTCATGACGTAAACACACTTGTACAAACAAAGGTGCTTCTTGGGGTTTAAATGTAACAGTTCATGAAAAAAACCGTGATTTTAGGTTGATATAAAATTGGTGTAAGTATTGAATCTATTCAAATAATCTCACACAACAAAATATCAAGTCATCAATGCTACTTTAGATCATGTGCCTTATAAAAATATACCTTGGCTTTGGTTCTGTTCGAATACTTCTATGGAAGAAGGAAAATATTCTATTCTTAAGAGGTGTTAACTTGAAACAACATCTTGAGTAGGTTCATGAAGATACCTGTTCATGGACTTGTATAAGGGGATTGTTTGTCTCAGGAATATGTACATAACTCTCCAGCTGCAGTTCTAGATGAAGCATCAACTTCACTGTCAAACTGCTGGGACGCTCACAGTTCATGAATTGCAGCTCTAGATCAAGCAGGGGCAATGGGATAGCCTAGTGGTAAAGCATTGGCTCGTCACGCTGATTGGATTCCTGACATGGGTACAGTGTGTGAAGCCCATTTTCCAGTGTCCCTCACCGTGATATTGCAGGAATATTGCTAAAAGCGGGGTAAAACCATACTCACTCCCTCTAGATGAAGCATCAGCTGTTGGGACATCCACAGTCCGACTGTAGGCGTAGCAGATAATTCAGTGTTATAGTGCAGTGGATGCATCAACCATCTGGAGCCTATTTATTTGACAAAGACTGGTATATGTCTGTTCTGACCCCCTTCCGTGTAACAAGACACCTGGTGATGATGCTATGTGTGATTTGATGGTGTAAGTTGGCAATACAATACGTTAAAATTGGACACTGGTCGTGTCAGAGATGTTTTCCCCTCATCAAAGGGACTTTGAGAGCAGAACAAAACCATTCTCAACTATTATTGAAAAAGACGTTGAATATGATATTAACCATTACATGTTACACAATATTATGAAATATGCTGCAATTGAAACTATTTGTGTGAGGTCATGTGTATGTCGAGGACTACAGGGAACGGCGGTTCCTGCAATATGCACCTAAGTTCTGGACACCTGTACTTTTATGACATGAATCTTACAATAGTACATTAAAATCCTGTTTACACTGTCGTTGGGCAGCCAAACTAATGATTGTGTCCAGTGAACAGTGGTCAGTCTATATGCTTCCTTTGTAAAAAGTGCCTAAATATGCAATCTTGATGAAAGTCTTTCATTGTCACTGAATTGTCACATGGTTTGAATGTTGATCTCACAAACGGTTGTGTGATTTATTATAAACCACCTGTAATAGTCAAGGGTTGTTCCTTGAGCCAGCTGTCAAGCCTGGGGATCTTCCCCTAAGTGATGACTTAACGGGTAGTTACATGTAACGGTTATATTCACCTCTGATAGTAGTGGATCTTGCAGAATTGTGCATGAATTTATGAGCATGCTTGGCTTGGTAAAAGATCTGTCATGGTAGATTGTATATACATTACTGATTCATCATGTTCACATGTGATTGTCATGTTGACTAGTTATGATTACAACTGGGACGTCTTTATCTGTTTAGAATGGCGTCTGTTCCAGCTTGTATGGATGCATGGACTCTGGTGGTGTATTTATCTAGCTGTCACTCTGCATTGGTTCACACTGTGTTTTGTTGAATAATGTCTGCACATACATTATCTTCAGCTTTAATAAATCAAAATGGTCGAAGGTTGAAAGGTTGCTGCAGGGAAGAGAAAATTCAGCTAAATAGGAAAAGAAAATGAAATTCTTTTAAGACAAAGTCTGGGTGACTAACAAGACTGTTATAATTGAATAGTACAAAATTTATTATTCATATGCTGGCCATAAAATCGATATTACAGATGATCACACAGTTTGGGAACAGGTTATAAACAGGGCACCGTCATCTTATCTTTGATTGTTTAAAATTGAAGCAGGGATGTTAACTTAAGCATTGTAGGATATTCATAATAATATACAGGTATATATCGTGAACGTAAATTGCTATAAGCTGGAAATATTGGAAGCACATGGAATTCATCATGAAATCCTTTACCACAATAATTGCATATAGCATCTGTAAAATCAAGCTCTCCAGAGAGTCTACATCTGTTCCTTCTTAAATCATTGGAGCAACATCTAAATATTGTAAGAGCTCTTCTTAAATTTGAAGCTTGAATAGAAAATAAGTATTTCTCATGTTGTAATGAAGGTTTTATGTTCAATAAAATTCAAATTTGGAGGATTTGGAAAGAGAAGCAAACCAGTCTTGAGAAAACACGTATCTCAGTCTTTGTGTAAATGTATTAATGACTAGATTATGATTGACAACTTCTTGCATCAGCCACACATTTCCAAGTCCATAACTACACAATATGAATCTACCCAGTTATTATAGCCTGATTCATGATGTTATGTAGATATGAAGAATCAGGCTAAAATAATAGGGTATAGTTTGTTTAGCAATGGATTTGGAAGTGTGTGGCTGATGCAAGAAGTTGGTCATTATAATCTGTTCCTTAATACCAAGCCATGGACACTATAACAGTCTTCACCTCATAGGAAACAAAATTAAACTTTTGAGGGGGTATCATTTTCCTTGTGGTCACGGATGCTTTTTGAGGGGTTTTGTTGAGTGCAACCTCACTCCATTTTTCCTGTCTTTCCCAGTTGTGTTTTGCCTCTCCCAGTTGTGTTTCCGTCTCTCCCAGTGGTATGCATGTTACAGGAACACCATGTTGATGTGGAGTGCATGTTCAGGGACCTTTGTTCATGTGTACATGGTGATAATGTCAAGGCTTCGAGGTGGTATTAGTGCATTTGATATTCATCATTTCATGCAATCGGTTACAATATCTTCTGTTGTGTATCAGAAGAACTTATGTAGTTCGAAATTAAGTTTTTTCAGCATATTCCCAGTATTTTGGTGTATTGCTGTTTTGTCCTATGTAGGATGAATCTCCTGTGTTCACCTGCCATTCAGCTGTGTGTCCACACTAGTCCTAGGCATTGTTTCACTGTCATCTATTTTTGTACTAGTGCCTATGTGGACATTGTTGCATACATGTATGTCAAATGACATATTCATGAATAAAAATTTAAAATTGGGAGAAGAATTATTTTTGTGTTGTGAACATTATGGCCAGACGATGTTTATTTCTTGCTTTACAGATTTGTAGCCAGCAGTTAAAGATACAGGAAGCAGGAATGTATGAAACTGAGGTTATTTGAGGTTAACTTTAAGTTCTACAATACAACTGGAGGTGTTTGCAAAAACAGAAGCAGCTCACCTCTTACAACAAGCATGGGTTTCTGAAGACCAATTCTTACCAGGATCTTCACAGGTCAGAGTCAAAAAGACAAATAGGAAGTCTGTAATTCCACAATGATAGAAAGACATGTAATTTAATAACACTCTCATTGACTAAGACAAAATTGTTATGGATGAGCAACTTCTTTATTACAATTGGGCGATTCTAACACCGTTATCAAGCAAATGATGAGTAAGATTTCATTAAATGTGTGTGGCAACTGAGATGAAAACTATCCAGAGGATCTGAAACACAAGGCAACTTTCTACACTCAACTTCATGGGCTTATATACTGAACAACAAAAGTTCCTGTGACATTGAATAAGATTTAAAGCAAAGTTATGTTTTTTACCAAATCTGAAACAATTTCAGTTTGCAACAGATAAAAGACTCCTGTAAGTGTTCAAATGGTTTAATTTGTCATACTGACTTCAGAAAATGCGTGATTTAATAAAAAAAAAACATGAACATGCCCAAATGTCAATTTACAAATTAATAGCGTGTGTGTCCAGCTCTGGTTGCAATGCAAGCAACACATCTTCGTCTCATGGAATGGACCAGGTGTCGCACAAAGTCCTGTGGGATATCTGCTGGAGCATGTTTTAAAGTTCCTGGAGTGTTTGTGGAACACATGGTTGACGGCGAAGGCGACGATCCATCTCATCCCACATGTGCTCGATTGGTGAGAGATCAGGGGAGCAAGTCGGCCAGTGGATGACATTCATGTTTTGTTGAAGAGATTCCTGAACATGTCGAGCCGGGTGTTGTCATGTTGAAAGGTAATGCCTGGGCCATGACGACGCAAAAACGGTAGAACAGCGCCAATGATCTCGTCGCGGTAGCGCTGTCCATTGACATTTCCCTCTACCATTACCAAACGGGTCCTCTGTCTTGCTGTAATCCCACCCCATACCATAACGCAGCCACCCCCGAACCGATCTTCCTTCATGACACAATGATTGACGTAACGTTCACCTCTACGTTGGTACACTCGAATCCATCGCTGTGGCTGAGGTGAAAACAAAACTCGTCAGTGAATAGAACTTGTCCCCACTGCATGGCCGTCGAGCGTAGACGCTGTCTGCACCACTGTAGACGTGCTTGACAGTGGTTTCCTGTCAAAATGGGACGTCTGGCCGGTCTGATGACAATCCCTGCACATCTGAGGCGGCGACGTTTGGTTTGTGAAGATATTCGTCGAAGGCCAGGGATGCTTCTTGCAGTCACTGTTGCTGGCTGGAATCGATTTCGTAGGTGTGTAGTTCGAATCCAGTTACGCGTGGCTTGCCACTCCAAAGGTCTCTGACTGCATTCGTCTGTTACCAAAGTTGCCCTAAACACCAAATGGTGTTTCTGTGGACATCACTTTGACTTGATCCTGCTTCAAGCATACTAATGGCTTGCAGACGCTCATTTTCGGACAGGCGTGGCATTTTGTAATGTTGAATAATTGCGTAATTTTGTTGTTTTTCTGAGTGGTTGTTGTCAGCACGATGCTAAACAATACATATGGAATCCCGTTAACGCACGTTTTTATACTCATTCTTGGGTAGTGAAATGCATGGGGCTTGCATAAAAGTCAACATTTGCATGGAATGCATGCTTTTCTGTAGCAGTTGCGTTTTTGTGACTTGATTCCATACATGTACTACAGTATTGAAAACCATACTTTACTTGTTTGAAAAATACACTAAAATATTGGTGTCACAGGAACTTTTGTTGTTGAGTAAATTTCCCAAACTAGTCCCCTTCACAAACACACATACATCTCTTGACGTGCCCATCACTTCTCTCTGTGACATCATCTAGTCCAATATTATAGTTATCCTCCACCACCACATCACAGGGAGAAAACAAAACAAATGTGGAGTACCAGCACTCAGTTTATTTACAATTCCTACATGAAAATGGGTTTATTTACATCGAGTGACTTAACATGAATGTATGTGACAAGTTACCAACATCATGCTTATAGATCAAGGAGTCCGTCACCAGGTACCACTACATACAGTGTGAGATAAATGTTTCCAAGTTGGGAGGGGTGTACAGTGATAGCCACTGTGTCCCTGTAGTGACAGGTTTGAATGTGTTTAAAATCAACTGGCTAGGTAAGCATGGTATGTTAGTGTGTGGCAGGACCTGGTGTGGAACACAAAACTAAACTTCAAATGGTCACATTATTAACAAATATCACAGAATGATTAAAAACTCAATAAACAATAAACAAATCCAATATGTTAGAGATAAGGTCAAGTGTATTGGGGTGAGTAAGTGAGGTTTTGTGGCACTTCTACCAGTTCTTTATTTCTTACACTCATATTTAAACTGATGTAATGTGATCATTATTCGAAGATAACATGCAAGTTAACATGGAATACATACTCGACTTTCAACAATCAGCTGACAGTAGCATACTTCATGAGATTTGGGTAAATAGGGTATTATCAACTGAAGTTGAAGTCCCTGGAAGTCTTCGTAAATACACATCTCTGAGACAATGTTAAAACCGATTATGAAATGACATAAGTAAAATACTGATAATCTGCTGCAATAGATATCTGCACCAAACATCTGCTAAAACATTAAAAACACCATTGCCTATATCATGTATATCTATATATGTTACCCTTGTAACATATAAAATTAGCATTGTGGAGAAAATGTACAAGACAAAGAAGAAACAACCTACATTTTAGATGTGAACAGCAACAAAATAAATATGGATTTCTAGAATACACAGTGGTAGCAAAAATAGACAATGCCGTTTCTTCATCATATTCATCCCCTTTAACACAAACACAGCCTTCACCTACATCAAATATCAAGGGCAAATCCATGAAGCATGATATATTCATATGACACGTCCAGTTGTGTGCAAGGCAAGAAATATTGTATGGTTGTCAAGATTTCAGGAAACCAACACTACCAACATTTTCACAATTGTTGCCATGGAAACTCATATTTTTTTTAAATATCCCAAACTATCAAAAGGCACCAGTAGTTCACCACTAGACCTATAAATGTGCCAAGTTTGGTTGAGGTATCTCTCATGGTTTTCAGAAACAAATGTGAAGGACGGAAGGACACCACCCATTCCAATGTCCCTCTTCCTCTTTGGGGGGGATAAAACATAGCTCAATGCTTAATTTTAAAGTATGGATTCAGAGATGGAGTTGTTAAACTAAATGCTTATGATTTGGACTCAACGTGCATAACACAACCTTCTTTCTGCTGACTTATTTTTAATATCCAAGGGCCAAAAACTCTTTTAATTTACATCTCTTTATAAGTATGTTCAAAGAGTAATGAAATAAAAGTGGTGTTTTTTGGAAAGCAAAAGAGTTACTTCCCTTACCATAGTATTTTATATTGATGCCATTGACAAAAGCTGTATATGTCCAAATATAAATGTTATGTGACACTTAAGATTTTAGAAGTTGGCAGATTTATAAACGGGGTAGTGAAAACCCTGGCTCAACTCACTATCCAGTGTTGCATATTACCAAAATCATCAAGATTGCACCATTTTGGAACGTTTCTTCAATTTCCTTGGAAAATACATACCATATTGTTGGATTTTTCAACTGATTGGTGTTTAAAAGATAACATTCAAATTTTGTAACTTAAGGAATCCACTGAAAGCTTAGTACAGTATACAACTTTATTGGCCCAACACTTGACATGCTCCAGATACCACCATAGCTTGGTGTTCAACACTAATAATCAGACACTGCTCTTCCAAGGAATGCTTTCAGGGGATGTCAGTCAAAGAAATAATATATTCTTAATCATCCTTGACAAAGACTTTAGGCCGGGAGAATATCTTAATGGCTTCTTCCACTTCAGCTATTTTGTTCTCTAGTTCCTGCTTACACGTCCGGACTCTGAAGGTGTCGTTCCTCAGGGGTAGCGCCTGCAGTTGGCGGGTAAGTTCGTCTTGTTCTGAAATACATGTATCAAGTGTCACCATCAGACCTGAGTCAGTTTGCATAACACATTATTAAACTAAGACAGTTGTGTCAGTATAAACTAGTCATAGCTACAGAAACCTCACAGACAATTTGAGGAAAGCTGTTATTTTATTTGAAAGAAAGAATGAAAAGCTGCTTGTGCTTGCTTGTCAGGGTTGTGTGCAACAGAATTGGTGTTGCATGCTCAATGCATATCATGATTCGCCTCGTAGGACAAGACCTGGGGACCCAATGGGGATGATCAAGTTCAATTAACATTTTAGTCTCTCTTACTCTCTAATTAAACAGCCACAAAGACAGCAAGTTCATGCATAAATTTGGTACAACAATCTCAAGTATCATCATCATCATCATCATCATCATCAGGTTCATCTGTATTTGGGTGGCTTTAATTAGCCAATAAGAATGCATCTGACATGGTGCATTAGACATGTTGGCATGAAAGTGCAACTGAGAATATGGTTTTTCACAACTTTTCATCACTGCACCAATATAAGCAATATGAGTGATTCTGTAGGCCGTGGTTCAATAATCTTACCACTGACATAATACCACTAAACTCCTATGTAGGAAATCTTATACAATTTGAATGAAAGCTTGTTGAGAAACAGAAACCAACACTTACTTTTCCTCAGCAGTCCCAGTGTCTCTGTCCTCTCTGCCTCGGGCATCATCTTGTGTCCCGGCGGCATGGCAGGGTCCGGAGTGTTGGCCACACGCTCCACCTCCTCCCTCTTCCACGTGGCCTGGCGGCTCCGTAAACTGACAACATAACATACATGTACACCTACTGTAGACAAACTGGGCTCCACAACACTACACACATGTACACCTACTGTAGACAAACTGGGCTCCACAACACTACACACATGTACACCTACTGTAGACAAACTGGGCTCCACAACACTACACACATGTACACCTACTGTAGACAAACTGGGCTCCACAAACTGACAACACAACATACATGTACACCTACTGTAGACAAACTGGGCTCCACAAACTGACAACACAACATACATGTACACCTACTGTAGACAACCTGGGCTCCACAACACTACACACATGTACACCTACTGTAGACAAACTGGGCTCCACAAACTGACAACATAACATACATGTACACCTACTGTAGACAAACTGGGCTCCACAACACTACACACATGTACACCTACTGTAGACAAACTGGGCTCCACAACACTACACACATGTACACCTACTGTAGACAAACTGGGCTCCACAAACTGACAACACAACATACATGTACACCTACTGTAGACAACCTGGGCTCCACAAACTGACAACACAACATACATGTACACCTACTGTAGACAAACTGGGCTCCACAAACTGACAACACAACATACATGTACACCTACTGTAGACAACCTGGGCTCCACAAACTGACAACACAACATACATGTACACCTACTGTAGACAAACTGGGCTCCACAAACTGACAACACAACATACATGTACACCTACTGTAGACAAACTGGGCTCCATAAACAGACAACACAACATACATGTACACCGACTGTAGACAAACTGGGCTCCACAAACTGACAACACAACATACATGTACACCTACTGTAGACAAACTGGGCTCCACAACACAACACACATGTACACCTACTGTAGACAAACTGGGCTCCACAACACAACACACATGTACACCTACTGTAGACAACCTGGGCTCCACAAACTGACAACACAACATACATGTACACCTACTGTAGACAACCTGGGCTCCACAAACTGACAACACAACATACATGTACACCTACTGTAGACAAACTGGGCTCCACAACACTACACACATGTACACCTACTGTAGACAAACTGGGCTCCACAACACTACACACATGTACACCTACTGTAGACAAACTGGGCTCCACAACACTACACACATGTACACCTACTGTAGACAAACTGGGCTCCGTAAACTGACAACATAACATACATGTACACCTACTGTAGACAAACTGGGCTCCACAACACTACACACATGTACACCTACTGTAGACAAACTGGGCTCCACAAACTGACAACACAACATACATGTACACCTACTGTAGACAAACTGGGCTCCATAAACAGACAACACAACATACATGTACACCTACTGTAGACAAACTGGGCTCCACAAACTGACAACACAACATACATGTACACCTACTGTAGACAAACTGGGCTCCATAAACAGACAACACAACATACATGTACACCTACTGTAGACAAACTGGGCTCCACAAACTGACAACACAACATACATGTACACCTACTGTAGACAACCTGGGCTCCACAAACTGACAACACAACATACATGTACACCTACTGTAGACAACCTGGGCTCCACAAACTGACAACACAACATACATGTACACCTACTGTAGACAACCTGGGCTCCACAAACTGACAACACAACATACATGTACACCTACTGTAGACAACCTGGGCTCCACAAACTGACAACACAACATACATGTACACCTACTGTAGACAACCTGGGCTCCACAAACTGACAACATAACATACATGTACACCTACTGTAGACAAACTGGGCTCCACAAACTGACAACATAACATACATGTACACCTACTGTAGACAAACTGGGCTCCACAAACTGACAACATAACATACATGTACACCTACTGTAGACAAACTGGGCTCCACAACACTACACACATGTACACCTACTGTAGACAAACTGGGCTCCACAACACTACACACATGTACACCTACTGTAGACAAACTGGGCTCCACAAACTGACAACACAACATACATGTACACCTACTGTAGACAAACTGGGCTCCACAAACTGACAACACAACATACATGTACACCTACTGTAGACAACCTGGGCTCCACAAACTGACAACACAACATACATGTACACCTACTGTAGACAACCTGGGCTCCACAACACTACACACATGTACACCTACTGTAGACAAACTGGGCTCCACAACACTACACACATGTACACCTACTGTAGACAAGCTGGGCTCCACAAACTGACAACACAACATACATGTACACCGACTGTAGACAAACTGGGCTCCACAAACTGACAACACAACATACATGTACACCTACTGTAGACAAACTGGGCTCCACAACACTACACACATGTACACCTACTGTAGACAAACTGGGCTCCACAAACTGACAACACAACATACATGTACACCTACTGTAGACAAACTGGGCTCCACAAACTGACAACACAACATACATGTACACCGACTGTAGACAAACTGGGCTCCACAAACTGACAACACAACATACATGTACACCTACTGTAGACAAACTGGGCTCCACAAACTGACAACACAACATACATGTACACCTACTGTAGACAAACTGGGCTCCATAAACAGACAACACAACATACATGTACACACAGAACATTGCTTACTTAAAATCTGTTTCATATTGTTTTGTTGTGGCAGATGTAACCATGGTAACCTTTGTACATATTTACTTAATTATTTTTATTGCTTTTGTCATGAGTTCTGTGTAATATACTGTGTGTAATGTGACAGTGTCGTATCAAATGTTTATACTGTGTTAATTCAGCAGTAGATGTATCAGTCTGTTTATGTTAGTGCAATGTACACCTTCAATTGTGACCACCCTATTTTACAGGACAGCTGAAGCATGGGCAACAAGTAAAGCCCACCAATCAATGCATAAATACAACACTGACAAGAGCCAAGCACAGTTTGAACTCCTTGGTGGACCTGCAGCTTTAGTCACTCTCAAGCAGTTCCCCAGTCAAACAGTTCCCCAGTCAAACAGTTCCCCAGTCAAGCGGTCCCCAAGACAAGCAGTCCCCAAGTCAAACAGTTCCCCAGTCAAGCAGTCCCCCAGTCAGGTAGTCCACAAGACAAGCAGTCCCCAAGACAAGCAGTCCCCCAGTCAAGCAGTCCCCAAGACAAGCAGTCCCCCAGACAAGCAGTCCCCCAGTCAAGCAGTCCCCAAGTCAAACAGTTCCCCAGTCAAACAGTCCCCCAGTCAAACAGTTCCCCAGTCAGGTAGTCCCCCAGTCAAGCAGTTCCCCAGTCAAGCAGTTCCCCAGTCAAGCAGTTCCCTAGTCAAGCAGTTCCCCAGTCAAGGAGCCCCCTAGTCAAGTAGTTCCCCGGTCAAGTAGTTCCCTAGTCAAGTAGTCCCCCAGTCAAGCAGTTCCCCAGTCAAGCAGTTCCCAAGTCAAGTAGTCCCCCGATCAAACAGTTCCCCAGTCAAGCAGTTCCCCTCTCAAGGAGCCCCCTAGTCAAGTAGTTCCCCGGTCAAGTAGTTCCCTAGTCAAGTAGTCCCCCAGTCAAGCAGTTCCCCAGTCAAGTAGTTCCCCAGTCAAGGAGCCCCCTAGTCAAGTAGTTCCCCGATCAAGTAGTTCCCTAGTCAAGTAGTCCCCCAGTCAAGCAGTTCCCAAGTCAAGTAGTTCCCCAGTCAAGGAGCCCCCTAGTCAAGTAGTTCCCCGGTCAAACAGTTCCCCAGTCAAGCAGTCCCCAAGACAAGCAGTTCCCCAGTCAAACAGTTCCCCAGTCAAGCAGTCCCCAAGACAAGCAGTTCCCCAGTCAGGTAGTCCACAAGACAAGCAGTCCCCAAGACAAGCAGTCCCCCAGTCAAACAGTTCCCCAGTCAGGTAGTACACAAGACAAGCAGTCCCCAAGACAAGCAGTCCCCAAGACAAGCAGTCCCCCAGTCAAACAGTTCCCCAGTCAAGCAGTCCCCAAGACAAGCAGTCCCCCAGACAAGCAGTCCCCCAGTCAAGCAGTCCCCCAGTCAAGCAGTCCCCCAGTCAAGCAGTCCCCAAGTCAAACAGTTCCCCAGTCAAGCAGTCCCCAAGACAAGCAGTCCCCCAGTCAAACAGTCCCCCAGTCAAGCAGTTCCCCAGTCAAGTAGTTCCCCAGTCAAGGAGCCCCCTAGTCAAGTAGTTCCCCGGTCAAGTAGTTCCCTAGTCAAGTAGTCCCCGAGTCAAGCAGTTCCCCAGTCAAGCAGTTCCCCAGTCAAGTAGTCCCCCAATCAAGCAGTTCCCCAGTCAAGCAGTTCCCCTCTCAAGGAGCCCCCTAGTCAAGTAGTTCCCCGGTCAAGTAGTTCCCTAGTCAAGTAGTCCCCCAGTCAAGCAGTTCCCCAGTCAAGTAGTTCCCCAGTCAAGTAGTTCCCCAGTCAAGCAGTTCCTCAGTCAAGTAGTCCCCCAGTCAAGCAGTTCCCCAGTCAAGTAGTCCCCCAGTCAAGCATTTCCCCAGTCAAGCAGTCCCCCAGTCAAGCAGTCCCCAAGACAAGTAGTTCCCCAGTCAAGCAGTTCCCCAGTCAAGTAGTTCCCCAGTCAAGGAGCCCCCTAGTCAAGTAGTTCCCCGGTCAAGTAGTTCCCTAGTCAAGTAGTCCCCGAGTCAAGCAGTTCCCCAGTCAAGCAGTTCCCCAGTCAAGTAGTCCCCCAATCAAGCAGTTCCCCAGTCAAGCAGCTCCCCTCTCAAGGAGCCCCCTAGTCAAGTAGTTCCCCGGTCAAGTAGTTCCCTAGTCAAGTAGTCCCCCAGTCAAGCAGTTCCCCAGTCAAGTAGTTCCCCAGTCAAGTAGTTCCCCGGTCAAGCAGTTCCTCAGTCAAGTAGTCCCCCAGTCAAGCAGTTCCCCAGTCAAGTAGTCCCCCAGTCAAGCATTTCCCCAGTCAAGCAGTCCCCCAGTCAAGCAGTCCCCAAGACAAGTAGTTCCCCAGTCAAGCAGTTCCCCAGTCAAGTAGTTCCCCAGTCAAGCAGTTCCCCAGTCAAGTAGATTTACTCAGCAATTAGAGGATGTTTGGAGAACAGCTCACAACTGCATACCCCCAAGGTAAGTCTGTGATGTGTACTGAAGCATATTGTGTTTAGAGCTGCTTAATCAGGGTGATGGATAAAAAGGTTAGCTAAATACAATGTTTATTCCTAATACAGGATATTTACCATCCCCAAACACACAAGCGTGATAACCTCTTTATCATATAATGTCATTCTTTAATTCTGTGCTTGAAAATTGCTTTGCATCTCTCACAAACATTACCGAAACATTGCAAGTTATCCTGGAATGTGCGCATATATATATATTACGTCACACGGTTAGTGATGTGTCAGTCGGACAGTGACAGTAGCCAATATAGTTCCGAATGAAATCTGTTTCTTATACAGTGGCGAAACAACATATACACAAAACAACAACTGCAGACACACGGTCTGTCCGCTAGAGTAACTGCCCTTTGTCAAAGGGAAGCTACTCTAACCTTAGTCTATGAGACGTCACGGCCAGACGTTGTTGACAGTCTGTCCTGTCATAACGTTAAGTGCAGTCAAACAGAGTGACAAAACGAAAAAATGTAACAATTCGAACATATTTCGGCCAAACCCAACTATTTTTTTTTTGAAAATGGTTCCAAGCCGCAGAGGTTTACACGCACAGATATGGCTACTAATCTCGCTTGGCTGATGCCCTCGCAAAATTGTTTTGCAATTTATGTCTCCAAAGTTGCCAAAACTTGTAAAATGCCTTAGCTACGTCACAATTAGACACTGATTTTTCAGTATATTAGACTATTCTTTTGATAATGACAGCAATTATCCCAGTAGTTTCTCCAAATTCCCGATGGTTAATTCTGACTCTATCGCCAAATGACAAGGGAGATGCCATGTTTGTTTATAAACACTGAAAGTAGTCCCTACTTGACCTTTGATATTTGCATCTCTACCCGCTTTTGACCCAAACAGATATCGTGGTAATCTGTTGGCTTTATCCTGCCAAGAAACTAACCCATTATACAATAAATATATATATATATAGATGTGTTAGTTGTTTTATGTCTATCATTCTGTGGTAAAGAAGTAATGCTGTGGTCTACTCAATGTATATATACATACATATCCAATGTAAAGAATCTATACTATGATAGATTCCTGTTAACTTAGTGTAACCATTAGCCAATATACACGACCTATTGTATTTGCATGAACCTAGGCAGGTTGTAAGGGATTAATTCGGAAATATATCTTTTCAGTACATGCAGATAAGTATGCGTGTATGAGTATGTGTAGCCTAAAGTGCATGTGTAGCCTTAAGTGCATGTGTAGCCTAAAGTGCATGTGTAGCCTAATGTGCATGTGTAGCCTAAAGTGCATGTGTAGACTTAAGTGCATGTGTAGCCTAATGTGCATGTGTAGCCTAATGTGCATGTGTAGCCTAATGTGCATGTGTTGACTTCAGTGCATCTGTAGCCTAATGTGCATGTGTAGCCTAATGTGCATGTGTAGACTTAAGTGCATGTGTAGCCTAATGTACATGTGTAGCCTGAAGTGCATGTGTAGCCTAATGTGCATGTGTTGACTTCAGTGCATATGTAGCCTAATGTGCATGTGTAGCCTAATGTGCATGTGTAGACTTAAGTGCATGTGTAGACTTAAGTGCATGTGTAGCCTAATGTGCATGTGTAGACTTAAGTGCATGTGTACCCTTATGTGCATGTGTAGCCTAATGTGCATGTGTTGACTTAAGTGCATGTGTAGCCTAAAGTGTATTTGTAGCCTCAAGTGCATGTGTGGCCTAAAGTGCATGTGCAGCCTAATGTGCATGTGTAGCCTAATGTGCATGTGTAGCCTAAAGTGCATGTGTAGCCTAGTTGCCTAAAGTGCATGTGTAGCCTAAAAGGCATGTGTACCCTAATGTGCATGTGTAGGCTTATGTGCATGTGTAGCCTAATGTGCATGTGTAGCCTAATGTGCATGTGTAGTATAATGTGCATGTGTAGCCTAAAGTGCATGTGTAGACTTAAGTGCATGTGTAGCCTAAAGTGTATGTGTAGCCTAAAGTGCATGTGTCGCCTAAAGTGCATGTGTAGCCTAAAGTGTATTTGTAGCCTCAAGTGCATGTGTAGCCTAAAGTGCATGTGCAGCCTAATGTGCATGTGTAGCCTAAAGTGCATGTGTAGCCTAAAAGGCATGTGTACCCTAATGTGCATGTGTAGCCTAATGTGTATGTGTAGCATAATGTGCATGTGTAGCATAATGTGCATGTGTAGCCTAATGTGCATGTGTAGCCTAATGTGTATGTGTAGCATAATGTGCATGTGTAGCCTAAAGTGCATGTGTAGACTTAAGTGCATGTGTAGCCTAAAGTGTATGTGTAGCCTAAAGTGCATGTGTCGCCTAATGTGCATGTGTAGCCTAAAGTGTATTTGTAGCCTCAAGTGCATGTGTAGCCTAAATTGCATGTGCAGCCTAATGTGCATGTGTAGCCTAAAGTGCATGTGTAGCCTAGTTGCCTAAAGTGCATGTGTAGCCTAAAAGGCATGTGTACCCTAATGTGCATGTGTAGGCTTATGTGCATGTGTAGCCTAATGTGCATGTGTAGCCTAATGTGCATGTGTAGCCTAAAGTGCATGTGTAGACTTAAGTGCATGTGTAGCCTAAAGTGTATGTGTAGCCTAAAGTGCATGTGTAGACTTAAGTGCATGTATAGCCTAATGTGCATGTGTAGACTTAAGTGCATGTGTAGGCTTATGTGCAGCCTAATGTGCATGTGTAGCCTTAAGTGCATGTGTAGACTTAAGTGCATGTGTAGCCTAATGTGCATGTGTAGCCTAAAGTGCATGTGAAGCCTAATGTGCATGTGAAGCCTAAAGTGCATGTGTAGCCTAAAGTGCATGTGTAGCCTAATGTGCATGTGTTGACTTCAGTGCATCTGTAGCCTAATGTGCATGTGTAGCCTAATGTGCATGTGTAGCCTAGAGTGCATGTGTAGACTTAAGTGCATGTGTAGCCTAATATGCATGTGTAGACTTAAGTGCATGTGTACCCTTATGTGCATGTGTAGCCTAATGTGCATGTGTAGACTTAAGTGCATGTGTAGCCTAAACTACATGCGTAGCCTAATGTGCATGTTAAGACTTAAGTGCATGTGTAGCCTAATGTGCATGTGTAGACTTAAGTGCATGTGTAGCCTAAAGTGCATGTGTAGACTTAAGTGCATGTGTAGCCTAATGTGGATGTGTAGCCTAAAGTGCATGTGTAGCCTAATGTGCATGTGTTGACTTCAGTGCATCTGTAGCCTAATGTGCATGTGTAGCCTAATGTGCATCTGTAGACTTAAGTGCATGTGTAGCCTAATGTGCATGTGTTGACTTCAGTGCATCTGTAGCCTAATGTGCATGTGTAGCCTAATGTGCATGTGTAGACTTAAGTGCATGTGTAGCCTAATGTGCATGTGTAGCCTAATGTGCATGTGTAGACTTAAGTGCATGTGTAGACTTAAGTGCATGTGTAGCCTAATGTGCATGTGTAGACTTAAGTGCATGTGTACCCTTATGTGCATGTGTAGCCTAATGTGCATGTGTTGACTTAAGTGCATGTGTAGCCTAAACTACATGCGTAGCCTAATGTGCATGTGAAGAATTAAGTGCATGTGTAGCCTAATGTGCATGTGTAGACTTAAGTGCATGTGTAGCCTAATGTGCATGTGTAGAATTAAGTGCATGTGTAGAATTAAGTGCATGTGTAGCCTAATGTGCATGTGTAGACTTAAGTGCATGTGTGAAGGTGTGTGCATGCAATGAAGTATGTATGTAGAATGAAATGTACTACGTATTGAGTTGATGTTTAAAGACATCTCAAGCACATGTGTTATTTGTGTACCTATATGTAGATGATCATGTGGTACCATGTATGTTTACTTATTGAACCGATCCTTACAGGACTGCACGAGTAACTGTTGGATCGTGAAACCCTAGGTCCACCCACCTGGCAGGTGTTTCGTATCCTGGTTCATGTCAGTGTATCAGTGTGCATATATTGACCAGTGTCACATAAAGGTTACTGATTCAGATAGTCATGACAGATGTGTTATATACATCCGGGGTTTATTTATTTAAGAAATAAACGACCACAAGTCATTTATTTCTTCCATGAGATATCCACATTTTGTACAGCCTCTTTAACATGTTTAAGGATGTTCATAAAATGTACAAGCTTTAACAATATTGACCCATATTTAGATAATGATGACTGAATATAATCTCGGCAATAACGGACAAGTCCCTTTTAAGAACAGGGGGGGTAAAGTTTGGTATTTCCCTGATACTCTCACAATTTCCATGGCGATTATCTGCACCATTTCTCTCAATACCAACTGTCATCTCTCCCACTTTTGAATGCGATCATCTGCCACTGCATTCATCTGTGTTGCCCAGCTACATCTATGGGGAATAACTCACTAGACACTTCCCTTTAAAAAAATAATATCATCGAATTTACATCATGAAGTTGCAAGTGTTTGTTCAAATCTCCAGAAACAACATCATGATAGAACAATTTTTTATCATGAAATAAACCACACTTCATTCTTCGTGATTTATATCTTAGCTATATATCATATAATGTGATATCTGTAGCATGTATTGTTTGTTGTTTAACGCCGCACCCAGCAATATGACAGCGGTTTGTCAATTATCAATTCTGGACCAGACAATCCGGTGATTGATGTCATGAGCATTGATCAGCGCAATAGGGATACGATGAGATGCATCAACCAAGTCTGCAAGCTTGAGCACCCGATCCTGTTAGTCACCTCTAACATAAAGCATGGGTTGCTGAAGACGTGGATGAGTCTTGGTTGATGACAGGATACCTCCTCAGATTAATATTGTTCACTGATTGTTTGGGGGTTTTAAGTATAAGGAGGGAATTGCACATTGGCAGATTTGTCCCAGAAAAATAAATGCACCATCAGCTCACACATTGTAGCCTTGTGGTTTTCATTCCCAAGTCCCATGCTACTACAGTAATACACAGGAGTACTATATTAAAGTGTAAGTAAATGGCATAGGTGTTTTGTTCAGAGGTCAGGAAGACACCCCAGTCTCACCCACAGGGTAGATGCTCTTTGTATTCCATGTACAGTCTGTTTTATATTTGTGTAACATATTAAATGTGTCATGCCATAATTATCATGTGAACTATTTCTATTACTAGTAATATATATATTTATCATACCTCCATGTCAGATTGTGATGAGATTGGTTCACGTGATCTTAATCCAATACTATCTATCACGCCTGGGAGGAAAATATAAATCCCTTATACCCCACTACAAACACGACAGGCTGCACATGGATTTCTGAGCAGGAGAATAATATTATTTTTTTGAATTCTTTCACAATGGCAGATTATGACATTTTTAGGGTATATGATATGTACCTATTTATCATATGGATGTAGTATGTAAGAGATTCATAATCGTCATAATTACCCATGTTTTGTGTTATCTAGTTTGGCTCTTACGCCAATTGTCAGCTTCCTGTACATTTAACAGCTACTGTAAGAGGAAAACCATTTTGTCTTGTTAAACCGATACCACTGTGATAATGTTGATGACTAGAATATGTACACTGTTCATATTACTCATTCCTTTCAGTGTGTAAATTATGTTCATCTGTTGGTGGCATAAAACATCTCACTCTGTAGTTTTTGTCTTCTTTGCACATTCTGCTACATTATTACAAGATGCTAAAAGTGCATTCAAAATGTACCTGCCAATCAAAAACTTCATTATATCATGTTAAGTCAGTGGGCTAGCTGATTTCACACAGGCCAACAGATAGTTTGATTGGTACCATATAGTGATGCTGTTACTAATTTACTGTTAAGCACCAATATGGGAGCCCAAAAGCACACAACAGTAATTACCCCGAGGTGTACTGACAGTGCATGTCACTCACTATTTGGGCACTTCTCCTCTCTGGTAGTTCTGCAATGTGTCCTCGTCTTTCTTCTTCATGTCATCTAATGCTGTAAGACTTGGAGCTCGCTGCATCTTGGTGTGTTTCACTGAGCGCCCATTTAGTTTGATGAAGTCGACATCACGTCGGATAAGCTCGATCTGATCAAACAGTATGTATACTGTTAACATGGTCATGTCTTTACATACAATCAATCCCTGTTAATCCACATAGCAACAGGTAAACAAGTCCAGATTAAAGGAAAAGTAACAATTGACAAGTTCAAGAGGTTCTATGTAAAACACCAAAAAAACTTGAAATACGACAGCAAATAGGATTATTTCAACATGGTTTATTGACTGGTATTTGCCGGTTTCCATATATCACACAAGTCATATATACACCTGTGTGACATGGTTCAGATTAAGGGAGCACCCATTGTATTTTCATGGCCTATGTATGTTAAATAAATAACCATAACTTTATTGCATACAAAACATGTTCAAGTGCTGCACCATATCATGATGGTATTAATACTCATGTTGGTTCACACTTAATTTAATAACCTTGGCTGGTTGCTTGGGGTGAAAGATTCCCCAATCTAAAGATACTCTGAGATTCTCCCAAGACCAGTTTGTCCTCCCGCCCGGTCCCGATCCCGATGCTTGAGGCCAGAGTCGCTTGTGGCAATATTGTATACCTGCTATGTATTTAGATCACATCAGTGTATAACACAGTGATCCCACGCTATTGTGCTCTTCGATCAAGCGCTACCTCGGTTACTACGCGCGGTACCGCATGGCTCCCAAAATTTATGTACACTTTTATTACTGAGAGTTTTACACAGACATAATTGTATTGTTGTTCGTTGTTCATTTGCACATAACGCTTCTCATTGCATAATCAACCGTTTATCGCTGAATGGAGTTCTAATAATCTGTTTGAAAACATCCGCGGCAAGTCCCGGAAATACGATTGTTTAACTTTTCACACTATACATCCTTTGATCTTAGAAGCGCATGCATGCAATAAAAGAGAACCACAAGAGAAGTTTATATTCTTAATTAGTTGGCAATACAATTTGAGACGACACTGTCACACACTTGTAGTTGCTGTCACAACACAGCGGTCATTCATTTCGTAATCGTGCTTTCGTAACATCGCCTGTTTTTTTTCCGTAGTTATAACAAGCGATTTCATTGGATTAAAATTTGTTTCTAATGACGCTTTCTTGTCGAAATCTGCTACAAGTTTCGTGATTGGTCAATTTTGAGCACGTGACCTAAGGCAGCCAATCAAATTATAGTTGTGATACCAAGCTCGTGTTTGATAAATTTCAGAAGTTGGCGAAAGATTTTTGTTAAATCGTGTTATTCTGAACGTTTTAAGCAGGAAATCACGATATATATTAAAAATATGGAACTTCGCGAATGTATGGTGCTAGGTTACGAGCTGTGACAAAGATTTTTCATGCATAAATTTTTGCATTAAACGTTGTGTCACAGCCGAGAATTCAAGGCGACGAAAGCCGAGATGTCATTTGACTTACATTACACGCGATCGCACGAAACGATGCAAATAATAACTTAGATGTAAGTTTGATTACTTTTAGATATATTTTTGTTGATTTTATTCATCACTTTGTATAATATATTTAAAGATTTGCTTAAAAGTCTTTATTTTGCTCTTTGACATGTTCGATGCGGACCCGTTGTCGAAATTTGTGTCCGAGAATTTTATTTTCAATAACATCGCAGGAAATAGTGAATAATTTTTTAATTTATCGATAAAAAATTATAAATTGAAATGGAATACGTATTTCAGACATTGTGAAATGTGACAGATTTAATAAATGAATGATATTCCAGGTAGATCTAGGTCCATAAAAATATATTCTATTTTGACCTGACGTGAGATAAACACATATTGATGATTTGAGATTTGCTGAGCGCGCTCCCCCGCCTCGGCCTCGGCCAAACGGCTCATCGTCTATAATGCCCACCAATTATTTGGACCCCATTGGTAGCGTTGTAGCGAGGGACCACTGTAGTACTGACTAGTTTATTATCAGTGTTGCTAACTTGTGACTTTTCGCCTGTTTGACATATCTCATGCTTTATTGCTTAGTTTAAATAAATCTTTTTTGACAATTATGAGTGGGTTCCTCCATGGGTGAGGTCTATCATGTGTACACTTTCACAAAAGTCTTACATTTTTGGCATCTGCTGCAGGAGGGACGGAGACCGCTGGGTCTGGCGTACACGGTCGAGATTCAAGCTTCACTGGGGGACCTGCTCGTGAGTGGGCGCGGAGGTAGTTAGCTGAGTGTGGTCTCGGTGCTGAAGGAGGCCTCTGCAAAATTTGAAGGCAGGATAAAATGTGTGACTTTTCTTAACTACCATGGCCCCTGTTTCACAAAGACCTGGGCCCATGGTCATGTTCTATCTGCTACACATGCTTGAGGCTGTGGACCGTAGGGAACCAGCCTTTCCACGATGAGTAAATGTCACTGAGGTTGAGACGTGCAAGTCAACACTATTTCAGCTAAATCTCATTGACACATTGACATCTAGCTGTGTTACCATGGTGACCAAGTTCTATACACATTGTGTTGAGTATGATCAGCTAACATAATTAGAAATATGACACAAGATTAGGCACTGGGGATTCTACCCTAAACTGATAAATCATGGGAATCATCTTCATGAGGCAAGTTAACTGACTGTAAAGGTTCAGTTTCCACACTTGCCGAAATAGGCTTGAATTATGGAGTTATATTTCAGCTGGACTAACAAGTCTGTGCATGTTCCAATCAAAATCCCATAGTGCAGATTTCAGTCAGTTGCAGGATTCGAAAGAATGTGCACACCCAACTCAGCATCAACAGATATTTTCCAAATCTTTTCAAGTTTTTAAATCAAGGTGCTCACATAATTTGATGAGCTTTGCGAAGTAGGACCTGTTTTGTTACAATATTGATCTTGATTATCGATCAGAATGTCCTGACTGGGTGCTGCCATTTTGTTTGAAACAAATGCATGTAAAATGAGAGGTGGAATCTGGTCAAATAACTCATAATAGCCACTGGTGGCGCTATGATCGAACCCAGAAATTCCAGCCTAGTCCGGCAAGTGTGGAAACTGGACTTTTACAGTCAGTTAACTCCCTTGCCTCAGGAAGATGTGTGGGAAAATAAAAGGACCTGATACATATTTTCACAACCAAAAGAAAGGCAAATACCATACATGTCGGTTAATATATGAAGAATCACTGTCATGTTCAAGAGAACAGTCATGTGTTTATGTGACGTAATAGATCCATGACTCCAGATGTGTCATTTGTCTGGTGCAGGATTAGCATGTAACGGTTGGAAATCATGTGCCGCAACACATCATGATAAGTATAATTTAAAGAATAATCTTGACTGATAGTTAGTTTTGTCATGAAATGGTACACATTGGAAACATCTCTTCTTAACTTACATACTTCTCCATGGGTTTCTTTGGTTCGCCTATCTTTTGATAGTGAGAATAAATATTATCTGCTAACCTCAATATCATCCTTGATCTTTGACTGTACTTCTGAGAACTTGGCTGACTTCCACATGACCTTGACCGGCTGCTGCGATTCCTGCTCCCTTTGTTTACTTCGTCTCTGTATCTGCCGCATGCGGCGGACATTTTCCTGGACATGGTCCTTGGATCTGGACCCTTCAAATAAACAAACATTCATGTCACTGTTACATGGTCAGGACATGATACAAATCACAATAATATGTTCCCAATACAACATGATCCAATACCGATCATCACGTCACAGCATATCAAAATGATATTGTGAAACCATTTTGTTTTAATATTATAAAACATGTAAGACTAATCATGTTATTGGCAATATGTACAAAGTAAAACAATAGCTGATAATGTTTTCACATTATTGTTCAAGACTAGTGAGTGAGTTGGGTTTAACGCCGCTTTTAACAGTATTCAAGTTATATCACAGTGTGTCAGCTTAATGTGGGAGGAAAGCCCGAAATGATGCAGGTCTCAGACATTTACCACTTGGGTGAAACCCACGAGCACGGGTATGGTGCTGACAAACTTAGAAACATAATTGGGGCAAACTGAAATACACATATTTTTTAAGTAATAAACGACGAGTGGGAGTTGTCAATTTCTAATATGAAATAATCATTGTCCGACATTGCCGAGGTCAGATTCTATTCAGGGAGTCATCATTATTTAAATACAGGGAAATATTTTTATAACTCGTACATTTTATTAAAATCCTTAACATGCTTAAAGAGGCTGTACATAATGTTGATATGTGATATCAGAAATATACAACAAGTAGGAGTTGTTTTATGAGCCCCTCATCATGCTCATCATTCTCCCTGCATTGTTCTATTGTACAATAAACAACTCTCACTCATCGTTTATTTCTTAATTAATACACAGCTAGCTCACTGCTGCCTTGAGCCATCGCACAAGGATGGTGTTACTACATATACTATGAGAAGGTAACTGGGAGCGCTGGCTACCATTGGATACAATGGGTTTTTATATTCGTTAGACCTGTGAAGATTCCGAGGTAGAATAGGTCTTCAGCAACCCATGCTTCCCGTAAAAGGTGACAATGCTTGTTGTAAAAGGCAACTAACGGGATTGAGTGGTCAGGGTCGCTGACCTGGTTGATATATGTCATTGATCCCAATTGCGTGGATCGATGCTCATGATATTAATCACTGGATTGTCTGGTCCAGACTCGATTATTTACAGACCGCTGTCATATAGCTGGAATATTGCTGAGTGTGACTTAAACAACCAACCAGTTAAAAAACCAACCAATTATATTTGTTAATCTCATTAAAATCCAATCTTAGTGCTTGTAACTGCTTCACAAAGATCTGAGCACATCCCATTACAGGTTCCATCAGACCGAGCAATGAAAAGACAAACAAGAAGTTGACATTAGTCGAGCAAAATGCAGCTTTCTCGAGCTTTGTGGCCCTAGTTTCAAACTGGCAACTTCTCTTCCAGACTACACTTTGAAATATATTTTGAGAAAGTTCTTGATTCAAAATTTGACAACTGAATAAAAGAGTAAGTGAGTATGGTTTTACGCCACTTTTAGCAATATTCCAGCAATGTCACGGCGGGGGACACCAGAAATGGGCTTCACACATTGTACCCATGTCTGGATTCGAACCCGGGTCTTCGGCGTGACGAGCGAACACTTTAACCACAAGGCTACCCGACCGCCCCCTGAATAAAAGAAAGATGCCACAGACATGACAGAGCTCAGAAACGACAAGCTGTACAAAATATCCACAAGAAGGTAATGGCACGACTATCATCATGTACCTTTGTGAAAGGTTGTTTAAGCTCATTTACTCTCACTAGTACATGTAGTATAGAAGCCTCAATGCTGATTGGCTGATCAGAAAGTTCACCTGACACAACCTTCCATGGAGGATCTAGCACACATAGGTATTGTGTCAGAGTAAAAGATCTCATAAGACTGATGTTCTGATGCAAGGGTGCATGTGGACAAGAAGGGTCAGTGACATTATTATGTTTGTTGTTTGATGGAGCACTCTGCAACATATGACGGCAGTCTGTAAATAATCAAGTCTGGACCAGACAATCCATTGACTGACATCAAGAGCCTCTATCTATGCAATTGGGATACGATGACATGCATCAACATAGTCAGTGAGGCTGACCACCCGATCCTGTTAGTCACCTCTTATGACAAGTGTAGTTGCCCTTTATGGGCAAGCATGAGTTGCTGAAGACCTATTCTAACCTGGATCTTCTCTGGACCTGACATTATGTATAATGTATGGTAAAATTGATATAAAGTACCGGTATTACAAAAGATTGAGGGATTGCACTTTGTCTTTGAATTTCATTTGAATTTCTAAACTATAAACATTATAAACATTACCATGATTACTGTACACAAACATCAGCAATCAGGCAATGATAGTTTAACACTGGCAGCATAGACACATGAAGCAGACACGTCTTTCTGCAAACAGGAATGTGAAGGAGAGTGCTGTTGAGTGACTTACCAGGTCTGTTGTAGTGAGATGTTCCATATCTCTGGCCATCTACCTGCATCATCAACCCCTGCATCTTCTGTAAAGCAACTGCGACAACCAGCTAGAATCTGTGTAGCTGCAACATGCCAATAACCGCCATCAGATTACATAACTACACATGCCATGAATATTGTGATTACAGTTACATGACTGTGGAACCATGAGGACTCTCACTTGGGTACTTCCAAGACAGAACAGATCTCCAGTTTTCATATGATCGACCTCTGAAGACCGAGTTGATGGATGTCATCGTAATTGCATAGATGGATGCTCATGATGTCAATCACTTGATTGTCTGGTACAGACTTGATTATTTACCAACCGCCATCATATAGCTGGAATATTGCTGAGTGCAACGTTAACAAACAAACATTATTGATCGTAAAGGGGATCCATGGGCTAAGGATCAAGTTCTGCTTGTTCTGGGTAGCCTACCCTAACATTGGCGACATTTCAATGAGTTCAGCGCCAATATAATACACCTAATAAACTGCATTCCTGTGCATAATAAGGAAAGTTAATGAATCGAAAAAATAATATATGTATAATAGTTCCCATTTATAATCATTTTAGCCACTTGAATTAAGAAAAAACAGAAACAAACATTATATTGAAAATAAAAGTGCTTTCATAAATTAGCGCTTGCTATAAAATGTACCGCTGCAGGCGTCATTTAGTAAACAAATATTAAAAACTCTCAACATTGCTAGGCTTATCCAATGACATTGTGTGTAGAGATGATAGATCACTGGGCAATGCTGGGAGGAGCTTATGCACACTCGATGACCCCTGACGTCACAGGGTATTGTTTCGTTGGCGTGACTGGCAACAAAATACTAAAAATCATATGGTATTGTGACATGTTTCAAAAGTTTGTGATACTGTATTCTAAAGGTAGGCCCTATATCGTACTAAAACAGGTCTTACTTCCCAAAACGCATCAAATCACTTGAATATGTTCATTAAAAACCTGAAAAGATTTTTAAAGTTTTGACTATGCCCAGTTGACAGTACACATGCTTTGCAAATCTTGCAATTAAATGAAATCTGCACAGCAGTCGTCATGTTGTTTACAAAACGGATGTCTATTTCATTACACAATTTTTTATTGAACTATGCACAGACTCGTTAGCCAACCAAAATTTAATTCCAGCCTAGTTTGGCAAGGATGCAAACTGGACTTTTATAGTCAGTCAACCCATTTGCCTCAGAAAATGAGTCTGAAGTAGCAGTAACACTGTTTTGTTGATGTGTCCAGTAACATTGTTTAAAACATTGTCATTTGGTATTCCCATCATGGTCATTAATCTTGATCATTGTTGATGAAGAGTAATAATGAACTATAAAGCCCTGTGTTTCTTTCACTATTGTGTTCATCGAACATTAAACTTGCCCACATGTACATAGAGTGTTACGAGCATGATTAGTAAATAGTCGAAACCTAGAGAGCAGCCTAGACCAGCAAACCCAAGAAGTATTTCGGGTAAGCTACAGATACAAAACAACACAAAACATTTGTGAAACTGAATATGAAGTCAAGATTCAACACGAACAATTCGGTATAAATTCCCATTCACGAGCTAGCAACATGTTCTCGGTGCACATGACAAGAATGTATCATATGTGATAACTTAGAAGTGTATGAATATGATTCGACAATACCTTTCCCAGATGCGTAGAAAGAGAAATTATGATTTGAATGGCTTTTTCTCAATTTCAACAGTATAACTATTCACCCGCCATCTTGGTTTGTTTAAGTCACGTGACTGCAAAGTAACCGTTTAATATACATACTTTTTTTGTAGTTGTGAATCGCAAAGCATTTCTTAATAAACTATGTTCACATATCTATATATGAAATATAAAAATAATTTCAGATTTGCTAGAAAACTAGTTCACGATTTAACGAGAGCGTCATGTTGCCATGGCGATGACAACATCCGCAGTAATGGATGCCTCCTAAACAGGAGACAAATAGATTTTTCCAAAATGACAAAGTGAAGTCAGAGTATGATGTGTGGACTTTTACAAACAAATCAAATGGTACTGCAACCACATTTTGTATGTGTTATTTATATATCTGTAGTTGTTACGTGTCAGTGCAAGGGATTAGTGCAACGGTAAATATTTACCAAAAGGCAAGGAGGAATGGTTATAACACAGCTAATGGTCTGTTTCAGTGTTTGGCATTATTCATTCAAGTGAGGTTGTATTATTTCTTTCACCACGACTTCCATATTGTTTTCCTTTTTATTTCCCAGTGAAGTGAGCTAACAACAAACCGAGAATGTCACGAGCCGCTGTATCCAAATCAAGGGCTGATAAAGGGAAGCCACCAGCAGCACAAACACCTGTCATCACCCATGAAATAGTTCCTGGGAAGTTCAATGACCATGACTGGTATGTTGTTCTTTTATTAACTTATAACTTATACCCACATTGATTTCCATTCATTAACAATTTGTCACACTCTATGATAAAAATGGATCTATAAATAGCAACAATCATATTGTAACCAGTTCTAGAAGTCAAGTTTGCTGCATTGTTAGCTCACCTGGTCTGAAGGACCAAGGTGAGCTTATGCCATACCGTGGCATCCGGCGTCCATACGTCAACAATTTTTTCAAACGACTTCTTCTTCTGAAACAGTAATTGGAAATTAATGAAATATGACTGGAAGCATCCCTAGAGTCAAAATTACAAAATATTTGCAGTATTATCTACATGTACAATGCAGATGTATATTTGGTCATGATTGCGTAAAGATCCAGTCGAGTGATACAGGCCCTATGGTCCTCTTGTTTAAATTTTTTAGATGAGAATATCTTTAGTGCTCTGTAGCACAATGAAGACTATAATGTTTGGTTTCTATTTCAGCGAATATTTCTCCATCCTGACAGTAGTACAATATATATTAAAACATACATAATATTATATCTTGTACATACCTCTCTGTTTATGTGCTTGTGATATAAAGAACGTTTACATATTCTTTCAAATTGCATTTAATTCTCCTTTACATTACAGATATTTCAAATGGAGACATTTACATCATTGATTTGTAATTTTGCAGCAGGTCGTTTCATTAAAGTATTTGACATTTATGGAAAGTAGACCCAAGTATTCTTTCTATGTCAACATACATGCAGAATTATAGTTAGAAATAGTGAAATATGGTTAGAAAATATAATCTTTTAAAACTGATTGCCTACTTGACATAACCTTATGACACAATTGTAAATTTAATTATACCAGTGATTATTGAAATTATGTTCATTCAGGGCCCAAATGCAAAAGTATATTTTAAGTATAAAAGAAGTTAGAGGAAAAATCCCCCTTTTGTATAGTACAATGTAGTTTGAATTGAACAACAATTGTTCAATTTATTAACATCCATATATGTTTCAGGAATATCATGCTGGACAAGGATGGAACTGAGGATTTTATCCTGGACCTTGTGGACGAGGTTGTTGACAGTACAATGGACACAATCTACAAGACATACATTGATAAACAACTTCTCCCATTCACAATATCTCAGGCCAAAGATGCCATTCTACAAATAATTGATGTGAGTTTTATTTCATGTTTGAAGATTATCGTTGTTACTGTTAAAAAGATAATGGAAATGTATCATTATTAAGTTTTTTTATGTGATACATATATATATTTGTAACAAATGTTATGTTTGGAATAACACTTTCTTAGCAAAGTACAGATTCTTGTACTTTTTGGGGTTGAGTCCTATCTGGGATTCCAACCCACACTGCCACACTGTTGAATCTGTACTTTACAAAGAAAGTGTTATCTCAAATATAACATTTGTTACATTTGACCACTTTCTAAATGGCATTGTGTGTTCATATATATTTTTAACCTGTGTGCATCATACTTGTAAGTATGCTGATATAGTAGTAAGATTTATTTACCTTTTTCTGTAATGTCTAATATCTTAAAAATGTCAGATTAAATGAGGCAGTTTTGTAGGGGCCAAAATACTGATCAGATGACATGGAAAGAACTCAAGTTATTGTTTTATATGTGCAGGTTGGAAATGAATTTGCTCTATAAGCATGAGTCAAACACAAACTACAATGTATGAGATAAACTTTATTGTACATGTTGCAGTTGTACATTGACTTGACAAGGTTTCTTAGGTTGATAATGGGCGTTCCAGCAGCATTGTCATAAGGACACGCTATAGGGGTGTTTGACTTACAGGGACATCCACATTATGGTCATTCTGAAAATAGGAACAAACTATAGATATTTGTTTTTTGCATTACATAATAAAATAATTTAATAGAATATATCATATAACAGAGTTTTATATTTTCATTCCTCTGTTGACTGTGTCAGTTCTGTTGCAGTGGCAGTTCCTGGACCGAGATGGAGGGGAGGTGAACACAGAGGGGGATCCCACCTGGCTCCAGGATGAAGGTGAGATGAATGACTAAGTACCAACAAAAGTTGATTCAGTCGTTGAGGGTCTCTAACCTGTGACAGATTGTTTAATCTTTTACTTATGCTGCATTACTCCTTAATGCGTCTACATTTTACCTTATGACAAAGAAGGCAGCGCCTAGCAATGGATCTAGATAAAGAAAAAAGGTTGTTTTCACTTTCAGTCTCCTTTTGCAAGGACCCATCGCTGCTGTCATGTGACCGTCCACCGTGTCGTCACATCTGTCACATTGCTGCTTGTCGCCAAACAGACATGTTGTGCCTTGTTTTTGTCCTCAACTTTTGGCTTTAATTTTTGTAGTTTGCACTTTGCTACCGTGTTACATTTCATCTGCGACGGGTGAAGTATACCTTGTCTTATATTTATGCTCGCCTTTGTGTAATACCGGCTTGTCTGCGGTCATATATGGGAATATGTTTTCCACATATTTTTCTTCCAGTTGGCTCGTTATTTTCCTGCCATTTTGTAATTGCATTACATGTTTGTCTCCTTAATCGAGGCATTCATTATAGTTTGCAATTGTTGGCTTGGTATTACATTGTGTTTGTGTAAATACCTTTAGCCACTAATGGCATTTTCCAGAGTTTCACTTTTGTATTTTGGTTTATCTATTGGTATGTACAAGTCTTCTTTCACTACAACTTCAAGTTTTGTGTAACTTATGCACTGTGTATTAATTTTGTGGCAAAAAAATGGCTTATGATCCTCATCCATGTTGTTTGGATTGCCCTCATGTAATTTTTGTTCATCTCTCTCCCCGTCAAGTTTCTCAACTTATAGACAGGTTCAGTAGTCCCGTCAGCACGCGAGGAGGATGTCGGATTCACAGGAGTCTTCCAGCCACCAGTCCCCGGGTATCACCTCTCAACCCTCGGCATTGGGTTCCTGGGACGGCGACATTCATTTTCTGCCATACCTGTCTCTAATTTTCAGGCATCCCTGGCCTCCACCATGATGGTTCCAGCGCTGGCGCATACCTCAATCCTGTCAACCCCTGCGTGTGTCACCCAAAGGGCTTGCGCCAAGCGCAATCTCTGCCAACACCTTACCAGGCTCATCAAGGCTGTCTTCCAGCCTCATTTGTCAGCAGCGATGCCTAAGCCTGAAACAAGTGTTTACGCTTACGTAAACGCCTGCAGCACACCAGAAGCCAGTAACTCCAGCTGAGTGCTCCATGTCGACCAGTATGCCATCAGCAAGTGCCAACTCTACTTCCCATCTCACCCGGCTTCACCCAGGGCCTCGTCCAAGCACTCTTCAAGAGAGATCAACGCCCCGTACCAGAAACAGCTCACCCGTGGGGTGAGCATATCACCACCATTCCGAGTCATCGGAAGCTTCATTAGACGATGATTGCAATTCATACTACGGGATGGAATACCCACCTCAGATGCCGGAGGGGATGGCAGACCTACCCATGTCAGTGGCATGCCACCTCACCGCAGCCCTTGGGTAGATTACGGCTATGCTTGGCTTCCTGGTGCTCTCAAATTTGGACTCTGAGTTCAAGCGTCGTCTCCTCTGTCAACCATGGTCAGCCAGTTCGTTATTTAACGATCAAGTCATGGATACCAATGCTCATGATGAGACGGCACTCAAGGTGCTGGAGCATGTCTGGAGCCCTTAGCCTGTCTCAGCAAGCTGGCAGGTCAGGCAATTATTGGCCAAGACACTCTTCCCTCTCAAAGAACAAGATCAACATTCTTTTTGTGGCAGAGGCACGGGCAGAGACTGGGAACTCTCAACCCCAGTCATCCCAATCGTCGACATCCCCATAGTTGGGAGGCTTGGCCTCTTCCTGCAGAACTGGTTGGATTGGTGGATGCATTCATACTAAACGTACTGCGCTACGGTTATCGTTTGAACATAGCGGTAGACCAACTGTTAAATGCGGCCCCTCCTTCGTGGGCTTACCCAACTACTGAGATCCAGCATAGACATCTTGCTGGAGAAGAGAGTTATAGAGATTGTACATGCCCCAGCGGTAACACCAGGCTTCTACTCGCCCATCTTACCTGTACCCATGAAGGATTCAGACAAGATGCGGATGATCCACAATCTCTCAGTGTTCAACTAGCGCTATTTGGAGTGGCCACCATACTTTCGCCTCACAAACTTGAGACTGGTCAGGACCATCATCGATGCCCTCGACTCCCTGATCAGTCTCGACTTGCAGTATTCGTACCTGCATGTACCTATCCATCCCTCTGACTGCAGTTTTCTCAGGTTCCAGTTCAATGGGGTTCACTACCAGTGGGCGGTCCTGCCCTTTCAGGCCTCAAAGTTGCAACTATGCACACTAAATTTCAATTTGTCTACTGTCTAAAATTCAGAGGTAGCCAAATGACTACCTTGAAAAATATCTTTTGGCGACTAAATTCTATTGCCACACATATGTAGACACAAAACATGTCTGCTACTAATTGTACATGCAAATCATTCCTCCTAAAGTCAACAATGAACCGAAATACATAATTATTAATGTAATTAGTATTTTATTTTAGTTGATAGTTTATTGGATAAGCAGGGATATACCTATATAATCTAGTAACATAAATTACATCATTGCTCGAGTCACAAATAACAAAACTCAAGTACAGTTTCCACTAATATACAATAGTAGTTATTTGATCAAAGATAATTTCAAATGCTTTTGGCCACCTACACTATTGGCTTGACTTCTTAATTTTCCCACTGGCTATCTGGAAAAAAATACTAGTAGCCATATGGCTACTTGGTAAAATTTTAAACTTTGAGGCCTGCATTTAGTGTTTTAAGTGGCCCCGTGGCTACTTACACGAATAACCAAGCCAGTAGCTGCTTTCCTACACCTGAGGAACATCCGGTTCGAGTTGTACATAGACGACTGTCTCCTGAATCAGCCCGATACGGCTACCCTGGTTTGCCATTGGGACTTCATAAGGCGTCTGCTATATCAAATGGGATGGATGGTCAACGAGTCGAAGTTGGAACTAATTCCTTCTTACCGACTCCAGGTCATAGGAGGCCTTTTCCAGATAGATCAGGACCTACTATCAGTGCAGCGGCAAGATGGCTCAAGATCCTATGCCACCTGTAACCTGCCATTCGACAATCTTGCACACTTCACCAGTGGCAAGTGCTTTTGGAATTGCTCACATCAGCCCAGGACTTAACAAGCAGAGGCCGATTACACCTACACCCAATACAACAGTTCCTGACGCCTTACATCAGGCGTCAAGATCAGTCATCACTCTACCGTCTCACCTGGGGCAGTCGGGTTGCCTAGTGGTTAAAGCGTTCGCTCGTCAAGCCGAAGACCCAGGTTCGATTCCCGACATGTGTACAATGTGTGAAGCCCATTTCTGGTGTCTGCTGCCTTGATATTGCTGGAATATTGCTAAAAGCGGTCTAAAACCATACTCACTCACTCGTCTCCTCATCCAGGCTGGCCCCAATAAAAATATACCTGTTCGTAGACACCTCCCTTCAAGACCTGTGGTCCGGTGCACAACATACTTGGCACATCAACAACCTCGAGTTGGAAGCCCTCATTCTGGCAATCTCACATTGGCAGGAGCAGCCACGGTACACCCAACTCGCAATCTCCAATGACAACAGCACGACCAATCCACCAATCACTACGTTTGTGGGGGTCGAAGATGAGGGTGAACTCCTTGTGTCCTGTCGCACATGACAAGCTTTCATCCACCGCTCCAAGACTAGGCGTGGCACAAGGAAACGTTTGTTCATTCCTGTATTCCAGATGTCCACGACCGAAGTCAGTCACAACACCATTTCACTATTGTTACACACGGTCATCCTGCAGGCATACAAGGAAGTATCGCTAACCTTGATCCTCCGAGACTGAATAATCCTCACTAGAGGAGAGCGGTCGCCTCAACCATGGCTCTACATAGCAACTGTTCATAAGAGCAATCATGGAAGGATGTTTTTAGTGGTCCGACACTGTCTTTGCCAGAGATGTGGCACTTGAAGACATCAAAGGCTTTCATAGCTTTGGCCCTCTGGTCATAGTCCAGCAGGTTACCAAATAAAGAACTCCTCCTGTCCAGAGCTAGTCTTACCCGATTTGGGCAGTTATTTTACACGCCCGTTATGGGGATCATCAGGCTTACAGCCTTGGCTATTTTACACTATTTTTCTCCTTACTGTTTGTTTACCTGGACTTATCCTCATTTCTCGTTTCTCTCTGATGGATAAGATTGAACGAGTAAAACCGATCAGCACTTGATACGCCATACAGTTCACTTTACATGCCTGTTGCTTGAAGGATATATTGATATATTGAGGATATTTCATCTGAAGGTATACCCACCGCCATACCGTCAGATACAGATGCATTAAGGAGTAATGCAGGTTATAAGTAAAAAAAATTAGTAAAATCTAAATATTTTTCACATTTGTATACTGATCCTGCATCTACCCGTCGCAGACCTGCCTCCCTCCCCACTATAGCTTCAGAAATTTTAGCATGGTTGACAAGCACCAATGTGACCAGATGTGACATGAACCCAGATGGTCAATGGGTTCTTGCAAAAGAAGACTGAAAGTGAAAACAACCTTTTTTCTTCATCTACGACCATCGCTAGGTGCAGTCTTCTTTGTTGTAAGGTAAGCAGGAGATGCATTTAAAAGGAGTAATGCAGGATAAGTATACAATAGTAAAACATATTTAGATTTACTAAATTTGTAGAAAAGTACAGTGCTGTCATCATGGAATGCTGCATGTCTTTTTAGTCTTGTGGTTCTGTCTAGTTTCTGATTTTACTACCAGTATCTAATCTTTGTAGGTTATGTTTACACAAAGTTAAACTCATCATGCTTGTTGACTTGCCCCAGTAGAAGTGTTTCCAATCCCTAATTCCCTAATAGGTTGAGGGACTGAGAAGTTGGGGGGACCAACAAAATTTATTCATTCAATGCTCTGTGAGATATATAAGCCTGACCAGGTGAGCATGACAAAGCCATAAATGTTAGATCAGACAGGTATCAAATATCAGCTATATGTTACAGATCTTGTCCTGACATATTTATATTTGTTAGTCTAGACATTAAAACTTACCATGCATAATAGTAACTATGATCCTTTAATGTTTTGTAACCATGGTAATAGCAATAATGCTAACAAAAAGAGGATTTTGTCAATGTGAATATACCACTGCCAGTGTCTCGTTAATGTCAAAGCTCCTATCTGTCAGCAGCACTAATAACTTGCTACAGTGTAGGTGTGTGAGGTATTGCCAGTATCCCAAGTTTTTGAAATACTAATGATTACACCTCACATTACGTTTGGACAATACCGGTAAAGTTTACATAACTGAAAAGTTGAATTAAAATATGAAATTCAGAAATTAGCACTTGCCTGTGTATAATGTGTTTGTTATGCATGTGTTGTGACCATAGTAACATCCAACAAAATGGCGGATTACTTTGAAGTTGTCAAATATATGCGAGCGAAATCTGATGTGTGGGTCCATTTCAGACTTGAAATAAGCTCAAGTCATTTGGGTTGTTTTTATTCAGGTTCCAAACAAATTACAGTGGAAAGAACAAATGCAATATATTGTGGCATGTATCACAATAAATTGCAATAATAAAAAGTCAGGCCAATACCCATCACTACTACAGTACACTCTAACGTTATGTAGGAACCATTCAAACTATTTTATCTGATATGTCTCTGCAGGTTTAAGGGATAAGATAGTTATAAACATAAACATTCTGTATTTCCCTCCAGAGCCTGACCCTGCGACAACAGACTGCTGGGCTCAGGGCTCTGTGCCGCGGACCTACCTGCCCCCTCCCACCCCCGTCATAGTGGAGGAAACACAGGAGCAGCTAGAGGAGGAACATGTACAGACAGATCTGGAAGAAGCCAAGTAAGTGGAACACAGCATGGCAGAACACAACATTTAGTGTATCACCCTCTCTTCCCTGGGACAGTCACAACTGCTTCTTTAATATTACCAGTCCACATATTATGCACCCAGGGGGCATAAACAGTTTCAAAGGGAGGGGTGGGGATGGGGGCTTATTAATATATAAACTAGGTTAGGCATCTGTATATTTTATTATGATATACTATGGATGTAAAGAAACATGTTACCTGTTAGCTCAAGAAAGAATGCTTATGGGAACAGAGTGCTTAATATTTTGAGTTCAGTACCCTGGTATTTCTAGTCTCAAATTTTATAAGGACTAATTATCATGAATACTCCTTGTGCCATGTTTCATTGGCGTATCTTTACTTAAGAGGGTCAAGATTGCAGCACTGATCACACCTTACATTAAAATACGAGCTTCTGCATGGTTAAGGAGCAGGCAATTATTTTCAATGTTGCCTGCTCATGTAGCCCGCTGAGTAATCAATCACACACCTTAGGTAACTTGCTTGTCTCATATAGGTATCAATGAGCTGAAATGAACCTATGTTGTTCTGAATGCATTTGGTAAAGGGAAGTAACTTGATTCATTTGCGTCGTCTGGTAGCTGTCAAAATGGCTGTTTACTTCAGTATCTGTTAAGTTGGTTTTTACTCAAGACACGTGTAATGAATCTTGCTGATATATGGCTCGAGGTACGTAGGCTCACACAGGGTACATCACACCATATACCCCTCAAGATCAGCTGACAACTTCTAGGTATACAGGTGTGATCAAGAGGAGATAACTGTTTCAGAGTCCTGATTGTTGACCCAGATGAGGATCCTGAGTTGCCTGATAAAGTGTCGGAGCCAGATGAGGACCGAGTTGATGAAAAGACTGAGACTGAGGCTGGAACTGTTGAGAAGGTACACAGTTGAAGAGATCATGTCAAAACTTCATGAAATCAATCCCGTATCTATGTAGCATTGTGTCAGCCCCATACTGCACACCTTGCACACAGAAATAATGTATCAAAATGTTGTATCTATGCAGCAAATAACATGTCAAAATGTAACCTATTCATTCATCTTGAGGACACTAACAAGGTAGATTAGAACTGATTAATAATAACAAATTATCAAAAATACTTTTATAGGATGAGACAGTAGAAAAGAAGAAGAAGTTTAAGTTTAAGCGGTACCGAGGTCCGATAAAGTCTGCGGGAGTGAGCAAAATAACCGAGTCTCTGGAGGATACAGAGATGAAACTGTTCATGGATGAGATAGCCGGCTCCCTACCATCAGAAGACCGCACCAGCGGAATGCTAATGCCGGCCTCATGTCACTCAATTCTCCGTGTAAGTCGTATGTCAATTTCATTTTCAATAATTTTATGTTATTTTTGCAGATTTAAACAGTAAACCTTATCTTGAATGGAAACATGCTACATTTACTGAAATGTTATGTAAGAATGATGTCACTGAAATTATATCAACAATAAATATTGTATGAAACATTAATCACGATTAAACATGAGTGATGTGTTCATTATGCACCGTATCTTGATGTTGTGCTTTTTGTGTTAACATCCCTGCACTATTAACTGCATGAAAATATAAGTAACATGTCTTTTTAAAATTGATCACACTTACAACCTGACAGGTGTCAATCATTACTCTTCTCATATCAGTGGTACATGTACTTGTTTATTGCAACATTTCATTTTCAATGATAAATATGGCTGTTGTTGTTGATGTTGTTTATGATGAATAGTGCGGGATTACATAACAAATCATTGCAGGTATTAATGTTGCCAATTTCAGAGTAATACTGACGCCACATCCGCGCAGGTATATTATAAGTAGAAAGACTTAAAACAACACATATAATTTTGTAGACAATATTTTTCTCATTAGTTTAAACATATCGCTTTACCACAAAGTGTTAGATGATTTTCACCTTTCCAGTTAAGATAATTGATTACAGTAGAATTGTCACCTTTTGCATATGCTTTAGAATCTAAACCTTTAGCATGAGAGTGTAATTGTGTTTGCTGCAGCTACTGGGCTTATAAATGTTCATAATATTTGACAGAGCCCTCACCATGCTCACAAAGTGTTAGAGGAATTACTTGTATAGATGGTTATTTCATTTTAGTACTCACTTACAATCACAAGCAAGTCATAGTCATATGATATATGCATATGTGTATCATATGTATAAAACTTAAGCATATGTATTGTTAATAGAAATGTTGACACTGAATAATGGAGGAAAATTTAAATAAATTATATGCTCACCTTACTGTCTGTACTTTAGATACCACAACCCACATGTTTATTCCTTGCTTACCACAACCCCCACCCCACCCACCCCTCCTACCCCAGCCACACCCTACTGCTACATGGTATTAAGTTATTTCAGCTCTTCAGCAGCTTGGCATGGTTTCTTTTCTTATTAATTTAAGTTGGTATTTGTCAAAATGGAATTTGTCTATAATTATTAATTACTTTTGTAATAATTGTCATATTTTTGTATTATTATATTTTTTCTTTAGTTTCTACAGAAATGTTTCATACTAACACTTTTCTTCATACTAATTTCTTTTGTTGAAGAACTCTTCTGACTGATTCTGCATCTGATTATTACAAAATGTATATTCATGTATAGTTCAGAGTCTGCAACTTCAGACTGCACAATGAAATTTAGCTACGTCTGATAATGGTTTATGTTTGGAATATATTTGCATCTTTAGGTAGTAGCAAAGAGAATATATGCTGATATAATATTTACGTTTGCCATGTTCAAAGCAAACAAGAGTCTGTGCATCTTGCCGAACAATTATCAGCAATATTGACAAATCCAATAATTCTGACTGATACTAACATCAATTTCACCACTTCTCGTTACTTCATCAGTTTCCCAAATGACACATGTCGATGTTACTGCAGGTTCAAGCAGGTCGTCCACCTGGCAACAAGGACGTGGTGTATGATGACATGGGTAATGTCATTGCAGTTGTCAAGCTAGACCCGGAGAAACTGCCAAATCATAGGTAAGATTAACCCAAGTTTCAAGTTCAACATTTCTGTTATCATTCTTGGCTTGTGTTATGTATCAAAACAAATACCTACCAGTTATGAAATTTGTGTCTTTTTTTTCAATTTTTACTTGTAAGAGTGGGAGACAGATGGCCCAGTTGTCTGAGGTGCCACAGTTGTCTGTGCAGAGTTATGTCCCTTAGTAGTGCCAGGATCCTATGATTGTGGTTTCAGATTCCAGATTGATGCTGATACTGTAGATCAAGGTTTCTGTCATTATGTGTGTGAATGTTTTCTGTGAGCTGAACACCAGTCACTGATCCAATCAATCTAATTAAATGAGATCTCAGTTTTTCTTTACCGCTATTCAAACAAAGATCTGAGGACATCCCATTACGGGTCACATCAGAATGACCTTTCATCCAACCAATCAGAGCGTCGCTTACCAGTTGGGGAAATTGACAGTTGGAATGTGTTTTCTAAACATGCAATCTCGAAAAGGTTAACTCAGGCTATTCCGAACGATAGTTACAGACTAATTCCTTCAAAATCATCGTTCATCTCTCGCTTCAGTGGGATAAATATTTGAAACAGAAGAGACTTTTCTATAGCCAGTGGGATGGAGTGCCATTGTGCCATGTATTAGACATTCCAGAAATTTCTTCTCTTTTTTTTCAGTTTTCAAATTTTGAATCGAGAACTTTGTCAAAATATTTTTCAAAGCATAGTCTGTAATGGAAGTCACCAGTTTGAAACTTGTGCCGTATAGCTCGAGAAAGCTCTAATTTCGACTTCATGATTGTAATTTCATTGGTCGGTCAAAGTTTGTGAAAGGTCACCCTGGCATGACCCTCAATGGAAATGTCCTCAGATCTTTGTTTAGCGGTAGCGAGAACTAAGATCTGATTTTAATGAGATTGCTTAACCAATTGAATACGTTTCTCTCTGTGCAAGTGATCAAAACAACTTCTTTCTGTTCTGTCAGAGTAAGGGTCAAGTACCAGGTGGTAGACCCTGCTATCGAGGCGGCCCAGGCCCGACTGGAAGCCATGCGACACGGTAAATATGTGGGGGCCCCACAAGTACCCACCATCAGAAGAATCAAGTCAAGAGTCAAAGGCAACTCCGACACAGCATCCGTCTGTGAGTATCAGTGTGACTTTCAAAGCTTTGTAGGACTCACACATAGATTCTCATATGACATAAGTTTTAATGTACAGCACACATCCCAGCTTTATACTTGGGTTCTTATCAACAAAGTGATAAAATGCTATGATTGTCAGAATTACATGCATTATACCTTCATTTGTGATATATAGAATATGATAGTTATGGTAACATATTCATATCTTGCCTTAACAAAACAGTTATTGCTGAATATACTAATCATGCTCATAGAAAAAGCAATGTTTTAACAAGCTTCTTAGTTATATATGAGATATACCGGTATGTTAAATACTACTTTCCAGCCAAATCGTCCAGTAAGACATCCCAACAGCCCACCATTGCTCCACTGCCTCCTCCACTGGTGAGTTGCCTGTCAACGTTAAAATAGATATATTCACATTATTTGTTACAGAGCACTACTCTTATTGAAATCGATCAATTTTTTAAGAAATGATAACTTAAAGTATGATTATTCATACTTATCCTGGTGTGTCCACATGTTGCCAGGTATCAATCTATGTATAAACAGAGAAAAAAGTATCGCAACAACCCTATTTGATTATACTGCTGGTGTTTGATTCGATTTGATCGCAATACGTGATATATGTGTTTATCATATAATGGGTAGGTTTCTCGGGAGGATAAAGCCAACGGATAAAAACGATATCCGTTGGGGTCATATGCGGATAGAGATGCAAATATCAAAGGTCAAGTAGAACTACTTTCACTGTTTATAAACAAACATGGCGTCGCCCTCGTCATTCGGCGATCGAGGCAGAATTAACCATCGGGAATCTGGATAAAGTACAGGGGTAATTGCTATCATTATCAAAAGAGCAGTCTAATATACTGAAAATCAGTGTCTAACTGTGACGTAGCTAAGGCATTTTATAAGTTTTGCCAACTTTGGAGATTTGGCAACGAAACAATTTTGCGAGGGCACGAGGCCTAGCCAAACGGGATAAGTAGCCATATCTGTGCTTGTAGACCTTTGCGGCTTAAAACCTTCTCCACAAATTTAAATAGTTGGATTTTGCCGAAATATGTTTGAATTGTTACCTTGTTTCGTTTTGTCGCTGTGTGTAAATCTAACTACACTTCTTAACATTATGACAGGGTAGACCGACTGTCAACAACGTCTGACCGTAGCCGTGACATCTCATATACTAGGGTTAGAGTAGCTTCCCTTTGACAAAGGGCAGTTACTCTAGTGGACAGACCGATGGATTGCCGCGAAAGGCAATTAAAAACAACTGTTGTTTTGCGTATATGTTGCTTCGCCACGGTATAAGAAACAGATTTCAGTTGGAACTATATTGGCTACTGTCACTGTCCGACTGACACATCACTTACCCTGTGACGTAATAAATATTAATGCGCGCATTCCAGGAAAACTCCCAATGTTTCAGTAATGTTTGTGAGAGAGGGAAAGCGATTTTAAAGCACAGAATTAAAGGATGACATTATATGATAAAGGAATAAACACTATGTATTTAGCTCGCCAAGGCTCGCTAAATACAATGTTTATTCCTAATGCAGGATATTTACCATCCCCAAATACACTCGCGTGATAACCTCTATGTAAACCAATGGTGTCTCAGTGTTGTTTGTAGAGCAAATATTGAACAATAAGAAAACGTTGGAATGAAATTGTCGGTAAAGATCGTAATGTGTTTATGCTGAGTTACCAAAAAGACGAAAAAAATGGAAAATATCCAGTGCGAATAACTATGGCTAGAACAGGTCTATCTGAATTCATAAGTCAATTTCCATTCATGTCATCCTCGGAAAGTTCATCGAGTTTGCAAAACAGTGAAAAATGTCAGAATCTGGTGTAACCTCCTCCAGCTTGAATCACCTGTTCAACCCTCGTCCTCATTGACCTAATGACTCGTCTGATCTGTTCCTGTGTGAGAATGTTCCGCTCCTGGTGTAGTGCCTGTTCCAATTCATCAACATTCTGCACTGATGGCTCCCTCTGACGGATTTTACGTCCAAGAATGTCCCAGATATGCTCGATAGGATTGAGGACTGGGCGTCTGGCTGGCCAAGGTAGGGTAGTGACAGCCTCATGACGCAGAAAATCCGACTGGCCTTGTGTTTAGAGCATGATTGTCAATATGAGGCTCTACAACCCTGTCAAGGATTTCTGTTTGGTATCGTTGGCCATTAAGGTTGCCTCTCACTGTTACCAGTGGCAGCTTGAAGTCATATGACAAGCAACCCAATATCATAACAGAGCCGCCGCCAAATGGAACTTGTTCCAGAATGTTCCTCTCAGCATATGCCGTCTTATTACGTCGCCAAACACGTGCTCTACCATCTGACATGAACAACAGAAAGCGACTCTCGTCAGACCAATGGATTTTCTGCCATGACGCAATATTCCAGTGATTAAGTGTTCGACACCATGACAATCGAGCTGCCTTGTGTTCACGTGACAACAGAGGTCTTCTGACAGGCCTCCTGGCACGATATCCAGCATCTTTAAGTCAATTACGGTCAGTTCTGTGGCATATGCGACGGTGAGGTAACCACTCCCTTTTCAGAACAGTGCTTGGTGCAAAAGGAAACCGCTGTACAATCCTCATAAGAGCTGTATCCTCTCTTGCTGACGTACAGCAAAGGTCTACCAGGACGATGGCGGTCCTTGACATCATTAGTCTGATGATGCTTTCGAAACAATCGACTAATGGTTGAAGGATGGTGACCCAGCTGCCTTGCAATCTCTCTCATTGACATACCGGCATTGCTCATGCCAATAACTTGCCATCTTTTTTCTGTACTGAGTTGTCGAGGACCCATTGCTAAATTCTGACAGAGGAAACAATGACTTGTAACCTTTACTCAATACAGTGACAGATCTCCAAAACATGATTTTCACGTTGCAAGGGGTGCATGCTTTCCTTGTGCCGTAGACCAGACACGTGCTCGACATGCATCTCATCATGACTGGTATGGAGGACAGGACATGCCATAATTTTCATTTCAAGATAGCTTCTTTATATATATGTCAACATGGTCACTTGACAGCTTACATATCTGGGTGTTGCGATACTTTTTTCTTTGTGTATACATGTGAAGCAACATTGTATATGTGAAGACTCCCTCCGTGGTCTAGTGGTAGAGCGTCCGCCTGGAGAGCGAAAGGTCCAGGGTTTGATCCCCGACATCTTCCCGAGGCAAAGGAGTTAACTGACTATAAAAGTCCAGTTTCCACCCTTGCCGAACTAGGCTGGTATTATGGAGTTACGTTTTGTCTGGACTAACGAGTCTATGCATAGTCCAATCAAAATCGCGCACCGAAATCAAAATCCGGTTCGTAAACTGTCTTGCAGATTTCGATCAATTGCAGGGTTTGCAAAGCATGTGCATCACCAATTCGTTGTCAGCAGATATTTTCCTAATCCTTTCATGTTTTTCAAGGTGCTCACGTGATTTGATGCATTTCGCGATGTAAGACCCGTTTTATCACAATATAGATCTTGATTATCGATCAGATCGTCCTGACTGGGCGCCACCATTTTGTGCGAAGCAAACGCAAGTGATACGAGAGGTGGAATCTGATTGGTCCATAGGAGAGGCTTAGAAGGAACATAATTGGTAATAACCACTGGTGGCGCAACAATTGAGCCCAGTAATTCCAGCCGAGTTCGGCAAGGGTGGAAACTGGACTTTTAAAGTCAGATAACTTCCTTGCCTCGGGAAGATGGATCCCAAACCACGTCATACCAAAAGACGTTAAAAGATGGTTCTTGTTGTTACCCTGTCTGGCGCTCGGCATTAAGTGGCTAAAACAAGGACTGGTCGGCTCGGAGTCTGAGTGGGGTATTCATGTTAAACTGCGGCATGGTATTTCAGTGAGCTAGCACTATAAATCGGCATCAGTCCGGACTAGTACAAGCAGCCACACACGTGCATGCACGTCGCTATATAAGTGCAATAATCTTGGACGTTAAACCCCATTTCACCTCACCTTGTATATGTGAGGTAGATCTGTATGGATGTTATACTTCAGGAGTGAGTTTAGGGTACTCTCTACACCTGTCTGTGATGCAGGTGATGAAGATGAGTGGTGAGTGTGTGAGTAACATTTTGATACCTGGGTAGGCCAGTTCTGTGCATCGTTCATTGTCCCCAACAGATACTCATCTGGTTTACCTCATCTACGACAGCATAACACAAACTAACATGAGTCAATCCAGTCTTCACACAGTTTGAATGAGGGGCAATCTCATTAAAATCAGATCTTTGACACCGCTACGATACCTGACTGCATGAACGTCTGAGGACACCTCCCACAGAAGGTCATATCAAGTGAATCATGAGTGAAATGAAAGCTGCGTTGTGATTGAGCCAATCAGGTGTCAGCCTTCTTACATGCCGAAATGATTCAGCTTCACTATATTTTATTTCTGTCCATGGCCTGTTGGTGATCAGTTTCTGTCCTGGGCCCACTTGCACAAAGTGATCTTAGTGCTAAGATGATCGTAACTCCCATACTTTAACATAGGCTTACAATAGTTGTAGCGCTAAGATCGCTTTGTGCAAGTGGGCCTTGGAATTGTTAATTTTGGTCTAAACAGCTACAAAATAAACACAGATATAACTGTTCCCTCACTCCACTGAGTGATGATGCCATGGCGCTCAAATTGTCAGGGTGTTTACATGTTTCTAATATTCTCTACACAGAACTGCCCGTCAATCTTCGTTTATGAGATACTGAAATCAGATGTGTTGCTGCAAATGTTTTGCTTGCTCACATCTAGAATTTAGAGGCCAATGGCATTCTGATTAGAAAGCTCACCTGATATGTGACTTCTCATGCAGAGAGGTATCAAATAAGGCACAACAAGTCAATGAACAGTGTTATCCCCCTTTGCTGCTGGGACCTGCAGGTTGTGAGTGAGTATGGTTTTATGCCACTTTCAGCAATATTCCAGCAATCGAACCCTGGTCTTCGGCGTGATGAGCGAACGCTTTAACCACTAGGCTACCCGACCGCCCCTGCAGGTTGTGGGTTTGAATCCCCCAGAGTGTGATTCTCAGTTTTGTCAGCAACATACCCATGGTCATGGGTTTCCTCCAGATTTTGCTGACATAAGTTGATATTGCTGAACATTAGTGAGTTTCCAATCTACAGATCACAACATCATTTATGAAATTCTTTTTGGACAGAAAATCTGGATTTTATAGATTTACATATTCTCTGTATGGTTTTCCCAGATTGAGGCGATGGAGGTTGCGGCTGGTGTAACAGTCAAGGAAGGTGGGCGGGTCAAGAAGGGACCAAACAGAGTGAGGACAAAAAAAATTATTTGTATTTATGATAAATCTTACATGTTTTACTTCCAAAGTATGGTATATCTTGAATAATACAATGTGTTCTACATGAAACAAACACCATCAATGAAAACACAAATGAAGCTGTGATGATAATATACTGCAGAGTTGAAGGAGGCTCATCATTTCAAACTTGTAATTGTTCCAGTATGTCCGGAAATCAGATGTCCTGGAAGAACATCAGAAAACACTCCGCCCAGTTGCGTCAAGAATCCCAGCACAAGCTCTAGATGTAGCCGATCTGCTTGATCGGACCACGCCCATCCTCCGCCCTATTGGAGAGTCACCCCCACTGCCTCCTATTATCCCCCACCCCCCTACACAGTCACGGATAACAACATAATGTCATTTACAATGCTAAAATGATCAATTGTACATATTTTAAATTTGGATGCCATGTAATTTTCAACTGTGATAATTTCGAAATTCATATCTGTACATATTTTTATTGTAGATGAAAATACATGTATACACTAAAGTAGACTAAATATTGGAATATTTTGATAGTAGAATAATGTTCTATTTATCTTATCATTTGAATGGTAAGGATGAGGACTCCTACATTATTTTCGTCTTCTATACTCTGCCTCTAAATCTTTAAAGTTAATATTTGAATACAATTGATACTTGAACATTATTATTTGAACTTTTTAGACTGAACACTGTGTTTATTGCTCATCACTATTTCTTACACAGAAAATAGGAAAGAAATTCTGTTGTTTTGAACATGATTTGTAGAACCGTGGGAATATGTTTCTGGGGATGGGGTATGGATAGGAGTTATGCTGGAAATGTATATTTATCTGTGTGTAAAGGTATTAAACTGTTTTCTTCATAAAAAAGTCTTTGTTTTGATTTTGCCCTGCAAACACAAAGATGGTGTGGGATACATGTTCTATTCCTTCCATCCTTATTCCGAGCAGAATGAACAACTGTGGAAATATAGTCAGGAAACTGCGCAACACATCATCAAACAGCGATCAAACATCAAAAGTGATGTCAGATGAATTGTTCTATTTTCATAGACGATAAAATATTCTGGTATGTAAGCTACATTCCTGGAATAGAACTGTTTATGTAAGGGAAGTTTTACTAGCCAGGGTGCAGTTGTAGCAATCTTAGCACTAAGGTGATCGTAACTCCCATACGTTAACTTACAACCGAGGAGGAGTGTTTTACCCGACTTATGAACCGCCAAAACATTTATTAATGTGTGTTTAATGTAATGTAATAAAGTATGTTAAAATGGTCTATAGAAATGCTCGTAAAATATATCTGGCCAGGTAATATATGCTAAACTTCTTCAACCAGTTCTGTGGTCTAGTGGTTAGAGTGCCTGACTACTGATCAAGAGGTTGTGGGTTCGATTCCCATGGCGTAATGACCCATAATGAAAAGGTTTCATTTCTTGTTGTTGGTTTAGGAAAATTGTCCAAACTTTGTCTTCTACTACACTCACCAGGTCTTACTATGAAAGAGAAACACCTCCTAAGACTCAGAGGTTATAGGAAGAAACAAGTCCTGTCCAAGACAATGGTGAACATCTGTGATACTTTTATGAGATATACAAGTACCAGCACAAAGCACCAATACATCCATGTCACAGGGAAATGGCAAATTGTCATCCTTGCTCACAGCACATCCTCAATTACATGTATGCAGGGAATTGTATCTCCATTCCGCTTTACATATCCTGGACGGCCTGGTGTAGTGGCATCACCATCTCCATCACTCTCATCTGTTACTCTGCACAGAATCAAGGGCGGATCCACCATTTCTAAAATGGAGGGGTACAAAATATCAAAATCCTCTCTCAGTTGGAGGGGAGAGATTGTCTGCAACATACTACATTTGGTTTTCAAAAGAGGGGGTCCGGACACCCCCCCTGTTTTAGCATTTTGTTATTCAAATCAATCTCAAATGAAGCACTGATAAGAGTAAAGGGTGTTTATTGTTCCATTCTGACTCATATGGGAGATATCTCTTGAGTGTGATCAAACTATATCTCTTTGGGAAAAAACGTCCGTGGGAAGCTTAAATGTTTAAATCTGATAAGTGATTCTATTTTTTACTACCTTTTGCTTCAGTATATATTTTCTTTCAATTGGGATGTCACTTTTGAACTGTGACAAACGGGAACATTATCACGTCTACAGACTGGCAGTACTGCTCAACAGAATATACTCTTGACCAGTTTACCATTTCCAGCAAAATACAGGCTTTTCATTCAACTTTGCAATTTTTTAGTTTTAAACACACATAAAATATCTTTAGGTATTGTTTTCTCATAGATATTATACAGTTACAAAGAAAAAGCTATGCTGCCCCCCAAACTGCCGCAAAAGGTGATGCATCTTCATTATTTCAAGATGGTCTGAAATGTTGACATTGCCATCAATCTAATACATTATTTTTTTATTGATTGACAGTAATATTGAATAATAAATGAAACCTCACTCACTCACTAATATATCAACTCTTTTTAATGAAAGTGGGAAACAAATTATACTCCTTTACTACATCAATGAACATGTGTTGATATATTTAAATATCAAAAGGCATTTGGGCAAGATTTTGTATTTAGCATACCTGGTAATACACTGAATTATTAAGAATAGCCTGTGCACCACTTTAATAGTGTCCAGTCAACTGATGTAATGCCCTTTGAATATTCTCTGTGCTTGCATTGAGACATGAACCTGTTATTTCACTTACATTTCAGTGATTTAATAACTCATACACCACTGAAGAGGGCTCTCATAATTTGACATTACTGATAAACAGGTTTATTTGAGGATTGTGTTCACAAGACCTTACACTTTATAATTAGTAAGTTGCCATTTTGTGTCTTAAATATCAAAGATTATTATTACTCAAGATCTACAAATCTTCAAAACGTTGCATCCCCCAACATAATATAGCTGGAATATTGCAAACAGCAGTGTCAATCCATGTGGCACACTCACTCTGACAAAGCCATACACTGTTGAATGAATTACCTTATGTAAATATTAATGTTTGCACATATTAGTGTTGAACTGTATCCCTGCTATAGAGCATGTTCATTGCACAACACAGTTATCACCATGGTCAGTGGATTAGTCTGCAGCCAAACTACATTGTCAGCTCTTTAGAAAGCAACACAGGCACTTTATATTTGGAGTCCATGGATGTAGCAGCGTCACAATAAAACCACCTTATTTCACAAATGTATGGGTTAGAGTTTCATTTAATGTATCTTGCTGTCCAGAGAGGACAATTACACATGAATGAAATATATCAATGGTATCCTTAAAAGAATAAACATTAATATAGTAATAGTCAAAAGAGTCGACATTGATCGAACTCTAATTTAGAAGTAGAATTCCCCACCTGAAAGCTTACCGGTAGCTAAGTCATTAGAGTTATCTGCTCTTGTTGGGGTTTTCCCTTGTTTATCTCCAGCACTGCAAATCAACAAGTAACACGTGTGAATCTGCATGCATTCAACTGAACTGAATGAGGTCAAAATGTTGTAAGCGTCTCTGTGATGAACAAAGGGCATACTAAGTTACGATGTAAATGTTTTCGTGACAAACGCATGGAGTGGATGATCAACTTTCTGATGAGTAAATCGGGTATTGCACCGAACTGAAACCGTTACTCATGCATACTGTTTGAACACCTTACATGTGGTAGAATTACTCACTATTCAGCATGGGAGAAAAGACCACACGAAAACGTCCTGGTGTAAAGAACAAATCACAAGAAAGCAAAGGGTAGGTGCAAACCTTCTAGTAATTTACAATATTAATTAATAGTCAGGAAAAGTGTGTGTGTGCGTGCACAGGTCTGTAAATAATTGTGTCTGGACTAGACAATCCAGTGGTTGATGTTATGAACAACTATTCATGGCATTGTGGTACAATATGACATGCCATCAATCAAGCCACCAAGTCTGACCTACAAAGTTGCCTCTTGTGACCAACATAGGTTGCTGGGAACCGACTCTGGAATCCAATTTCTATTCAGGAAAAGAATATTCCTAAGCAAGGAATTCTGCCATTATGAAGATTCCTTATTTCAAAGCCATTTCATTCTTAGCCTAAGTTTAGTGGTTGAAAAATTGTTGAGGTATATTTTTTATCAAAATATATTTTCATTATTATATCATCCCTACTTATTTGTTTTTTAGGGCCCGTTATATTAGCTTAGCTTTTGTAATTGTTTATTACTTGACTTGGGATTGAACCTGTTGTTACAGAGGTGTAGCTGACAACAGCAAGTCATCACCAGGTCCTTCAGCTGGAGTCTTCCTCCTCCTCATCACCCTGGCTGCTGCACTGTGTGGCTACTACTTCTTGTTGGCAGCCCCAGACACAGTGTTTGTGCGGGTGGCCGACCATGTACAGCGGGCGGTATATAATGTTCCATGCTCTAAAGATTATTCACAAGAAGAATTTCAAGGTTACTGAAGCCTATATTTTTTTATTCAAATGTGTCTCAGTATTTGTTATGTGTAGGATATGACATGTCAGAGGTTTTGTTTTTAAATCTTATAAAAACCCGAGGGTAAGTGTTTTATCTAACTTATAAACAAAAAAAAGAAACTTAAAACAACATTTTGAAGTTTCAAACATACTTTCTATGAACATGATGAACCTTAGGAATAGGTCGTAAAATCTATGTTGCTGGCGTACAGTTACTTGAAAAAGACATTCTTAAAAGCATTGTGATTTATCAGCGCCTCTGTAGCCTACTGGTACTCCCTGGGCTGGAGATACAAAGGTTGCGTGTTTCATCCACGGGAATATAAAGAAAACGTTTGTAATCTGATTTTACATTTTATTACATTCTGTTCAAATGCAAAATAAATTTCTGGCGAGAAACATTCATAAGTTACAATATAAACACAAGCTGTATTAATAAAATCCCCGGGATTTTATATAAAATCCTGGCGATATTATAACATATTATATTGCAAATATCCCCGGGATATTATATAAAATCCTGGGGAAATTATAACATCGCTGTTTATGAGATTTAACCCGACTGGAGAAAAATAGGATGATGTCACTGGAGGTAGGAATATTAAGAATGCATTCCACTATTATGAGGGGAAGGTGTTGTAGCCTAGTGGTTAAAGCACTGACTCATCACACCACAGACTGGGTTCATTTCCCACATGGGTTCAAAGTGTGAGCATTATATTGGAAAGCACCACCATCATGTCTGGAATATTGCTATTACATAAATATAAGTCTTTGAATGGCATTTCGAAGTGATACACATAACAGAGAGAATTTATGAATGCCAAATTCTTTATTACGAGGAACACAATATTTCAGAGTATTTTCTTACTCCTTCATCATTTGCCTACTTTCCTGTTATCTGTAATATTTCAGCAGGACAAGTAATATTTGAAATCTCCTGTTCCACCTGTTGAGGAACACACTCCATGTTGTAAACACTTCAGTATTATAGACATACAACAGAATGGTGTGGCAGCACCTTTCTGACCAGGTATCTTGTTGGCCAGCTCTTGTATGATTGGCTAACACAGTTAGAGAGGCCTCCTGACCAGCTGATGGGTCCATGTGGCTGGTCCCATCACTTCTTTACAGATTCTGATCAGGGAAGCATCCATAAGTCTTTGGACAGACTTTCATGTAATAGGTTTTCAATGATTAAATAGTATGTTTGATATTATTGTACAGTATCTGATTGCCATGGCTGGTATGTTTCAGACTGTAAGCCGAAGAGATGTGGAAGAGTGGTGATGGATGACCTGGTGCGGCAGGAAGATGCTGAATACTTGCTGAGGTAAACACTAGTGCTGGATGTGTCCACTCAGATGCTGCAAAAGACACTCAAAAAGTGATAATTCCACACCTGCCATTATGACCTATGGAGGTTGTTTATCTCCATGGATGCCACTGTGGCAGGTTATCTCCATGAATGCCACTGTGGCAGGTTATGTCCGTGAATGCCACTGTGGCAGATTATATCCGTGAATGCCACTGTGGCAGGTTATATCCGTGAATGCCACTGTGCCAGGTTATGTCCGTGAATGCCACTGTGGCAGGTTATGTCCGTGAATGCCACTGTGCCAGGTTATGTCCGTGAATGCCACTGTGGCAGGACGTGTCCGGGAATGCCACTGTGCCAGGTCGTGTCCGTGAATTCCACTGTGCAAGGTCGTGTCCGTGAATGCCACTGTGGCAGGTTCTGTCCGTGAATGCCACTGTGCCAGGTCGTGTCCGTGAATGCCAATGTGCAAGGTCGTGTCCGTGAAAATGCCACTGTGGCAGGTCGTGTCCGTGAATGCCACTGTGGCAGGTCATGTCCGTGAATGCCACTGTGGCAGGTTATCTCCATGAATGCCACTGTGGCAGGTAATGTCCGTGAATGCCACTGTGGCAGGTTATGTCCGTGAATGCCACTGTGGCAGGTTATGTCCGTGAATGCCACTGTGGCAGGTCGTGTCCGTGAATGCCACTGTGGCAGGTCGTGTCCGTGAATGCCACTGTGCCAGGTCGTGTCCGTGAATTCCACTGTGCAAGGTCGTGTCCGTGAATGCCACTGTGGCAGGTTCTGTCCGTGAATGCCACTGTGGCAGGTCGTGTCCGTGAATGCCACTGTGGCAGGTCGTGTCCGTGAATGCCACTGTGGCAGGTCGTGTCCGTGAATGCCACTGTGGCAGGTCGTGTCCGTGAAAATGCCACTGTGGCAGGTCGTGTCCGTGAATGCCACTGTGGCAGGTCGTGTCCGTGAATGCCACTGTGGCAGGTCGTGTCCGTGAAAATGCCACTGTGGCAGGTCGTGTCCGTGAAAATGCCACTGTGGCAGGTCGTGTCCGTGAATGCCACTGTGGCAGGTCGTGTCCGTGAATGCCACTGTGGCAGGTCGTGTCCGTGAATGCCACTGTGGCAGGTCGTGTCCGTGAATGCCACTGTGAGTGAGTGAGGTTTTACGCCGCTTTTAGCAATATTCCAGCAATATCATGGCGGGGGACACCAGAAATGGGCTTCACACATTGTACCCATGTCGGGAATCGAACCCGGGTCTTGGGCGTGACGAGCTAACGCTTTAACCACTAGGCTACCCGACCGCCCCGAATGCCACTGTGGCAGGTGATGTCCGTGAATGCCACTGTGGCAGGTGATGTCCGTGAATGCCACTGTGGCAGGTGATGTCCGTGAATGCCACTGTGGCAGGTCGTGTCCGTGAATGCCACTGTGGCAGGTCGTGTCCGTGAATGCCACTGTGGCAGGTCGTGTCCATGAATGCCACTGTGGCAGGTTATGTCCTTGAATGCCACTGTGCCAGGTTGGAACATTTGTTTTATTAGACACTTTACTATTTATTATTAATAAATCAGGGTTAAATTACCAGACTCAAAATATTGAGTAATCATACATCACCATGGTGAAATCATGTGCACTGCCTATCCCCTGGGGCCAGCATCTGCAAGCAGCTAGCAGCCTACAGTGTCTGGGTAAATCCAGCAACAGTATTTCTTGCCATGTTCCAGGCATATTTCATACAGTAGTGCTTTAGATTGCCAGGGAGGCAGGTTCACTGACCCAAGGAAGAACAACTGACCCTCCGTCTGTACAGTATGTTTCAAATCTGGACTATGATGGTGACATGACCCTCAAGGACTGACACCAGTCTCTGTGACTACAAAACTCTGTATTTATGAAGTCACTTGAGTGAAAAATGGAAGTGTTGTTACCGCATCGTAACCTCTTGTTTCAGGGTAGCTGAGAAGGGCCTCGCCCTGGGTGGATCAAGCGGAGGGGTAAGACTGAGTGAGTGAGTGGGTGCTGTTTTATGCCACAGCAATATCACAGACGGTCAGGATGGGCTGTGAAGCACAGTCTTGGCCAGGCAAACCAGTAAAACAACTGGCATGAGTAAAAGTCGCCTGACTATGACACACAACCACCTGATGCTCAGTCTGCCATCATGACAAACATGGCAAACTTTTCTGCCCAGCCTGTATATAAAGGCATCAAGTAATTATTAATGCAATGTTTAAACATAAAGGCAACATACTGTATATTTCATAGCCTTTGGGTTTATTTTGTTTACCCTTATGGTATGATTTGTTTGTTTGTTTGTTGTTAACGCTGCACTCAGCAATATTCCAGCTATATGACGGCAGTCTGTAAATAATCGATGATCCGGTGATGACAAGCATCAACCAAGTCAGCAAGCCTAAACACCCAATCCAGTTTATGGTATGGCTTGAGATGACAATCGATCAAATAGACATAACTCTATATTGTGACTTTTCTGCACTAACATGGGCTACAACTTCCTCCATATCTCCAGGGCTCGCATTTGATAAACCTACACTAAACCCTGGACCCACTTTCGTGGATCCCACCCTCTGTTTTCATTTACATTCTACTGACCAATCAAACATCACGATAGGGAGAATGGAAATGGGTAGAGGAGGTGGACGTAAAGACATCCTTTGCGTCAAAATGATTTTTAAGGGCTTTCTTTTGCATTTCAACATATTTTTTTATGTTTCTTAACTTGCAACTATTTTTATCAGTGGGACTGCCCACCATGTTCTTGATATTGCCAACCCAATATTGAAGCTGGTTTGTAACTCAGAATCGGATTGGTCCTTTAGACTAAGAGAGTGTAGAAAATCAAATTACCCCATGCAAATCAAGGCGATTATTTTGAGATTGCAGGAATGACAGGCATGGACGCATGGGTAAGTGTAGGTTCACCGAAATGCGAACCCTGGAGATACAGAGGATGGGACTCCAGCTTAATTAGTCACAGTACAATTAGTCATTCTGAGACTGCATGATTGTATGTGAGTATGGGACCACGGACAGGATACGTTCACCAAACAGTTACTGTCTTTGATAGATATCAGATTCCATGGTCTAGACAGTTAACCAGTGCTGCTGATGTTGTTATTAATACCTCTTACATCTACATCCTCAGGCTTCTATCCTGGATCTACACACTGGAGCTTTGTCAAAGGATAACGCATTCATTGATATATACAGGTAGTAGTAGTCTGCTGGCTGTTGATGAATATGTTAGTGAGATTGTGTTTACTTTACAGACCCTTGTAGCAGTCGGTTTACTGTCTGTATCAGGACAGGAGTGGTAGATTCTACTAACGGCTGGGACGATTCCAAATGTATTTCCCAGGGACCCGGACCCCCTATTACCTGACCCTACCCGGTTACCCCAAATCTCTGATTGGGAATGGTTTTACCCTGGCAAAAACTATTTATATATAAGTGTAAACCGATTTTGTCGTGCATACACTGGAGCTGACTGAAACTTTATCTTTACTCAAACATATGAAAGTCAGAAGGTATGTGTGCACAGTCAGTAAGCAATGCAAACATTAGCCACTTGTTGTGTAACCATGGAGTTTTATGGGTATTGTCAATAAATAATATATCACGTGACCAACCATGGGTCCCAAGTACCCAGGTTGCCTGTCCCAGCCCTAGTAGATACAGGTTGTTCATGTAGGAGTTCAACATTCCTCACAAACCAGGTCACAGATCTATACACATGGTTGGGGTGTCAGGACCCACTTGAAATGGTGAAAGTTAGGGATGCTGGATCTGGAAAACATATTACAAAATGACTATTTATTTTAAAATTATTTCCTGACATCCTGGGTATGGTTGCAGTGTCTGTCTTGTAAGAAATAATTTGGCATGACATTTACTTAGTAAGGTTTGTACTTCCCAATATGTAACATATGTTTTCATCACATCATTTAGACTGTACCTACAAATACTGTCAAACAGTTTGAGAGCTTCCTAATCCTACAAAATATTTACCAACTTTCCATAGGAAGCAATTCTTTGTTATGAATTTTGTGTCCTGCCTATATAGGTGTCCAGCAAACAACAGTTCACATTTATCAATGTATGTCTGCACTGACCATAGTCTCAAGTGTGCCTATAGTGGTGGCACTCCAGCCATGTCTCAGTGCAGAGAACGGACTTCTCACATTGCACCCAGGTGGCAATGAAGTTACATGGAAACTTTCACATTTTATATATAGTTTATACATTTTCTTGTGGCAATAGGAGCATTTTGAATACAATTCACATACTTGTATTTGAAGAGGTATCTGTTTGTCTTTTACAGATTACTTAAAGCAGAAAAGATTGACTTATTAACAGAGAAAGATTTTAAGATTTACAAGTAAGTAAAATTTGAGTTGATACAAAGTTCTTACACTTTACACTTAACATCTCCTGATGAAAGATGTTTTGGATTTGCTGGTGTTATCTAGTATTTGAGGCAAGTCAAGGCATGAGAAGGAAGAGTTTTAAGAGTTCAATTTCTGAGCATCTAACACTTAATTAAACCAACAATTCTAAAAACATAGATTTTCAATTGATAAACAAGTAAATATACCAAATTGTTAACATTCCAGGAAAGTCAAGGACCAGATCCATGATGCCATTGCCGCAGAGTTTGGGGTGCCGCCAGGGAAACTGTATCTGACAAAGCCAACCTTCTTCTCTAGAATGAACATGACAACGCCCAAGACAATACACGATGAATACTGGCATGCTCATGTTGACAAGGTGTGTCTAACAAGAGGCCAGCTGGAGGATGTCTAGGAGTCTCACTTAACATTCTACTTCATTTACCAATTGGTCAACTCTAGGGCTGGGACGAGTCCAAATTTACTACCCGGGTACCCATCCCCCTATTATCCGACCCTACCCAGATACCCGCTGTAGGTCTCAAGAGATGGGTAAAACATGTCCGATTGGGAATAGTTTGACCCTATTCCTGTCAAAATAAATTTAGATATATGTATAAACCGATCTGGTCATGCATACACTGAAGTTGACTGATGTTTTATCAATATGCAAACGTATAAAGTCAGAAGGAATGTGTGCAAAGTCAGAAAGAAATGTGAACATTTATCCCTTATAGTGTAACCATAGAGTTCTAGATAATTTTTGCCATTAAATATAATCACGTGACTAACCACGGGTCTGGGTGGACCTGTTCTATGGTCTAATGCATATTTCAACCTAGGTCTCCACTTTGTAATATGGAGTCATGACTGTCTGACACATTGAGACATTGACTGTGTGTGATAAGTGTAATATTTTACTGTAGCAGACAAAAAGTGGAACATTAAATGACTTTATTCAAAATGACTAGGATTGCGAATTGACCCAAGTCTCTGTGTGAGAGATCACTTCTTTAGGGGCATTCTATTGAATGTTTTATCTGTACACCAAGTAATAAGAAGACATTGCTTGTGCTAACGTCCTTGTGACTTGTGTATGCAGGAGACTTACGGCTCCTTCCACTACACCTCCCTGCTCTATCTGGCTACCTACAAGCAGGACTTTGATGGCGGCAGGTTTGTGTTTGTGGACACCGATGCCAACAGAACAGTGGAACCGAAACTAGGTAGGGATATCGGTGAATGGATTGACTGAATAAATATTAGGCCACAACAAACTGATTAAGTTTCACCCTTTCAAGCAATGAAAACAGTTTTTTTCATATTTTGAAAAATTTATGAAGATTTTGCATATTAACGTTTTGTTCTAAACTGACAGTTCTGGTATAGAAATGTACACTGACACATAAAACATAAATAGACTGAGCTGAAGCAGATGTTTTCATATATCAATAAGAATGTTTTCAACATGTCAGTGGGAATGTTTTCACCAGAATTCATGTTCCATTTTTTTTCAGGGCGTGTGTCTTTCTTCACTTCAGGCTCGGAGAATGTCCATTTTGTAGAACGTTTGACAGATGGAGTACGATATGCAATTACTGTGTCATTTACATGTGATCCTAGCAAAGCTATTTCCGACCCAGAGTCGAGGTAATCCTTCCATGTTTGTGAATAAGACACAATAAAAACATATTCTTCTATCAGTGTAAGCTCAGTTGCTCTCTGACCAGCTGATTTCTAGTGGACATTATTGATTATGTGTGGGTGGGCTCTTTAAACCAGGTCCCAGTGAGATTTTCTCTGTGCCTTGGGTGCTGGGGGTGTTACATATGTTCACAACCAGGTGTTTGATTTCCCTCATGGGTACAAGTATTCTGTCTCACAGTCCCTGAACCATATGACAAACCCTTGTGACCAGCCCTTACTGTACAGAAATACCTCTAAGAGAAGCAAGTCTAGATTTTCCTCAGGTTCATCTCTTAGGGGCTGCTCCTTTTCAATTTAAATGTAGTTGCTGTTTCTGTGATAATTATATATTTTCTGAGACTAAGCGTTAGTATCGGCTAATAATGTGGTGGGGTGGCTTGAACAATGTGAGGTTGGTTGGTTGGTTTGTTTGTTGTTTAACACCGCACTCAGCAATATTCCAGCTGTATGTCTGCCGTCTGTAAATAATCAAGTCTGGAAATCATGAGCATCGATCCACGCAATTGGGATACGGATGGATCCGGGTAGAATAGGTCTTCAGTAACCCATGTTGCCATAAAAGGCGACTATGAATGTCGTAAGAGGTTACTAACGGGATCGGGAGGTCAGGCTCGCTGACTTGGTTGATGCATGTCATATTGCGTCATATAGCTGGAATATTGCTGAATGCGGCGTTAAACAAACAAGCAAATAAATGGGATACGATGACATGTATCAACCAAGTCAGCGAGCCTGACCACCCGATCCCGTTAGTCGCCTCTCTGGATTGTCTGGTCAAGACTCGATTGTTTACAGATCGCCGCCATATAGCTGGAATATTGCTGAGTGCTGCGTTAAACAACAAACTAGCTACTAAAACAATTTTGTCCAAGCGTGGTTTGTTTGAACAGAAAGAGCTTCGTACCAGCACTGAATAGAAAACGTTAAAACGCCTTCAACACAACAACGATGAGAAAGAGAATACGCACTCTTGTTAACAGTAAAAGATCTTAATTTTTCTTGAAAACAGCATCAGTGTTGATATTCCAGTTGCTGACTTGGCGTTAAACCAAACTCACTCACTAGCCTGGGAAAGGCCGCTGAACATTGTCCCCTTATTAAAGTTAGCTTCGTCGTTTGAGACAATTTAGAAACACATGTCAAATCAGGTTAAAAGCCTTGCAGATTTCAAGCACGTGTTCACCAGCATCATCACGTGATGTCATAGTTACGAGGTCTACCTATCAGGGCTCATTTCCGTTGCGCTAGTTTCCAGAGCGCGTTAATTCCAGACGACATGAATCGAAACAAGTAACGTGTATTCAATAACTGAAACGGTGCATGTCGATTTGATGGCAAGAAGCTGATAAAATGGAGAATATATGCTTCGACACTGATATTTCTACTATTTACACGATACGATAAACGTTGTTTCCTATTTGTGATGTGCATTATAAATCTGGAAGGATATCAATATAGAAACGGGTTTTTTTTTATTCTTGTCTAGCTGTTAATTTTGAACAAACGTTGCACATGACAAGGTAAAGTGCAGGAATATATAAATAATTAATCTGTTCTGACCATGTTCACGTATAACTTATTACTAGTTCCCTTAGAATAACATGTGAGATAATGCCACAGCTATCTGTTCTGATTAAAATAATTAAACCGTATGTCTTTTCTATTATCCAATATTAACAACATAAGAACTGTACGCAAAATGAGCTGTTCACTCCACCGATTCTGGGCATGTGTAATAGCTAGTTTCATCATCTGTACTAACAACAGTAAATACGGCAAAACGATGCAATTTGCTGTATCCATTTACTTGACGTTAATCTGTCTCGCCTCACAAGAACAGGCTGAACATACAAGAAATATATTACTGGTTTGACAGGCAATATAATAATGCCCACAATGTTTGTTACTCTGACATATTGGAATAAGGCACTACACCTGCCGATGCATTTATTAGTTTCATTTTAACACGGTCTGTTTGACTATGTAAACATATTCAACCTGAATTTTGTGATATATCCTAGTAACATGTGAAAGTGCTTTTCACTTTGTATTCTGTACCTCCATAAGAGCATATTTGCTTATGTGACGTTTGACAATATTTATTCAGCTGGTCTTTATTTATGAATATATAGAGAATCTCAGTGTCTTTTGATATCAAATATATCAACACGAGTTGATAAAAGTGGACAAAACTCCGATAAAGACACGTCAAAATACACGAGGGCGTGATTTTATTTAGCAACTTATATCATTCTTAAATCGAAATACGCGCAAAAAGATCAGTGATTTAAAATTATAAAAGCGATATCTACAATGTACATATAGCCCAAGCGGTATCTCCTGTGGGAACCAGTTTTGGATGATAAACAGTTATGTATGCAAAAGCGTCAAGGCTCTCGAGAAGTGAGTGTAGGTTTATTGCTGTATAATTCCCAATAAGCAAACTGTTACCATTAACTGACTGCATGTCGTAATGGACCATAAACTAGATCGGGTGGACAGTCTTGGTTGATTGCTGAAGTTTATGGGCCTATTAGCTTTTGTAAACTAACATGATGAGCAAGCATTGTGTGTCGGTTTACCTTCAGTTAATCAAATCCCAAAGTCTCTCTGCATCTGAAGAACCGAATCGATGAGCTGGAAATTTTTTTCTGACATAATATGTCAGAAATTCGTGGTTATATATAACATTTCGCTTTCCACAACCTATGATTCCTACCATGTGAATTTGGAGTTATGCTAAAAGAATATCCATTTAATTTCCACCAAGGATCTCAGGAATCTGTTTAATCTAATAACACACACCCTACATCTCACAAAAATCAGATCTAAGTTGTGGTTACTGCTTTGTTTAGCGGAAGCAAGAACTAACATCTGATTTTAATGAGACACCCCGCCCCCTTTACCCTCTCTCAATGTTACATAATGCTAGAGAGTTGTGTTTAAATGTAGAACATAATTCCAACATTTCATGGTATAAACTAACATGCAATTACAAGGGAAACTTACACCACCAGAACGGAAAACAACATTTATGAAAATATTAAAATCTGGAATGACAATAAGGGTCATGAAAATATTCATTCATATAAGATAATATAATTTTGCATTATTCAAATAGTCGAAATAGTCATCTTGTGTTCTTTTGGAACAGTTTTACAGAAAATATTTAGGTTCTTAAATGCTATAAAAGTTCCACTAGTTTTGAGTCACATGAAATGTCCATTTAGTACAGAGTGAACAATCTCTTGATGAAGCTGAATACACTGGAGCTGCAGCATGCTGTCACAAATGACTGTGGTGGCGTTATTTCTTCCAGGTGGCTCATGTCAATGAGGACATATGTGTCTGGCTTTACATGCTTCACTGGCTTTACGTGCTGTACTGCAAATGGTCCTGTTGGATCTCCCAAGTCTATCTCGGGGATGTCTTGCTCCAAGTTCATGGAGGAACCACACAGTGACGGACGGGCAGGGTTGGGGAGAGGGGCCTGGGTTATGGGCAGGGAATCAACTTCAGCAGTTGAGAGCTTAGAGAGGAAAGAGAAAGAGCGTATAGATGGTTTACAGAATAAGTAAAGCAGACAAAAAGTGTAGAATATTGTTAAGGTAATGTATGGGGGTTAGTCATAATCCGTTGATTCCAACCAAATTGGAATAAACAAATGGTTTTTAACCTGTGAATTTCCATAAACTAATGTCAAAGTTATCTACGTGCACTTGTTTTTATCATGATTTTAGAACAACAGTCAATGGCATGAAAACTATATGTCTAAATATACAGTACTTATCTTTATACGTTTCCAAAGAGCCTATATGTGACTCCTGATGTTAGGATTCCCCTATAAGCCCATGTTCTATGTTTAGGCATAACCCCCCTTTTACACAAACACACAAAAATGCCCTACATGACCTACTGGGAGAGGAACAGGAAGGTCGGAGAGGGAGGCAGCAATGGTAGGTCGCCGAGATTTTCTCAACTCTTCCCGAGCTGCCCAAAGAAATGAAGCATGAACAAATGGTGCATAAACCGTTTGCCTCACTTTCAAGGCAAATCAGAAAAATAAATTGACAGTTAAAATAAAGTTGACCCTATGCCTTGAAATGAAAATAGAGTAACCTGTTACGTGCAGGAAGTTATCCAGGAAATCGCGTTTGATCAACGGGCATAAATCCTCCGGATCCAAAGCCAGATGTATCAAAAGACGTACCAAATACTAAATCCACAATACTAAAATATGATACCTTGATGAAAGACGCTTGCCACACTCGTGAACATGGTGCTGACCTTGCGTGAAGTGTGTAACAAATCGCAAAATAAGAGCGGAGACTTGAAGTTTGCAACAGTGATGCTAAAACAACAATGGCGTCGTTTACAGACAAAAGTCACCATGGAGACGTTCTCGCGAGATCACAACGTTTTTTGATGAACTGGTACCCGGTATATATGATGAACCGGTATCTTGTGCGCTCTGCGTAGAGCGCTATGAGTCTACTTCTTGGGGCGAGTGAGTTTGGTTTTCCGCCGTATTGGCCTCACACATTTTACCTATGTTGGGAATCGAACCGGATCTATTTATGTCTCAAGTGATTTCATTCATGACAGATAACCCATTATACTAGATCTGCACATTCCTAATCCAAACAAAATCAAGGTTAGGAAGTTTGAGTTTTTATATTTTTCAGTTGGAAAGCTGGAAAACGAGAGAGGTTTTTGTAGGGTTATCTATAATATTGTATATGACTATGGTTAGGTGCTCTACCGCCTAAACATTAGTAGCTCTGTTATGCGAGATGCGAGAGTGATCTCCCTTAGATCATTTCCCATGTGGAGGCTGTATACTCAACACTCAGCACAATAAATTTAACCTACTATCTTCAAATATATATACTGTGGTTTATTGAGAAGACATAACATGATGGGAAGTCCATGTGCTTTTTGTGAAGTGTTGGACATTTTCTTCTGGTGTGATAAAAATGGCAAATAACTGAAAGCAACCACAGTTACCTCAGTTATTACCACAGTCAACATACAGGGTGAACCCACCTGAACACTTTGACTTTACAAAACCATAATCTTGGCCAAAATGGGCACGAAGAAACGAAGTCATTTCAAACAGTGATTTAAAAGTTTCTGAGACACTTTGTAATTTCTCATAATGTGATACATGAGAGAGCTGTATTTAACAGACGCATACATGGTGATGTAGCAGGGCGTGGAGTCATCCCACAGATGATATCCTTACCTTGTCAGCTTGCTGATGGGGTTAACCTCTTTGGTCATGTGGACAAGGCGTCCGACCTGTTATCAGAAGGCCCGTGGTTCGAATCCCATCACGGTACTCGGAAAGTTTATGGCCGCTACATTAGCGCCCAACGTGTAGCGGCCATAAAATTTCCGTGTACCTTGATGAAGTTCAAGATCGATTGTGGTGCGGCTGTCACTGCCATATCTGATACATGTTTCAAGAAGCTTGGTAATGTCAAGCTTGAAAAGACCAAGAAGAAATTACTTGGCCCAGCTAAAATAAAACTTGACATCATAGGGGTGTTTACTCCGAAGCTAACCAAAGGCAGCAAGGTACATCACAAGACATTTATGTTGTGAGAAACCTTGACAGAAGTCTACTGGGGAGACCAGCCATAAGAGCCTTTGAATTGATCAAGTTTGTAGACTCCGTCACAATTACTGATGTGGAGAGAGACTTTCCATCATTGTCAAAGGTCTGGGTGAAATTCCGGGTGAACATGACATAGAACTAACTGATAATGCTGTACCCTGTTCTCTTAACACACCAAGATGTGTACCAAGACCACTCCTTAAAAAGGTCAAGAAAGTGCTTGAGAAAATGCAGGATCTGCAAGTCATCGAACCAGTTACACATCCAACTGACTGGTGTTCAGGTATTGTCGTCGTTACGGAGGGGAAGACAGGAGTGAGAATCTGTGTTGATCTGACACAGCTCAACAATAGTGTGAAGAGACATTTACGCAGTGCCTGCAGTTGATCATCATTCCCAGTCAGATTAAAGGTGCGTAGTACTTTACTCACTTAGATGCTAGTTCAGGCTTTTAACAGCTGAAGTTGTCAGACAAAGCATCCAAGTTAACAACTTACATAACTCCATTTGGCCGATATTGGTTCAAATGCCAGGATGCCATTTGGAATCTCGAGTGCACCCAAGATATTTCAACAAACAATGTCTCAAATCCTGAAAGACCTTCCTGGTGTAATCTGCCTGGTGGACGACATACTCATCTATGGCTTGAGTACTCCAATGTCTAGCAGATAATGATGTCACACTCAACAGGGACAAGTGCGAGTTCAACAAGACTAAACTGAAGTTTGGTGGACATGTCATCAGTAAGAATGGTGTTCAACCTGATCCGGATAAAGTCAAAGCCCTTGTCAACATGAAAACCTCATACAGACAAAACTGAGCTGATGGATCATGGAAAGTAGTAATCTTGGCATCCAGGTATCTAAGTGACACAGAGCAAAGATACGCACAAATTGAAATAGGAGCTCTGGCGATTACCTGGGAAACAGAACTGTTCCATTATTCTGTGCTTGGAAAACACTTCCAAATAGAGACTGACCATAAGCCTCTTGTTTCCATACATGGATCCAAATGTCTCAGTGATCTGTCTCCAAGATTGCAATGTTTCAGAATGAGGTTAATGTGATATAGTTATTCTGTGCTCCACACACCTGGCAAAAATCTGGCAATTGCAGATACAATTTCAGGATTGAGTGCAGAAATAAAATCTGTTGTAGCACACTGCAAAATATGTTTAAAGTACAGGAGAAATCCAACTGAACCTCTCCTACCAACACCAATTACTGATTGACCTTGGCAGACAGTAGGTACAGACCTGTTTGAACTGAACAAAGTAATGTACATACTTGTGATTGGCTACTTCTCAAGGTAATTAGAATCATGAAACTGTCTTCTACAACATCAAAGAGTATCATCAACAGTTTGAAATCTTATTCTCTAGACATGGGATACCAGAGGTAGTTAGGACCTCAATATTCTTCACAGGACTTCCGTGAGTTTGCAAGAATATGTTGCGTAAAGCTGATGATCCATATCTTGCAATGTTGGACAACACCTGTATCTGGTGGATTATCTCCAAGTGAGCTTCTAATGGCAAGAAAGCTGAATACAAGCTTACCATGTCATCCTACACAACTACAATCCAAACATGTGGATGTGAAAAGCTTCAAGCAAGCTGAATCTGTGAAAAAGCTAATAATGAAAGATCAGTATGATCATCATCATAATGTGCGACCACCATCACCTGGTGATTGTGTTTGGGTAAATCAGTCTGAGTCGAAAGTGGTTGGTAAAGCTGACACCCCCCTGTCATATATTGTGTCAACCCCAAAGGGGGAGGTGAGGCGCAATAGATGTGATCTCAAGTTAATTCCTGGTTCAGAGGATACAAGTGTCAAACTGATCCAACCAACTGTCAACAGCAGTCCTAGAAGTGCAAGTCTGTGGTCACAAGACAATACTAACTCTAAGACTCCAATTAAAGTTATTCCCCCATGCCAGCATGTGTTCAAACTAACAGTGGTAGACATTCAAAACCACCAAAAGACTTGATCTTTGAAATGCATATTCCATTATATTGGAATAGCATTTAACAGCGATGTTGTATCAGTAATTTTGAAGTTTATTATTACTCAGAGTTATAGCAATGTTCGTTATAATGTTCTCTTTTAGAAAACACTTAAAAAGTAGAATGATCTAGTAACGTAGACTAAGTGTTAGGGCTTTATTTTCAATATAATCTTATGCATAATTCATAGGCTTTGAAGTATCAAATGTTAATTTTCTTTAAGAAAGTATGATCATTTATTTGCAGTCTTTATTGCACATTTGTGTTTAAATGCATTTAAATGCATATATCTGTCTGTAACTAGAGCATGTAGAATGCATTAATGTTTACTTTATTTCAACTGCTTAAAGTTTTGCAATTATCTTTCCTAGAAAGGTGGATGTAGGGTTATCTATGTTATATATGACTATGGTTAGGTGCTCTACTGCCTAAACATTACTAGCTCTGTTATGCATGACTGTAGATATGCGAGAGTGGTCTCCCTTATATCAATGCCCATGTGGAGGCTGTATACTCAACACTCAGCACAATAAACCTACTATCTTCAAACCATATATATACTGTGGTATATTGAGAAGACGTAACAGTTTTGAGCTTTCAGTTTTCAATTCATTACGCTGAATTGTCTCTAACCACTCCGACGAGTGCTGCGTCGTCATCAAACTTGACATCTGATCGACACATTATATCATGCACTAGTATCCTCATACAATCGAACCTCGTGGGGTCCTGGCGGAAAGTGCGAGACAACCAACAAAGTGATTTTTCGAAAATCAAACATCATGTTATAAGAGATTTTTACCAAGTCTGGATGCAACACAAGATTTCAAGGCGAACGTAAATTTCAGTACCCAGGCTGCTGGTAGTGAAAGGGGCGGCATCTCAGACGAATCACTGATCTCACTGTCCCCATCTGGATGGGTGTCATTGTTTATGTCTTGTCTCAAATAATAGAATTAACTAACATCATTTTAATCCGTTTTACTCATTTGTCAATTTTCATGTGTCATCGGCAGTCACGTGAGAACATTTAAGTAACTTGCCGCTGGTGTGCATACAGTACTCAATTGCGTGGATCGATGCTGATGATGTCAATCACTGGATTGTCTGGTCGAGATTCGACTATTGACAGACCGCCGTCATAAAGCTGGAATATTGCTGAGCGGCGTTAAACAACAAACAAAGAACAGAAAAGGCATACATATCCAGCTTTCACCATTGTTGTAAGGTTTTTGTTTTGTTTGTTTATTTGTTGTTTAACGCTGCACTCAGCAATATTGCAGCTTTATGACGGCGGACTGTAAATAATCGAGTCTGTACCAGACAATCCAGTGATTGACATCATGAGCATCGACCCACGCAATAGGGATACGATGACATGCATCAACCAAGTCAGCGATCCTGACCACCCGATCCCGTTAGTCGCCTCTCTGGATTGTCTGGTCAAGACTCGATTATTTACAGATCGCCGCCACACCAGCACTGAATGGAAAACGTTAAAACGCCTTCAACAAAACAACGATTAAATAGGGACAGCACACTCTTGTTAACATTCTTAAAGATCTTAATCTTCGCATAAAATGTCATCTTTGTTGACATTGCTTGAAAGGGGGCACGAAAGGCCTAGTCGTCTAAGGCACCGTGATTCGCTGTGCAGAGTTGTGTCCCTTGGGCACGACAGAAACCGATGATTGTGGGTTCGAATCCCGTTTCGACCCGATTATGTTTCTAGGGTTGTCAGCACCATACCCGTGCTCGTGGGTTTCACCGAAGTGGTAAACGTCCGAGACCTGCATCACCAGGCTTTCCTCCAAAATTTAAATTACACGCCGCCATATAACTGGAATACTGTTAAAAGTGGCGTTAAACCCAACTCACTCACTCACTCATTTCTTAAAAACAGCACCTGTGTTGATATTCCAGTTTAATTAATTATCTACAAATCTGAGCTACTGATAAGCAGCGTATTTGCGTAAAATACCCCCCAAAATATTCAAAACCAATTAATTTCAATTAACTTGCGTACAGAAACGCATGCATTAATAGAAAAACTCAAATGTATAAAAACAGCACGCGTAAATACCCAATGAAGCTTTTTCAGCATGCGTACAAAGGAGCTAATTTCCGAAACACAATTACGAGCTAATTTACTTTCCGAGTCAAGCCTATATATTTAGAACAGATATACATCTAAAACATTATTTCATTTTATTAAATCTTAAAATGGTCACTTATTTTGGGAAAACCCCAATAGCGTGATGAATAGATGAGTGAAAAAATATTGGATACCCAATGAAAAATGTAATAGCCCAATCAAAATAGAAACCCTAGAGTAAAAACTGGAGCTCTGACTTCAGTGCGTTATGGGATGTCCTCAGATCTTTGTTTAGCGGTAGCGAGAACTAAGATCTGATTTTAATTTGATTTGATTTTAATTTTAATTAGTTTGGCAGGGTCAATCATTATTGATTAGGGGGGCCAGGGTGGCACAGTCGTCTAAGGCGCCGCGATTCGCTGTGCAGAGTTGCGTTCCTTGGGCACGCCAGAAACCTATAATTGTGGGTTCGAATCCCTGTTCGCCCCGATTATGTTTCTAGGTTCGTCAGGACCATTCACCCAAGTGGTAAACGTCGGAGACCTGCATCACTTCGGGCTTTCCTCCCACATTAAGCTGACACGCCGTGATGATACTGGGATACTGTTAAAAGCGGCGTTAAACCCAACTCACTCACATACTCATTATTAATAAGGATTAACCATTTTTATTATAATTAAAAAGTGATAATTATTTGTGTGTTTAATAGGGCGGTGGATGCCGATGATTTTGCGGTGCTAGGTTCGGGCTAATTAATAAATTTGTTTCAAGTAATTCAAAAGACACCAGATATTGCCATGAACATGTATAGCATCAGCCAGACTATGATAAATATTTTGTAGGACACAGTATGACCATGATGGATATAAACGAATGGCTGTGGAGTGGCATTTGTAATAAAGTTACATAAAGATACATGCTATAGGCGACTATGCTTGTGGTAAGAGGCGACAAGACGGGATTTGGTGGTCAGGCTTGCTGACTTGGCGTTAAACCCAACTCACTCACTAGCCTGGGAAAGGCCGCTGAACGTCTTCCCCTTGAGAAATTTAGCTTCGTCGTTTGAGACTATTTAGAAACACATGTCAAACCAGGTTTAAAGCCTTTCAGATTTCACGCAGGTGTCTACCAGCATCGTCACGTGATGTCATGGTTACGAGGTCTACCCATCAGGGCTCATTTCCGTTGCACTAGTTTTCAGTGCGCGTTAATTCCAGACGACATGAATCGAAGCACACCTGCCGATGCATTTATTAGTTTCATTTTAACACCGTCTGTTTGACTATGTAAACATATTCAACCTGAATTTTGTGATATATCCTAGTAACATGTGAAAGTGCCTTTCACTTTGTATTCTGTACCTCCATAGGAGCATATTTGCTTATGTGACGTTTCACAATATTTACTCACTCACTACAGGTCATTCCGGTGAAGGTAATGTTTTGGCGGAATTAAACATCATTTTACTGGACATATTCAGCTGGTCGTTACGCATTCCTTTTTTTATTATGTAGTAAGTATAATAAAAATAACCAACAGGATTTCCCTAATTGCGTACGAGTAAACATTAATCAGCTATTTCTTCAGTGTCTTCATTTATGTGACCACGCTCTGATTCCCTTTGACCCACCCACCCCTATATTAAATTACCGATCCCCTAGGCGTTAGGCATTATTCAGCGTTAGAAACTGGCACTAGTCCTATAGTCCTTGTCAAAATTGCCCGATAGTTAAGGTATCCTAAGGATTAGTAGAAGTTTGGAATTTTTACGGGTTTTGCTATATGTTATCATTAAAAGGACTAGTGGACTAAAATGTTAGTTTCTACCGCTGTTATGCCAAGTTATCGATATGTTCCAAGTTAAGTTTATGGGCATATTAGCTTTTGTAAACTAACACGTTGAGCAAGCATTGTGTGTCGGTGTACTTTCGGTTAATCAAATCCCAAAGTCTCTCTGCACCTGAAGAACAGAATCGATGAGCTGGAAAATCTTTTCTGACATAATATGTCAGAAATTCGTGGTTATATATAACATTTCGCTTTCCACAACCTATGATTCCTACCATGTGAATTTGGAGTTATGCTAAAAAAATATCCAGTTTATTTTCCACGTAGGATCTCAGGAATCTGTTTAATCTAATAGCACACACCCTACATCTCACAAAAATCAGATCTAAGTTGTTGTTACTGCTTTGTTTAGCGGAAGCAAGAACTAATTTTTAATGAGAACTCTCTTCTCCTCTCCTCCCCTCTCTCAATGTTACATAATGTTAGAGAGTTGTGTTTAAATGTAGAACACAATTCTCAACATTTTATGGTAACATGCAATAACAGGGGAAACAAACACCTGAACGGAAAACAACATTTATGAAAATTTTAAAATCTGGAATCACAATAAGGGTTATGAAAATATTCATTCATATAACATAATTAAGTTTTGCATTATTCAAATAGTCGAAATAGGTATCTTGTGTTACAGAAAATATTTAGTTTCTTAAATGCTATAAAAGTTCCACTAGTTTTGAGTCACATGAAATGTCCATTTAGTACAGAGTGAACAATCTCTTGATGAAGCTGAATACACTGGAGCTGCAGCATGCTGTCACAAATGACTGTGGTGGCGTTATTTCTTCCAGGTGGCTCATGTCAATGAGGACATATGCATCTTGCTTTACATGCTTCACTGGCTTTACATGCTTCACTGGCATTACATGCTGTCCTGCAAATGGTTCTGTTGGATCTCCCAAGTCTATCTCGGGGATGTCTTGCTCCAAGTTCATGGAGGAACCACACAGTGACGGACGGGCAGGGTTGGGGAGAGGGGCCTGGGTTATGGGCAGGGAATCAACTTCAGCAGTTGAGAGCTTAGAGAGGAAAGAGAAAGAGCGTATAGATGGTTTACAGAATAAGTAAATCAGACAAAAGTGTAAAATATTGTTAATGTAATGTAATGTATGGGGGTTAGTCATAATCCGTTGATTCCAACCAAATTGGAATAAACAAATGGTTTTTAACCTGTGAATTTCCATAAACTAATGTCAAAGTTATCTACGTGCACTTGTTTTTATCATGATTTTAGAACAACAGTCAATGGCATGAAAACTATATGTCTAAATATACAGTACTTATCTTTATACGTTTCCAAAGAGCCTATATGTGACTCCTGATGTTAGGATTCCCCTATAAGCCCATGTTCTATGTTTAGGCATAACCCCCCTTTTACACAAACACACAAAAATGCCCTAGATGACCTACTGGGAGAGGAACAGGAAGGTCGGAGAGGGAGGCAGCAATGGTAGGTCGCCGAGATTTTCTCAACTCTTCCCGAGCTGCCCAAAGAAATGAAGCATGAACAAATGGTGCATAAACCGTTTGCCTCACTTTCAAGGCAAATCAGAAAAATAAATTGACAGTTAAAATAAAGTTGACCCTATGCCTTGAAATGAAAATAGAGTAACCTATTACGTGTAGGAAGGTATCCAGAATTTTAGGATCTAGGAAAATCGCGTTTGATCAACATTAATCATCTGGATCCAAAGCCAGATGTATCAGAAATACTAAATCCACAATACTAAAATATGATACCTTGATGAAAGACGCTTGCCACACTCGTGAACATGGTGCTGACCTTGCGAGAAGTGTGTAACAAATCGCAAAATAGAGAGGAGACTTGAAGTTTGCAACAGTGATGCTAAAACAACAATGGCGTCGTTTACAGACAAAAGTCACCATGGAGACGTTCTCGCGAGATCACTACGTTTTTTGATGAACTGGTACCCGGTATATATGATGAACTGGTATCTTGTGCGCTCTGCGCAGAGCGCTATCAGTCTACTTCTTGGGGAGAGTGAGTTTGGTTTTACGCCGTATTTGGCTTCACACATTTTACCAATGTTGGGAATCGAACCTGATCTATTTATGTCTCAAGTGATTTCATTCATGACGGATAACCCATTATACTAGATCTGCACATTCCTAATCCAAACAAAATCAAGGTTAGGAAGTTTTCTTCAAACCACATATACTGTGGTATATTGAGAAGACATAACATGATGGGATGAGGATATTATTAACCAGGTTAGCAACTACAATAGTCAAAAAGAGATTTTACTTAATGAACTTGTTAGTGAGCGAAAACGGAAGGTTTAATTGAAGTCCATGTGCTTTTTGTGAAGTGTTGGAAATTTTCATCTGGTGTGATAAAAATGGCAAATAACGAAAAGCAGCCACGGTTACCTCAGTTATTACCACAGTCAACATACAGGGTGAACCCACCTGAACACTTTGACTTTACAAAACCATAATCTTGGCCAAAATGGTCACGTCGTTTTGAACGATTCAGACAGTCATCTCTTGTGACTGAAGAAGCAGATGAGGTTCAAATCAATTCACTCATTTACCATATGGGGGATGAAGCAGAGGATATCTTGTCATCTCTGAATTTGACAGCTGAAGAAATGAAGTCATATCAAACAGTGATTGAAACGTTTCTGAGACACTTTTTTAATTTCTCATAATGTGATATATGAGAGATCGAGCTGTATAAATAACAGACGCATACAAAAAGATGGTGATGTAGCAGGGCGTGGAGTCATCCCACAGATGATATCCTTACCTTGTCAGCTTGCTGATGGGGTTAACCTCTTTTGTCATGTGGACAAGGCGTCCAACCTCGGCCTACCTTTAGAATACAGTACCACAAACTTTTCAAACACGTGATCATACCCTATGACGTAATTTGTAGTATTGTTGCCAGTCACACCGGCGAAACAATGCCCTGTGACGTCAGGGGTCATCGAGTGTGCATAAGCTCCTCCCAGTGATCTTTCATCCTTACACGCAATGTCATTGAATACCCCCTGCGGTGTTGAGAGTTTTGAGAATTTGTTTACTAATAATAGCCTGCGGCGGCGCATTTTAGAGCAAGCGCTAGTTTACGAAAGCACTTTTATTTTTTATTTATTTTTTATTTCGTTTTTCTCGTAATTCAAGTGGATAAAATGGTTATAAATGAACTAATATACATATATTATTTTTTCAGTTCATTATTTTTTATTATTATGCACAAGAATGCAGTTTATTAGGGATATTATAGGCCCTATAGATTCTCTATGGCGCTGAACACATCCAAATGTCGCCAGTGTTAGGGTAGGTTACCCCGAACTCTATCCTTAGCCCTTGGATCCCCTCTACGATAAATCACCCCTTTACGACCATTAGGGTTAGGTACTCGTTTAGTGGCGATTAGATTACCCGAAGTCTATCCTTAGCCCTTGGATCCCCTTTACGATCAATCACCCCTTTACGACCATTAGGGGTTAGGTACTCGTTTAGTGGCTATTATAGATTATATAACGGGTCCTAATATTCTTCACACAAAAACGTCGAGTAAAAAGGATGAAATGGTTTTGTGTCGAATATTTTGGCTACTGGAAACTGTCCTGGAACATTCACACAAGCCACTTTCATCGGCTACACTTTTTCAGTACTGATTCAAAAGCGAACTCACCGTTGTGTCGTCACTAGTCATGCTTATTCCTCCCTCGTTCCTTACTATTATCCACATCATCCTTACAGTGTTCCCTACCACACTTTTCTGTCACAAAAATCACCCGACGAATTATTAAATACCATATAATTCATGACTACTTGCGAGTTCGACGTCTGACGTCTGACGCCTGGAGCCGTTTTCAGTTTGCGGCATATCGGCTCATTCCTCACCACTCGGTATCTTGTACATTACGGAATGGGACGAGTGTGCCAAATGGCATCGGGATCATGCGTAAGTGTCCGTAGACTAAAGTCACGAGACACCATGCCTACCCGTAACCTTCGTAAGTGTCCGTCACCTATTCGACCCTTTTCGTTCAGTTCCGTAACGTCATAGGCATGACTAGGTAAATTTGCACTACATTTAACAGTGTGGACGTAGATCAGTCAGTTAGCTGTCGGGGATAACAATCCGAAGGTCGCGGGTTCGCGTCCGACGGATTCTCACTAAAACTGGAGAGATCGTCCTAACGAGAAGTTGTAGTACTGTGTTCTAAAGGTCCGTGGTTCGAATCCCATCACGGTACTCGGAAAGTTTATGGCTGCTACATTAGCGCCCAACGTGTAGCGGCCATAAAATTTCCGTGTACCTTGATGAAGTTCAAGATCGATTGTGGTGCGGCTGTCACTGCCATATCTGATACATGTTTCAAGAAGCTTGGTAATGTCAAGCTTGAAAAGACCAAGAAGAAATTACTTGGCCCAGCCAAAATAAAACTTGACATCATAGGGGTGTTTACTCCAAAGCTAACCAAAGGCAGCAAGGTACATCACAAGACATCTGTGTTGTGAGAAACCTTGACAGAAGTCTACTGGGGAGACCAGCCATAAGAGCCTTTGAATTGATCAAGTTTGTAGACTCAGTCACAATTACTGATGTGGAGAGAGACTTTCCATCAGTGTTCAAAGGTCTGGGTGAAATTCCGGGTGAACATGACATAGAACTAACTGATAATGCTGTACCCTGTTCTCTTAACACACCAAGACGTGTACCCATACCACTCCTTTAAAAGGTCAAGAAAGAGCTCGAAAAAATGCAGGATCTGCAAGTCATTGAACCAGTTACACATCCAATTGACTGGTGTTCAGGTATTGTCGTCCTTCCAAAGGGGAAGACAGGAGTGAGAATCTGTGTTGATCTGACACAGCTCAACAATAGTGTGAAGAGACATTTACGCTATGCCTGCAGTTGATCATATTCTCGGTCAGATTAAAGGTGCTAAGTAGTTTACTCGCTTAGATGCTAGTTCAGGCTTTTAACAGCTGAAGTTGTCAGACAAAGCATCCAAGTTAACAACTTTCATAACTCCATTTGGCCGATATCAGTTCAAAAGGATGCCATTTGGAATCTCGAGTTCAACCGAGATATTTCAACGAACAATGTCTCAAATCCTGAAAGATCTTCCTGGTGTAATCTGCCTGGTGGACGACATACTCATCTATGGCTCGACTCAAGAGGAGCATGCTAAGTGTCACATGAGAGTACTCAAACGTCAAGCAGATAATGATGTCACGCTCAACAGGGACAAGTGCGAGTACAACAAAACTAAACTGAAGTTTGTTGGACATGTCATCAGTGAGAATGGTGTTCAACCTGATCCGGATAAAGTCAAAGCCCTTGTCAACATGAAAACCTCATACAGACAAAACTGAGCTGATGGATCATGGAAAGTAGTAATCTTGGCATCCAGGTATCTAAGTGACACAGAGCAAAGATACGCACAAATTGAAATAGGAGCTCTGGCGATTACCTGGGAAACAGAACTGTTCCATTATTCTGTGCTTGGAAAACACTTCCAAATAGAGACTGACCATAAGCCTCTTGTTTCCATACATGGATCCAAATGTCTCAGTGATCTGTCTCCAAGATTGCAACGTTTCAGAATGAGGTTAATGTGATATAGTTATTCTGTGCTCCACACACCTGGCAAAAATCTGGCAATTGCAGATACAATTTCAGGATTGAGTGCAGAAATAAAATCTGTTGTAGCACACTGCAAAATCTGTTTAAAGTACAGGAGAAATCCAACTGAACCTCTCCTACCAACACCAATTACTGATTGACCTTGGCAGACAGTAGGTACAGACCTGTTTGAACTGAACAAAGTAATGTACATACTTGTGATTGGCTACTTCTCAAGGTAATTAGAATCATGAAACTGTCTTCTACAACATCAAAGAGTATCATCAACAGTTTGAAATCTTCTCTAGACATGGGATACCAGAGGTAGTTATCTCAGATAATGGACCTCAATATTCTTCACAGGACTTCCGTGAGTTTGCTCAACAGTACAACTTTACTCACATCACATCCAGCCCATTGTATCCAAGGAGCAATGGAGAGGCTGAGCGAGCTGTTCAGTCATGCAAGAATATGTTGCGTAAAGCTGATGATCCATATCTTGCAATGTTGGACAACACCTGTATCTGGTGGATTATCTCCAAGTGAGCTTCTAATGGGAAGAAAGCCGAGAACAAGCTTACCATGTCATCCTACACAACTACAATCCAAACATGTGGATGTGAAAAGCTTCAAGCAAGCTGAATCTGTGAAAAAACTAATAATGAAAGATCAGTATGATCATCATCATAATGTGCGACCACCATCACCTGGTGATTGTGTTTGGGTAAATCAGTCTGAGTCGAAAGTGGTTGGTAAAGCTGACACCCCCCTGTCATATATTGTGTCAACCCCAAAGGGGGAGGTGAGGCGCAATAGATGTGATCTCAAGTTAATTCCTGGTTCAGAGGATACAAGTGTCAAACTGATCCAACCAACTGTCAACAGCAGTCCTAGAAGTGCAAGTCTGTGGTCACAAGACAATACTAACTCTAAGACTCCAATTAAAGTTAATCCTCTTAGTCCATCATGTGTTCAAACTAAAAGAGGTAGACATTCAAAACCACCAAAAAGATTTGATCTTTGAAATGCATATTTCATTGTATTTGAAAAGCATTTGACAGCGATGTTTTATCAGTAATTTTGAAGTTTATCATTACTCAGAGTTATAGCAATGTTCGTTATAATGTTCTATTTTAGAAAACACTTATAAAGTAGAATGATCTAGAAACGTAGACTAAGTGTTAAGTCTTTATTTTCAATATAATGTTATGCATAATACATATGCTTTGAAGTATCAAATGTTAATTTTCACTTAAGAAAGTATGATCATTTATTTGCAGTCTTTATTGCACATTTGTGTTTAAATGTATTTAAATGTGTTAGGCATATATCTGTCTGTAACTAGAACCATATCGTTCCCAGAAAGGGGGATGTAGGGTTATCTATATTATGTATGACTATGGTTAGGTGCTCTACCGCCTAAACATTACTAGCTCTGTTATGAGTGAGTGAGTGAGTTGGGTTTAACGCCGCTTTTAACAGTATTCCAGTCATATCACGGCGTGTCAGCTTAATGTGGGGGGAAAGCCCGAAGTGATGCAGGTCTCCGACGTTTACCACTTCGGTGAAACCCACGAGCACGGGTATGGTGCTGACAAACCTAGAAACATAATCGGGGCGAACCGGGATTCGAACCCACAATCATAGGTTTCTGGCGTGCCCAAGGGACGCAACTCTGCACAGCGAATCGCGGCGCCTTAGACGACTGGGCCACCCGTGCCCCCAGCTCTGTTATGCATGACTGTAGATATGCGAGAGTGGTCTCCCTTATATCAATGCCCATATGGAGGCTGTATACTCAACACTCAGCACAATAAACCTACTATCTTCAAACCATATATACTGTGGTATATTGAGAAGACGTAACAGTTTTGAGCTTTCAGTTGTCAATTCATTACGCTGAATTGTCTCTAACCGGTCCAACCAGTGCTGCGTCGTCATCAAACTTGACATCTGATCGTCACATTATATCATGCACTAGTATCCTCATACAATCGAACCTCGTGGGGTCCTAGCAGAAAGTGCGAGACAACCAACAAAGTGATTTTTCGAAAATCAAACATCATGTTATAAGAGATTTTTACCAAGTCTGGATGCAACACAAGATTTCAAGGCGAACGTAAATTTCAGTGCCCAGGCTGCTGGTAGTGAAAGGGGCGGCATCTCAGACGAATCACTGATCTCACTGTCCCCATCTGGATGGGTGTCATTGTTTATGTCTTGTCTCAAATAATAGAATTAACTAACATCATTTTAATCCGTTTTACTCATTTGTCAATTTTCATGTGTCATCGGCAGTTACGTGAGAACATTTAAGTAACTTGCCGCTGTTGTGAAAACAGTACTCAATTGCGTGGATCGATGCTGATGATGTCAATCACTGGATTGTCTGGTCGAGACTCGATTATTTACAGACCGCCGTCATATAGCTAGAATATTGCAGAGTGCGGCGTTAAACAACAAACAAAGAAAAGATAAGGCATACAGTAACCAGCGTTCACCATTGTTGTAAGGTTTTTGTTTTGTTTGTTTATTTGGGATACGATGACTTGCATTAACCAAGTCAGCGAGCCTGACCACCCGATCCCGTTAGTCGCCTCTTACCGCAAGCATAGTCGCCTTTTACGGCAAGCATGGGTTGCTGAAGACCTATTCTACCCCGAATCTTCACGGGTCTGTTGTAAGGTGTGTTTGTTACAGTTAGGCTTGATTGGATATTGGCGTGATGTCAGAAGGTATCCTGCCTTTGATGTAATTGCGCAGTGAGGTCAGCCAGTTGTGTCTGAAGTGAGTTGAAGTGTGAGTGTGTGGACGTTATTTTTTATTATGAACTGATCGAGTCATCAGGGGAATTTTATGCTTAATTTGGATACCTGGGACTCCCAACTAAATTCCAGACAACCGGGAATTCGACACATCCAGTTCGACAGATCCGATTATAAATGATGATAAATATAGAAGGGATTTGCAGGGACCGGAAGATGAGTTCGAGACAACCGGGAATTCGAAAAATCGATTCTATTCTATTCTATTCTAGACTTGGGTCATGAAGACTCATATCTTTAAAATAAACTTAACTTATAAAATAACAATTCAAATTTCAACGTATGTATATGCCTACAACATTTTAATAAGCGTCATCATAACCACAATAAAAGTACAAGTAAACTACATAATCAGACGGATTAATGTCTAAAGCAGGTTAATCCCCCTGTTGTGGGCGAGCCAACTTGGCAAGACGTCTTGGTCAGGGCTATGCTTGTCGGGTTGTTTGTAGACGACACACGGGATGCTCGCCAGCCCTGGACAGTAAATACTTGGTAATAAGGCTTGCCCAATGTGATCCCTCCATGTTAGATGGCCATTTGTATATATTGCCTGGGCTTACCTGGGGCAATATTTTGGATGTCAATGTTAACACTGTGTTTTTTATGCACACGTGTAAGGATGCACTACTAATGCAAATAATCGTCGGCGTTATTTCTATGTCGTCAGAGTACCTGAAGCTTTATTTATATTTTTTTAAAATAAATTTGCAAGCAAGCGCAAGGAGGCATTTATAAAGTTATTTAGTGATGTGAAATAAACATTATTGAATCAAACGTCCTTATTATTGTATTTACTCATTGACACTCACATTATGGCCATCGAGTCTCGTGTTAATCCGGGTTAGATCTGTTTCAAAAGGTTCAAAGTAAGTAATCAAAAGTGCTATTGTTCACATTTTCTCAAAGGCATTTTATGTCATCGATCAACCATTAAGGCAGGGTCACAGTGACGTGTTATCTGCCACGGTATCTCTGTATTACCTGGCGGCGTTGACAGTTCCCTCGTTGACTGGAGGTACTGCAGCGTGCATCGATGGTCTGCATATTGCCTGCTGCAGAGGCAGTAACAGCTCCCTTTAGCCGCCATCGTGGGTATACTGGCTCCACATATTGAAACAATGAAGTATTGAAGCTCAGCCAACAGAGCCACTGATAGGAAATCAATAGAAATAACGGAGCCGCAATCATAACTTTATTAGTCAGTCAGAACTACCATTAATCATGTTTGTCACTGTTTGGATACATATAGTCATTAAAGTGTCATGTCGCACAGGACCCGTGAAGACCCGGGTAAAGAATAGATCTTACGCAACCCATGCTAGCCGTAAGAGACGTTTAACGGGATCGGGTGGTCAGGCTAGCAGAATTGGTTGATGCATGTCATCGTATTCCAATTGCAAAGATCGATGCTCATGGAGTCAGTCACAGAATTGTTTTGTCAAGATTCGATTATTTACAGACCGTCGTCATATAGCTGGAATAGTGCTGTGCAGCGTTAAACAACAAACTTTGGACCAATGTGTAGACAAGGTTAGACATGTCTACATTCTCGTGACAGATGTTTTACATGTTTTCACGTACTTTTCACATACGTTCCTGGAAATATTCTAAATATTGCAGCAACATAAAGTCGAAACAACTTCACTGCAAATTCCATGCGGGTCGAGGATAATACGCGTAGAGGATGCGTTGTCTGGACTATTTATGAATGAATTTATCTTGTTGGCTTTTCTTGTAAAAAAATGCAATCGCATTGGAAGCTGAAAATGAAATTAACTAAAACAATACTTTAAGCAAAGGGTCATTCAGCTTATTTTGGACCAGACAATCCAGTGATTGACATCATGAGCTTCGATCCACGCAATTGGGATACGGTGACGTGCATTAACCATGTCAGCGACCCTGACTACAAGCATGGGTTGCTGAAGACCAATTCTAACCCGGATCTTCACGGGATTTTTTCAACCAACTCGTACACATAGATCATACAGACTGTTGCCACTCTACAATGGGTGCAGCCCGTTTTTCCATTTCTCTATGAAGCATGGAAACACAAATCTAATATGTTTCCGAAAGGTAAACCAATGTATAGTTTTGTAAAGGACGCTGCTACCTTTGTCCATCACGAAGCCAGTAGTTGCTCCTGTCGTATTCTCTAAGCTAAGATTGTCTCGAGATTCAAATCCTCTCGGACGTTTCAAATCTCGCCCAAACAGGTGTACTAAGCCTGTTACCGTACACAGGTTCTCCCGGGCTCTGGAAACATAACATCCAGTTTGGGGCACGCTTTTCCCCCAATCAAATACAAATTGTGACTGTAGAGATGAAACCAGTTGGCCAAAGTCAGTTGACGGGAGAGGCCAGTCCCAACAAACTGTTGACAAACACTGTGTGCAGCTTTACATTGTACAGGTTGTGTATTCTCGCTGCTCGCCGTCATGTTGGTTTTGGCTGTGCAAAACAAAAGGCAGGAGACATGGGCAATGCTTGTCTGTCGTCAGTCAATGCATGCAGGTCGTCTTTGAAGCACAGGAAGTTTTTGTCTCGAGGCTTTCTTCATTAAGGTACGACCCTATGTAATTTCCTTTCACATACTGTCGAAGTTCTTACTTTTATATCTTCTTTGTTGCTGTATAAATTGTAATATTATCACAACAAAATAATAAATAGTAAATTATCAAATTATGTTTTTGATTACAGCGCACTATTATTTTCTGAATGGTAAATTTTTTTTTATGTTTTATAATACTTCAAATAATTAAACTTTATGAGTCTTAAATTTCAAATAAAAGCGACTGTATTGTCCGCACTATGTTTTAATTAAATTGATGAAAGTAAAAGTTACACCGACAGTGTTATATTAAGAAAGATGAAACTTGGATCCGTCTACTGACTAGTGGTACCGAACTCGCAGCCGCGAGCTACATCGGGCGGACAAGTAAAATTACATCGACGTATCATTCACATTCTGCGTCTAAGCAAGCTGTTTTCGGTAGAACTGCCATAGTGTTCTTACGCCCCCGTCCCATTTCTAACGAGTTCTCAATCATCATTTTTCTGCGAACCACTACTACTACTACTACTACTACTGATACTACTACTACTACTACTATTGTTTCTTCTGCTGCTGCTACTACTGCTATTACAACTCTTACTCCTACTACCCCTTCTACTGCTGCTGCTGTAACTACTACTGCTGTTACTACTACTACTACTACTACTACCACTAGCACCGCTGCTGCTAGTGCAACTGCTATATTACTGCTATATTGTACTGCCTTCAGGGGTATAGTGTATATACCTAAGCAGTATTAAGGAATTATCACATCTTTAGAATTACATCATCAATGATCTTGACAGTGCAATTAAATTCAAATTGTTAGCTTGAATGAAAATTAAATCTGAAGCATTCACAAGTTCCCCCATCAACTAACCCCCCCCCCCCCCCCCCCCCTACACCACTCGTTTCCGGGTCCCACATCTTCCACGTAATGACGTGCACCCCGTGTGTTAATTTCAAGACACATGCATCATGGCCTCCTGCGGGGAGAGGAAAGATGGATTTATAATTAAAGCTGAATGGCTTCCACGCGTCTCCACAGCGATATTTACATGCAAAGCCGGGGACCCGTCCTCTCGGCGTTTGTGCGGTTTTAGAGGGATTAATTGAGACCGAATAATGACAGGCAATGGGGTTTTTCCTAAGACTTAGCCCGTCGTAATCCGCTAACTCCGGTGTTAAAGCAGTTTGGTCTGGCCTGACAAGTCAGTGGTGAGCAGAGAGAAAGTTTTCTGACTAGGAAGCAAATTGTGGCAAATGGTCTCATGCGAATTGGCTTGATGTGAGTTACCCGGGAGAAACTTAACATGGAGTACTGCTCGACCTGCTCGCGTTGTCCATTGCCATGGAAACCAAATTTTTCATTAACCGATATCCATTGAGGACATCCTGTGGAATGATGGGACTAACTTTTTAACATTTTTAAAGGATGAGTGCATTTATTGGGACAGGTCGCTCAAAACACTGAGCGAGCTGGTAGTTTACCTGGATTCCTCACTTGTCTACCTGTAAATCGGCATTAGTCTGCTTTTCTTTGATCACACAGGTAAGTGTATACAGAGTTTGTTTTCGCACACACATGAATGTTTTATCACGGCAGGTGCGATAGGACAAATGGACACCTATAGTTAGGAACGGACTTGTATTCACCCGAGAACGGTTATTTGCTCAGTCGGTTTCTACCAAACACTTTAAGGCCGAAAAGCGTGACGAACCGAGGGTGTGATTAGTTCTCACCAGTCATACTTTTCGCCAAATACTTACAAAACCTTGGCTCAACATTTATCAAATCCTAATCATTAAATTTATATTTTTTTAACGTGAGAAACACACTTTTGAATACAAGTTAAAGGTAGAATTGTATTCGTTTACTGTGACAGCAATACAATGGGAAACAGTTGTATACCTGTATTTGATATTAGCTATACTTCACTCTTGAACGAGTAATCCCTCAAACTGTCTGTCCCAAAGTCTCGTTATTCTCCACGAACTTGGCGAACAGTTTAATATTCCCTATGTCTGGATGCCAAGAGACGAAGTGATTCATACCCGTTTCCAGGTAAGGTTGTTTTTTTGTTGCTTTATCCTGAAAGGGTTTCTGACAACGCGATTTTCAATCGATAGTTGTTATTTATGCTTTTATGGCCACATTTATGATCGTGTAATAAAAGAGGCGTGTAGATCGATAGGTTTACGTTTATTCAACTTGTCGGTGTGAAGTACGCGGCCATGCTACAGGATGTAAATATTCAATTATGGGAGCCATACAGAAAGGGTGAAGTCACAGTTGCAACAGCGCAACAGCGCATCACACAAAACAGTTGAAGGTGCATACCTTTTCACCGCCATGTGTACTATAGTTAATGAATGAAAGAAAGACTTAGTGTTTTGCCTATGAACATGGCCGAAAGATTCGCAACACCAGGCGTGAAATGAAGGTAAGTATGTTTTGTCATTCCCAAGATTCCGGAAGGCTTGAAGCACGTCCCCGAGTTGTCCTTTTTAAATGTCACTCTTCACCCATTATCTATAAATGCGACATTCTAGAGTGCAGCTGCACATACGCATCATCTACTGAATGTAGAAAGCAGAAAGTTAAAGCAAACCTGTACATGTATTGTTGGTCAAAGGTCAAGGTCAGCTATCAGATTTATTCAACTTATTTCCACTTTTCAACCGGGATGACTGAACGTGTGTTGAATGCTCTGTGTCGATTGACCGGCAAACATCGTACTCAACACAGAAAACACACCGCGCCCGAACACGACATTTCACAATTACATTTGAACATGTCGTCCTTGGTGGCTTAAGACATGTCGGTGTAACCCATACACCATTCACATGCAGCACCCATTACGCGTGCTACATATGTGTGTTCATACACATCCGTATGTAGACCTCTGTGTAATTATTCATGTAGTTATTGTGAAAGCACGCGTATATTCAAACATGTATAGTGTGCGCATGCGAAGGGCATTAGGCTGGTGCCAATTCAGATACAACAAAACAAGTTGTGTTTCATATATATGATTCAGGATCGCCTAACTCCGGGTAATTCGAAGTTTAGCTTGGATCCCCTCACCTCGAGACAACAGTAGTGTATTCCGTAGCTTGGAACATAGACTGGCTCCAGCCTTCGAAGGTGAACAGAGCCTCATATAGCAAGTTGTCCTCTTCAAAGGAAATACGTTTGTAGGTTTTTTAATTTAGCTCTAATAATTGGGAGAAAGCCAATTTGTTTAACCCATGTGCCGCGCAGTCTCCTGCTGTCAACATGGCCAGCTGTTGGTGTATGATGAGGAAAGTTAAGGTCAGATTAATTTACAAATTCTTAAAGAAAGAATAGGTCATGTGACTCCGCGTGTTCACTACATGCGCAAGTACATTTAGTTCTCCGATAAGGACGTTGTTTTTTGTGAGGTTTTCCCCAGAGCACAGTATAAAGGTTTTTGCAGACAATGTTACGAGGAAAAAACAATCGTGAGTAAAGTCGAGAGAGCGTTGTTTCATTTACCGTAAAACCTCAACATGTGCTCGTATTTCAGTTCAATGCAAAAGTGTATGCACTTTGGATTTTGCAGTCATCTACACTATGTGTGTGTTGCAAATACAATACTATTACTGGTTAGCAACAAATCATCAGCTAATTGATGGTAGAGGTGAAAAATACATATGTTTCCACTAGTGTCCAGACAACAAGTGAATGCTGTAGACTGGTGTTAAATCTGTTTCACTTGCGTCCAGACAACAAGTCAATGCTGTAGACTGGTGTTAAATCTGTTTCACTAGTGTCCAGACAACAAGTCAATGCTGTAGACTGGTGTTAAATCTGTTTCACTAGTGTCCAGACAACAAGTCAATGCTGTAGACTGGTGTTAAATCTGTTTCACTAGTGTCCAGACAACAAGTCAATGCTGTAGACTGGTGTTAAATCTGTTTCACTAGTGTCCAGACAACAAGTCAATACTGTAGACTGGTGTTAAATCTGTTTCACTAGTGTCCAGACAACAAGTCAATGCTGTAGACTGGTGTTAAATCTGTTTCACTAGTGTCCAGACAACAAGTCAATGCTGTAGACTGGTGTTAAATCTGTTTCACTAGTGTCCAGACAACAAGTCAATGCTGTAGACTGGTGTTAAATCTGTTTCACTAGTGTCCAGACAACAAGTCAATGCTGTAGACTGGTGTTAAATCTGTTTCACTAGTGTCCAGACAACAAGTCAATACTGTAGACTGGTGTTAAATCTGTTTCACTAGTGTCCAGACAACAAGTCAATGCTGTAGACTGGTGTTAAATCTGTTTCACTAGTGTCCAGACAACAAGTCAATGCTGTAGACTGGTGTTAAATCTGTTTCACTAGTGTCCAGACAACAAGTCAATGCTGTAGACTGGTGTTAAATCTGTTTCACTAGTGTCCAGACAACAAGTCAATGCTGTAGACTGGTGTTAAATCTGTTTCACTAGTGTCCAGACAACAAGTCAATGCTGTAGACTGGTGTTAAATCTGTTTCACTAGTGTCCAGACAACAAGTCAATGCTGTAGACTGGTGTTAAATCTGTTTCACTAGTGTCCAGACAACAAGTCAATGCTGTAGACTGGTGTTAAATCTGTTTCACTAGTGTCCAGACAACAAGTCAATGCTGTAGACTGGTTTTAAATCTGTTTCACTAGTGTCCAGACAACAAGTCAATGCTGTAGACTGGTGTTAAATCTGTTTCACTAGTGTCCAGACAACAAGTCAATGCTGTAGACTGGTGTTAAATCTGTTTCACTAGTGTCCAGACAACAAGTCAATGCTGTAGACTGGTGTTAAATCTGTTTCACTAGTGTCCAGACAACAAGTCAATGCTGTAGACTGGTGTTAAATCTGTTTCACTAGTGTCCAGACAACAAGTCAATGCTGTAGACTGGTGTTAAATCTGTTTCACTAGTGTCCAGACAACAAGTCAATGCTGTAGACTGGTGTTAAATCTGTTTCACTAGTGTCCAGACAACAAGTCAATGCTGTAGACTGGTGTTAAATCTGTTTCACTAGTGTCCAGACAACAAGTCAATGCTGTAGACTGGTGTTAAATCTGTTTCACTAGTGTCCAGACAACAAGTCAATGCTGTAGACTGGTGTTAAATCTGTTTCACTAGTGTCCAGACAACAAGTCAATGCTGTAGACTGGTGTTAAATCTGTTTCACTAGTGTCCAGACAACAAGTCAATGCTGTAGACTGGTGTTAAATCTGTTTCACTAGTGTCCAGACAACAAGTCAATGCTGTAGACTGGTGTTAAATCTGTTTCACTAGTGTCCAGACAACAAGTCAATGCTGTAGACTGGTGTTAAATCTGTTTCACTAGTGTCCAGACAACAAGTCAATGCTGTAGACTGGTGTTAAATCTGTTTCACTAGTGTCCAGACAACAAGTCAATGCTGTAGACTGGTGTTAAATCTGTTTCACTAGTGTCCAGACAACAAGTCAATGCTGTAGACTGGTGTTAAATCTGTTTCACTAGTGTCCAGACAACAAGTCAATGCTGTAGACTGGTGTTAAATCTGTTTCACTAGTGTCCAGACAACAAGTCAATGCTGTAGACTGGTGTTAAATCTGTTTCACTAGTGTCCAGACAACAAGTCAATGCTGTAGACTGGTGTTAAATCTGTTTCACTAGTGTCCAGACAACAAGTCAATGCTGTAGACTGGTGTTAAATCTGTTTCACTAGTGTCCAGACAACAAGTCAATGCTGTAGACTGGTGTTAAATCTGTTTCACTAGTGTCCAGACAACAAGTCAATGCTGTAGACTGGTGTTAAATCTGTTTCACTAGTGTCCAGACAACAAGTCAATGCTGTGGATTAGTTTATGATTGTTATATATTATCTTGTTATACTCATTCTGCAGTATATTTGAAATGGACCCGTGTAAACAGAAATCCATGTGTACCATTTCCTGGCACGTTATATTTTGAATATGTCGAAATAAAATCCAGTTCCTGATTTAACACGTTAAACGTCATCCGACTATGACTACCATCTAGTGTTTAATTAGAAAATGTACGGTGGATGTTTGCAGTTTGTAGAAGAAATCAAGGCGATTACTACCGCCTTCACTAACGTAACCCCATGTCGTCGCTTGTGGGGTTTACGTGAGGGGAAAAATTGAGAAATCCCCATGTCAACAACACCCATCACCTCAACGTTGCTTGACATGGCGGCAGCAGGTCGACTTGTAGAGAGGTGTGTGTGTTTGTGTGTGTGTGTGTGTGTGTGTGTGTGTGTGTGTCGGGGGGGAGGGGGGGGGGGGGGGGGACTTTGGGGAGACAGGGGGTGTGCACGTGGTAAATGTGTGCGTTGGGGAGAGAGGGCGAGAAGTGCTGAATGAAATATTTCACATCATCCCCTAGACTTGCACAAGTCTCTAAGGCAATAATTATTAATTTTATATCAAGTTCCAGAATATGTAAATAATAAGAACAAATTGTCCCAATAAGAGAGTCCTTAGATGTACTGTCCACATATCCAGACTTGCCTATTAGGAGGATAGAATTACTACACATGCATGGACTTTTCATTCAGTACAGCCTTGGAGCAAGGCTAATCAGCCCCATGCGGTGTGCATCATCAACGGGTCCTATTTGCTCGCGCGTTTGGCGGCATGGTACACGAAATTGGTTCGTGCTCAAAGTTTGCTCATTCAATTCCAAACATTTCTCTGTTTATTTATTTAATGGTGTGTTGTTACTTTTAGATCCCATATCTCGAAGTTTAAAATTGCAGTGAGAGGAAAAACATGTGAACTTGAAGTGTATTCGATATTGACAATGTTATTATGAACATGATAAATGACTCTTCAATAACAGCATAGTATACCCCTTTATCCATATTAATCGTTTAATAAGTTCCGCAATCTATAGCAAGAACACTGACACCGGTAAGTGTTCGTACAAATGAATCTTCCAATGGTAGGATGAATTTAAATATAAAGCTATCGAAATCAAATATTGGTGCTCCGTTCATCTCCTTGTTGATCGCCGTGATGCTAATCCATCCACTGGTTGTACCCGCCCAATCACCAACACAATGTCAACTAGGAGCCTACTAGCTGTGAAGTATGTAAGTAGCTAATACCTAGGACTAAGCATGTACTTAGTCATTAACAGTCGGTGAAATAACCCCAAGCCCTAACCTCCATTGTTGACCCGCCAAGACACGTACAACTTCTACCTCGTCATGTTTGGGGCTTACGCAATCAGGCAGTTCTCACATATGACTATAATCGATTCGTAAGCCGATATATAAAGGTTTATCAATCAGAATTGTATTGTGCTGTACTTAGTAATAAATGCTATCGTCGGCTTAATGCAAACTGGGTGCCTCGAGAACAGAATCCCGTCCCTGATAGATTTGAGTAGATTTAAAGTTGGAAAGTAAAAGTGTATATCATGTGTTAGCGCTCACATTTCCCAACATTTTATTGAAACGCTGGTAAAAACGATTTGTGCAATGTCAATGATAGATGGACTAATTACAGATATGTTATAGCACGACGGGGTACAGCTTCACTCAATGTACCCAGCGGGGGAAATCGAACATGACCTATGGCATGTCAAGCCATGCAGCGCTTAACCTCTAGGTCCCGCCCTGGGTCTGCACGTCAACCAGCCTCTTCTTCATCATGTGTGTGCATCGAACACTTCCTTACTTCATTGACCATGTGATATTTTTTGTTATGATGGTTGGCAAGGAAACAAAACATCCAATTATATTTATATAATTAAAATCAATTATAAAGTAAAAGACGATAAGCTGTTCGGTCTCTTTATGCTTAAAGTCTCGTGTGCAATGTGGTCACAATCGCTTCAAAGCCAGCATAGTCCGCAACCAACTAAATATCTGTAAATATGTATTCTTACTGGTGTCCTGATAACGACCAGTGTATACCCAGTGTGACAACGGCATGTTCAGGGCTCCCCGGCATGTACACACACACATAGATGCCCATTCACATTTGATGGGAGAAGGGGGGAATTAGTTAGTGATAACTCGTGTCCCTTCCTTTCCTTGTGAAGAAAATGATTAACCTAATACCTTTGGTGACAATACATATCACCTATAACAATAAGCTGTCCTTGAGGATACTCAAATATATTCACAAATCCAGTTATGTTACCATTAACGCGAAGCATTTATGTGCAAGACAGATTGGTTCGGAATTGTTCAACACAGCGGCAAGGAGATGGGTGACTTGAAGTTCCATCTCCATTTGTACTGTCGAAATGACCCAGTTTTTATTTCGTCGTAAAACGTGTAATCTAACACCTGTGGCAATGTGTAACTGATGAAATTCATGGCTGAGTGCTTCGAACGAGATAAAGCCACACACGACAATAGTCCACCTACAACAACGCATGTCGGTATCTTATCATAGTTTCTTTCTCATTTGGGCGCACTGAGTGGAACATGCTATGGCAGACATCACTCCGCCAGCAGTACTACTATTTTGTTTGTTTTGGTTTGTTTGTTGTTTAACGCCGCACTCAGCAATATTTCAGCTATATTACGGCGGTCTGTAAATAATCGCGTCTGGACCAGACAATCCAGTGATTGACATCATGGGCATCAATCCAGGCAAATGAGACCGACGACATGCATCAACCAAGTCAGCGAGCCTGACCACCCGATCCCGTTAGTCGCCCCTTACGACAATCATAGTCGCCTTTTTAAGACAAGCATGGGTTGCTGGAGGCCTATTCTACCCCGGATCTTCACGGGTCATTTTGTTTGTACTGTCACCCGTTAGAAATAGCCCATACAAGATGGATCTCGCTTCAAGTTGACTGGCAGTAATCACGGGAAGAAAATAGATGTTATTTCCTCAGTATCTGGCATTGATTACCGCCGTCTGTGGTCATAAAAAAAATGCAATCATTGAGGATGTTAATCAGCATTATATTGCACGTCAGTAGGAAACTATGTTGATAAAATGTTATAGTTGCAAATATAAAAACGATTTCACTTCATGATTGACGTCTTTGGTTTCAGACTAGATCTTAGCCTTCTGCTTCTCTAGCACAATGTTGACCTCTAAACCGGGCAAGGTTCTCAGCCCCCGCCACACAGAGATTCAGCAAACCTCCAGCCTGTCCCCCCGGGAAGCACCGCCCGTGCCAGGCCATCCCAAGGCCAAGAAGACCAGGAGTCTCAGCAGGTCCTATAGCGTCAAGGACCTCACAGAGGACGATACCGACATGTCCTCGGAGCTCTCTATTGACGACAGGCTTCCTGGTGTCCTCAAGATCTTTGGTGAGTCAGTTCTTCCTGGGGCCGAATATAAGAGCGTCCTCGCCTCCACCCGCTCCACATCCCAGGAGCTCGTGAAGCAGGCCCTTGAACGCTATGGACAACCCCCCGGGCACTATGTGGAGTATGTGCTGTGTGACGTCATAGGGCTAGTGGAGACAGCTACCCCCTCGTATTCTCAGAGACCCAGCAACAAGTGGCGAACAGTGTGTAGGCGGGTTCTTGACGACTCGGACAAACCTCTGGAGCTCCAGTCCTACTGGAAGCCTAGCAATGGCTTCTCTAGACGCTATGAACTTCACAAGAGGGCGGAGGTTGTGAGAGAACAATCAGCGGATGATACGCTAGGGCTGAATGACAATGCCAGGAAGATAATGATGGCCAAGGTGGCCCCTGGGGCTATTCCCTTGTCTGCGTCCTGGAACATGGAGACCTCCCAGTTCAGGATTCATAGTCATGACGTCAAATCTATACAAAGGGAGACAATGTCTGACGACAGCGGCGCAACAAGCTCGGATGTACGCCCTACGCAGAACCCATACCTGCTGACTCTGCGAGGCTATGACACACTCCGTGACCAGGTGCAGTATCAACTCAAGTCCAAATGTACCAAGATAGGCAGGTTTCGTGGTCATCCCTATTCTTCCGAGATTGGACTGGGAGGACCTGATATACTCCCGTTACATTGTGTTTTGACTCTGAAGAATACTAAAGATATGGGTTCTGTACATACGGACAATAGGTACTGCTTCTTTATAGAAATGGAGGTGTTTGAAGGAGCCCTGGTTGCTGTGAATGGACACCCAATAAGTGACATGGCGCACATTTATGCTGGAGACGTCATCACTATAGGCAGGTATTATATGTTCCTATACAAAGACCCATCGGGGGGACATGACATACCAGAAAGTCTGTCATGGTTCAACTCATCAGCGACTCACCATGACACGACCAAGCTAATGTCCTCCAGAGATCGAGGCCCCCTTAATGATTTCCTCAACTCCAGTCTCGGTGCGTCAGGGGATTTCTCAGCTTCGTTTGACGCAGGTGAAGGGGGCGCATCCGCCAACGAGGGTCACCAGATAACGTTTGCCTACTGCAAGGAGAAGGAGGAAGACCTAGTGAAGGCCATTCTTGACGTCCACAGCTGCAGCAGGCGGGATCACCCTCTCACGCCAGCTGTCATGTTTGTAGCCTGTCTCGACCACGCCCACCGGAAGTTCACAAGACATCACCTGAAAAACCTTCAGAGGAGAGTGTTGTTCTGTGTCAGGGAAAAAGTAGCCGTAAGTATTCAAGATGGTGTCCTACCTGTTAACTGTGAGATAGTATTTGACATGCTCTGTCATGTCTAGTGTTTCCAGACATGGGAACTGAATTACAGAAGTAGTCACGGGATAACATCGTATCGACATGGCAGTGAAGGTTAAACGGATGTGGATTCTAATAATACGTCCTGTCGAAAGGAACTTTCACCACATGTGCTGTAATATTGGTGTTTGTTATTTGACTTAAATTAAACGCTTCTTTTGTCTGATAACCCTATTATGATTATGACATTCAGTAAATGCTTTGTTTGAATTGGTTTCAAAGGTTGTCACAATATTATATAAAATTTGATCTCTTCATCATATTTCAGGATTTGGCTAAAACATTATCGTCACAGCGTTATGACAGGTAAGCTATTTCCATCATTCACAGATGTTTATTCGTGTATTCTGTGAATGCCAAGTAGACCTCTTTCTTTAAGAGACTCTGATCACTCTACAGTACAACGTTTAGAAGAAACTATATCTACTATACATGTTGTGTGTTCCAGCTCCGTATTTGACTATGGCTCACCAACGACTGACTATGACCCACTGAAGCTCCTTATCTTCTGGATGTCGAACACGGTGCAGCTGTATGTGCATGTGCTCCACGAGCTTCACGCGCACAGCGTCAACCCAGACCCCGAAGACGAGGTGAACGCAGGACTCCAGGAACTAGCCACTGGGTTGGAGGACGTCGTCAGCTTTAGCTTCCAGCAAACGGTGTACTGTGTTACAAAGGTACAAACACCGAGAAAATACGTTAAGTAGGCGGAGGCGCCGCACCACACGTAGACTAAGATATAGTCCCCGCGATACAGTTAGGTACAATTACAAATAACAATATTTCCATAAAGAAACACTGGAGCCCTAGATGGTCATTTCCATAAAAGAGCCCGGAGCCCCAGAGAGTCCTTTCCATAAAGGAGCCCCAGAGAGTCCTTTCCATAAAGGAGCCCTAGAGTGTCCTTTTCAAAAAGGTACCCCGGAGTCCTTTTCATAAAGGAGCCCTAGAGTGTCCTTTCCATAAAGGAACCCCGGAGACCTTTTCATAAAGGAGCCCTAGAGTGTCCTTTCCATAAAGGAACCCTAGAGTATCTTTTCAATAAAGGAGCCCTAGAGTGTCCTTTCCATAAAGGAACCACAAAGTGTCCTTTCCATAAAGGAGCCCTAGAGTGTCCTTTCCATAAAGGAACCCCGGAGTCCTTTTCATAAAGGAGCCCTAGGGAGTCATTTTCATAAAGGAACCCGGGGTCCTTTTCATGAAGGAGCCCTAGAGTGTCCTTTCCATAAAGGAACCCCAAAGTGTCCTTTCCATAAAGGAGCCCTAGAGTGTCCTTTCCATAAAGGAATCCCAAAGTGTTCTTTCCATAAAGGAGCCCTAGAGTGTCCTTTCCATAAAGGAACCCCGGAGTCCTTTTCATAAAGGAGCCCTAGAGTGTCTTTTTCAAAAAGGTACCCCGGAGTCCTTTTCATAAAGGAGCCCTAGAGTGTCCTTTCCATAAAGGAACCCCGGAGACCTTTTCATAAAGGAGCCCTAGAGTGTCCTTTCCATAAAGGAACCCTAGAGTATCTTTTCAATAAAGGAGCCCTAGAGTGTCCTTTCCATAAAGGAACCACAAAGTGTCCTTTCCATAAAGGAGCCCTAGAGTGTCCTTTCCATAAAGGAACCCCGGAGTCCTTTTCATAAAGGAGCCCTAGGGAGTCATTTTCATAAAGGAACCCGGGGTCCTTTTCATGAAGGAGCCCTAGAGTGTCCTTTCCATAAAGGAACCCCAAAGTGTCCTTTCCATAAAGGAGCCCTAGAGTGTCCTTTCCATAAAGGAATCCCAAAGTGTTCTTTCCATAAAGGAGCCCTAGAGTGTCCTTTCCATAAAGGAACCCCGGAGTCCTTTTCATAAAGGAGCCCTAGAGTGTCTTTTTCATAAAGGAACCCGGAGTCCTTTTCATAAAGGAGCCCTAGGGAGTCATTTCCATAAAGGAACCCCAGAGAGTCCTTTTCATAAAGGTCTCCAAGAGGGTCCTTTTCATAAAGGAGTCCTAGAGAGTCATTTCCATAAAGGAGCCCTAGAGTGTATAGCTGGTTGCACTTGATGCTGAGTATAGCTGATCGCACTGGGTGCCGAGTATAGCTGGTCGCACTGGGTGCCGAGTATAGCTGGTCGCACTGGGTGCCGAGTATAGCTGGTCGCACTGGGTGCCGAGAATGCATAAAGATTTGGGTAAAAGATCTTGCTGACTGTCACCTGGTCGGCCAAGGTACCCTAACGGAGTGAAACACTTCTCAGACTATCGTTTATTGCACGATTATTTTCCGACTGCCTTGATGCATCATATCTGACCATTGCGTAATAACCCACGAATGCATTAAATCACACATACACACTGAATTCTACAAGTATGTATACCATGGGTTCTCCCTCAGATTCTGTACCACGTGGTTGGGAAGGTGATGGACAGCAACCCCTTCTCCGGCAGCGAGACGTGGGAGAAGGACGGCATCGGACACGTCCTCAGTGTGCTGCAGACAACCCGAAACATAGCATCGGAAGTCAGACTACACAATGACGTCATGAGACAGCTGATGACGTATCTCTTGTTCTTCCTTAGCACATCTTTGTTCAATAGGCTTATCACTACAGGTAAGGTACCAACAGTCACTTAAAACTAAACAGTATAAAAGTAGGAATCTCGAATATCAATAAATCAAATGTCTTATTTTCATGTTATAGAATCATTTGTGTTCAAAAGAACAGGGCAGAGTAGTGTAGCTGTCAGGTAATTGTTGGTATTGACTGCAGAGTCTGATGCACAGTACTACAACTGGACGTTCGGGGTGCGCCTCCAGGCCAACCTGTCTCGGCTTGAGGAGTGGTCAGCCAGCAAACAGCTGGACAGACAGTTTCACCAAGTGTCGCAGCCCCTCACAGCCGCCGCCGACGTTCTAGCCATGTCCAAGAATATTCTTGTGAGGGTGAGTAGTGCCTGCCTTGGTGAGATGCCACGCTGGTCCTTCCTTCACACAACCATACCTGTAATGTAATCACACTAAAGTAATACTGAAAATGTTGTAAGGTTGGATGTTTGTCAATGATTCCAGATGGACTGGCCAGCGTTCCGGACCCAGTTCAGTTCCCTGAACGAGTCTCAGCTGCTGAAGCTGCTACGGGGCTACCAGCTGGGGATGAAGAAGGCTGCACCCTCTCACTGGTTTCCCCCGGAAGGGGGCGTCAGCAACCCCAGGGATGAAGGTACAGGGTTGCTTCTACTGTCAAAGTTTTTTGCCACATCCACACTCCATTGCCATTTCCATTAATTCTGTTTGTGTACGAAGTTAGTTCCCGTGGCAACTGTCTTGTATATTGTATATTTTTATTCGTTGGTGTTGAATTACAGATTTGCCAATAAAGCTGTCCTCACATCCAGCGTTCGCTCTTCCCAAAGAAGGATGTCCCTTGGATCTCACACAGACGTTTCCGGAGGGGTTCCTGGAATACCTGGAACACTTCCAAACTGTATACGGAGCAGAAGACGGTGAGAGATTATATTCTGAAGCACCGCAGAGGCTGAACTGGGACTACACACGTCCCAGAAATGCAACTGACAGTATTTCTATCAAAGACGAAGCACCATTTCATATCTTGTTTTGTATATGCCACAGTACTCAACTTTTGATAGGCATAATGAGACATGTCGTACCTTTACAAAACTCATATAAGCTGAAGTTGAAAGTGTAATATCTAATACCATTCGTATGAGCTGGGTGAGGTGAGATGAGGTGAGGTGAAATGGGGTTTAACGTCGCATCCAAGATTATTGCACGTGTGACGTGTGTGATCTGTGTGTGGCTGTGTGTGGCTGTTTGTACTAGTCGGAACTAATGCCGATTTTATAGTGCTAGCCCACTGAGACACCATGCCGCAGTTTAACATGAATACCCAACTCAGACACAGTATACTGACTCCGAGCCGACCAGTCCTTGTTTTAGCATCTTGATTCCGAGCTCCATGCAGGGTAACAAGTACCATCTTTTAACGTCTTTTGGTCAGACGCAGCCCATGATCGAACCCCAAACCTTCCACTCTCAGGCGGACGCTCTACCACCAAACCACGGAGGCGGTCCCATTTGTATGACATCTCCAAGCAATTAGTCACAATCATGCCACACCTGAGTACTCAGAATATCCCCATCATAAGTTTTGTATTCTATGATTTTGTAATTGTTCCTGTTGGGCAGATGACAGCGACAGTGGCCTAAGTGTGAGCAATACCCCGAGAGTACCAGAAGCCAGACCACGAGACTCCAAGACTTTCTTTAATATTGACTCTCCTAGAGGGAGCCACCAACATGAGCCCCAACAAGCGGACAGAGTGCCCCCTGTACGCCCTACACGGTCGTCAAGCAACGTCAGATCTTCAACAACCAACAGAAACCAAGGTCAACAGTGGAGGACTAGGTCACAAGAACGACCACCTTTACCGTCAAACAGGTCAAGGTCAAACGGAGATTACAGAGTTCAAGGGAACAATAACGCGACAGATTTTCCAATTTCCAAACGGAAGACAATAACCCGTGTCCCTCCTTTAGATTTATTTAGAGACGGTGACGTTAGTAGTAACACTTCAACAGCACCTTATAACAAAACAAAGTCGCGATCTACTGATAGTTTACTTCAGGGCATATCGACAGATAGCTGTGATACTGTTCGTCAGAAGTCCATATGTAAATCCCCACGATCTGCTGGCCCCAGTGTTAGGGTGGGGCGCACTGGTGTCAACTATGATGACGTGTCAAAGTTCCCTGAGGATGTGTACGTAGAAGTACAACGATTTGACTCCCGCAACAACAACGTCGCCCAAACCTTGAAAGTCTTGTCCCTAGAAGATCCAACCAATGTCGGTATGTATGGAGCTCTGCACCCAAGGCTTTAGGTGATTGGCGATACTTTATTCATGTTCATACCCATTATAAGAAAGACAACTGAATTATTAAATAACACACTCTATATATAATAATATACAGCAGCGTCTTGTAGTCAAAATATTAATTAATATTATTCAACCCCTTATAGCATTTAATACTTACTGGTCTACTTGATTCATTTTTGATGAGTTAAAGTTCAGTCACATTTACAAACAAATACCAGTATAATTACAAGTTTCTTGACGCATCTTGTCTCTATTCATCCCTTGTCGATACGCTGAGTATATTCCCATCAGGTAAGCTGTGTCCTGGGAACGACCCACCTTCAACCCGTGGGACTGTCACTGTTTACCATAAGCTTTACTTACATTCCAGAATGAAGGGTAAGCCATGTTTGCTAATCAGTCTTCAGACAGGTAATCTGGGTACAGGCTGCGTGTGAAGGCGTGTATGCATGGCTGCTACTGCTGGGTGGGGGTCAGGCTTATATATGCTGCTTGCCTCGGTGTCGGGTTGTATAACACTCTTGAATAGTTCGCTGTATCGCTGTGCATCCATCTTACAAACATCTACATATTCTTCATTTCTCAGAAGGTACCGGGTTGTCGCTAAAGGTGTATTATAGATGGCTATAATTCTAGTGCTGAGTGACACACAATTACACATACGTTGTGATCATATAATACCCTATCACATGTGATCAGATAATAGCAACAGTTCTCTGTGATTAACTGATTACGTAATACCCCGAGGTTTTTTGTGATTACATCTTGCCGCATTTGATCAAATTACACATCCACGTGTGATCAGGTAATACCCATCCACAAGTGATCAGGTAATGCCCATCCACGTGTGATCAGGTAATACCCATCCACACGTGATCAGGTAATACCCATCCACGTGTGATCAGGTAATACCCATCCACGTGTGATCAGGTAATACCCATCCACGTGTGATCAGGTAATACCCATCCACGTGTGATCAGGTAATACCCATCCACATGTGATCAGGTAATACCCATCCACGTGTGATCAGGTAATACCCATCCACGTGTGATCAGGTAATACCCATCCACGTGTGATCAGGTAATACCCATCCACGTGTGATCAGGTAATACCCATGCACGTGTGATCAGGTAATACCCATCCACATGTGATCAGGTAATACCCATCCACATGTGATCAGGTAATACCAATCCACATGTGATCAGGTAATACCCATCCACGTGTAATCAGGTAATGCCCATCCACGTGTGATCAGGTAATACCTATCCACGTGTGATCAGGTAATACCCACCCACATGTGATCAGGTAATACCCATCCACATGTGATCAGGTAATGCCCATCCACGTGTGATCAGGTAATGCCCATCCACATGTGATCAGGTAATACCAATCCACAGTCCCATACAATCAAATAATATCAATGTCATCAACTCGTATCAAAAGTCGCTCACGATCCACCAGTGCCCATTGTACCCCTTTAGCCATCAGTATCCATTGTACCTCACGCATCAGCAGTACCAAGTGTACCTCACGATCCTTCAGTATCAAGTGTACCTCACGATCCTTCAGTATCCATTGTACCACACGATCCTCCAGTATCCATTGTACCTCACGATCCTTCAGTATCCATTGTACCTCATGATCCCCCAGTATCCATTGTACCTCACGATCCTTCAGTATCCATTGTACCACACGATCCTTCAGTATCCATTGTACCTCACGATCCTTCAGTATCCATTGTACCTCACGATCCTTCAGTATCAAGTGTACCTCACGATCCTTCAGTATCCATTGTACCACACGATCCTTCAGTATCAAGTGTAACTCACGATCCTTCAGTATCCATCGTACCTCACGATCCTTCAGTATCCATTGAACCTCACGATCCTTCAGTATCCATTGTACCTCACGATCCTTCAGTATCAAGTGTACCTCACGATCCTTCAGTATCCATTGTACCTCACGATCCTTCAGTATCCATTGTACCTCACGATCCTTCAGTATCCATTGTACCTCACGATCCCCCAGTATCCATTGTACCTCACGATCCTTCAGTATCAAGTGAACCTCACGATCCTTCAGTAGCCATTGTACCTCACGATCCTTCAGTATCCATTGTACCTCACGATCCTTCAGTGCCGATTGTACCTCACGATCCATCAGTGCCCATTGTACCTCTTTAGCCATCAGTATCAAGTGTACCTCACAATCCTCCGGTATCCATTGTACCTCACGATCCTTCAGTACCCATTGTACCTCACGATCCTTCAGTAGCCATTGTACCTCACGATCCTTCAGTATCCATTGTACCTCACGATCCATCAGTGCCCATTGTACCTCTTTAGCCATCAGTTTCCATTGTACCTCACGATCCTTCAGTATCCATTGTACCTCATGATCCTTCAGTGCCCATTGTACCTCACGATCCATCAGTATCCATTGTACCTCACGATCCTTCAGTATCCATTGTACCTCACGATCCTTCAGTATCCATTGTACCTCACGATCCTTCAGTATCCATTGTACCTCACGATCCTTCAGTATCCAATGTATCTCATGATCCTTCAGTATCAAGTGTACCTCACGATCCTTCAGTATCCATTGTACCACACGATCCTTCAGTATCCATTGTACCTCACGATCCTTCAGTATCCATTGTACCTCACGATCCCCCAGTATCCATTGTACCTCACGATCCTTCAGTATCAAGTGTACCTCACGATCCTTCAGTATCCATTGTACCACACGATCCTTCAGTATCCATTGTACCTCACGATCCTTCAGTGCCCATTGTACCTCACGATCCTTCAGTATCGAGTGTACCTCACGATCCTTCAGTAACCATTGTACCTCACGATCCTTCAGTGCCCATTGTACCTCACGATCCATCAGTGCCCATTGTACCTCTTTAGCCATCAGTATCAAGTGTACCTCACAATCCTCCGGTATCCATTGTACCTCACGATCCATCAGTGCCCATTGTACCTCTTTAGCCATCAGTATCAAGTGTACCTCACAATCCTCCGGTACCCATTGTACCTCACGATCCTTCAGTAGCCATTGTACCTCACGATCCTTCAGTATCCATTGTACCTCACGATCCATCAGTGCCCATTGTACCTCTTTAGCCATCAGTTTCCATTGTACCTCACGATCCTTCAGTAGCCATTGTACCTCACGATCCTTCAGTATCCATTGTACCTCACGATCCATCAGTGCCCATTGTACCTCTTTAGCCATCAGTATCAAGTGTACCTCACAATCCTCCGGTATCCATTGTACCTCACGATCCTTCAGTATCCATTGTACCTCACGATCCATCAGTGCCCATTGTACCTCTTTAGCCATCAGTTTCCATTGTACCTCACGATCCTTCAGTAGCCATTGTACCTCACGATCCTTCAGTATCCATTGTACCTCACGATCCATCAGTATCCATTGTACCTCACGATCCCCCAGTATCCATTGTACCTCACGATCCTTCAGTATCCATTGTACCTCACGATCCTTCAGTATCCATTGTACCACACGATCCTTCAGTATCCATTGTACCTCACGATCCTTCAGTATCCATTGTACCTCACGATCCTTCAGTATCAAGTGTACCTCACGATCCTTCAGTATCCATTGTACCACACGATCCTTCAGTATCAAGTGTAACTCACGATCCTTCAGTATCCATCGTACCTCACGATCCTTCAGTATCCATTGAACCTCACGATCCTTCAGTATCCATTGTACCTCACGATCCTTCAGTATCAAGTGTACCTCACGATCCTTCAGTATCCATTGTACCACACGATCCTTCAGTATCCATTGTACCTCACGATCCTTCAGTGCCCATTGTACCTCACGATCCTTCAGTATCGAGTGTACCTCACGATCCTTCAGTAACCATTGTACCTCACGATCCTTCAGTGCCCATTGTACCTCACGATCCATCAGTGCCCATTGTACCTCTTTAGCCATCAGTATCAAGTGTACCTCACAATCCTCCGGTATCCATTGTACCTCACGATCCATCAGTGCCCATTGTACCTCTTTAGCCATCAGTATCAAGTGTACCTCACAATCCTCCGGTACCCATTGTACCTCACGATCCTTCAGTAGCCATTGTACCTCACGATCCTTCAGTATCCATTGTACCTCACGATCCATCAGTGCCCATTGTACCTCTTTAGCCATCAGTTTCCATTGTACCTCACGATCCTTCAGTAGCCATTGTACCTCACGATCCTTCAGTATCCATTGTACCTCACGATCCATCAGTGCCCATTGTACCTCTTTAGCCATCAGTATCAAGTGTACCTCACAATCCTCCGGTATCCATTGTACCTCACGATCCTTCAGTATCCATTGTACCTCACGATCCATCAGTGCCCATTGTACCTCTTTAGCCATCAGTTTCCATTGTACCTCACGATCCTTCAGTAGCCATTGTACCTCACGATCCTTCAGTATCCATTGTACCTCACGATCCATCAGTATCCATTGTACCTCACGATCCCCCAGTATCCATTGTACCTCACGATCCTTCAGTATCCATTGTACCTCACGATCCTTCAGTATCCATTGTACCACACGATCCTTCAGTATCCATTGTACCTCACGATCCTTCAGTATCCATTGTACCTCACGATCCTTCAGTATCAAGTGTACCTCACGATCCTTCAGTATCCATTGTACCACACGATCCTTCAGTATCAAGTGTAACTCACGATCCTTCAGTATCCATCGTACCTCACGATCCTTCAGTATCCATTGAACCTCACGATCCTTCAGTATCCATTGTACCTCACGATCCTTCAGTATCAAGTGTACCTCACGATCCTTCAGTATCCAATGTACCTCACGATCCTTCAGTATCCATTGTACCTCACGATCCTTCAGTATCCATTGTACCTCACGATCCCCCAGTATCCATTGTACCTCACGATCCTTCAGTATCAAGTGTACCTCACGATCCTTCAGTAGCCATTGTACCTCACGATCCTTCAGTATCCATTGTACCTCACGATCCTTCAGTGCCCATTGTACCTCACGATCCATCAGTGCCCATTGTACCTCTTTAGCCATCAGTATCAAGTGTACCTCACAATCCTCCGGTATCCATTGTACCTCACGATCCTTCAGTACCCATTGTACCTCACGATCCTTCAGTAGCCATTGTACCTCACGATCCTTCAGTATCCATTGTACCTCACGATCCATCAGTGCCCATTGTACCTCTTTAGCCATCAGTTTCCATTGTACCTCACGATCCTTCAGTATCCATTGTACCTCATGATCCTTCAGTGCCCATTGTACCTCACGATCCATCAGTGCCCATTGTACCTCACGATCCTTAAGTATCCATTGTACCTCACGATCCTTCAGTATCCATTGTACCTCACGATCCTTCAGTATCCATTGTACCTCACGATCCTTCAGTATCCAATGTATCTCATGATCCTTCAGTATCAAGTGTACCTCACGATCCTTCAGTATCAAGTGTACCTCACGATCCTTCAGTAGCCATTATACCACACGATCCTTCAGTATCCATTGTACCTCACGATCCTTCAGTATCCATTGTACCTCACGATCCCCCAGTATCCATTGTACCTCACGATCCTTCAGTATCAAGTGTACCTCACGATCCTTCAGTATCCATTGTACCACACGATCCTTCAGTATCCATTGTACCACACGATCCTTCAGTATCCATTGTACCTCACGATCCTTCAGTGCCCATTGTACCTCACGATCCTTCAGTATCGAGTGTACCTCACGATCCTTCAGTAGCCATTGTACCTCACGATCCTTCAGTGCCCATTGTACCTCACGATCCATCAGTGCCCATTGTACCTCTTTAGCCATCAGTATCAAGTGTACCTCACAATCCTCCGGTATCCATTGTACCTCACGATCCATCAGTGCCCATTGTACCTCTTTAGCCATCAGTATCAAGTGTACCTCACAATCCTCCGGTACCCATTGTACCTCACGATCCTTCAGTAGCCATTGTACCTCACGATCCTTCAGTATCCATTGTACCTCACGATCCATCAGTGCCCATTGTACCTCTTTAGCCATCAGTTTCCATTGTACCTCACGATCCTTCAGTAGCCATTGTACCTCACGATCCTTCAGTAGCCATTGTACCTCACGATCCATCAGTGCCCATTGTACCTCTTTAGCCATCAGTATCAAGTGTACCTCACAATCCTCCGGTATCCATTGTACCTCACGATCCTTCAGTATCCATTGTACCTCACGATCCATCAGTGCCCATTGTACCTCTTTAGCCATCAGTTTCCATTGTACCTCACGATCCTTCAGTAGCCATTGTACCTCACGATCCTTCAGTATCCATTGTACCTCACGATCCATCAGTGCCCATTGTACCTCTTTAGCCATCAGTTTCCATTGTACCTCACGATCCTTCAGTATCCATTGTACCTCATGATCCTTCAGTGCCCATTGTACTTACGATCCATCAGTGCCCATTGTACCTCACGATCCTTCAGTATCCATTGTACCTCACGATCCTTCAGTATCCATTGTACCTCACGATCCTTCAGTATCCATTGTACCTCACGATCCTTCAGTATCCATTGTACCTCACGATCCATTAGTGCCCATTGTACCTCACGATCTTTCAGTATCCATTGTACCTCACGATCCTTCAGTATCCAATGTATCTCATGATCCTTCAGTAGCAAGTGTACCTCACGATCCTTCAGTATCAAGTGTACCTCGCGATCCTTCAGTGCCCATTGTACCTCACGATCTTTCAGTATCCATTGTACCTCACGATCCTTCAGTGCCCATTGTACCTCACGATCCATCAGTGCCCATTGTACCTCTTTAGCCATCAGTTTCCATTGTACCTCACGATCCTTCAGTAGCCATTGTACCTCACGATCTTTCAGTATCCATTGTACCTCACGATCCTTCAGTATCCAATGTACCTCACGATCCTTCAGTATCCAAAGTACCTCACGATCCTTCAGTATCCATTGTACCTCACGATCCATCAGTAGCCATTGTACCTCACGATCCTTCAGTATCCAATGTACCTCACGATCCTTCAGTATCCATTGTACCTCACGATCCTTCAGTATCCATTGTACCTCACGATCCTTCAGTATCCATTGTACCTCACGATCCTTCAGTGCCCATTGTACCTCACGATCCTTCAGTATCCATTGTACCTCACGATCCTTCAGTATCCTTTGTACCTCTTTAGCCATCAGTATCAAGTGTACCTCACGATCCTTCAGTATCCATTGTACCTCACGATCCTTCAGTGCCCATTGTACCTCACGATCCTTCAGTATCCATTGTACCTCACGATCCTTCAGTGCCCATTGTACCTCACGATCCTTCAGTATCCATTGTACCTCACGATCCTTCAGTATCCATTGTACCTCACGATCCTTCAGTATCCATTGTACCTCACGATCCTTCAGTATCCATTGTACCTCACGATCCTTCAGTATCCAGACTTCATGAACCCTCAGTATACACAGAACCGTATATCTTATTTACTGCTTTGGTTACTGATTTGAAGTATTTCATACAAGACACTAACTGCAGTCACCAGGGCTGTTCATCTGATTTATATAAGTGTCAACCAAATTGTACATCTCTTAGGTTTGTAATACTTTTGTTTTTCTTATTAATGCATATTGTTCATTCCACCAAATTGATATAAAGAAATGCTCCCTGGTATATTGGTCGGTGAAACATGTTTGGTGAGCATTTGCTGTGATGTACTCCACCACGTCGACAAGCCATCTGCAGCTGATACAAAGACCTAACATTCCACTATCAGTACATATTGTACTCAATGATACTCCACGTTCTTTAGAAAATAGAAACTGTGTATGATATACCAATACCTATTAAACCTGTAGTTCCCAGCTGTTCCAACTGTCTAGTGGGATGAATGACATGTATGCCACTAATCTCGATTCTCGAATGCCCTTCGCATTATCCTTCAATGAAATAACGTCTGTAAATTATTTACTTTTTATTGGAAAGGTTAAAGTGGACCAAAAATCCATGTATTCATATAGTGGTTGACTAATTGTCAGGTGCCAAGCAACACACCCCTGGAGCGTATAACAGCCTCTCCCCCAGGAACCGCCGGTCACTCCCCTACGACGAGGTGTTTCTCCAGGACATCCCTGGGGATGTGGTGACGGTGGAGCTGGACAAGGGTGACTCTCAGCTGGGACTGGGGCTGATAGATGGGCTGGTGAGGGTAATACAACACGAGTACGAGTGTAACCCACCGTGGAGATCCGGGGTAGAATAGGTCTTCAGCAACCCATGCTTTATGTCAGAGGCGACTAACGGGATCGGGTGGTCAGACTTGCTGACTTGGTTGATGCATGTCATCGTATCCCAGTTGCCTAGATCAATGCTCATGATGTCAATCAGGGGATTGTCTGGTCCTGGCTCGATTTCTTTTCAGACCGACGTCATGTAGCTGGAATATTACTGAGTGCGGCGTTAAACAACAAAGAATCTAACAAAACGAGTGTAACCGAGCCGCAAGGGGGGCAGTAGTACCCTGCACTTGGCATTGTCCTGACTGTTGAACCCCCTGGGCTCTCCACTAGATCCATACTTTGGTTGGGGTCCTACTGTTTAACGTCCGGAAGTTAAATAATGTAGTGCAGTCAGTCAATAAAACATGTCTTTCTCAGTTTGGAACGATTGTGACATCATATTGCTAAATAATTTGATACTTAACACGATTCGTATCTCAGTAACTTTGTTTACTCAGCAATATTTCAACTATTTCAGCAGTATGACGTCGGTCTGTAAATAATCAAGTCTGGACCAGACAATCCAGTGATTGACACCATGAGCATCGATCTAGCCAATTTGGATACGTTGTGATGCATCAACCATGTCAGATAGCTTGACCACCCGATCCCGTTAGTCGTACCTTAGGGCAAGCATGAGTTGCTTAAGATCCATTCTAACCCGGATCTTCTGGGTATATTTCAGTAACTGTTTTGTGAGGTATCCTTCCATTCTGTACGTTTCTCTAGATAAGTATGAGTCGTATTTAACGTTAAAGCCCATTTCGATCCGAATCCTGTTCCCCAAGGGTACAGCAAAGGAGACTAATATTGGTGTTCCCCGCCGTAGAATGGATTAAATGTGTCTGAAACAATTAGCGTGAAACCACTCTCATCTAACAATAAAGACATGATAGGACAAACCGGCCAGTTACAAGTGCGTTCTGTTTTAGGTATAACAAACTTGTTGATAACTTTTTCAATATGTAACGTATGGGCTTCCAATACACGATTTCATCCCTAGATATGACATATAAAACCTTGCAAAGCAAACCTAGGCAATATGTGAAAGACATAGCGTATCCACGTGTTACAGTACACGCCGCTGAAGTGCCCGGGAATCTACGTGAAGAACCTGCTGCAGGGCAGCCCCGCCCACCACTGTGGTCAGCTGAGCATCGGGGACAGGATTCTGGCCATCAACGACCATAACATCGCCTGCCAGGACTACCAGAGGTCAGTTTTCTTTGGTGCAATCATTACATAATGTTTGCATCGTCAAACTGTACCTATTTGAAATAAAATGAATGGCAAGTTCTATAGATGTATAGGTTATCGACGAAACTCTCCTGCAACAGATTCATAACAGACAAAATAAGTCGACTGCGTGGGGATTGGGGGACACTAAGCACATCACAATGTAATTGAACCAACTTTTCGCCATTATTTCATAGTGATAAACGTACAGGATATGTACCAACATACAAAACGTTTAGGGTGTATGTATTTTGGGGTTTAATGACAGAGCTTCTTGTATATGATTTTGTTTAAAAAAAGAAGAGGAATATTTCATCATTCAAATACATATAAAAAACATTAACCGTTTCTTAAAAACATTTTGCAACACAAGTTAACAGTGTTTACAACACATCAGATTGTCATAGGGATGTGTCATCATCCTGTTTTCTGCCCTTCAGTGTGATGACGTTATTCCGGACGTCTGGCCCACGACTGCAGGTGGTGGTGGTCAAGTCAGAGCAGGCAGTGGTCGACATGATCTCTGCTGCCAAGTGCTGATGACCATGGGTCGTGAAGAGGGGACGCTCAGGGGCAATACCGGCTTAATCTGGGACCACTTGGGATGTACCACGTGCTATGCTTTCAGATATCAACGACTTCAGAATTTGTGTAAATATACAAATGGATCTGCATCTGTGTGAAACCAGAGTGAGTTCAACTGCATAAAACAGTATTTATTATAGTTATGTTGTGTATCAGCTTGAAGCTTTCACTCAAAGTGACAGAGGTCGTTCACATCAACTACTTGGGTGAATCCCTGTACTGGTATTGTGTGGCTTCAACCCACAATCAGCGGATCCTGGACAGGCTAAGGGATACAGCTCTGCACAGTGTATTGAGGCATGGAATACCAGATGTTACACATCACTTCGTCCTGACTTACCACATTTGCTCAGGGAACAGATACTGTGATACATAATCCATACACGTACATAATAATGTCTGCTATTAATGTGATAGTATGTTGCCATAAGTATTTGGGAATCACCTTGTTTATTTTGTTATTAATTTAAGTCACAAACTTAAGTCTCAAAATCTGTCTTCAGTCTCAAAATCTGATGGACATGCAATATGATCTCACAGTTTGGGGACATTTATTCTTGTATAGTTCCAGAATTCTGGACACTTTTGGAGAACTTTTCAACATACCACAAATGTGTCCAGCCATCCATTGACTACATCAGCCTTGTTACTAGGTTGGAATGTAATATGAATATATTTATTTATATATAATTGTTTATTCCAGTGTTATGTTTCGAAATGAAATACCTTTTCTTCAAATATGATGTTACCCAAAGAAAGCCATTTCAGTTTTGTTTTGTTTTATCGTATGGATCAACATATCGAGGAGATACTGTTGTTGCTACATTGATCCATTTGCTTCCTTAATTGTAAGAAATCAAATGTATTAGTTATAGTCAACACTGAAAAGAGAGAAAGTAATAGGGAGTGAGTGAATAAATGTTGTTTTACACGACAGGCAACAGTTTTCCAGATATATCACGGTGACCTGTACAGAATTGAGCCTGGGCCAGGCTAACAATTAGTTAATATCCTCAGCAAAGATGCATGCCATCGGGGCCATATTTGGAACCATCTGATCATCACTAGTTGGCCAAACCTGTGTCCAGTGTCCAGTCACCCCATCTATTATGATAAATATCCTGGACCCCTTCACTACCATGGCTTGATTTAAGACCAATTCAAATTAAAATAATAGTTATCTTGTCTAGTGATTCGGTATGAGTTGAAGGTACTTATATTAGGTGGGAGTACTGTAGGCCTGAAAACACAATATGGACCAGGTGTATTGTGTAACAGCTAGCACTTGAAGTTGTTTGAGAGAGTGAATGGAGTTGACAGACTATTTGATGGAGGTATCCTTCATGTTCATGTGCATCCCACAGGGGCTTTAATTTTCCAAACATTGACACAGAAATATTATTACTTGTACTGATTTATTTACAGAATGTACAATGTTCCATGGATAATCAACCTGATTAATTTGTTATTCAATGGCAATGATATGTAAATGAGAGCACTAATCCAGATACTGGGAGTCCAAACAAAGTAATGGTTGATGTCCCAAGGAACATCAAACAATCCAGGTACCATCCCACACTCAACCAGGTGATACATTATGACTCCTGGTCAGTGTAAGAGCTGGATGCATGTACCATGCCCCACACTCAACCATGCCCCACACTCAACCAGGTGATACATTATGACTAATGGTCAGTGTTAGAGCTGGATGCATGTACCATGCCCCACACTCAACCATGACCCACACTCAACCATGCCCCACGCTCAACCAGGTGATACATTATGACTCCTGGTCAGTGTAAGAGCTGGATGCACGTACCATGCCCCACACTCAACCAGGTGATACATTATGACTCCTGGTCAGTGTAAGAGCTGGATGCATGTACCATGCCCCACACTCAACCATGACCCACACTCAACCATGCCCCACACTCAACCAGGTGATACATTATGACTCCTGGTCAGTGTAAGAGCTGGATGCATGTACCATGCCCCACACTCAACCAGGTGATACATTATGACTCCTGGTCAGTGTAAGAGCTGGATGCACGTACCATGTCCCACACTCAACCAGGTGATACATTATGACTCCTGGTCAGTGTAAGAGCTGGATGCACGTACCATGACCCACACTCAACCATGCCCCACACTCAACCAGGTGATACATTATGACTCCTGGTCAGTGTAAGAGCTGGATGCATGTACCATGCCCCACACTCAACCAGGTGATACATTATGACTCCTGGTCAGTGTAAGAGCTGGATGCACATACCATGCCCCACACTCAACCATGCCCCACACTCAACCAGGTGATACATTATGACTGCTGGTCAGTGTAAGAGCTGGATGCACATACCATGCCCCACACTCAACCAGGTGATACATTATGACTCCTGGTCAGTGTAAGAGCTGGATGCACGTACCATGCCCCACACTCAACCAGGTGATACATTATGACTCCTGGTCAGTGTAAGAGCTGGATGCACGTACCATGCCCCACACTCAACCAGGTGATACATTATGACTCCTGGTCAGTGTAAGAGCTGGATGCATGTACCATGCCCCACACTCAACCATGCCCCACACTCAACCAGGTGATACATTATGACTCCTGGTCAGTGTAAGAGCTGGATGCACGTACCATGCCCCACACTCAACCAGGTGATACATTATGACTCCTGGTCAGTGTAAGAGCTGGATGCATGTACCATGCCCCACACTCAACCAGGTGATACATTATGACTCCTGGTCAGTGTAAGAGCTGGATGCATGTACCATGCCCCACACTCAACCAGGTGATACATTATGACTCCTGGTCAGTGTAAGAGCTGGATGCATGTACCATGCCCCACACTCAACCATGCCCCACACTCAACCAGGTGATACATTATGACTCCTGGTCAGTGTAAGAGATTGATGCATGTACCATGCCCCACACTCAACCATGCCCCACACTCAATCAGGTGATACATTATGACTCCTGGTCAGTGTAAGAGATTGATGCATGTACCATGACCCACACTCAACCATGCCCCACACTCAACCAGGTGATACATTATGACTCCTGGTCAGTGTAAGAGCTGGATGCACATATCCATGCCTCACACTCAATCAGATGACACATTATGAATCCTGGACAGAGCAACAGTTGGATCCTAGACACTTATCAGACTCTTGTTTCAGATAATGACATAAATTTCACAGATGGTGTTTGAATAAGCTGTGTGTGAAGAAAGAAGCCTCAGTCTGAAAATATCCTCATAGCACAGTAGTAGGTCCCATCATGAAAATGAGGTCATCTTGGATTCGTTCCAGAACACAAAGGAAATGACATCTTCTGCCCCCGATATATGCCAACTCTGAAAGTAAAAATACAACAAAACCTAAAAGTGTTCAGCACATAACTGCATGTACCAGTTCCTGAATGCTTGAATATAGAGTGACATTTGTTAGTTGAAATCTTGTTAATCCACTTATTTAGTGAGTGAATACGGTTTTACTGGGCTTTTAGCAGTACTCCAGCAATATCACAACACCAGAAATGAGCTCCACACATTGTACCATGTGGGGAATAAAACCCAGAATTTCTGCATGAAAAGTGAATGCTTTAATCACGAGGCTACCCCACTGACTTCTTGTTAATCCAGAAACCACACATCAGGACAGTGACTCCATATTTCCCTTGGAACACTTCTGCCGGGATTAACAAGGTGTCTCTGTACACTGTTTAAATGTATGCTGGATCACTTTTGATTAAGATCAATTCAGAATTTGGTAATGTCACAGGGCTCAATATCAACCTGGAAAATGGTAGGAAACAAGATCTTGCAAAACTTTACAATTTGCACACACCAAACAATTGTAGGAAATAAAAGTATTGAGGATAAAACATGAATCTCAGCCTTTGAAGCAAAAGATATAAAACTCACTGGATCAAAGTTAGCAGAATTCTCCCCAGAGAGGTGATGCCAATCAAGAAGTTCATCCATTGACAAGTTTTTCTGGAAGTGAAATAGTCCCACAGTTCATGCATCTGTGACTTAAAACACAGACTCTCTGAGTCTGATCAAAGAATCCTGCCTATTTAAGGCAGTTTGACATGTCTCCATGCCACATTAAGTTTATAACATGTAGTATTTCTATACACTTCACTGCATTCATTGATGGACTGACTGCTGGATATCACTGCTGGTACCCTGATTCAATAATTCCATGATTTGATATAGCTGTCACATTGCTGACATACACCACTATTCACTCAATACATCTCTCATTCACTCAGTCTCACCTTGGAGTGTGATTTGACCGCTGGAGCTCCGAGCTGACATGGTCGTGATGTCTCTGAGGCGTGGGTGACAGTGTCAGATGGCAGCACCCCCTTCCCCCCACACTGGCAGTCCAGCAGAGTATGAGTGTCACATGCAGTCCTCTCACTGAGGGTGAACAGGTCCTGGGAACAGTCAGACCGGAGAGTCAAACAGCAGACAACACGCTCTAACAAGGCTCTTGTAGATGTGGAAATCATAATCTTAGGCATTTGTGTATTAATTACTTGGTTTATGGAACTGCCAAGCGAAACTTTACAACGCTGTACCTTAAGATCCTCCCGTGAGAACTGGACATCATTTCTCTCTCTGAGATCCATGACGGCTCCACTGAGGCCTTGCTTGCTGATTTGGCGCTGGTACACCTTTTCCTCGATACTTCCCTGGAATACACACGGGACATTGTAACATGGCATATTACACATCTAACACTTGGGACATCTACAAGCAAGACTGCATTTGTGAAAAAGATTGTGAAATATATTCCCTGGGAGGTACATCATAATGGTGGAATTTCGCCTGACAAGCAAGCCGTGTTAAATACATGGAAAACTAGTTACACTTCGCTTTTTGAAGAATCAATTAACACAGATTTTGAGAATGATCATTATGGTTCTATTCATCAGGATCTACGTAATGACTCAGTTAGTGTAGAAAAGAGTCTGGACATGGTTTGTTGAACTTGTGTATTAAACATTCTGAAGTGGAGTAGGTTATTGCCCGGGGCAAACGTGATAAAGCTGCAGGTCTTGATCTAATACCGGCTGAAGCACTAAAAAATATAACTTGTATTGAAATGTTGTACAAGATCTTTTCCTACTGTTTTGAAAATAATGTGTGCCCTGATAATTGGAAAAGCAGTATTATCCTTCCGATAAAGAAGCCAGCCCCGAGAGACCCTCTTGGATACCGTGGTATTTCATTACTATCAATACCTTGCAAGATCTGTGCAGACATATTGATACAGCCTCTTCAGTAAATGGTTAGAAGACAACGATGTCTTGGTTGATGAGTGAGTGAGTATGGTTTTACGCCGCTTTTAGCAATATTCCAGCAATATCATGGCGGGGGACACCAGAAATGGGCTTCACACATTGTGCCCATGTCGGGAATCGAACCCGGGTCTTCGGCGTGACGAGCGAACGCTTTAACCACTAGGCTACCCGACCGCCCCTCTTGGTTGATGAGCAAAATGGGTTCGATAAAAAGAGAAGTACCCATGTACGCATACCGTATTCAACGTAATAAGCGCCCAGGGCGCTCTCACAATTAGAAGTAGGGGGCTCTTATTAGAATATTATGTTGGTGAAAAAAACAGAGTTGAAAGATAAATTTTGTGGTTTATAGTGACTGCCTGAAATGTTTATGTACGACAGATATATTTTTCCAGAATTCAATTGCCCATAATTAAGGGTGCATATAACACACAAGCATGTATTATACGTGAATAAATAAGTCTTGTGTACATTGATCAATCGGAAGGGGTGCTAATTGGGATTGTTCACTAGCCAATTTATCAGCAAATATCGCCATGGGCGCTTATTACGTCGAATGCGGTATTCACATTATAGTCTGTGTTACACATTCGGAAACTGTCAAAACAATCAATGTTTGTCTGTTTTATTGAAGCTTTAAAGGCTTTTGATAAAGTTAATAAGGAATGTCTGTAGTACAAGCTAAAGAAATTGGGTATTGATTGTAATTTTTATGAAGCAGTTAGATCTATGTATGGAGATAAAAAGGGCCAGGTTGGTATCAATGGTTACTACACAGATTCATTCTCAGTGAAGTCCGGCGTCCATCAGGGATGTGTGTTGTCACCTGCCTTATTCTCTGTACCGGTATTCATAAATGACCTTGCTACCGAAAATAATAGTCTGAAATGTGGTGTCCTAGTTGATGCGACTATGCTTAGTTTGCTGTTATATACGGACATTGCATTAATCGCCCCAGAGGGACACAGTTTACAACTTATGTTGGAAAGAGTGAACACCTAGTGTTATAAAGTGGCGACTAAGTATAAACACGAGAAAAACTAAAATTGTTCATTATCGACCAGTTAATCTTCAGAACTCTGACGTAGTCTTCAGAATTGGAAATGTGGTCATCAACTATTCTAAAGCCTACAGATATCTAGGATTATGGTTCCACAAAATTTAGACTTGAACTATAAAGAACTGTCGAAATCAGCCAACAGGGCATTGGGCATTTTAATCAGTAAATTCAAGACTGTCGGGGGCAATGGTTTATGATGTATTTAACACCTTATATGGTTATCTTGTCCAACCCCTCCTGTCATATGGATCTACAATATATGGTATAAGAGTATTCCGATGTGTTAACTAAGTTCAACACCGAGCACGCCGATTCTTTCTAGGAGTAGGCTGCAAGACTGCTAACTCCGCCATTTGTGGTGACATGAGCTGGTTATCAACTCTGACAATCCAGCAAATTGAAACTTTGCGATTTTGAAAAAATCTCAGTTCTACTGATCCCGACAGAATTATCTCTGCTGTCTATTCATGGTCAACAACACAGTATCATAACTCTTGGGAGTCTCCAGATTCGTATCCCGAATGTTTAAGACATTTCCCATCAAGAATTTGAATCTATTAAGAATTGTTTAATGACCACAGATGCAAGGAGGTGGCTATCCGATCTATGTAATGATAGAGGACAAGTTAATGGGAATAAATTATGTACGTACAGACAGTTCAAGTATAACCCTAATGTTAAACCGTATGTTCGGAATATAATTAAAAGATGGCAGTGGAGTATTTTGGCCAAACTAAGATATGGTTCACTCCCACTAGAGATTGAACTGGGGTGTTTCCGTCGCCCACTGAGGCCTCTTCAGGAAAGAAAATGTAAATATTGTAATCTCATAGATATCAAGGGTGAGTGTCACTTCCTTACTATCTGCCCATTGTATTTAGATATTATGTATGAGTTGTATAACCAAGCTAGTACATTAAATCCATCATTCCCTAATTTATCTCCAAGTGATCAGTTTATATTTTTGCTGCAATGTGAGAAGCTCTGTAAACCCCTAGCCATGTCTATATTACACATGTTCCAACGTAGAATACATGCACTACTGTAGTTATTATTATCCAAAAGCGTTCAGCAAAGTCTGTATGGAAGCTGTTGTACATTATCCATTAAATGTGTGCGAGGAAGTTGTAAATTATTCAGTAAAGCCTCTGTCGCACAGATAATGCGACCGCGATGCAACCTCCTGGCGACCAAAATATTTGACAATCACAATGAGGTTTCAAGGGTCCCTGAAAGGTTTCACTGAGGTCGCTACAAGGTTTCAGAGCGGATGCAAAACCCATTTGGTCGCAACCAGTCTTTTGAACATGCACAAAAGACTAGCTGCTACCAATTTGGTCGCACAGGGGGTTTCACTGGTCTCATGGAGGTCCCAAAGTGGTGTTATTTTAATCGCAGATTGGCTTCCACTGCGTGGCGATCGGTTTCGTCTGCACAAGAGTGTTGACTCTTTGCAACCTAGTGGCGACCTATCGGTGGTTGATCAGTGATGAGGCGGTGATCGACCGGCGCTTCATCGGTGACTGGTGGTCGATCGGTTGCAAAGCGGTTTCCAAGCATGCATCTATCATTCGCCGTTGGGTATGCAACATGTCACTGTCTCTAAAAACACCTGTCTGTGCATTACATCATCATTTTGTCATAAGTACTCAGAGAGTTCACATCAATTATTTCCATTCATCACTATGGTCCGTAAAGGCAGGAAAACAAAAGAACCAGAACCAGAGACAACTGCTGTGAGAAGGAAGAGCCAGAGATGTCCGATGTTTACAGGCTCCATTTTTTAGGTAGCCCACGAAATGTCTCCAACTCTGCCATCAGATTACCATAGTCTCCTAGCTGTGGCCTTCTTGCGATCCAAGGTCTCAGCCAATACTGCCTTCGCCTTGTCAGTCTCATTCTTCTGTACATCATCATGTACATGGCAGCAACTGCAGCAGTTTGATTTATTCTTTGCAGGCGGAGCAACTGCAACTGTTCTGCTGTTTACATCTTGACAACTTGCATAGAAATGATTTGATTCAGAAAAGCACCCCTTTTATATGCATTATGTTTTGATCGGTGATTGATCGACAACTAGTCACCCACCAGTCGCCATTCAGTTGCAACAAGTCACCGAAGATTCACTGACTAGTCACTGATCGGTCTCAACCAGTTGCAAACATTTTGCCGTACCTGCGGTGAACAGTTACCGGTCTTAGCTATCTACATTCGGTCGCAAAGGAAATCAGTCACCAAGAGGTTGCATCGCGGTCGCATTGTCTGTGTGACTGTAGCTTAAGTGTTCAGTGTTGTGTGTGAGAAAGATTTTTGAATATTGTCCAATGAGCGTTTTGGGTGTAAGGAAGATGTTGTATATTATTCAATAAGTGTTCAGCGCTGTGTGAGAGAAAGAGGTAGTAAAATGTCCAATAAGCGTTCAGCGCTGTGTGTGAGGAAGTTGTTGTAAATTATCCAATAAGTTTTTAGCGCTGTGTGAGAAAAGATGTGTATTATCCAATAAGGGTTCAGCACTGTGTGCGAAGAAGTGTTTAGTGCTGTGTGTATGGAAGATGTTGTATATTATCTAATAAACGTCTAACGCTGTGTGTGACGAACTTATCAGTGTAATGTTAAGCCCTTATCGGCTGTTTTCAGCAGGTTACATTGCTCAAATATGTTGTTACAATTTTAAAGAAATGTAAATTGTGAAAGATTGTGTCTCATAGGCCCTGTGGCCGGATAGTGTACTGTTTGCTTTTTATGTGATTTATTGTATCGTGCAATATGTGACACGTAAATAAAATATTTTTCTTCTTCTTCTTTCTCCATGATATGATTTTCCTGAGACGTCTAAACGTTGCATTGTTTTAAGAACTAAGGATGATGACGATGGTCAAATGAAGACAAAACCTTTCAGCATCTCCATTTACCTACATGGGACTGCTTGATTATCATCTGATGACTGGTCAGGTGTTGCTAGCAGCATCAGTGAACAGGACATGAGCCACAACTATCTTAACTATTGATAGGCAATAGAGCTAGCTACTTCAATACAATGTAGTTATTCGTGTGCATCTGTTAATATAATTGACACGCATCAATCTAATCACTTTTCTACATTACTATAACAAGACATAGCTACCAATACTATAGCTGGAATCTGATTGAGTGATGTCATAGGACTCTCTGACATCATCAATTAACATTGCGGTATGTTAGAAAATAAAGAAAATACTTAAGTGTCAAAGATTTTATCCCCTTGCTAAAATAATTGAATTCTAACACATTGAAAGTTTGACAACATTGTTATCAGATTAATTACAAAACAACAAATAATTCCTATTATATCAGCAGACATCTTTGAATGTGATTTAGGGCTTTAAAAAGTTATAGGGGAGGGTTTTTGAAGCTCTACACAATTATCATGTGAATTATTTTTTAGGTATGCTACTGATGACCAGTCGCCTGTAGAACTTACTGTGGTGAGAAGTCTGTAAATGTACACCTTCTTGGACTGACCATCTCTCCACACTCTGGCCATAGCCTGTAGACAAAGTAAACCAAGTAACACCAGCCTCGTCATGTTTCAGATGCTGATTAATGGGAACCCTAACAGTTTGCAATGAACATGAAAGTTAACTCTTACATATTTCTTCAATGAGATGGTTATAGCAATGGAACTATAATTACAAGCAAACAATCAGCAAACAACTTTTAGCTATGTATGTCGAAGTGTATACCTGGAGATCGTTGGCAGGGTTCCAGTCGATGTCGTACAGGATGAGTCTGGAGGCGCCGACCAGGTTCAGACCAACTCCCCCAGCCTTGGAGCTCAGAAGAAACACAGCTGCAAAACATCATAGTTACTATGCCCGAACTCATCATGCCCCCCTTAGCAAGTATCATCTTGTAGTGACTCTGAGCGAGCCACTGCTTTCTAACACTGCTATCAATGATTCAGCTACCACTGCCAACAGTCATTTGAAGGATTCCATGGTCCTGTTCCACAAAGCAATCTTAGAGCTACAACTGCTAAAAGTCTTTGTTAAAGTATGGGAATTATGGTGCTCAGATCCCGTAGTCTAACAGAGCCTTGTTCAGTTACAAAATAGTGAGAAAACTTCTTTGAAAGGAAATGTTTAAAATATAGTCTTTATCACACTTTATATCCGGTTTTGCCTTTCCTTACTTTCTTGAGAGTGTTTACTGTTGAACTTGTTGACAATATCTTGTCTCTGTGATGTAGGGGTCTGGCCGTCGAGGCGCACCCACCTGAAGCCCACATTGTCACAAAACACCTGCAGCATGTTTAGAGTCTGAAAACAACCAATGGGAAAAGAAAACATTTCGGTAACATACTGGCATACAGCCAGCAGGTTTGAAGGAGTTAAATCACCATTTGACACCATCAATAGTTACGAAAGATGTACCTTGGTGTGGTTGGAGACAAGCACAACCTTCTCCCGGGGTTCTTCTGAGTGCAGGGATTGTAGGATGGAGGAGAGGGCCACCAACTTGCCAGAGTGTCGTGTCACCACTCTCTCCAGGGAGGCATCCTCAGGGAAGTAGGGAAGAAGGCCGGAGTACACAGACTGGATAATATAATGTACATTTGCATACCGTCATTACCCCTGTCATTGGATCCGACTACTTTCACTCTACATCTCACCTCTCACCCTACCCACCAACCCCAAAGTTGTTCAATGAATTTCTTAAATTCTATCATTTGTTTTTAAGAAAATGAATACTGAATTCTATCCTCATCAACATAGAATAAAAATTTAGTGCCTACTTATTCCTCATAGGAGTGAGTGAGTAAGTTAAAACTTATATAGTGATGACTTTTCCCACTGGAATATACTAAACAGGAGAAAATCGTTGACATTGGCTACCTCTTCCTCTTCTCCTCCCTTCCCTGCTGGCTCCATGGCCTTCCTGAGAACCAGGTTGGGGTGATTACACAGCTGCTTGAGAGCGGCGATACAGATGAGGTGTGGCGCCCCCTCCACGTTCCCTGACAGACAGCGCCGCATGAGTCGACACTGGAGGAACTGGTGGTACAGGCACAGCTGGAGACGACTTGCCTGACAGAATATTACAAGCTCCACTGAAATAATGATGATAGAACTGAATAAGTGAGTATGTGAGTAAATTTAAATGAAATCAGATCTTGTACGCGGAGACAATACCTGTCTGTGTGAAGACCTGACGACATGTCCCTACCTTCTGTTTAAAAGAGGAACAAGGTTTAATATGTTGTGAAGGTACAGATGTGAAGTACAGAGTAACTGTCACACAATTGTCAGAGTTTCTACACTATTTTCTATCTAAGTGCTCGTGGCTGCAAAATTGGGCAACAGCATTATTGTTTTCAAAGTTGGAAAGATTTGCTAAAGTACCATCATTGTTGCTGTTTGTTTTACATATCTAGACATGCACAGATAGGAGTGAGCAATACCTGGAGTTTATTTTGTTATGCGCTTATAGATAAATTGTTAATAATGTTGGATACTGCTGATTGTGCACATCAACCACGGGTTGCCTGGCCCAGTCACGAGTGTATACAGGTTAACGTGAAATAGCTGGAATATCTGCAGATTAAACACTCACTCTCTACTGACAAGTACCTTTAGGGGGCAGGTATTTGTTGTTTATTTCCTGAGTTCTCCGCAGGATGAACATCTTGGTGAGTCTTGTCAGTTCGGCCCCTCTCTCTTCCCCGAGACTGACCTGCTGCAAGGAGGCGCCCGGTTGGCGGGACGCCACGATGGGGTCTTCATACACTCGGTGGAAGGCAGCACTAGAACCTGGGCGATGGGCAATTCAATTAAGCTTTGAGCACTTCTTGGTTTCCAACATTTACAACACTGATAAAACTTCACTCACTCAGGGCATATTTATCAAATGGAGTTACTATTACAATACCCATATTCTATGAAGAGCATCATTCTCAGTAAAAGACTGTTCCTTCAAAATAACATTGAAAAAGAACATATTTATTTTAAAAATGCACATTTGGAATTAAATATTCAAAATATTCTAAAGTAGAAACTATATCCTTCAATGTTGATATTTTGCTGACATGAAGTTTCTAGTTAAAAATTCAAAGTCCAACCTGAGTCTGCATATATTAATTCATAGTACGCTTTTAGTTGAGGAACTGATTATCATGGACTTCTAATTTGGTTATACGAACTTGTCTATAAACAGCTTGTTGCCCAGCTGCTTGAATGAACACTAACTATATAAGCATTAGGAGAGGCTAGTCAGGACCTACCAAGGATGCCAGGGTTACAGAACTCCACAATGGAGAAGAACTCCTTCAGGTCATTCTGTATGGGAGTGCCTGTTAGAATTACACGTCTTCTGGTTGGCAAACTCATGATCAACTGAAACAAAATTTGTTTGTTTGTTGTTTAGCACCGCACTCGGCTATATTGCTGCTATATGATGGCGGTCTGTAAATAACCAAGTCTGGACCAGATAATCCAGTGATTGGCATCATGAGCATCAAACTACGCTATTAGCGAGCCTGACCACCCGATCCCGATATTCGCCTCTTACAAAAAGCATGGGTTGCTGATGACCAATTCTAACCAGGATCTTCACTGGTAAACTGAAACACACAGTTAGTTCAGTATTCAGTTTCACTGTCAAGAAGTTCAACTTTAAGGCTACACGAGGCAAGATAGTGAATGTTTCTTATATTTTCGCCAACCATTTTACAGCTATTTATCATCCAAAACTGGCTCCCACAGGAGATATTGCTTGGTTGACATCAAGCGATAGCTACATTGCAGATATCACTGCAATGAAATTGCATCACAATGCTTAGCAGACCATTGTGACGTCATTGGTTACCATGACGTCACAATCAAATTACATCACTAATGGCTCTGCTACAGAAGCTGTTGGCAGTACTTTTTACACTTAAGACACTGCTTATTACTATCTACAAACTGAAAAAGTTGGAAGAATGATGTTGGTTGATTAATAAAATCTCACCCTCGTGTCTTTGGATATCAAATATATCAACACTCGTTGATAAAATCAACTCATGTTGATATATTTGATATCAAAAGACAAACGTGTGAGATTCTCTATATTACCATGACCTGTAAATAGTCCAAATCTGTATTAGACAAACCCACTGTGCCCACTTTTTGTTTTTGGTCCTAAAACAACATGGGGAAGACAGTGGGGGGATTAGGGATTAAGTGGGGGACCGTATCAGCTAAAATGTTCTCACCTGTACAGTGGGCACTGCGGTGATAAGTGAAATGTTCTCACAAGTGTTCACTCTTGTGAACTTTGTTCACTACTTTATAATTATATGATATCCCACAAATTGGCAGTGCAGTCATGGCAAACGCACAAGTAGCATTAAGTTACATTCCTAACGGTCAAGGCGGGGAGAATTTAGTATATGGTGGATATAAATTCAGGGTTAAAAATAGGAAAGAAGATAGAGTCTACTGGCGATGCTGTATGAAAACCTGTCACGCCACACTCAACACCTACAACGGCGTGATCACAGCTTATAAGAACATCCATAACCGCAAATCATGTGGAGGGGTGGCACAGCAAGATTGCGAAGATATTGGGTGCGCCTCATCCAAATATATTCAAGATTGTATCATTTTTCAAAGCCGAACAAGCGTACGTCGAGTCGACCATCCATCAGCTAGAGTCTGGTGAGAAAATTCGTCCAAGAAAGCGAAAGTACAGACAACTTGATGACAGACTGCAGATAGAGAAGCACCACCTGCAGAATGGCACCAAGACCATTCAACAGTTTGCTGATTCTGTGCATATCATGAAATTAAGCAAATAACATGTAAATGTATCATGATTTTGTACACCTAATTGTACGTGTAGAATGATTTTGTACACATAATTGTGTTTGGATTGTTGTACAATATGTTTTTATTTTGCCAATAATAAATCATTATTTACATTCTTGTGTATGCTTATTTCAATATACTAGTATATTCATGGGTCTGTACATGCACTGTGGCAAAGTGGGCACTGCAACCCTGATGGTGATATGGCCTAATCCCTTAATCCTTTGTTGTTATAAGATCCAAATTCAAAAGTGGGCACAGTGGAGGTAAACCGTTGATATCATCTGCACTGCTGTCATTCTACAATGACACACCATTAGGTTTCAGCCCTAAAATACTCATGAGGGTTATCATGTCAATAAAGACAGCCACTCAACAAACATTGATATCCAAATATGTTCTGCATAAATTATGAGACCTAAATATGAAACCGGTAACTACATTTCATCCATGCATCTAAGTTCCTAATTTTACAACTTAATTTTGTTTTTCCCCCACAATTTTCTATTCTTTTGCTCAATAAAATCCTTTGATTTCAACAGAATATGATATCATCTAAGAAGACACATAAAGGCCAAAGTTCAGCTCTAGTCCGGCAGATTTTGAAGAGATGATATTTGCAGAGCCAAAAAAGCATTTTGAGAGTATGTAAGAGCATGTGGTCAAAACTTGAAATATTGCAAAAGAAATTGAGTGGCTGAATAATACCGGTAATCATAAATGATTTTCAGTATTGCTTCTGTGGCGACATATATAAAAAACATATCAGAGCATTATGAACATTTAAGGGTGCCATCATTAGCAGGAACAGGCCTGTGAAGTTTCAGCTCCATCGCAACCGAGTTCCTGCATTAACATGTTTCATTTCTATCCATATCAATACATACACATGTATCAGTAAAGATGAAATATCATGCGCATAAAAACAAGCAACTCCGCAACTCACCGAAGTAGTCTTGATTGTTGTATTCTTAAGCCTATGACCTTCATCACATATAACTATGTCAAAGTGGGCCTCCTGGATCACTTTGTAAGCTCGTACAAACATTTCATAAGACATGATGAGTACTGGGTAGATGGCTGTCTTTGTGTACTCCTGCAACTCACACACACAAGTCACAAGTCAGTTCTCATCAAGTCACAAATCAGTAAATTTCAGTAACAATACAAACTTATTCTCCCCACAATTCGATATTGTTTTTGACCTATCCAAGTCAAGTGGTTAGTTATTTCTTAAACCATTAAAATAGTGCCACAACACTGAAGCTCAACAGTTTAAAATGTCAACAAATACAGCCACTAAAAAAATGTCAGTAAGTCATTTGAATTGTAGACATGAATATAAAGTTGCATTTTTTTAAAGAAAATGGTTGAGTAATGGCCATAATAAGTTTCACTTTTCAGAATAATCGAAGTGAAAAGATTAAATGAAGGTAAAAATGTAAATATCACAGGAAACAGAACATATCAGCTAACCCCCACTACTACCTACATATTGATATATCAAAATTTCACTACACTTTTTAACAATACACTGATCAATGGCTATAAATATACTTTTCAATATGGCTCCCATGACAGCCAGAAGAGGTTCTGAGAAGATGTTTGATGATTGGCAGCTATATTTGGTTTCTTATGAAGATGTCTTGAACAAACTATACAAGGTGACCATCTCACCAACTAATGTTTTTAAATATTTCTTGTCTTTAATCAAAGATGGCTTACAGGTAGCCATATTGAAATTCTAATTTTGATGCCTTGTAACTACATGAAGCCCCTTTTTAATAAAAACAAACTTTAACCCAAAATTTCAGTTGAATCCAGCAAGCCATTTTGGAGAAGTTGATGGCTGACAGCTTTTGATGACATTAACTCAGGCCAGGTGAGCTAAAAAATTTGGCCAAGTATAACAACAGTTTCTTTAATACTTATTTGGAAGAGATTTTCCCTACGTTATTTCCAAAGACTTGAGCACAAATATGAGGTAGCACTTTAAGGCAATGAACAAATTACATTATTGGCCTTACATACATAATCAATTGCATAAACTTCAAAGGAACTAGGTCACTGCTAACAGATCAAAAATTGGTTTTCCATACCCATAATCGCTGAACATCTTACCTCAACTCTGTTGTTGGCAGTAACAGCAAACACCTTCAGTCTCTCAGAACCAAGCCACTTCTTAAACTCTTGAAACCAGTTCTGGACAATAGAAACCTCTGATAAGGAATAAAGGTGACCCAAACAGAATAGTTACCACGGAGACCAGCCCAGTAAGCTACCAGGTACACAGCAACTTCCCATCAGCAGCATCTGGTTATTGCATGTATAACTATGTCCCACATTTCAGGTATTAGCAACTGAACTGAGAGCACCAAAAACATATTATAGTTGCCAAACTGTAAATATCACAAAGCCAAATTTGCAACTTGAGTGTAAGATTAGGTTGAAAATTTGAAAATGAGACACTAATAACTGTACAAGTGGTCCATTCAGATGATATATATACAATAAATATCCGCATGGCATAAGCAGATTTTCAGTTACCGATCTTGCTATTCAGAACACCTTCTCCCTCATTTCATAATCACAAATACAAAGGTGTTTTGTAAAATGAGCTTCTATTCAAATCCAGTTTTTCTTCATGACATGACATCTTAGATCATCAACTGCCAAGGAAGAACTGATATACTAAGAATAATCACTGTCTACTGTAGTTTGGCCAATGAGAGCTCTTCTAATATAGCAGTGTCATCTATATCTACAGGGGCAGTTGGAGCAGGCCAGATGGCTGTCAGTCAAAACAGCCAATGTTTTTCACAATTTTATAGGAAAAATGACACTGATTATTACTCAAGGTAAGTGTCATCATCTCTCATGTAAGCAATAACACCAGTTTCATAGAAAATATTGAATTTTTGATTAAGTTTAACAATAACAAAAGGAGTAATGGAATTTCAAATCCTGAAGAATAAAAATAGGTGACCCCTCTCTAGTGACACGTGGCATTAGCATAATTTCATGATTATGCAAAATATGTGCAGGACATCCCTGGAAAATGGACCAATCTGAAAGTTCAAACCTCGCCTTCCATCATTGTTCACACCTCAAGATTTAGTTTGGTAAAATCGAAATATATTTTTACATTTGTATACTTATCCTGTTCTACTCCTAAATGCATTTACTGCTGTTTTTTGACAGAAAGACGAAGTTGTCAGAGGTCCAGCTACAGAAGTTGTTCTAACCAGTAGTGTAGCACACAGCTGCCAAGTGACCCAGAAGTGGTGACGTCACATAAGAGCACATTACTGCGAAATATGTAACATCTGAAGACTTCATGGGGAGGCAGCACTACGATGGGAGGGCACTTAGACAAAGTAATGCAGGATAAGTATACAAATGTAAAAAATATTTATATTTACAAAAAATGTTAACTTATCCTGTATTACTCCTTAATGCATATATATCAGATGGTACGGAGGCGGGCCTACCTTCAGATGTGATCCGAAATAAATGCATGTCAAGTTCTAAGTAATCCTGAGCAATGACAGAAAGCAATAACCTTTCCTGTCAAAAGGAAAACAAAAGTTTGAAGAATATGGAAAGACCAAATAAATGAACAGCAATAGCAAAAAGCGTGAGCCAAAACTAAAACTGGCCTACCAAGCTAATGCAGAAAGCATGTGAGCCCTCTAATCTGGGGTGATAAAACCAGAGATTTCGACGGGCCAAGGGTCTAAGGGAATCATTGAGGTCAGGGGTTGGTGAGTTGTTTTGCCACCATGGCAAACTATGGACACAGGGTTCATCATCCAAGGCCACTTCTTGTAGATAATGGCTTGTAAAGACGATATCGGAGTGCAAAAAACACTAATAATAGACTTGATGGAGCAGTTGCTATGGAGAGCCATGGTCAATGCGACAGCCCTGATCTTGTGAGGGTCGTTGGCCATGGGGGAGTCCAGGTCAGCCTGGAGAATGACCGAAGCCATAAGGAGATAGTATTACAGTTAACCTCCACCTGCAAAGTAGGAGTAAGAGGTATAAAAAGACGTTTCCTCGACTTGTGTTGTGCTTTAGAATGTCTGAGGAAATACCACAAAGCATGCACTGGGCATAACAAAAGTTCCTCTTTATCGTCTGCACCCATGATCAACAAGAGGGGAGAGATGGTGAATGACCTGTCTGGCAGTCCTGGGAGTTGATTCTTGGCAATGAAATCCCAGCACAGCCCAAGATGAACAGCTCCATGAGGCTCCATACAGGTTCTCTAGGATGGTCCAATTTTGCCATAACCTGCTGAGTCTCCCCATTTCGTTTCGAGACAGAACAACAGTGTCTGTAATGGCATAGATATGAATAAGGAAGGACTGGACCAGGGTTGACGGAGGAGTTTCTTCTAAAACTTAGATAGCTCAAGACAGACGTAAGTGTTTGCTCATATGATCGACCTGTCGTTACTGGTAGGACATAAGTCATCTCTCATATAGTGGGATGCAACAGAAGTCAACCGTTTAGCAATTCAATCGACAACTTGAGTCAGTCCGGTGGGTCATAGTCAGGGAAAAAGGATCCCTCAGAGGAATCTTAAATGGAATCACAATCTGGACGGGGGAATGGCTCCTTGAACGGCGACGAGACCGGGATGACGTAGAGCTGCGTCGAGATGAGCCAGGAGACGCAAAACCATGTGACACTATGCATATCGTCTTTCTCCTTCGATCCTGTCTTGAAACATGCTTGAACCCTGTTTCCAGCTCCTAAACTTCCACCCATAGCATCTCTTAATGGTTACGACCCCAGCTTGGTCAATTACATACCTCTCGTACATGGTAACCGTCCATGGTTGACCACATGTCTCTCTACCAACTCATCTTCTTTCTTAGAGCTATCAAGCTAGAACAACGGAGATGCGGGGATGGTCGGATGGGCATATCACGATAGGGTGTGAGATAGGGTAAGTATATAAATGTACAATTTATACTTAATATTTCCAAATTTTAAAACTTATCCTATCTCACTCTATGCATTTATCCCATGGTTGGATTGTGGGCTGCAGATACCCTAGCCTGTATAGACTACAACCGTGAGAAGACACTAGGAAGCTGCTGAACTCGTGAGCGGGAAAAAACACTTGATTGAAAGTGTTGACGATCCTGATACATTACTCGATCCAAACAGAACGAGATTGGGAATACATGCCGAACGTGTTTAAATCGACCCTGGTTTGTCTACTGGTATCGATTCTTCAAACATGTCACATTGCTATCTCTGACGTAGAATAGATGTGACTTGTTTTAGCGCTACATCAAGGTTATTAAACACATTCGAGTGTATGAGCCAAATGAAGGCGTGAAAAGGAATAATCGACAATATCCGTAAAGGATCTTCCAAACAAAACCCTAGATCACATACTCGAGGCAGTGGTGAGCAGAATAAAGGTTTGGGACAGAATTCTATTTTTCATAATAGCTGCGCTGTGAACTTGTGAAGACCTTGTACATCCGTGACAGATGTTGTGAGGGTAGTGAGAGGCGAAAACTGTGTCTGACTTCCAGAAGTACCCTTCCGTAATGGTGCAGAGGGTGCAATTACTGTGGACAGCCCAGCAAAAGGATGATGGAGCAACGACAAAAAGAGAGTAGTGTGGGAAATCACTGAGATGGAAGTGGTTGACAGCAGGATGAAGAGTCTCTTCCGTGATTTTCTGCGTTCACGAGATGCAGTCAAAGAGATATGAAGCACTCGAACTGGACAGAGGGAGAGATCTTCCTGGTCATCTCATCCCCAAATCAACAAGAGTGGGGAAATCGTGAATAACCAATCAGACTGGCCGGGAAATTGATTCTTTGCTAGAAAATCCCAACGAAGACCAGGGGCCAGGGCCATTAGAAATATGGTCTTCAGCATGATCGTCTTGAAGTTCTTATCCGGCTTGTAATCACTGGTTGGTTGGTCTGTTGTTCCCATGCAGCATGTCCAAATCGTGAAGATTGATCCACCAACTTGTAGGAATGGATGAGTGATTGCTGCATTAATAGTCTTTGCTACTCGCCCTGAGTAGCCTTTTGTGATAAGGGACTCTGCAAATGTGCCAGCATATAATGGAGTATGGCAAGGGCCGGATGGAGCCACTGAGAGTGTGGCTGAAGTAGAAGGTCTTCCCGAAGCGGTAGACAATGGAATTGTCTGTTGGCTAGCTTTAGCATGCTGGGGAACCAGTTGCATGTTGGTCAAAAGGGCGCAACTAAAATCAGTGATAGGTGGCTTCTACCTTCTGTAGGACCCGAGGCAGAACTCCTGTCAAGCGTCAATTCCAATCCTTAGACTTCAATCGTTGATCCGGTATAGCCTCGGGAGCGTCCTTGGAAGGAGCATTTACAATAGCGTTCTTCCCACAATCGAGTGTGCGTGAAGATTCTAGGAATGGGATCTTGAACGGAGGAGCATGGCAAATGTTTTTTTTATTTTAAAGCTGGAAACAGGGTTCAAGCACGTTTCCACATAGGTTTGAAGGAGAAAGAAGATATGCATAGAGTGAGATAGGATAAGTTTAAAAACATAAGCCTCCAAAACCCAGATGTTTCAGAGACATTGGTAGTAAACTGGTATGTATGTATAACATAGTCATTAATAAAACATACCAAAACATGAATGATGTGTTATTCTCAAACCACATTCTGACTGCATACATGTTGACATGGCAGCCATGATCAGAATTATGAAGAACATCCTGACAGACCACAGACAATGCATCATGCCATATGTGTACATTACGTCAAGCTTAAAACTATCCAAAATATACATCAAAGAAGCTGAGTACAGGGCAGTATGTATTTTACATCCCGATCAACATTCCTCACCTTAACTAAACTGCCTGGGGTGATGATGAGAGCTCTCCGAATCACAGGCTTCCCTCCATATGGACCCTGCTTCAACAGTGTCCTGCACGATCAAAGATCAGTTGGTCAAGGACATTTCACATTCAAAAAAACAAATAAATGTCCGAGTAATATTATACATCAAACAAACAACATTTGTAACATCCACTCACCAGAGCATGGTAATACACTGCAGAGTCTTGCCCAGGCCCATGTCATCACTGTCAACATACAAGGAGAAACTTTAATAATTCATGGTTCATGCAAATTGGAGCCACCAAATATAAGGCATTTTCAAGGCTATGACCCCGAGTGCTTCAAACAGACTTATTCAGACATTCTTACTTTAATTCATGGTCAGAATGGTTCCATTTGTACATCCAAGTACACTATTAAAATATTCACGTCCACACATCCAGTGTTTTATTTTTATGGCATAGACTCTTCCTTTATTATCTGAAAAAGGTTGTCCCAATTGCAGACACCATGCCCTAAGTTGAAAAACATGGAGCAAGGGCCATAACTCTGTAACAAAATAATTTATGGCACCGACAAACTCTGTTCCTATATCTCCTGCCCCTCTTTGTGGTGGGGATGTTAATGTATATTTGTTTAAAATAATTTGTTGTGAAATTCAAGGTCTTTTCATGGCCTTTTACTGAACTGTAAAGTGTTTTCAAGGTAGATTCAATTTTATGGGCATTTTAAGGCCAGAATGCAAAATTAAGGCCAATTCAAACCTGTGTTAACCTTGTTTATACAGAATTAGGATAAAATAACTAAAAATATACCACAGGAGAAAAAGGCACTTGAGGGAATCAAATTAGCTTTTGGTAAATTAGCTTTTCAATGGATACATATAATATTCATGAAATGTCAATTTTTCCATTAGGAATGTGAACCTTGAGTAATAATCAGACACTCAGACATGACTGATACACTTTGACATTAGACAGTGTTTATTAATAGAAACAAAATGCTGTATTTCTTAGACAATCCTGAAAAATTGTGCCTCACGCTAAGATTGCTCCTTGTCCAGCAAAGTCCCTGAAGCCCATGACACACTCGTACAGGAACGACACACCATCCCGCTGGTGCGCCCGCAGGTGGCTGGACAGGTAAGGGTCTACCACTACATCTAGCACAGCCAGCTTCTGTCTGTTGAACTCCCACTGTGGCACAGCAAGCACAGGTGTAACAAAGTAATACTGTCTGGGAGGAGGGAGCTGTCACTGTGACACAGCAAGCACAGGTGCAACAAAGGAATACTGTCTGGAGGAGGGAGCTGTCACTGTGACACAGCAAGCACAGGTGCAACAAGGGAATACTGTCTGGGAGGAGGGAGCTGTCACTGTGACACAGCAAGCACAGGTGCAACAAAGGAATACTGTCTGGGGGAGGTAGCTGTCACTGTGGCACAGTAAGCACAGGAGAAACAAGGGAATACTGTCTGGAGGAGGGAGCTGTCACTGTGGCACAGCAAGCACAGGTGAAACAAGGGAATACTGTCTGGGAGGAGGGAGCTGTCACTGTGACACAGCAAGCACAGGTGCAACAAAGGAATACTGTCTGGGAGGAGGGAGCTGTCACTGTGGCACAGCAAGCACAGGTGTAACAAAGGAATACTGTCTGGGGGGAGGGAGCTGTCACTGTGGCACAGCAAGCACAGGTGTAACAAAGGAATATTGTTTGGGGGAGGGAGCTGTCACTGTGACACAGCAAGCACAGGTGCAACAAAGGAATACTGTCTGGAGGAGGGAGCTGTCACTGTGGCACAGCAAGCACAGGAGAAACAAGGGAATACTGTCTGGAGGAGGGAGCTGTCACTGTGGCACAGCAAGCACAGGTGTAACACAGGACTACTGTCTCGGAGGAGGGAGCTGTCACTGTGGCACAGCAAGCACAGGTGTAACAAAGGAATACTGTCTGGGACGAGAGAGCTGTCACTGTGGCACAGCAAGCACAGGTGTAACAAAGGAATACTGTCTGGGACGAGAGAGCTGTCACTGTGGCACAGCAAGCACAGGTGTAACAAAGGAATACTGTCTGGGAGGAGGGAGCTGTCACTGTGGCACAGCAAGCACAAGTGCAACAAAGGAATACTGTCTGGGGGGAGAGAGCTGTCACTATGGCACAGCAAGCACAGGTGTAACAAAGGAATACTGTCTGGGAGGAGGGAGCTGTCACTGTGACACAGCAAGCACAGGTGCAACAAAGGAATACTGTCTGGGAGGAGGGAGCTGTCACTGTGGCACAGCAAGCACAGGTGTAACAAAGGAATACTGTCTGGGGGGAGGGAGCTGTCACTGTGGCACAGCAAGCACAGGTGTAACAAAGGAATATTGTTTGGGGGAGGGAGCTGTCACTGTGACACAGCAAGCACAGGTGCAACAAAGGAATACTGTCTGGGGGAGGTAGCTGTCACTGTGACACAGCAAGCATAAGTGAAACAAGGGAATACTGTCTGGAGGAGGGAGCTGTCACTGTGGCACAGCAAGCACAGGAGAAACAAGGGAATACTGTCTGGAGGAGGGAGCTGTCACTGTGGCACAGCAAGCACAGGTGAAACAAGGGAATACTGTCTGGTGAAGGGAGCTGTCACTGTGGCACAGCAAGCACAGGTGTAACAAGGGAATACTGCCTGGGAGGAGGGAGCTGTCACTGTGGCACAGCAAGCACAGGTGAAACAAGGGAATACTGTCTGGTGAAGGGAGCTGTCACTGTGGCACAGCAAGCACAGGTGTAACAAAGGAATACTGTCTGGGGGGAAAGAGCTGTCACTGTGGCACAGCAAGCACAGGTATAACAAAGGAATATTGTCTGGAGGAGGGAGCTGTCACTGTGACACAGCAAGCACAGGTGTAACACAGGACTACTGTCTCGGAGGAGGGAGCTGTCACTGTGGCACAGCAAGCACAGGTGTAACAAAGGAATACTGTCTGGGACGAGAGAGCTGTCACTGTGGCACAGCAAGCACAGGTGTAACAAAGGAATACTGTCTGGGATGGGAGAGCTGTCACTGTGGCACAGCAAGCACAGGTGTAACAAAGGAATACTGTCTGGGACGAGAGAGCTGTCACTGTGGCACAGCAAGCACAGGTGTAACAAAGGAATACTGTCTGTGGGAGGGAGCTGTCACTGTCGCACAACAAGCACAGGTGTAACAAAGGAATATTGTCTGGAGGAGGGAGCTGCCACTGTGGCACAGCAAGCACAGGTGTAACAAAGGAATACTGTCTGGGGGGAGGGAGCTGTCACTGTGGCACAGCAAGCACAGGTGTAACAAAGGAATACTGTCTGGAGGAGGGAGCTGCCACTGTGGCACAGCAAGCACAGGTGTAACAAGAGAATACTGTCTGGGGGAGGGAGCTGTCACTGTGACACAGCAAGCACAGGTGTAACAAAGGACTACCATCTGGGGGGAGGGAGCTGTCACAGTAAAGGTGAAGATGCTCAGGTGAAATAATTCAGCAAACCAAGATGTATACCAACATGGTTCATTGTGCCATAGTGTCCATCTTTCCTAAACTGATGATGATAAGTGCATATGGTCTGTGAAAATATCACCAATGAGTAGTGACTGAGTGGGTTTGACACCACTTTCAACAGCACTGCAGTTATATCACAGATGTACAGTTTAAAGTGGGAAGAAAGCCCAAAGTAACGTGGGTCAGACACATAATAACGTTTGATGAAACCTAGGAGATGTGTCTGTTGTGGACAGATCAAGTAACACAATCACGGCAACTGTACTTGCTAGAGAGACTTCACAACCAGTGGCACCATATCCAAAATTCCACTGAGTGGGGATTCAGGGGGAAATATCGGACCGTAATCTTATGCATGATGAAACAGTCAATCAAAATGTTGCCAATGGTTTGTCTGGTTGGAACTTTCTTATTTACAGGATGGTGTGAAATAGTTGTTTTAATATTGCAAAATATGTCATAAACAACATTCACTAACTCATTCCAAGAGCAGTCACATACCTGATGTGAAGAGTGTGGCCTTCTCATCACAAGAGCTCCTGGGGCAGTGGGGTCAAATCTTGGCTTCACACAAATATCCGTTCTAACCTACAAGTGACAGTATAACCATTCGCACAAGAACTCTACATCACTCTAGTTCTGATACTGATTTTTAAGAATTGCAGTGAAAGAGGTATTTTGATACTGGAATTTACAGCTATGTTTTTCCTCTAGAATAAGATGTTTAATGCCATGCAAATGAGATTGTTAATAAAAATACATGCCACATTGTTGGAGGGAGGCGGCTTACACAGGCAACTTTAAGTAATCAAACAGTTCAAACTAACAAATCTGAGATGTTTCAAATAACAAATCACTGGTTCAATATAAATACTAGACTGTGACAAATTACAACATGTCAGATGGAACTCTACCTGGGGAGCTGTATTGTCCTTGTTTGGGTCCACGAAAGGTTTCTTTATACCTGAAAAGCCAATTCCACTGAAAGTCAAGGCGACAATTTTCCTGACCAACAAATAGCCACAAAAATAATGAAGTGATTTCAACAGATTTTACAAAACTTCTGTCAGAATTGATGAAACTGAATGCTATCAGTACAAAACTCACACTAAATGTAATAATCTCTACTTACTTGTATTGTCTTCCTGTGATCCCTATCTGAGTTTTGTGTACCAGTGTTTTTTTCTGCTGGCTTTGTTTACCTCAGTGTTGTCTACCGTTTTTCTGCCTAATTACCTGTGTCTTCTTTATCAGTATTCCAATTACCTGTCTTCTTTATCAGTGTTCTAAGTACCTGTCTTCTTTATCAGTGGTCTAATTACCTGTGTCTTCTTTATCAGTGGTCTAATTACCTGTTTCTTCTTTATCAGTGTTCTAATTACCTACGTCTTCTTTATCAGTGTTCTAATTACCTGTGTCGTCTTTATCAGTGTTCTAATTACCTACGTCTTCTTTATCAGTGTTCTAATTACCTGTGTCTTCTTTATCAGTGGTCTAATTACTTGTGTCTTCTTTATCAGTGTTCTATTTACCTGTGTATTCTTTATCAGTGGTCTAATTACCTGTGTCTTCTTTAGCAATGTTCTAATTATCTGTCTTATTTATCAGTGTTCTAACTACCTGTGTCTTCTTTATCAGTGTTCTAATTACCTGTGTCTTCTTTATCAGTGTTCTAATTACCTACGTCTTCTTTATCATTGGCCTAATTACCTGTGTCTTCTTTATCAGTGTTCTAATTACCTGTCTTCTTTCTCAGCGTTCTAATTACCTGTCTTCTTTATCAGTGTTCTAATTACCTGTCTTCTTTATCAGTGTTCTAATTACCTGTGTATTCTTTATCAGTGGTCTAATTACCTGTCTTCTTTATCAGTGTTCTAATTACCTGTGTCTTCTTTATCAGTGGTCTAATTACCTGTGTCTTCTTTATCAGTGTTCTAATTACCTGTCTTCTTTATCAGTGGTCTAATTACCTGTCTTCTTTATCAGTGTTCTAATTACCTATGTCTTCTTTATCAGTGTTCTAATTACCTACGTCTTCTTTATCAGTGTTCTAATTACCTACGTCTTCTTTATCAGTGTTCTAATTACCTACGTCTTCTTTATCAGTGGTCTAATTACCTGTGTCTTCTTTATCAGTGTTCTAATTACCTATGTCTTCTTTATCAGTGTTCTAATTACCTACGTCTTCTTTATCAGTGTCCTAATTACCTGTGTCTTCTTTATCAGTGTTCTAATTACCTACGTCTTCTTTATCAGTGGTCTAATTACCTGTGTCTTCTTTATCAGTGTTCTAATTACCTGTGTCTTCTTTATCAGTGGTCTAATTACCTGTGTCTTCTTTATCAGTGGTCTAATTACCTGTCTTCTTTATCAGTGGTCTAATTACCTGTGTTGTGTTGAGCAGCAATAAGTGGGACGGAGCCTGCAGAGCTGGTAAAACATTTCCCTGATGTAAACTGCTCCTCTGTCAGTACTGACATGACCTGTGCAACAAGGAATAAAAACACCATGTACAGACATACCTTGTGTCACTTACCCTCTCTTACCTATGTTTCAAACCTACACTAGGCTTCATCAAAACTGTCAACACAATCGTCAAACATACTTACATTTTCAAAGCTTGATTTGTTTTGTATTGTTTCAGGTTTGGGTAACTACCAAGAAGAAATGTCCAATTGAAACAAGTACAAGAAGTATGTATAATCTTTAAACAACTTAATCTCTACTCGACTGACTTGTATTTCCTTGCCACCAACACAGAGTGTTTCATCGTCTTTGAGGAATGCCAGTTCACTGGCCTTGTAACCACTGCCTCGACCAATCCTGAATAAAGACATGTGTATTTCAATCTTCAAACTTGCTTGGACTGTTTTCATCAAAATATTTGTTTCTTTAATGCCGCACTCAGCAATATTCCAGCTATATGCTGGCGATCTGTAAAAAATCGCCTCTGGAACAGACAATCCAGAATTGACATCATAAGCATTGATCTACGCAATTGGGATGCAATCACATGCATCAACCACGTCAGCAAGCCTGTCCACCCGATCCCGTTAGTCGCCTCTTACGACAAGCAGTCACCTAGGCTTGTTACTACAAGCATGGGTTGCTGAAGACTTATTCTCTGCCCGGATCTTTACGGGTGTAGTCATCATAATAAACGCCATCAATGTTGTCTCTGTCAACTCTAAGATCATATATTTAAGATCACCCTTGTCAAACAATATTAATTCTGACCTGCATGTGTTCGGTGTATGCAGGAATGTATTCAGTGTATGTAAGTAGTCTGAGATGTCTTGTAACTTGCACCCACATTACAGATAGAAGACTAGCCGGAAACACAACTGGCACAAGGATTTTGATTCATGACAAATTAATGTTTTCATTTGAGAATCCTTGATTTTATCTTGGAATATATACATCTTATCCAGTTAATTTCAGTTACAGGGCAAACTATCTTGGCTCCCCTTCAGTTCCTGATATCAATTTGATATACCGGTACACCATTATGTAAAATGTGAAAATATTCCAAGTTGTTCACGAGTCCCTGTATCATCTCTTATTTCAATACTCAAGGTAAACATGTACTGTAATAACATGAAGTAGATGCTATTTGGAGACATTTTACAAAGTTGTGATTTCATAACAAAAATAAAATATCAAAGTTTTAATCTTGACTCATATGAGATGAAACAAAAGGTTACAGCCACTCACTCTTTGCTCTCCGTGTCATACAGAGTGACACTCCTGCCGTGAGTCACCAGCACCGCTGCACAAACACAAGTATATGTATTATACCATCTTGTAAGCAGTTACTACAGATGTGATGGAAAAGTTTCCAATCACTTCAACAGTTCAGATTTGATCATTTTCACACTTTCACAACACAAATGTTAATTGGAAGTCTGATGAATTTGTTTTTTTCATTATGTGCACAAAAGTTCCAATTTTTGTATAAAGAAATCCCCTTATAATCCTTATGATAACACATGAACACACCATCACATACTTTTACATGTCTCAAACACTTAATCTTGGAAGACTATTGTGTTGGCTTTTCAGGTAAAGTTGGTTTTTTGAAGAAACTGATACGTTGCACATACATTGCTATAAGTAATATTATCGCTGCATCACAAAAGCCTGTGAACAACAGAGTTGGGACCCCACAGAACAGAGCCTGATAACAACAGAGTTGGGACCTCACAGAACAGAGCCTGATAACAGAGTTTGGACCTCACAGAACAGAGCCTGATAACAGAGTTGGGACCTCACAGAACAGAGCCTGATAACAACAGAGTTGGGACCTCACAGAACAGAGCCTGATAACAACAGAGTTGGGACCCCACAGAACAGAGCCTGATAACAGAGTGTGGACCCCACAGAACAGAGCCTGATAACAGAGTGGGGACCCCACAGAACAGAGCCTGATAACAGAGTTGGGACCCCACAGAACAGAGCCTGATAACAACAGAGTTGGGACCCCACAGAACAGAGCCTGATAACAACAGAGTTGGGACCTCACAGAACAGAGCCTGATAACAACAGAGTTGGGACCCCACAGAACAGAGCCTGATAACAACAGAGTTGGGACCCCACAGAACAGAGCCTGATAACAGAGTTGGGACCCCACAGAACAGAGCCTGATAACAACAGAGTTGGGACCTCACAGAACAGAGCCTGATAACAACAGAGTTGGGACCCCACAGAACAGAGCCTGATAACAGAGTTGGGACCCCACAGAACAGAGCCTGATAACAGAGTTGGGACCCCACAGAACAGAGCCTGATAACAGAGTTGGGACCCCACAGAACAGAGCCTGATAACAGAGTTGGGACCCCACAGAACAGAGCCTGATAACAACAGAGTTGGGACCCCACAGAACAGAGCCTGATAACAACAGAGTTGGGACCTTACAGAACAGAGCCTGATAACAACAGAGTTGGGACCCCACAGAACAGAGCCTGATAACAACAGAGTTGGGACCCCACAGAACAGAGCCTGATAACAGAGTTGGGACCCCACAGAACAGAGCCTGATAACAGAGTTGGGACCCCACAGAACAGAGCCTGATAACAACAGAGTTGGGACCCCACAAAACAGAGCCTGATAACAACAGAGTTGGGACCCCACAGAACAGAGCCTGATAACAGAGTTGGGACCCCACAGAACAGGGCTTGATAACAGAGTTGGGACCCCACAGAACAGGGCTTGATAACAGAGTTGGGACCCCACAGAACAGAGCTTGATAACAGAGTTGGGACCCCACAGAACAGAGCCTGATAACAGAGTTGGGACCCCACAGAACAGAGCCTGATAACAGAGTTGGGACCCCACAGAACAGGGCTTGATAACAGAGTTGGGACCCCACAGAACAGAGCTTGATAACAGAGTTGGGACCCCACAGAACAGAGCCTGATAACAGAGTGTGGACCCCACAGAACAGAGCCTGATAACAGAGTTGGGACCCCACAGAACAGAGCTTGATAACAACAGAGTTGGGACCTCACAGAACAGAGCCTGATAACAGAGTTGGGACCCCACAGAACAGAGCCTGATAACAGAGTTGGGACCTCACAGAACAGAGCCTGATAACAGAGTTGGGACCCCACAGAACAGAGCCTGATAACAGAGTTGGGACCCCACAGAACAGAGCCTGATAACAGAGTTGGGACCCCACAGAACAGGGCTTGATAACAGAGTTGGGACCCCACAGAACAGAGCTTGATAACAGAGTTGGGACCCCACAGAACAGAGCCTGATAACAGAGTTGGGACCCCACAGAACAGAGCCTGATAACAGAGTTGGGACCCCACAGAACAGAGCCTGATAACAGAGTTGGGACCCCACAGAACAGAGCCTGATAACAAGATCCACACAACTGGGAATGATGACACACATTCAGCCTGGACATCATCATGACCTCATTTTAGTTGAATGCCGTGACAAGCATGAGATACTTGGAGCTTAATTCACCCAAGAATCACCATGGGCAATAAGTTCAGTACATTGTTACAAAAAGCCTAGGCAAGTCTAGATGAAACTAAACCAACTCTAGTTTCCTTGCTTCCACAGCAGTAGGGGGAAGGTTCTCCTGAAAACAAAATTTACAATTATTTTAAAGAAATGTTTTCCCAGACAAAGTGTTAGTCTAAACCCTAATGTAAAAGACTTAGATTTAGGGGGTCCCTTGATTCGAATATGAAGAAAGTTAACCTCAAGAACCCCAGGACCCCCTTAATTTCAAACACTGCAGGAGTATTTCTAGCATTGTATAAATCACTCACCATCTCCTTCCCACTTCTTGTGCTGAAACAAACATGAGATTCCCATTGCCCAATAGTTGTATGTCAAAAACCATGTACATTCATGCTCACAACACTAGATGTGTTAGCTTACATATTGTAATGCCCCCAAGGGCAAGTTCATTTCTCTTAGTGTTCCATGTTGTTTGTAAAAGCTTTGCTTTAACACTCATCTGAATGAAAATGTCATTGTCTTCATTGCTACTGAAGATGTATGTATCTATGAGGTATTCAAATCAAACTTATCATGGTAACTTAGTCAAAGACTATCATACCATCCTGTGTGATATCTGATGTATTCAAAACTTTCTACTTCTGGACTAGTAGATTAACATTGGCATCCACTAGGACAGATGCTCACCTTCTTTTTCGATCGTTTACACCAAACAACACTGAGGTAGTTCTTCTGTGTTGTTGCCTCTAACTTTGTTGCTGAGGCGCCTACAACAGTTGAAAGTAATTAATCAGTTTTTGCTAAAATGTTTTAACAATTAGAAGTCATGCTTGCTTTTAATGGTAGGCACATATCCTGTGTATCTTTCAAATTTTGCAACTGCTTTAAAAATCACTCTTGAAATATTTATTATAGTATACACACCACAATACACATTCAACCAGTACACAGATCATTTCAGACTTGTATTTATGTAATGTAACTTTAATTTAGGAGACACATAGTCTCTATAAAGGGCAAGAAAAGTCAACATAGCAACTTTGTAGATTTTAATACTTTAGGGCACACTTAATCACAAATGCTTGACCAAAATTAAATTTGAAAAAAAACAAAAACAACGGAAATAGTGTAAAACAGCTAATAAAAAACGGCAGGTGAAATCGCAACCCCCCCAACTGAAAAATTTCGCCGCTGTGGGGAATCCCCTCACTGGGGTTAAAATAGGTTCCCGGTGTTTGATGCGATGTACAATTTTAACTATCATGACAATTGGGCCAATGTTTAATCTGCCTGCTTCTGCCTCAGATTTTGTTATACAAAACATCTCTTTTTCAGTCTGCTCATCCATTTTATTACCGTGTCCACAACTTATGTCACCTCAAGTAACAACACTGAAGATGCCTTCAGTTTATTCAGGGAACAGGCATTTCTTGAGTGGAATAGGGTTGAGGGCAGCTGGTGTTGTATTATCCTATATATATATATTATATTGGGTAATACAACACCAGCTGCCCTCAACCCTATTCCACTCAAGAAATGCCTGTTCCCTGAATAAACTGAAGGCATATATATATATATATACAAAAAATTAGGTAAATGTTCACTCGGTGTACATGTAATATATATAATAAAATAATAAAGTCCACGTTAGTCCATCATCTTCTTTATATCAGTTTCATAATACATATATCGGAAATTGATATTCGCAAAATAATCACAATCATTTTTTTTCACTTTACTTGCTCTTTAAAGCCTTTGACGCTTTCCAGATTTTCACCAGTATCATGACTAGCAGACTAGTGGATTGGTGGCTGTACGTGGCCACAGGATTACATCTCAATGCATAAATCAAATACTGTCATGACATGGGAGCAATATTTAAATGAACAGCAATACATATGCACGGTTTTAGCTCATGAATGAATACAGGGTTAACAGACTGAATACCGCATCAACATTACCACTGAGGTGAACACAAAGTGATGTTTCTTGTTATTTGTGGTCATACATAATACACAGTACTTGATCATATACAAAATATATTATATTTATCATCTCATATAAAAAAAGCATTACAATAACATCTATAAGAAAGTGAATTTATGGATGTCAACTTCTTTAGTAAGAGGAACACAACGTTTCGGAGTATATGCTTACTCCTTCATCAGGTGAATGAATGATGTGAGGCAGAGAGCATATATATGTACATGTAAGAACAACAAAAGTAATAAGATAACAAAAGGTGGAAACTTAACAAGGGAAGCCAACAGATAATTGGCGCTGATAGGCGATTAGCAATAGACAATGGAAGCCAACACTTTACAGTAATTAGCACTGATAGTTCTCTTCCTTATGTGTATCACTTCTAAATGCATTTCAAAGACTTTAATAACATCTATATTCATACAATTTGCAGTGCCATGAATACCAATATCTGTTTATGTTTACCATTCCGTAACTTGGAAACACATATAAAAACCACAGTAGTTGATGATCATCACAAATAGGGTATATTTACTTGTTTCCATGTGTGTCTTTCTGGCATTCTGAATGTGTGGAGTATTCCTATCTCCCACTTGACCCAAGGGAGAACGAAACTTGCTGACTCCCAATATAGGTGATGAGAATTTGGACTTTATGGTAGATGAGGCTTGTGTCTTATCAATGTGTGTAGTGGCGCCATTGTCTTGCTCAAGAGGAGGAGTAATGTTGCTTCCACCTGAGACAGGCAATGTAGGCCCAGGCTCCTCATCCTCAGTGTCTATGGCAATTGATGGGGAGGAGGAACTGTGAAATGGAAAGTCACTTTGTCCTCAAAATATACAATAATGTTGGTCACATGTATCAATATGTTTCCTGATGCTCTATGTTTGGTTACCACACATTTCACTTATATATTATTGCCAATACATGTATAATTATTAAAAAAAGACACAACATCAATACTGAGCCAACAAATTATCATATCTTTATTAAAATGGCAAACAAAATAAATTTATGCTAAAATAATTTTCCAAAAAAGTTTAATCAGCAGACATGTTTAAATCATTATGAACAATATTGGTTTCAATTAATTCCCTGTTCTATAAATTACACCTTGTTTTTTTTAAAAACTATGTAATTACTTCTCTTATATTTCCACAGTAAATGAGCCCATTAGCCTATTGGCTGCTGACTAAGTACTGTGATGAACCGCCACGTAGGCACTGTCTCTCTCTGCAGTAAACTTTCTAACCTATGTCATGCATTTCAGGGTTTAATAATAAAACTGAACAACTAACAACCTATTGGGAATTTAAGACAAAGTAGTCCAAATATGACATGTCATAAACAACTGTTTAAAAATATAGAAATGCATGTATATTCTATTCAATTACCGACAAGTCACATAGTCTTTTCAGAAAGTTGTTACAAATAGACCAAAGCTGCATGTAATTCAATAAAATAAAAAATTGGAAACATATTTCTCAGCTGATCATGTCATAGCACATTTTAATCTTTCTTTGACATGAGAAGCTAAGAAATATATTCCTAATTTTTCTTTTAATTGAATTACGCTGAGAAACATTATGAAATAGGTGACCTGGTTCTTATAATATTACTTATCCTTACCACTTGTTAACAATATCAAAATGGTTTGACAATACTTTTCAACAACCAACATGCTTTATTGCAGACATACTGACAGGCCACAGGCCTATAGCACAAATCAGTGTAAATAGTAGATGTACAGAACTAATTGTTGATTGTTTATAGCACTTGTCTTATCATCTCTTAACTTCATTGCATGACATATAATATCTGTTGAGGACTTTAATATATTGATATTTACAAATGTGTACATTAATCAATTAAACTTAAAAGATATTTGGAATTGATACATAAAGGGAGCTAGGCATGTACAACATAGACTTCGATACAATGGGCACACGAGAACAAAGTGGTACTTGTCTTCTACAAACCCTTAATTACACTTTTTACACAGTCCACCTTCGGGATTTTGAAATATATTCCTGTTTCAACTCGTATTAGCAAGTTTTGTTTTCCATTGTCTAAAAATAATTTACTAGAGATATGTACATGATGTACTGACTATTAAAAACATGAAACTATGGTTGTAACAATTCACTAGATAATAAAGAGTATATAGCCAGTCATGCACAAACTGATAAATGTATATCACAAAATATATTAGAACATGAAATGTCTGAAAATTAATTGTAAAATACTACTTTCTAGTAACTGAGTCATTCCCTTCAACCATGTTCATGTCCCATACAACAGCCATAATTGTAAGCATACTTTGGTACACCCTACCAGAAGAATAAATAAAGGTGTATCTGTGATAGTGTTAACTTACACATCAGATGTAGACACAAGGTTAGACAGGCCTGTTTTCTTTGGCTGCAAAAATACAATTTGATTAGAAGAATTTCAAGACACATTACCATTACTATCTTACCATTTTCATTGAACCATTAAGTGATGTTTGTTTCATGCTACTAATATAACCACACGTGACAGCATCACTATTTGAAACATAGCTCAAAATAATCAGAAAAAATTACCCCACTTGCATTTGTATAGTATTAAACTTTGAAATTGAATATCAAAGCAATGTATAAATGTAAAAAATTGGACATCAACATCGAAAAAGTACTCGACAATAGAAGCTCCATAATGATGTGCGACAACCTCATCAGTGACATCTGTCTGAGCAACATTTCAGCGAACACATTGTCTTTCATATCTACTAGGTAATTTAACAATACATCTACTTGTGGAAGTATTTAATTCAATACGTTGTTTGGTGGAAAGCCAATCCCACCCTCAATCAACCTGTTACTTTAGCGAGGTGACAAAACTTAGAAACCGTTACTAAGGAATGTGATTGTGCACATCCCTTACCAAAATAGCTGAAGGTGTCCTGTATACTGCATTCTTGCTTATATCTTTTACAGAGAATAAACCTTTGAATACAATCATCACTGCCTCAGTCCACATTATAAAATCATCTGCCAGGACCTGTGACATGATGTTGGAGAGAAATACAGCAGAAAAAGCTCAAATGTATTCTCTAAACTCTTAGTGTTCATCTCCACATTGTGGCGATCAGAAAGAGAATGATGTGGCAGGGGTATTCTCGTGATCAGGTCGTGTAGGTCGCTTTGCACAGGATTATCTCGTGTGACCCATTTGTTTGGGTGGTGACCATGGTGATGATGGGATGTGTTCTGGTGATTTGCTTTTAGAAATAGGGGATTTTGTTCAAGCATGTTTACATATAGGATCAAAAGAAGAAAGTAGATGCATAGTGTGAGATAGGATAAGTTTAATTATTTACAGTTTACCTCTGACACCACAGCTTCGGTTTCATGCACTTTTGAAGAATTTGGGTTCTTGAATGGTACAGAGAACTTTGTCCTTTTAGCTGGGTTCAGCTGGCTGGGGGCTGCAGACCTTCTCATATCTCCATCCCTGCTTGTACATCTGAAACATCACAGTCCTGGGTCCTCTATTTATAAGTTACAGAAATGTTTACTCATTTTCGATAATTGTTTGTTGTTTAGGCCACACTCAGTAACATTCCAGCCATATGTGAATAGTCATAAACAAGTATGTTGGTAGATATTTACTGTGACTTTGCTGGAGATTATAATATCAATCTAAACTTATTGTCAAGTATCGGATGATAGGCCGATTAGTGGTAGAAATTGGCACAAGTCCTGTAGTCCTTGCTAAACTGGCCATTAGTAAGGTATCATTAGGACTAGTAGAAATTTGCCACTTTTAGGGGTTTTGCTATATGTTATCATTATAAAAACTAGTGGACTAAAACTGTTAGTTTCTACCGCTGAATATACTATCGCCTATCGTAAAGAGAAATTCAGAAAAGTTACCAACATCAGACTTAGGCTACATGCTGCACGTTTACTTACCCGTTTACAATGAGCCTGATCCAGTCGGTCACATTTAACACTCAACAACCACTGGCAACTGGGATTCAGATGTCAGTGATAGATAAGTTGCGGTATGGGAACTTTGCATCTAGGATTATTTTATGTTCCGCGCCGTTTTGCTAGGTCGTCCAAGGTTTATCGGGAGTTATCTACCCATAGCAGACGACGTATCACGCGTCTACTGGTAATCCCATCATTTGCTATTGTACATATATTGAAATTACCAATATATTCGATGTATACATTGCACTGTAAACACAAACAATACCACAAAACCATTTTCCACTTTGAATCCAACAGTTCTACAGTGAACCTACACATGAAATGTTTAAATATTAAGTAGCGGCCCTTGATATAGCTCTCCGAAAATAAAGTTGAGTAAACTGGTGTTCGCTGTCTTATGCGTAAAGACAGTCACCAAGCTTTTAGCTTTCCAAATAATAATAAAAGTTTCGAGGCCAAATGCAAGAGTCCGTTTTGCAATAATTCTTTTAGTTTCTGTTTTCGAGATGGATTATGGATATTGTGTTGTAAACATATTTTATTGCCACTATTTACAGGAAATTGGATCTATTTACACGTAAGCCATTTTATGTTAGTTATTTAACACTGGCACTTTAGGAAAAAACAAGACAATAATATATGCCTAACTGGAAATGGATCAACTGAATGCACGTTGAGGTATCTGCAGGCTGGATAAACATATGATAAATCAATCTAAACGTGGTCAGTCTATAGATCTATTTTCATTTGGTCTGCAAATCTGAAATACAGCGGGTTATAAATTGTTCGTTTTTGTTAGCCCTGAGATCCCTACAACAGTTACTACCTAAGTCTGAGGTAGTTGGATTTGGAAGAAATGGATGCATAAATCAGTTCTGCAGTTAATCGTAAGAAGTTTTTTCATAATCGTTTTCATTACGATGGTAATACTATACCTTCAAGAATTTTTAACATGCCTGTTCTGTTACATTTCGAAACAAGATTGCTTTATAACATAAAATCTGTATGAAAGTTGAAGCCAAACTAACTTGTCGTCACAAGATGTGACTAAAGTAACAGGCTAGTGTTGGCTATCAATCAGAAATAAGCCCTTAGCCTGGCCAACATGACTAACATATTGTCACAAAATGGGGTATTCCGCCCACACTGGAGCAGTGGACGAGGCCTGATTGATTATAGGTAACATTTGTTCCTGAAGAGTAACAAAATCACAGTAGCATACAAACAAACCCAATCCAGCATGGCACAATCTAAACGGTGTGTACTGGAAGCAACCTTGCTCCGTGATACAGATATATTCATTTTTTACCCGAACTGGATTCAGTTTGAGATAACCAAAGGCGTATATAGATACGTATGTACGTCTTTGAGATAACAAAATTACTTCTCCTGTAGATGCCGACAGACGAGATCACCATGCACCACAAGGAAGGTTTATTCATCTTTAATTACCACACTAGTGTTATACATGTATACTTTCAGATTTACCTGTGTTTCACTAGACACCATTCACTGGATTGTTTGGTCCAGACTCGAATATTTACAGACTGCTGTCACATGGCTGGAACATTGCTGAGTGCGGTGTTAAACAACAAACAAAAATAGTGGATGAAGTACAAATATAAATGGATGCTGCAAAATAAATACCAGAGCATCAAGACGGGGTTTAGCGAAAATATATCTAAAAGGATCTACAAAGTTACGAATGTCGAAACTAGCGAAATGCAGAAGGATCACATAACAAATAGGTAAGGTTCAATAATGAGTCTATTAATTAATCACTGAACTTATCGCGTGATATGCCAAAGGAGAGGCACAGGCCACCAAACTGGGGATGCCCGTGCCTATAATAAAAACATGAGATGAGAGTGGATTAAATGGCCAAGAGTGTGCAGGTACTAGTGGGCTAGTTGGGTATGCGAAAAAAATACCTTTGCCATGGCAACTAGCATTGCCAACAGGATTAGCAGCTACGGCTGCTGGCCTGGGACAGCTACAGCAAGCAATGGTAGCTTTTAAATATGCTACTGTGGGACAGCTACAGCTGCCAGGCCCCCAAAGCTACCATTGCTTGGCAACTACCACATTGCCAAACATAGCTACCGCTGCTGGCCTAAGTCAGCTTCTGCTTCCCGGCCCTAGGTAGCGGGCCAAAGCAACTACCGCTGCCTGGCCCAATTAGTAAAACCATTGTGGCAACGCTGACATGACAACTACCGCCGCTGCCCAATATACTGGCAATTGTTTGCCCAACATAAGCTATAAAGTTGGGAAAGACTGTCATCATGCCAATAGCGCCTGGGCAGAGTCCAATCCGAGGGATTGAGGCCACCATATTAATGTCAAGGTAGAGTTGGCTGCCCTTGACCATGCCCAGGTCATCCATGCCAAGGTGAATGATGAGGGCTCTGGGGCTGCGCCTTGTTTCCTTGGCCTGTGCATCTAAGATGATGTCCAGCTCCATCCACCTCATTTCACCTCACGCCAGGCATAGCATCCTTGGTTTGTCCTGATCAAAAGGATCTACAAAGTAACGAATGTCCAAACTAGCGAACTGCAGAAGGATCACTAGTAGGTAAGGTTTTATAATGAGTTTATTAATTAATCACTGAACTTTTAGCTTATAGCAACAACAAACAAGCATGAAATATTCACATCCCCCGCCAATATGACATGTCGGGTGTGTGCAATGCATTAGCGCCTGTGAACTATGTTCACTGGGCCTTTTTGTAAAGAAATATAGTACGTTTTTCAAGATCTGTTCCGGAAACGAGGACTACCTCCATTTTCAGTCTAAATCAAAGTCGTTGCCATGGAAACTCGTAGAATAACTTTTTAAAAATATCCCAAACTATCCAAAGGCACCAGTTCACCACTAGACCTATCAATATGCAAAATATGGTGAAGAAAAATGGTACGGTTTTCAAGATCTGCTCCGGAAACGAGGACTACTGCCATTTTCAGTCTAAATCAAAGTTGTTGCCATGGAAACTTAAAAAATATTGTTTTTAAAAATGCCAAACAATCAAAAGGCACCAGTTCACCACTAGACCTATCTATGTGCCAAGTATGACAAAGAAATATGGTACGGTTTTCAAGATCTGCTCCAGAAACGAGGACTACTGCCATTTTCAGTCTAAATCAAAGTCGTTGCCATTGAAACTCGAAAAATAACTTTTTTAAAAATCCCAAACTATCCAAAGGCACCAGTTCACCACTAGATCTATCTATGTGCCAAGTTTGGTGAAGAAATATGGTACGGTTTTCAAGATCTGCTCCGGGAACGAGGACTACCGCCATTTTCAGTCTAAATCAAAGTCGTTGCCATGGAAACTCGAAAAATAACTTTTTTAAAAATCCCAAACTACCCAAAGGCACCAGTTCACCACTAGACCTATTTATGTGCCAAGTATGGTAAAGAAATATGGTTTGGTTTTCAAGGTCTGCTCTGGAAACGAGGACTACCGCCATTTTCAGTCTAAATCAAAGTTGTTGCCATGGAAACTCGAAAAATAACTTTTTTAAAAATCCCAAACTATCAAAAGGCACCAGTTCATCACTAGATCTATCTATGTGCCAATTTTGGTGAAGAAATATGGTACGGTTTTCAAGATCTGCTCTGGAAACGAAATGTGACGGACGGAAGGACGGACGGACGGCACCCATTCCTATATCCCCCTTCCACTTTGTGTGGGGGATAAAAAAACAGCTAATAAATTTGTGTAAATAAAAATCACAGCCTCCATTTGCTTAAAAAAAATAACTCAGCCTCAATAAAACGTATGAACCACAATATGGCCATCCTCATCAATACAGAATATTTTGTGAGCAAATCCATAATCTTTGACAGAAAGATATGACCATGAGAGACAGTATGCCTGTAACCCCTATTTATTAATAATCATTTTAAATCTTCCATTTCAAGAGGCCATAACAGTTGTTGGCTGTGATGGGAAATGAGCATTAAGCATCACATATCCTTGCTTGGAAACTGACGATCAAAAGAAACGTTACCAATCAACATCATAATTAACAACATCAGTCCAAGTTACGGTATGAGAATCAAGTTGGCCTAAAATGTACCCTTTTGCAGTTTGAGATGCATCAGATGTGAGGAAGAAGGGTTTGTTTTGGTTGGGATAGGCAATGATGGGGGCTGTTGTAAGGGTTGGCATTAGCTTTTCGTTGTCTGTTGGCAATTGTTGGACCATTCGAAAGATGCGACTTTTTTCAGACGGTTGTACTGAGGGGAGGCGATGTCAGAAAAATTTGCTCCAAATAATACTGGTAATAATAAGTGACCAAATCTATGAAATGACACATGTCATGGACATTTTCAGAGGGTTGGATCTGTGTAACTGAATCTATTTTTGAAGGACCAACATGGATGCCATCTTTGCTAAAGATATGCCCTAAGTAGGTGACTTGTTTTGGCACGAATGTACATTTGTTTGGTTTGAGAGTGAGTCCTGCTTCTTTGATCTTTTGGAATACTGCCTTGAGGTGACTTAAATGTTCCCAAAACGTTTAAGAAAATGTTATGTCATCTACATTTATTAGTATGTAACGCCAATTCTGAAATGGTTTGCAGAAATGCCATTGAAGCATTTATGAGGCCAAAAGGAGGGAGGCGATTCCATCCAAAAACACCATCAGGTGTAATTTAGGCCGATTTGTGTTTTGAATCTGGATGGAGTGGTATTTGACAAAAGCCACTAGCACAATCAAGCACACTAAAAATATTGGCAGAGGTGGTAGAGGGGAAAATATAGGTTTTGTAACTGCATTGAGGCGTCTATAATCTACGACAAAACACGAAACGGTAAGAGCTATGTTCAGAAGAACTGGGCTGAATGATATTGGTTTCAAACCATCCTTGCATCTGTCTGGAACTTTCTTTCCTAATGGGTGCGTTTTACCTATAAAAAGGTCTGATGTCACATGTTTCTATTTTCTGATTATGTAAGTGTGTTTGTCCTAACTCTGACCAACCTGAGGCAAAAACTGATCTTTGTGATTGGAGAAATGCATTTTACTATGTACTTGGACTTTCAATATTTTAAAAAGGCATTTGGGGACAAAATCTCCACACGTTCATGGGTATTGTTATGGTGCATGGCTAGTCTTCCCATTGGCCAAGGCCACTGCCTCACCCGTCCATCCAGTGTCATTCGTCTACAGACAAAACTCCTTGCAACGAAGCTTGAAGTGATGAAGGTCTTAGACGTTTACCACTTCGATGAAACCCACGAGCACGGGTATGGTGCTGACAAACCTAAAAACATAATCGGGGCGAACTGAGATTCTAACCCACAATCATAGGTTTTTGGCGTGCCCAAGGAACGCAACTCTGCACAGCGAATTGCGGAACGTTAGAAGACCGGGCCACCTGTGCCCCTTGTATCATACCAAAAGCTTGTTCTTTAAGTTCCATTATTCTCAGCATGTTATTTGTCACTCCCCAACAGTTTGGGTGTACATCGTTTCTTGTATATCCATATCTTTGTAGGCTGGCATGCTGGAAGTGCAGCCAAAGTGTCACTTCAAACTCAAGTTCCACTGATCTGGGGGATGTAGCACTGACATTACTCAGCAAACTGTTGTGGTTGTGTTTGAGCGGTTGATTCTTAACCATTTTGTAACATTATTCCGGGTTTTGGATCCAACTTTCAGTTTGGTAACATTTCCACATCCACATCATCTTAGTATCTTAGTAATTGAAAAGTACATTCCTCCAGGAGAGATGAGTACAAACATGTCAAGTTGACTGGGTCTTGCTGCACATGGTTATATAAAAAATGGTCTTTTATTAATTATTTTATACAATGCTTTATTATACTGCTATTTTCATTGTTCGGTTTCAAAATCACCTACATCTGTACAGTAATAATGTGTTAGTGAACTGTGAGAAAAAAACAAAACATTACTTTCCTCAGTAGATATAAGTCAGCATGAAGCCGATTAATATTTTTATTTTTAAACCAAGATCCACGGATGTGATGCCATTATATGGGATGAGTATACTGGATTGTTTATTTTAGGTATGTAGATGGGGGCATGGGGCTTTCTCTGCTTTTCCCAAACAGGAAGTGATGTCATTACACCATAAGTGCTTATAGATCTAGAAATATTTCGTATATACACACACTTGCAAGGAACACTAGCAGGAGAGCACAGGTCCTTGTGTCATTGCAAAAAAAATTCTAGATCTATTATATTCACGAGTGTCAGAGATGCACTATCCTAAGTATATTTTAAGTGATATCGAGAAATACTTAAGCAATGACACATTGTCCTGGCTAGGAGAGTGGAGCATATAGCTTTCATGGTAGTGTAGCTATAAACAAGGGCTTTTTTTATAGTGGTACTGCGCTGGGCATGTTTATTCAGTATAATGACATTATACCGGAATAGTATATATGCTTTTAATTAATGTCAATAGACCTGTAGTACATTTAAGTGTCTTTAGTCACAGGCATGGTACTTTAAATCTGGTATGATGTTGCTTTGTAGTACGAAACACACAACTGTCAAGGTAATGATATAAGATTAGTGTCTAATGTAATAATTTCTTGGACCTTGCATGGACTGCTTCTATTTCTAGTTGTGAAATTGGATGTGCATGGTGTATGTGGTATTTTGAATAACATATTATACGGTATTAGTGCAATTTGATTTTTTACCCTGCTATGGTCTGTAAAGTTCATAAATGAAGTCATCCGTGAGTGAAGGGGAAAGTTTAATCAGAGATTCCTTGCATGGAATAAAAAGAATTAGAATTTTTTCACTCACATGTATACGACAAAATACTCCCACAAAATATCAATCTAAAGCACCTATCAGGTACAAAAGTGTAAGAAGAAACGGCAATACTTTCTTGAAGTACTGTGTGAAAACGTACACACATGATCATCCCACACAACATACAAGGCACGCCCGGTGTGCACCAACTCTGCCTTTTTAAAAGGCCATTGTTGCCTTTACCCAGCGCAGGAGGGCTCTGGAGAAGGACTGGGGCATGACATGTGAGACTTCATTTTCATCAAGGAGAATCTCAACGAAAGTAACATCATCCATGATGACCTGACCAGCGGTGTTCATTGACACAGATGAGACGGGGTTGGGGATGAAGGTGAGGGTTGACGGCAGGAGGGACACTGAAGGTTATGAAGTAAACAAGTACAGTTAACAGGTACCATGGGAGTATTTCGTACAATGATAATTCGTTAAGATAATTTGATGTGCAAACGTGTCAATAAACTTTCTGCAAATTTAACTTTTCTTTAGAAAATAGGGATTCGAATAACACCTACATAGCAAGGGAGGTGTCCAGAGGGTGAAATCCTTGGGAAACCTGGTCTCCGTCAGATCTATAGCTGTGTGGGGGTTATGAACAAAAGAGTAGGACGTACACTATAGTGTTAATGATAAAATAAATAAAGATTATACACCTATCTGGGGGCTAGAACTTAACACTAGCCCCCTAGCCCAGGGCTAGTACACATTCCTGCGGGCTGATCCACATTTCCAAATTTCCCCATTGTTTAACATCACAATTTTATCTTTACCCAGGTTAGTACAGTTTTGGAGTATAGTTTTAACCCTGTATAAATAATAAATTGAATATTATAATTATGACCCTATGACTTTATCATTATTTGACATAATGCTTTTGGTGGATGGAAACAAGAGGAATTGGGTAAAATGTATTTTGCAAGTTCCCCTTTTTTCTATTCTTTTTTCTTCTCCTGTTCTGACGTGTTTTATCTTCATGGCGAGCATAGGTCGCAACGACATTAGGTTTACCATATCAGATCGAGATCAAGCGAATCAAATTATAATAAATCATGATAATGTTTGGTTTTTGAGGTGTTACAAAACAAATGAGATCGGCAACGCATGTTTTCCGAAGAATCAGACATTATGCAGGTTTTAAAACTTTATCGATGAGAAAATCTTCATTATTTCTCCATGATCATGGGTGGACTTCGATTACAAAATAACCAGATACAAACCATTCACATGTAACGTCCTATCGCCCAAATATAACAATTCAAATAAACTTAAATAATGCAAAACTTACTGGTATCTCGAACATAGCTACGTGTCTCATGTTGTAGAATTCAAGCGATAATATCAACAGTCAGATATTATGAATACGAACAAGATGTAGAAACAAGCGCACGGTAATTCATGAACATGGCCCAATAACATGATCAACAAGACCCAACATGATGCTTGCTACAGAAGGTACGGATAGAGCGCTGGAAGACTCCCTGGTGCAATACAATACATACGAAGCGTGTGTGGAATATTAATTCATTATCCTTACTCGTCATACTATCTAGCTGTGTGATTGGCTCGTCAAAACGACCGGTGTCTACTGACATAGCGCTGTTATAGAGTTACTTCCGTTCACATCAAGTTCGTGGTTTGAATATTATCATAATTATTATGTAAACATGAGAGACACCTGTGATCACAAGGTTTATCCAACATATTGTCATCCAAACATATCCCCATGTCCCCCCAAAAGAACATGTGCGATAATTATTTATTAATGGTGTTTTAAGGGCGAAAGGTTCATGGCATCATGTAATTATCTCCATTAAAAGTAACATAGTCAATAAACGTTTGTGGATGACTTTATTCACTTTAATTTGTTGGTTTGAACACGCTTAGACTTCGGGAATTTCTTGTCGTTATGAACCAATAAGGAAAGTACGCTTATTTAGAGTAACCTCCCTTCCCCTGCCGCTCGTAGCGCTACAGTTCCAATGTTTTCAGAATGGAGTGGAGGCGTGGTGGCTTTGGATGATGCCTCTAAATATTATCTAGTTTTTACTGTCGTGCGCATTTGGTAGTAATGCACGCATTGTATACGTTTTACAAGTAAAATCAATGTTCGACTAATTGCAATATGAGTTCTCGTGGATCAACTACACTGCTCAATTTCTTCATTTTCAACTCTGAATATGGACCCCGTGAGGGGGAGGTGAGATCATTTGACACAGTCTGACATTTCTGGATTATATCTCTTATAATACAACAAGCAATGAACCTGTCATATGTAGGGTTATAATGTGTACGCCTCAGCATGATAAGTCATAAGATTCATGGCTGATGATAAACAGCTATGACTTGCAAACATGTGTTGTATTTGTAATGACTTTTCAAGTTTGTATCCTCACCAAACCTTGTTGAGCAGTGTATCCCTGTCACCTGTTCGGCTTAAAGCAACCACAGGACCATGTAAATAATAATAATGATAATAATAATAATAATAATAATAATAAACAAAAATCGCAAAAAACTGACAGACAACAAAAATAATGGTTAATGCTTACACTCACTTCTGCCCAAAAGGTCCTACCTATAACAGATTAACATGTGGAAGATTTCATTGTGACCTGTTTGGTAACCAGTTACTGTTGAAAACATGTCGCCAAAACCCTGCTGAAGCCACCATTGAACACACTCACTTTAGAATATGATGAGGGGGCACGGGTGGCCCAGTCGTCTAAGGTTCCGCGATTCGTTGTGCAGAGTTGCGTCCCTTGGGCATGCCAGAAACCTATGATTGTGGTTTCGAATCCCGGTTCACCCCTATTATGTTTCTAGGTTTGTCAGCACCATACCTGTGCTCGTGGGTTTCACGGAAATGGTAAATGTCTAAGACCTGCATCACTTCGGGCTTTTCTCCCAAATTAAGCTGACACACCGTGATATAACTGGAATTCTGTTAAAAGTGGCGTTAAACCCAATTCACTCACTCACTCACTAGAATATGATGATGTATGAACCCTGGTCATTTTCTGAGTACACCAGACATAATCTTTGCCTCAATACAACAATGAAGTGGGATACATTTACTGTATGTAAGGTGACTACACAAAAATCAATAAATGTTGCATATATTGCAATGAATGCTCCAGTCAATACTTCAGAAATAGGCCACCAGTCATAGTGTACCAGGGGCGGTCGGGTAGCCTAGTGGTTAAAGCGTTCGCTCGTCACGCCGAAGACCCAGGTTCGATTCCCGACATGGGTACAATGTGTGAAGCCCATTTCTGGTGTCCCCCGCCGTGATATTGCTGGAATATTGCTAAAAGCAGCGTAAAACCATACTCAGTCACTCACTCACTCATAGTGTACCAGCACTTTATGAATGACACTTGCTTAAAAGACACATTGTTGACATTTATGACATTGGCCACAAGATTATTTCATAATTTGGTGGAAAATATTCTCAGTGTTCTCGCTAGTTTTTTAAACTGCCAGTCCCAGTGGCCTGACAACTATAAAAAAAATACCAGTCCCACCCAATTATTGTCAGTCCCTTGAACACAAATAACTAACAGATGAAAATTACCTGGTTAACATCAAATTTCAATGCAGTTTACTTTCATGGCTGACAAATTCAGTGATGTCATTTCTGAAGTAACTCATTTAGACCTTCATGTGATCCACACTAAGTTCAATCACAAATTTCTCTTTTTTTTTTCTAAATATTTCACTTTGATTCAAGTAAGTCACTTCAAATAGATATTTAATCTCGAAGCTTAGCAAAATAATATTTCCTTGCGCTAAACTGCTAAAAATAGACAACCGGAAACCCTGATGACAGACAAGCAGACTTCATTCAAAAGTAAAATTATTGACTATTGACAATGTTTTGTCTTGGTAATTACTGGTTAATGGGAACACTGATATTCTATTCACGAAACTTCTTTCTGCACTGTCATGTTCTTGATGTCACTGCATTATGACCTGGTTGTCATGTTAGAATTTATAGCACTGTATTGTATCATTATCAGAATATCACTGCACATTATAACATGATAAATGTGCCTGCTTTTTTTAATTTGCTCTAAAAACAGAAAAAAAACAACCATAAAGATATTGTGATGTTTCCTGATAGCTGAACCTAATGTCATATGTTTTATTTTAGAAGTTAAATTCTGTTTATGATACTTTTATGCAAATCTGTTGACATGATGGGTGATTTCCCTAAAACTTCTCTGGTAATAGCTGCAGATTCCCTGAAACTGGTATGATTTAGGTTAACTGAAGTTTGTTGCTTCTCTTTTGCAGGAAGAGAAGAAAATTATGTTCTATCACCCAAGTACAAGTGACATTGATACAAAGATCAAGAATATTGGGCTGAGTGAAGCCATTGTAAAATTTACAGAGTAAGCAAAATCATCTCTTTTTATATATGATTTATACTGTTGTTTGTGTTTGTTTTGTTATCTAATAAACAATTCATAACATAACTCTGATCAACTAGTAAACAAGTGTAAACATTTAATGAACTATTCAACTCTCACCTAGATTCTTCTTCTCCACATACAGTTGTTATTTTCACCAATGACTTTATGCTTTGTATGTGATTTTCTTTATGCATTGCATCCACTAAACTGTGTTTCTAACTGCAGGACTTTCTCTGATAAGCCTTGTGAAAGTGTACACACCCTGAAAACCAGGCAACTCTTTCTGGAACCAGAGCCCAACTTCTGGATGGTGTTGGTAATTACAGTTGAAACAGTTCATGCTTCAAACACTGCTATCAACCATAGTTCATGATAGTTTTTATTTATTACAGCGACTTGCTCTGCAGAACTGTATTGACAAACTCATCCTGGGTTTGATCTTTGGTCTGTCATCAGTATAAGTGTGCTGTGGGCTTTCACTATAGTGACTGTCTACAGTCTGTATAACTCAGGACTTTCACCAGTGACTCTACAGCCTGCATAACTGAGGGCTTTCACCAGTGACTGTCTACAGCCTGCATAACTGAGGGCTTTCACCAGTGACTGTCTACAGTCTGTATAACTGAGGGTCTTCACCAGTGACTGTCTACAGTCTGTATAACTCAGGGCTTTCACCAGTGACTGTCTACAGCCTGTATAACTCAGGGCTTTCACCAGTGACTGTCTACAGCCTATATAACTCAGGGCTTTCACCAGTGACTGTCTACAGCCTGCATAACTCAGGGCTTTCACCAGTGACTGTCTACAGTCTGTATAACTGAGGGCTTTCACCAGTGACTGTCTACAGCCTGTATAACTGAGGGTCTTCACCAGTGACTGTCTACAGTCTGTATAACTCAGGGCTTTCACCAGTGACTGTCTACAGTCTGCATAACTCAGGGTTTTCACCAGTGACTGTCTACAGCCTGTATAACTGAGGGTCTTCACCAGTGACTGTCTACAGTCTGTATAACTCAGGGCTTTCACCAGTGACTGTCTACAGTCTGCATAACTCAGGGCTTTCACCAGTGACTGTCTACAGCCTATATAACTCAGGGCTTTCACCAGTGACTGTCTACAGCCTGCATAACTCAGGGCTTTCACCAGTGACTGTCTACAGTCTGTATAACTGAGGGCTTTCACCAGTGACTGTCTACAGCCTGTATAACTGAGGGTCTTCACCAGTGACTGTCTACAGTCTGTATAACTCAGGGCTTTCACCAGTGACTGTCTACAGTCTGCATAACTCAGGGCTTTCACCAGTGACTGTCTACAGCCTGCATAACTGAGGGCTTTCACCAGTGACTGTCTACAGTCTGTATAACTCAGGGCTTTCACCATTGACTGTCTACAGCCTGTATAACTGAGGGCTTTCACCAGTGACTGTCTACAGTCTGTATAACTGAGGGCTTTCACCAGTGACTGTCTACAGCCTGCATAACTGAGGGCTTTCACCAGTGACTGTCTACAGCCTGCATAACTGAGGGCTTTCACCAGTGACTGTCTACAGTCTGTATAACTGAGGACTTTCACCAGTGACTCTACAGCCTGCATAACTGAGGGCTTTCACCAGTGACTGTCTACAGTCTGTATAACTGAGGACTTTCACCAGTGACTGTCTACAGTCTGCATAACTCAGGGCTTTCACCAGTGACTGTCTACAGTCTGTATAACTGAGGGTCTTCACCAGTGACTGTCTACAGTCTGTATAACTCAGGGCTTTCACCAGTGACTGTCTACAGCCTGTATAACTGAGGGCTTTCACCAGTGACTGTCTACAGTCTGCATAACTCAGGGCTTTCACCAGTGACTGTCTACAGTCTGTATAACTGAGGGTCTTCACCAGTGACTGTCTACAGTCTGTATAACTCAGGGCTTTCACCAGTGACTGTCTACAGTCTGCATAACTCAGGGCTTTCACCAGTGACTGTCTACAGCCTGCATAACTGAGGGCTTTCACCAGTGACTGTCTACAGCCTGCATAACTGAGGGCTTTCACCAGTGACTGTCTACAGCCTGTATAACTGAGGGCTTTCACCAGTGACTGTCTACAGCCTGCATAACTGAGGGCTTTCACCAGTGACTGTCTACAGCCTGCATAACTGAGGGCTTTCACCAGTGACTGTCTACAGTCTGCATAACTGAGGACTTTCACCAGTGACTCTACAGTCTGTATAACTCAGGGCTTTCACCAGTGACTGTCTACAGCCTGCATAACTCAGGGCTTTCACCAGTGACTGTCTACAGTCTGTATAACTGAGGGTCTTCACCAGTGACTGTCTACAGCCTGCATAACTCAGGGCTTTCACCAGTGACTGTCTACAGCCTGCATAACTCAGGGCTTTCACCAGTGACTGTCTACAGCCTGCATAACTCAGGGCTTTCACCAGTGACTGTCTACAGCCTGCATAACTCAGGGCTTTCACCAGTGACTGTCTACAGCCTGTATAACTGAGGGCTTTCACCAGTGACTGTCTACAGCCTGCATAACTGAGGGCTTTCACCAGTGACTGTCTACAGTCTGTATAACTGAGGGCTTTCACCAGTGACTGTCTACAGTCTGCATAACTCAGGGCTTTCACCAGTGACTGTCTACAGCCTATATAACTCAGGGCTTTCACCAGTGACTGTCTACAGCCTGCATAACTGAGGGCTTTCACCAGTGACTGTCTACAGCCTGTATAACTCAGGGCTTTCACCAGTGACTGTCTACAGTCTGTATAACTCAGGGCTTTCACCAGTGACTGTCTACAGTCTGCATAACTGAGGGCTTTCACCAGTGACTGTCTACAGTCTGTATAACTGAGGGTCTTCACCAGTGACTGTCTACAGCCTGTATAACTGAGGGTCTTCACCAGTGACTGTCTACAGCCTGCATAACTGAGGGCTTTCACCAGTGACTGTCTACAGCCTGTATAACTCAGGGCTTTCACCAGTGACTGTCTACAGTCTGCATAACTGAGGGCTTTCACCAGCGACTGTCTAGAGCCTGCAATAATGTTGGGATTTCCTCCTATAGTATGCTGACATGCTGTGATATGACTGAAATACTCATTTTAATAACCATGATAACGATAATTATGAAGTATAATTTAATGTGACGAGAGAAATCAGCACACTGACATATTTGTGTATTCAGGAACATTGATTTTAGTTGCATCTTACTTGATCATTTTGACACTTTTCTTCTTGGAATGCTGAAACCTGTAAACAAATGTGCATCCAATACGAGCAACATGTTGAGAATGGACGCAGAAGATGAATATACCGTGTCAGACAGACACACAATAATATTCATGAAACTTACAGTGCATCAAGAGCAGTTATGGGTGTTTATAATTTCATCCATCAATCAAGACCACTGTCCCCATTATCATTGATTCATTCCAGGCTCTAAAGTAATTGTCTAAACACACAGTACACTACACCATTTTCATTACTCTAGAGAACCATCATTTTGTCTGCAAGGACCCTTAAAATATTTATTTTTCATTTGGGAATTATTGCCATGGAACAGTCCAATATGAATTTTCTTAACCATAACTGTAGCCCTGATATATAAATGTAATCTTCTGGACCTTAAATATGCAAGTTGATTTCTTTGAACATGTTGAATCACTGAAAATTTGTTCTACATACATGTTCTCAATTTTGCTGGGGGAGATACATTAAAACTGGCAAACTTCTTCTAAAGGAAACTAATTCCATGTAGAACTGATCATCGTTGATAACTGTTGCCAGTTAACATGTTTTTGTTTTTGTAAATGCTGATGCCACTGTTCACAGACTGTCTCGATTCCATATTCGGAGAAAACCAAAGATGGCAAATCTTACATTGAATACCGTGAAGACGACATCCAAGACTCGGTGTTCGAGGCAGTTGTCAGGCAGTCCTATCGAATGTTTCAGGTTAGCTGAAAAACATATTTACATTTACCTTTGTCACATACTGATATATGAGCATGGTATTTTAGAGGACAGTGTTTTGGTCAACAGCAATTATGAGGCCATCTCATTAAAATCAGATACCTCTCTAATTCTACATGAAGATTTGTTAAACCCTCTATAGAAAGTCACTTCATGTGAACTTTCTAATCAACAAATCAGTGCAGCATATCTGAATTTTGTATTTCTAAAATGAACTTAAACAGTCAGTTCCAAATGGAAAATAAGGAAAGTTGAGCTGTATGTGTTGTGGATATTTATTAAACTCTGTCATTTCTGAGCACCATGGCGTCTAAACCCCAAAGTGTGTACTGTCAAGAATGTGCTGTTTGTTCGTTTTTTTTGGTTAAGATTGAAATTGTAGAATTGAGGTTGTAAGGAAAAGAAGGAAAGAACTCATACAACCTTCATTTAGGTTGGGCATATCAACGTTTGCTCCAGGTTCGCCAGACCTATGGAGGGTTTTGTCAGATCTCCATGCAGAGCGATATTACATTAAGAAATACGTTACCACTGTTATACCGAGGCTGTTGTCTCCCACAACTGCTGCTATAGCGAAATCTACCACAGAGATCTCAATTACCTCATGCAGCACGTGCGTAGCCACCTAGCTGCCATGTGACACCCTTCACTCTTGTCTCTTCGCTTGCTCTAGCAAGACGTACAATAAACTGCTCAAGCGTTCCTGTTTCTCCGACCATTCGGTGATATTTATTACTGTTTATTCTCTCTAATAAACTGTGCTTTTATGGGGCGTTTGCTGTAACTACGCTTGGAAATATTTTCCCGCCAAAAGGAAATATTTTTCCCGCCCTTTTTTTCTATATACGTTGCGTCTTACGTTCCCCTGTTCTAGTATATCTTGGGGTTTTTACATCACTTATACCTCTATATGTTATATGTGTATGTTCTATATTCGCATTGCTCGTTTATTTTCTGGTGAAAATACTCGTTTGTGACTATTTGTGGTGCGTGTGTTGTAACCATGTTTTGCTCTTTGTTCATAGTACAAACAAAATGTCTGACAAGGATGTTTCGCCATCCTCCAACCCCTCTACCCCCGCAACCAGGAGCTGCTGGGTGTGCCGCAAGCGAGCGCTACCGGCTGTATGTGCAGCCGTTTCCACCCCTGTGGCGGCCCGTGGGCTGACCGGGGATTCCGTCGCTGCATTACTTGCATAACTTGTGGACTCCAAGCTGGCAGCCTTATCTCAGGATAGGCAGCTGGCTGTTCCGGCCCCGGCCGCGGGTCGGACGCGGGGTCCACCGGTACGGCGGCGGCTCCCGTGGTCACCGGTCCTTCCCCCGAACCGTTGCTCCCGCTATCGGTTAAGGACCGCGTGGCCATGGTTTATGACCTCTTTGAGGACATGCCACGGCCCAAGCCGGTACCGCGGGGAATCCACAGCGCTGTGGGTTCCTCCGAGGTATACGATGAGTCTTCCCACACGGCTTTCCCCGCATCAACCTTGCTGCGCGGTATCAAGCCTTCCTTGGAGAACGCCTTCGCGGCGGCCTCCGGTCGGGGTCTCCCGTTGCCTCCGACGTCGTGGAGAAAGGGTTTCTTCCCGGTACATGACCTTGCCTTTCCCGAGGCTGGTCCTACCACGTAGGCCCATGTTGAGCGGTTGGGTGTCCGTGCCCCACCGGCTGCTACGGTAACGCAAGCTACCTTGCACCAGCTGGACGCCCTCGCTCGGCACTCCATGCTTGCCATGTCTCATGGAGACACTTACTTGGCTGCAGCGGCCAGTCTAGTCGAAGGTTCTCCCACGGACCGTGACCAGCGCATTTGCAACTGCCTGCTCAGTTTAAATGCTTCCCTGGAGTACGTTGCCGAGGACTCTCGGCACACACTTGCTCTTGTTGGGTCCCTGCATAGGCGCCTGGGTGCCGCTCCTAACCGGAGCGCGCCCCAGGCTGCTGCGGCCGGTAGGTCTAAGGGGTCGGGGTTCTTCTTCCTCTGGGAAGAAGCCCCGCCCTGAGGGCTCCGGTATGGGCAATCAGCTGCCCTTTCGCGGCAAGACAGGGAACTGGGGGAAGCCCAAGTCGTCTAAGGACGGCAAGGGCCCCTCCAGGTGACTCTCATTGGAGGGGTTCGTATGCCGACAGCGCCAACTTCGGTTGGCCCTTAGGCGAACCCGAGTCACTTGGCCCTGGACAGTTGCACCTGCCGCAGCCTGTCAGGGCCCCCTCTCCTTCCCCAGTGGGAGCCAGACTCCAGACTTACTGCGAGAATTGGGAACAAGTGTTCGACCACCCGTGGGTGGTCAACACGATTCGGTACGGCTATCGGCTAGATCTCAAAGCGAATCCGCCGCTCACCGTTGCCCCGTTGGCAGGTTTCGATCTTCCCATCCTCGCCGATGCCATCGGCAGGTTGGTGGAGAAGGGGCAGTATGGGAGTTAGCTCTACCAGAAATAACACCGGGGTTTTACTCCAGGATATTTCTCGTTCCCAAGAAGGACAGTGCCGCACTCAGAATGATTCACAACTTGAAATCGTTCAACGAGTTCTACCTGCGCAAGCCGCCCAAGTTCAGAATGTTGAGCTTGGCGGACCTGAAAGCACTGATCATGCCGGCCGACTGGCTCGCTTCGATCGACCTGAAGGATGCTTATCTGCATGTTCCGATTCACCCGGATCATCACAAGTATCTCAGGTTTGTCTTTCAAGGCAGGCACTACGAATGGGTTGTACTCCCATTCGGTCTTTCATCCGCTCCCTGGCTGTTCACCCGGTTAACCACCCCCATAGTGGGGTTCCTCCACCGGAGGGGTGTCCGGTACTTCGCGTACCTGGACGACTCGCTAGTAGCAAATCGAATGACTGACAACCTGTCACGCCATCTTGTTTCGCACGTCGGCTCTTGGAGCAATTGGGGTGGATTATCAATCTCCCCAAGAGCGAGTTAACCCCTTCTCAGAACTTGCAGTTCATCGGAGGTCGGTTCAACACGGTGTCCCATCGCCTCTTTGTCCCCCCAGACCGGTGGCACAAGATTCAGGCGATGATTGCCAAAGTCTTAGCGGTGCAACAGACTGTTCACTTTTGAGAACAGCTGTTAGGGCTACTTGTATCAGCCCAGGACTGCACCGAACGGGGTCGTCTCCAACTCCGCCCGCTGCAACGGTTTTTAATCCAGTTGTTAGCAACAGAGGTGAACAGTGCGACGGTCGCCCTCCCGGATCGGCTCCAACCGCATCTGGAGTGGTGGACGGTCCCTTACAATGTCTTATCAGGAGTCTCTATGCGGCCCTACCAGGCCACGTTGAACCTGTATACAGACGCCTCTCTAGTGGGCTGGGGCGCCCATCTAGAGGGGGAGATGAGCTCGGGGCTGTGGTGCGTAGACAAACTAGGTCTTCACATCAAATGTCTCGAGTTCAAGGCAGTGATCAACGCAGTCAATCACTGGAAGCATTGTCTCGTCGACGCCCGGCTCATGCTGGCGACCGACAACACGACGGTAGTGTCCTATGTGAACAAACTGGGGGAACCCCACAGTCACTCGCTACTCGATCTCACGTTCGAGTTTTACGCTCTGGTGGACAGTGTCCCGTGCCAGATACGCGCCCGTCACATCCCAGGTGTGCGGAACGTACTGGCCGACGCTCTATCGAGGCCTCAGGATCCGAGCCCCACAGAGTGGATGCTGAACCCAGTAGTGTTTCAGTGGCTGTGCGAACGTTTGGGTCATCCGATGGTCGACCTGTTCGCAACGCGGTTCAACAATCAACTCCCGTTGTTTGTATCACCAGTCCCGGACCTCAGGGCCATTGATCACGATGCTCTCGCGTTAGACTGGACGGGCTTGAAAGCTTATGCTTACCCGCCGACAGCGTTGATACCACACATTCTAAGCCGGCTCCGAGGAGTTCGCTGTCGAATGTTACTGATCGCGCCCATGTGGCCGAACAGATCGTGGTACCCCGACTTGCTGACCCAGGTCACGCAGTCGCCACTTCCACTGCCTGTGAGACCGGATCTCTTGATCCACCCTCACACCCGTCAGCTTCATCCAAACGCAGGGCAGTTCAATCTGCACGCGTGGATGTTGTCACCGAGCGTCTGAGGAGTAAAGGTTTTTCTCGCCAGGCGTCTCGGGCATACGTTAGTATGAATTGTGATTCTACTCAGAAGGTGTATAATGCACGTCGGGTTATTTTCACGAAGTGGTGTTGTAAACATCACATTCATTCGCCAGATAAGGTATCTGTGCAGGATATTGCTCGTTTCATGTCTCACTTGCGAGAGACCCAGAAACTCTCCGGGGGTTCCATTGCCAACTATGTCTCGTCCGTTGCTACGGTACGGGACGTTGCTATGGTTACCAGTCTCTCCAAAGAGCCGGTGATACGGGGTATTATCAAGTGTTTCGAACAGCACGATCTTAAGAAGGGCCGCCTTCGGGCACCGGCCTGGGATCTTTCCATAGTGTTGCAATCACTTACGGAAGCTCCGTATGAACCCTTGCATAGTGCCCCGTTCCGGCATGTGACTTGGAAAACAGCATTTCTCCTCTCCTTTGCCACGTGTATCCGAAATTCATGCACTCGATGTCGCCAAGGTACGATTCGATAGGGGTGACGAAGGAGCGGTCCGCCTTGGCCTGCTCATGGGCTTCGTCGCCAAGAATCAGAGAATCGGGCAAACGGAGAGAGTATTCACTGTAAGATCACTCAAAGAAATCTTACATCCTGATACTGAGGACAGAGTGCTGTGTCCGGTTAGGGCCCTTAAGTATTATCTTAAGGCTTCGAATGAACGTAGACAAGGGCGTGACCGTCTGTTCATATCGTGTAACCCTAATCGCACGGTTGACATAACTCGCAACTCGATTGCGTTGTGGCTTCGTTCTGTCATCAATCTGACGTACCGGTCTCGGGGGTTACCGGTAGCGGGGTCAAACCCGCACGAGATCAGGGCGCTAGCGGCAACATTTGCCCTACACTCGAATATCTCTGTTCGCAGAATATTACGAGGTTGTTACTGGCGTTCTGACTCGGTTTTTGCCAATCATTACCTCAAACAGGTCGCTGATGACGACGTGGAGAGTGTGCACCGTCTTGGGCCGCTGATCGCGGCGCAAGCGGTCACCTAAGGAGTGTGCCCAGCGCAATTCCGAACTCCTCAGGCGTCAGACCTTGCACGGTGGTCAATCTGGGTCGACTCCAATGTTCCCACTGCCGTGGGTACGGGAGTTGGGGTCTCGCAAACCAGCGCACTCACACCACAGGTGAGGGCGGCTTTTTGTGTGCTTTGTCCTTATTTGTATTTTGACAATTATGTATTTAATTGTCTGTCGTGTATCCCAACCTTGTGATGCATGCTTACAAATACTGGAATTAGGTCACGCACCTAATGCATACTTTAAGTAGGCTTGCTCTGGGATATACGGTCCGAATGAAATTAATTTCCCTCTTTTCGACTGTTTAACCTGATCTAAGATTTAGCTCATGCGGATACAGTGTTCTCATCCGCTGCGGCGATGAAATACCTATCCAGTGGGGCCGTTTGGAGTCACCAATCGTTTTGGCAATGACGATTGAGCCTTACGGTATGCGCTTGACAGTGCTTTGGTATTCCTATAGGGTAACGCCTAGCTAGGTGCATGCTCATCGAGTGCTTCCGCCTTGGTGTATACTTCCGCTGGTCGGAAGGAACGCTAGCAGTCAGGATTCGGGTTGTAGGTGCTCCCCACCGCCTACTGTGGTAGTCAGCCTCGGTATAACAGTGGTAACGTATTACTTAATGTAATTTGTAGAATTTTCCTATTCGGAATATTCTATAAGTAATACGTTACCACTTGGCTGCTGCCCGCCCGTCCGTCCCCCGAGCACTTGCTCTCGCAAGAGACAAGAGTGAAGGGTGTCACATGGCAGCTAGGTGGCTACGCACGTGCTGCATGAGGTAAATTGAGATCTCTGTGGTAGATTTCGCTATAGCAGCAGTTGTGGGAGACAACAGCCTCGGTATAACAGTGGTAACATATTACTTATAGAATATTCCGAATAGGAAAATTCTACAAATCTTTACAGGAGTAAAAAGTTTAACTTGAATATGATCATGGTGATTGCTAGGCTACCCTATTTCATAACTGATGTTTGGTGTCTGTCTCCACCCCAGTATTCAGCCAGCTAAACACTGACTGAGTAACCCTATTAGCAGTGATGGTGACGTTGTGGGAAGCAATGCGTTTGTCAGAGGCATTCCACCATGCTAGTTTCAGGTCAGGCCTGTATGGGTAGTACCAGCACACTTGGTCAAAACAACAACTGCTGGGACCTTGTTAATTGTGGTTTGTCTTATACTTATGTTATTATCCCCCGCCACGAAGTGGAAGGGGGATATAGGAATGGGTGCCGTCCGTCCGTCACATTTCGTTTCTGGAGCAGATCTTGAAAACCGTACCATATTTCTTCACCAAACTTGGCACATAGATAGATCTAGTGGTGAACTGGTGCCTTTTGATAGTTTGGGATTTTTAAAAAAGTTATTTTTTTAGTTTCCTTGGCAACGACTTTGATTTAGACTGAAAATGGCAGTAGTTCTCGTTTCCGGAGCAGATCTTGAAAACCGTACCCTATTTCTTCACCAAACTTGGCACATAGATAGATCTAGTGGTAAACTGGTGCCTTTTGATAGTTTGGGATTTTAAAAAAAGTTATTTTTCGAGTTTCCATGGCAACAACTTTGATTTAGACTGAAAATGGCGGTAGTCGTCGTTTTCGGAGCAGATCTTGAAAACAGTACCATATTTCTTCACCATATTTTGCATATTGATAGGTCTAGTGGTGAACTGGTGCCTTTGAATAGTTTTGGATTTTTTTTAAAAGTTATTTTTCGAGTTTCCATGGCAACGACTTTGATTTAGACTGAAAATGGAGGTAGTCCTCGTTTCCTGAGCAGATCTTGAAAAACGTACTATATTTCTTTACAAAAAGGCCCAGTGAACATAGTTCACAGGAGCTAATGCATTGCACACACCCGACATGTCATATTGGCGGGGGATGTGAGTATTTCATGCTTGTTTATGTTTTTATGCCAGAATGAATTCAATGTGTTACAGTTCTTTAATGGGACCTTTGAAAACATTCTTGACAGAGCAGAGCGCAATGTCCAGTCTCTCATACAACGCTTGGATCATTTCTTTTCAAGGGTCAGTATGTGTGTCTGTGTCACTATTGTCACGATGGCAGAACCCAGGGGCTCAGTCAGCCAAAGAATTTTGTTGTTCTTTTGTTATGGATGAACAGTAAATGTAAATTCTACAAAAGTGAAATTTAGAATTCTGTATTTGAATGAAGTTATTCCTATTTTGAACATCTTTTATTTGTCTTTCTGTTATAACTTTTATGTCAGATATTACCTTAATAACAGAATTATTGTTGTCATATTGAAGATGACCATGGCACACTTGTGACAACAACTCGAGACCTTTAATGAAGTGTTGGCAAACTTCAGTATAAAACAAGAGTCACAGAGGTTACATCAGACATGTTCCAATCAGTCCCATCTCTAATGAACATGGAGACAGGGGGTTGGGAGCAGGGTTGAACCTCACTCCAGTACTTCCTGGTTGTAGCGGTTCAGGCCCACCTGTTTACAGGCAGCGGAGATAGAGGTGTGACTCCTGAAACACCTGCAGTCTCTCAGTATAATGTGCTGCTTCTTTCTCCTGTGTGGTTATCAAGAAAAGCATCATGAAAAAAAATACATTTACAATCTCATTAAGATCAGATCTTAGTTCTCGCTACCGCTATAAGTAAAGATCTGAAGACATCCCATTACGGGTCACGTCAGACTGATCTTTTGCGAACTTTGACCAAACAAATGGAATGACTGACAAGAAGTCGACATTAGCCAATTAAAAGGCAGCTTTCTTGTGCTTTACAGCACTAGTTTGAAACTGTTGTTTGGAATACTCTGTGTTAAAAGTTTCGAGGTTGCATGATTAGAAAACACATTCTGACTGTCACTTTCCTTATCTGGTAAGCAATGTTCTGACTGGTCGAATGCGAGGTTGTTCTGACATGCCCCGTGATGGGATGTCCTCAGATCTTTGTTAAGCAGTATCGAGAACTAAGATCTGATTTTAATGAGATTGGTACATTTATTTCAGTATTTATTGACACTCCGTCTTCACCAAAGTGACATCCTAGATGTGTTCAATGGCATCCACTTCCTCCCACTGGACAAGAACACATACCTCCGCATCCAGTGCTTCATCAACCACCTGGAAGCCACCTTCCCATCAGTCAAGTACACAGCCTTCCTCTACAATGACCAGCTCGTCTGGTGAGGCCTCACCTGGGGGAGAACAGGCTCCTCAATCACTACAGTGATAGACCTTAATGACAGGAGGGGCCATGTTTAACCCCTCATCATTATCTGTTGGGGTAGAGTAGGATCATGAATCCGAGGCTTGTGTTAGTTTCTAATGTTATGTGTAGTATGTGTATGACATTATATAATAATAATGTTTAAACTTATCCTATAATATACAATGCATTTCTCCCTACTCCTTTCGATCCTTGGTGGAAATGTGCTTGAACAATGTTTCCAGCTTCTAAAAAACAGTTCACCAGAACACATCCCAACATCACCATTGTCATCGCCCAAACAAATGGGTCACACACTGTCATCCCATGCATAGCAACCTACACGACCTGAACAAGTGAATACCCCTGCCATATCATTCTCTTCATACCCACACAGAGGAGACATGCAATGTTTTAGCGAATATACAGTAGAGCACAGATATGACGAACACCGATAGAGCGAACAAGCGGATACAACAAACTGTAAAAAAATCCCCGATTTATCTCCTATATATTATCACATAAAATTTACATACTTGACTCTTCAGCGAACTAACGTATATAGTGAACTAATATCTGATCACCAGCAAGCCCATCTACCACTAATTTTGTGACGTGTATAGCGAACTGAGAAATCTCACTTAGTGTCAAGTGTCACTGACAATTGGCTGTACGCAATCAGAGGCGAATCAACATAATCACTGGGGATGATTTAACCTTGTTAAACTTACATTATGTTAATCTTACCTGTCCATGTAATTGGATTAATCTACTCTGTAAAACAAACAAATTTCATTCAATAATGTTTACATTAATTTCGGTGGAATTGTGTGTGAAGTGATCAGTAGACACAACTCACCGTTATTTACAGCAACCACGGTCAGTTTACCGCTATTGATGCTTTGAAACCAACTTTAGTTGCAAGAGAATGGATACATATATCAGAAATGCCATACTTTGGCTTGTTAAAAATCATATTTGAGGCAGTTTGACTATTAAATGTCAATGTTTTCGCAATCAAACTACATGGAGCGCGGGAAGTCCCTACTGTGACTGGTCAAATTGTTCCACACGTAAAGTGCTACGCTTATGGTTCTTATGATTTTAAATATATAAAGTGAAAGCTGTAACTAAAATAACACAATATTGGAATAAATTATTCTGAAAAATAATAATTTCAGATATAATTTCTTCCAACCATTGCATCAAATATTTTTGAAGTTGTATCATTTGGTACTTTTTAACTGAATCAAAGGTAGATGCTAGAGGAAACATGTATAGCCAAGATGGCGGATGTTTCTGAGCAAAACCGTATATGACAAACAGCGTATATAATGAAGTGATTTCCCCGGTCCCTTGTAGTTCGTTATATCCATGCTCTACTGTAGTTTCTTTTTTTTTGCTGGATTCCCTCCAACATTGTATAGATTTATGTTACAATCTGAGGGATGATGAGCAAGGAAGATTTCCTTTGCCCATCCTCTCTGAAATGTAGACGTACCTCTTCCAACTCTCATGAACTATGTTGTGACTGAAGTGTTGATAAGCGTTGTTCAATGTGTGGACATCTGATGGAAGATTCCTTCAACGTATAATTACACAAGTGCCATAGAAGAGAGAATGACATTGCTCGAAATCAAAGGACTCTGACAAGCACAAACCGTCTTCTGCTACGATGATCTGTGAAACCACCTCCGGAAACCCACCTTGCCTGATCTATAGGTGGCTGATGATGATGTCTCAAATAGTTTTCCTTCTGACAACATCTTTGCTGTGCTGGATCAACAGTCTGTCCCTAAAGCGTCCAGGTCCACGTTTACCTCGGAACTGCTAGCTACCGTGGACGTTCACATGGTGTTTTCTTCCATTGATTTATCCGAACCTGCCTCAACTATGCCGCTGATCGCCCCCCTTAGTGCTCCTAGGCTGTCCGCTACATTTCACCTTTCATCTCCTGCTTTTCCCACGATGTTCAGATTGATGACAATCGTTTCTTCGACCAAAGCTAAAGGTACTGGTACTAGTAGAACAGGGTCACCCTCTACTAAGGTTCGACGGAGTAAGAATCAGTCTCGCACATATTTCAAGAGTCCCTGTTCCAAGAAAAATTGATCATACGTTTGGCACTCAAAAGATCGCTCTCCTAAGAATATAGCCATGCCCGTTGTAGACTCACCCATAGGCAGAAGACTAGTGTCTCTTTGCAGGGGTTTGGGCCATCCCTGGCGATCCCTTCATACTTGCTCCTCCTACAGACCTGTTACTGATTTTATGGTGAAAAATAAGCTTCTGGGACAACCAGATCATTTGTTTACCATCCCGTCACTGGCATCCATTCTGAGCCCTGCTGACCTTGAGGATGTCTCTTTATGACCATTTCGAGCTCTCTGAATCTACCTTGAGGCTGAGAGACCACTTCGGAGCTCCTGGAAAAGGTTTTTTGTCCCCATCAAAGGAAGTTTCCCTACTACGATCCCATTTTGGCTTTGCCTGCTCTACAACTTTGCTGTATTGTCTCCTCCTGTCACGTCCAATCCTCACGAGACCCATGCCGTCACCTCTACCATGGCCTTGCACAGCATCTGCACCCTCTCCGCCATTATGGAAGGGTGCTTCTGGAAGTCAGATATAGTCTTTACTTCCCTCTATCTCCATGACATATCTGTTACAGATGTCAAGGGTCTTCACCAGCTGGTCCCTTGGTCCTGGCACAGCATCTGTCGACTTACACCAGCTCAGATAGTTGATGTGTGTACCCGCTCTTGTTTTTTTCGTACTGCGTATCATGTATGTACAGAATATATCCTGGAACTTCAGCTCCTGTTAAGCGTATTTTATTAGTCAGATTTCCAGACTGAGTACCCAATCAGAGGGTGGATTATATCGTCTGTAGAGACTTCGGTCTTTAACATCAAAGTCATAGCAAGGGGCGGCCTTTTAGACAATGTCCCGAATCCTCACCCGCTCACTGCTGCTTTAGGCATGTGCAGCCTGGTATTAGTTTGAAGATCCTCTTGTGAATGTTGTCGATCGTTCCTCTTCTCGTCTTAGCTTGCTTCAATCCCTCGGGCGATTTGATAGCTTTGATGGTGCATTAAAAAAGATGCCAAGCAGGTACACCTATTGTCTGTGGGAGATGTCGTGCAGGTGCACCCTTTTGTCTGTGGGAGATGTCAAGCAGGCGCACCCTATTGTCTGTGAGAGATGTCAAGCAGGTGCACCCTATTGTCTGTGGGAGATGTCGAGCAGGTGCACCCTATAGTCTGTGGGAGATATCGAGCAAGTGCAGCCTATTGTCTGTGGGAGATGTCAAGCAGGTGCACCCTATTGTCTGTGGGAGATGTCAAGCAGGCGCACCCTATTGTCTGTGGGAGATGTCAAGCAGGTGCACCCTATAGTCTGTGGGAGATGTCAAGCAGGCGCACCCTATTGTCTGTGGGAGATGTCAAGCAGGTGCACCCTATTGTCTGTGGGAGATGTCAAGCAAGTGCACCCTATTGTCTGTGGGAGATGTCGAGCAGGTGTACCCTATTGTCTGTGGGAGATGTCGAGCAGGTGCATCCTATAGTCTGTGGGAGATGTCAAGCAGGTGCATCCTATAGTCTGTGGGAGATGTTGAGCAGGTGCATCCTATAGTCTGTGGGAGATGTCAAGCAGGTGCACCCTATTGTCTGTGGGAGATATCGAGCGGGTGCACCCTATTGTCTGTGGGAGATATCGAGCAGGTGCACCCTATTGTCTGTGGGAGATGTCAAGCAGGTGCACCCTATAGTCTGTGGGAGATATCGAGCAAGTGCAGCCTATTGTCTGTGGGAGATGTCAAGCAGGTGCACCCTATTGTCTGTGGGAGATGTCAAGCAGGCGCACCCTATTGTCTGTGGGAGATGTCAAGCAGGTGCACCCTATAGTCTGTGGGAGATGTCGTGCAGGCGCACCCTATTGTCTGTGGGAGACGTCAAGCAGGTGCACCATATTGTCTGTGGGAGATGTCAAGCAAGTGCACCCTATTGTCTGTGGGAGATGTCGAGCAGGTGTACCCTATTGTCTGTGGGAGATGTCGAGCAGGTGCATCCTATAGTCTGTGGGAGATGTCAAGCAAGTGCATCCTATAGTCTGTGGGAGATGTTGAGCAGGTGCATCCTATAGTCTGTGGGAGATGTCGAGCAGGTGCATCCTATAGTCTGTGGGAGATGTCGAGCAGGTGCACCCTTACTCATTGTGGGAGATGTTGAGCAGGTGCATCCTATAATCTGTGGTAGATGTCGAGCAGGTGTACCCTATAGTCTGTGGGAGATGTCAAGCAAGTGCATCCTATAGTCTGTGGGAGATGTTGAGCAAGTGCACCCTATTGTCTGTGGGAGATGTCGAGCAAGTGCATCCTATAGTCTGTGGGAGATGTCAAGCAGGTGCATCCTATAGTCTGTGGGAGATGTCAAGCAAGTGCACCCTATTGTCTGTGGGAGATGTCGAGCAAGTGCATCCTATAGTCTGTGGGAGATGTCGAGCAGGTGCATCCTATAGTCTGTGGGAGATGTCGAGCAGGTGCACCCTATTGCCTGTGCATGTTATACCTGATTTCATGGTGTGTTTTCCCGCTTACGAGTTCTAGTCTAGGCAGTGTAAAGAATCTTTATTTCACTGTTATGACCCATTTGTTTGGGTGGTGACCATGGTGATGCTGGGATGTGTTCAGATGAAATGTCGTTTAGAAACTGGAGGCTTTGTTCAATCATGTTTCCGCATAGCATCAAAAGAAGAAGGTAGAAATGCATAGTGTCAGTTAGGATAAGTACATAGGCATATAGGTATATGGGGTCACAGGGCTAGCACAGAATGTGTAAAGTGCCACAGTTCACTGTGCAGAGTTACATCCCTTAGCCATGCCAGGATCTAATGATCATGGGTTCGATGGTTCAATAGGTTTTATGTTAGCCCAGATTATAATGCTTGGTTGGTGAGCACCCTACTTCTGCTATTGGTGGTAAACATCTGCTACCTGCCTACCTGCATCACTGAGCATTGTTAAGACCTAGTGTGAAAAGTCATCAATATGATAGTTTGCTTTCAGCATGAATATAATATCAGTTCATTATAATGAGACAAGTGTATGTTGACCTTGTAGGAGTGGTCTGAACCAGGATGACATGCGGATCATGTACAAGTACCTCACCACCAGCCTCTTCCCCTCCCACATGGAACAGGAGCTACACGGTGGCGGTGGCGGACAGTCTCGCTCCCCCTCATCTGGACAGACACCACACTTTGCTCAGTGAGGACTTTCTTTGTTGGAACTAGATCATTCTGTATTGTTATACCTCATTTCAATGTAGACCCCTAAATCATGTGACTGACTCTGACCTCGAATATTGACTGGTCACGTGATTAGTATTGACCTGTCACGTGATGAGTCTTGATCATCTGCTAGAAAACAAGATGGTGTCTGGTACAAACGTTTCTTTGTTCGCAGCTATGTTACTGTACTGAAACAGGACGGATTAAAGACTTCATAAACTTATACAGTGAATTTTAGTTTAACAAAACGGATGATGACTCTCAACGTTTCTATGCGAAAACAAGGACCCTCGGACCCGACCCCTTACCTGTGTCCTCAGTTTGAGCAGAGCACCTCAGGGGTCAGTTCCTCCGGTCCTTGTTTTCTCCTATTGACCTCATCAAGAGTAATTATTTCTATAATAATACTGCAGTGGTATTGAGAATTTTGAAAAAGTTGCAGAAAACAAGTGTTGATATTTAGCAGTAGTTTTCTTCCTCAGATGATAATGTTTTTTTCATAGTATAATATGATTGATTGTTAAACAGTGTATACTATTCCGTGATAATTACTGGATGTGGAAGAAAGGTTTATATAGCTAGGTTAAAGTAAGCTCCTTGGTATATGCCCCTCGTTTGATACAAATCTGACGGTGTTGGCTTATTGGAATCTAGACAGGGTTGGTCACTTTTTCAAAAGAACCAGCACCTGTCCACTGGATACTGATCTTATGCTGGTACCACCATGCTAGGTCCAGCTTTGGCTGACATTTTGAACTGTCAAATTAGCAACACAGTGATGTGGCTCTGTATTATATATAAGTCACACTATGGCTGAAATATTGCCGACATGGTTTCAAATATTAACTCACTCACTGTTTTATATGAGCAATTGTGCACTGTTGTTTAAGACAAAACTATGTGAATGGCTTTCCACAGATGTACAAACATAGGGATCAAACTGTTTGTCATAATGGTATTTACTTGTTGCAGATTTATAGCAGGTCCCCCAAGCCTGAAGGATGAGGGCAACCTCGGCAAAATCCCCCATGTCTTCATCAACACAGAGGAGGAGAACGAGGAGTGTCAGCTGCTGGTGTACAAGGCCATGAGCTCCAGTATCTGTATGCTGGTCAATGGTGAGTATAGCCATGAGCTCCAGTATCTGTATGCTGGTCAATGGTGAGTATAGCCATGAGCTCCAGTATCTGTATGCTGGTCAATGGTGAGTATAGCCATGAGCTCCAGTATCTGTATGCTGGTCAATGGTGAGTATAGCCATGAGCTCCAGTGGCTGTATGCTGGTCAATGGTGAGTATAGCCATGAGCTCCAGTATCTGTATGCTGGTCAATGGTGAGTATAGCCATGAGCTCCAGTGGCTGTATGCTGGTCAATGGTGAGTATAGCCATGAGCTCCAGTATCTGTATGCTGGTCAATGTTGAGTATAGCCATGAGCTCAAGTATCTGTATGCTGGTCAATGGTGAGTATAGCCATGAGCTCCAGTGGCTGTATGCTGGTCAATGGTGAGTATAGCCATGAGCTCCAGTATCTGTATGCTGGTCAATGGTGAGTATAGCCATGAGCTCAAGTATCTGTATGCTGGTCAATGTTGAGTATAGCCATGAGCTCAAGTATCTGTATGCTGGTCAATGGTGAGTATATCCATGAGCTCCAGTGGCTGTATGCTGGTCAATGGTGAGTATAGCCATGAGCTCCAGTATCTGTATGCTGGTCAATGGTGAGTATAGCCATGAGCTCCAGTATCTGTATGCTGGTCAATGGTGAGTATAGCCTTAGCTCCAGTGTCTGTATGCTGGTCAATGGTGAGTATAGCCATGAGCTCCAGTATCTGTATGCTGGTCAATGGTGAGTATAGCTGTGAACTCCAGTGGCTGTATGCTGGTCAATGGTGAGTATAGCCATGAGCTCCAGTATCTGTATGCTGGTCAATGGTGAGTATAGCTGTGAACTCCAGTGGCTGTATGCTGGTCAATGGTGAGTATAGCCATGAGCTCCAGTATATGTATGCTGGTCAATGGTGAGTATAGCTGTGAACTCCAGTGGCTGTATGCTGGTCAATGGTGAGTATAGCCATGAGCTCCAGTATCTGTATGCTGGTCAATGGTGAGTATAGCCATGAGCTCCAGTATCTGTATGCTGGTCAATGGTGAGTATAGCCATGAGCTCGAGTATCTGTATGCTGGTCAATGGTGAGTATAGCTGTGAACTCCAGTGGCTGTATGCTGGTCAATGGTGAGTATAGCCATGAGCTCCAGTATCTGTATGCTGGTCAATGGTGAGTATAGCTGTGAACTCCAGTGGCTGTATGCTGGTCAATGGTGAGTATAGCCATGAGCTCCAGTATCTGTATGCTGGTCAATGGTGAGTATAGCTGTGAACTCCAGTGGCTGTATGCTGGTCAATGGTGAGTATAGCTGTGAACTCCAGTGGCTGTATGCTGGTCAATGGTGAGTATAGCCATGAGCTCCAGTATCTGTATGCTGGTCAATGGTGAGTATAGCTGTGAACTCCAGTGGCTGTATGCTGGTCAATGGTGAGTATAGCCATGAGCTCCAGTATATGTATGCTGGTCAATGGTGAGTATAGCTGTGAACTCCAGTGGCTGTATGCTGGTCAATGGTGAGTATAGCCATGAGCTCCAGTATCTGTATGCTGGTCAATGGTGAGTATAGCCATGAGCTCCAGTATCTGTATGCTGGTCAATGGTGAGTATAGCCATGAGCTCGAGTATCTGTATGCTGGTCAATGGTGAGTATAGCTGTGAACTCCAGTGGCTGTATGCTGGTCAATGGTGAGTATAGCCATGAGCTCCAGTATCTGTATGCTGGTCAATGGTGAGTATAGCTGTGAACTCCAGTGGCTGTATGCTGGTCAATGGTGAGTATAGCCATGAGCTCCAGTATCTGTATGCTGGTCAATGGTGAGTATAGCTGTGAACTCCAGTGGCTGTATGCTGGTCAATGGTGAGTATAGCCATGAGCTCCAGTATCTGTATGCTGGTCAATGGTGAGTATAGCCATGAGCTCCAGTATCTGTATGCTGGTCAATGGTGAGTATAGCCATGAGCTCCAGTATCTGTATGCTGGTCAATGGTGAGTATAGCCTTAGCTCCAGTGGCTGTATGCTGGTCAATGGTGAGTATAGCTGTGAACTCCAGTGGCTGTAAAGCTGTGAACTGTATGTGTACGCTGGTATACACTACTAACTTGCACCCTGAGTATGCCACCATGTACATGTAGGAGAGGGAGATGCTCACACACACTGTTTGTCAGGCCATAATACATGCATCCACTCACTCCATGATAATGGTGTGTTACGTGGCGCTCCCAGCAAGCTCTCTTAAACTAGATGTTGAGTGCATATAAACCCACTCACATTGAGGATGTTCGGATGCATCTACAGCATTACTACATACAATCATGAGTTGGTATTTGTTGCATGTAAATAGCACACATTTTGTCACACGTTTAATATGCATAATATGAATGGCAATGGCAAAATGTATTTTGTGGCAAGCAACATTTATATGCAGCCTGTACACTCAAAAAAGGATTGCTTCATCACATTGATATTACTCAAACCATGAAATGAAGGTCATATTGATGTAAACTGAAGGTTATCAAAGTACTATAAATAATTTATGGATTTATTATTGTAAAAACAAGGACATGAGATTTGTGTACATTTTGTTTCAGTCAAAAATACAGTTTCGTTTGACATGTGTCGGAAGCTGGATGGATTTCTTGGTCCACAGATGAGCAAGTTGTCATCGGACATCAGCGAGCAGTACTCCAAGAGGCCTGCCGCTCTCAGGTACATGGAGAACCTTAGTACCACAACTACAATGTGGTGTTGTGGGACCTAGCTCATTGTGTGTCATTGTACCCCACTGACATGGGTCTTAGGTGCAGCTTTCAACCAGTGGTCATCTTCCCAGGGCAAGGGCGTTAAGTGACTATAAAAGTCCAGTTTCCATCCTTGCCGAACTAGGCTGCAATTATGGAGTTACATTTTGGCTGGACTAACGAGTCTATGCATAGTCCAATCAAAACTGCGTTACGAACTGGACACCCGGTTCGTAAACAACATGGATTTCAATGTGCAGCATCGACTGCAGGATTTGCAAAGCCTGTGTACCGCCAATTTGGTGTCGACAGATATTTTGCAAATTGTTTTATGTTTTTTATCAAGGTACTCACGTGATTTGATGCACTTCGTGAGATAAGGCCCCATTAGATCTTGATTATCGATCAGATCGTCTTGACTGGGTGCCGCCATTTTGTTTGAAGCAAGTGCAAGTGATATGAGAAATGGAATCTGATTGGTCAATAGGAGGAACATAGAAGGGACATAACTCATAATAGCCACTGGTGGTGCTAAAATCGAGCCTGGAAATTCCAGCCTAGTTCGGCAAGGGTGGAAACTTGACTTTTATAGTCAGTTAACTCCCTTGCCTTGGGAAGATGACCAGTGGCTTGCCTCAACAAGACTTGATTATTTAGAGGTTGCCATGATATAGATGCAATATTGCTGACTACAGCATAAAAGAGCTATGATTCTGTTCAAAGCAGCTTTGAACCCAACTCACTAACCTTGAACCCTTCATACATTGATGTATTGTTACTACAAGCTAAGCCATAAGCTGTTTGGAATAAGAGTATCTGTGACATGAAGCCTGATGAGAAGTATAAGTCTTTATTATATACTTCAATGTGAAAGACGGGAGTTTTCTGAAGTTGAGAAAAGTGATATTTTCACTGGAGTGAACATAACTCTTTGACGGAACTGTTGTTATACAAGAGTTGCCTCCCCACAAATTGTTCCCCTTTATCTTAAGTGTATAGCCAATACAAAAACTGTTGACTTCCTTCTTACGTTAGTTCCACATTGAAAAGGCAAAATAATGACAGAATGTCATTTATGGAGTTAACCCTTGTAGTTTGTAATTCTCTTGAATATGTTTCGTTGTAAACTGTAAATTTCTCATTTAACTCGTCCATTGAGACTGTTGAGCCATTTTTGTTACTTGACCAGCGTGTATTCTTTCGCTTCCAACAGCGGTCTTGTAGATTTCAAGAATATTTTTTGTTAAAGTTGATTTTGTATATAATCATATCTAAATGTATGACAAAGAATTTTCGTGACCCTAAATATTTTTTGTTAGTTTGCTTTATATTTGTTAAGATTTTGCAAACTACTTTTTCACTAGTAAATACAAGGGGTGGTGAACTGTCACTGTGTGTTAGGTAGGGAGAATTTAGGTTTCATTGTTTTACATTTGTAATGAAATAATTTAATTTTCTTGTGGACAACTAAACAAAAATTACATAATGAATAGGATGTTCCATTTGTCAAGTGAAATGTCATGTTTCTCTCACTGAGTGACAGAGGGAATGGAGATATTTTGACGAGTGGTGTAACATGAAATATCCTCTATTTACTTGCCTGTTTCACAGCACCACTGACCCCCAGTTTAAGTATATATACTTCAACCACATGAACCTGGCACAGAAGACCACAGTCCACATCGAGATCCGGAAACTGACCGGGGTCAACATCCCCCAGGAGACACTGCGCCTTCTGGCGGACATCAACGCTGACCTCACAAGGTACAACAGATTCCGTATATTGTTTAAGATAGTGTCACTTTTTGGTTCCACCATTTTTTAACGCTCTGCTTGCCTCTAACTATAATATGCAAACACTGACGAAGAGTTAATCATTTCTTCTCTAACTCATAAATAATTCCGTATTTCTTGAGGAAACTTGAGTAGCACATTGGATATCACACAACCATGTTGGTAATCTGATTAAGATAGGTCTCCAGCAACCTATGCTTGTTTTGACAGGTTAAAAAGAGGATCGGGTGGTCAAGCTTGGTGACTTAATCAATTGTGTGACATTGTTTCCTGACAGAGTGGGACGTTGCTCATGTTGTAGTATTTTTAAAAACCCGCAAGAAAGGAACAGCATACATCAATTCAGGAAATCTTTCCTTGTCATGCTATTTTGTTATATAGTTTTAATTTTTTAACTTATCCTGCATTACTCCTTAATGCATTTACTGCTTGTTCTTGGCAGAAGGGACAGCTGTGTGAGGTCTTGCTGAAGAAGTTGTTCCAACTGGTTGTGTGGCTAATCCTATCACACAACTTCTTCTTCAGCAAGACCTCACACAGCTCTTCCTTGTCAAGAACAAGCAGTAAATCATTACGGAGTAATGCAGGATAAGTATACAAATGTAAAAAATAACTAGTTTGTACTAGATTTAGGGTTTTGAAATGTAACATTGCCATCAAATTAAAAGCTCCGCCTACTGAAAAAGTACCATCACTGTTTCACATTCTTGGAAGGTGTAGGAAGCATCTAGAATGGAGGGATTCATTTGGTTTAGTCATCAGTCATAATATCACTTGTACTCAGACGCTTTGATAATAACCTATTGGGTATAACCACTTATAATGAGATATCTGACATATTGTTTTTGTGATTTAAAAGGGTGGGGGGTATTGATGACTTTATCTTCTTGTGTTTTTTGTTACAATGTTTATGGATGTGCTGTTTCATTCTGACAATTTGCAATACATGTTGTCATGGTTTTAGTAACTGACGTGAAATGTTGTAGTCACATGATGAGAGTGAAATAGTAGCAAGAGTTACAAGAGTGAAGTCATCCAAAAGAAAGTTGTTGGTTCTCAGAAAAACCCTTGTCAGAAACCCTGCATAAAACAATGAAACTCTTGTAGCATAAGAAGAAATAACATACGTAAGTTCCAATAACTCTCCAGATTATTTACTGACAACCAATTGGTGTTATCTTGTCAGTGTTTATAGCAAGTGTTGTTTCCAGGGGTAACGAGGATGGAGAAACGATAGTGAAGACGCTGTCAGACTACTGGGTGGTTGGGAAGAAATCTGACCAGCGGGAGTTCTATGTCGTCATCAATCAGAAGAATGCCAATCTCATAGAAATCAATGGTAAGCATGTAATCAGAGAAAGCATGCTGGAATGTGTTTCTTTAGTTTGTTTGGCACATCTGTTTCTAAAACGTGAAAAGTAAATATAAGATTTAGTGTTGAAGTAAAATCTGTTATCTTATGAAAACATGAATTAATTGTTTAAGAAATAATCCCTTTTTTAGGTTTACAGAATTTACTCTTAACATAAATATTCCTTTGTAAGCATTATATTACCCAACAGTGAAACATCAGTACTGTAACAAAATGTTTCCATTGTATTTAACAGCACATTTTATTCATGGATCATATATGTATCCCAATAGTTTCTTATTATAGACATGGTGACTTCCTCTCCTTAAACACTAAGAGGTGGTGAGGTGAAATGGGGTTTAACGTCGCGTCCAAGATTATTGCACTTGTATAGCGAAGTGCATGTACGTGTGTGTGTTTGTGTGGCTGCTTGTACTAGTCCGGACTGATGCCGATTTATAGTGCTAGCTCACTGAGATACCATGCCGCAGTCTAACATGAATACCCCACTCAGACACAGTATACTGACTCCGAGCCGACCAGTCCTTGTTTTAGCCCCTTAATGCCGAGCGCCAGACAGGGTAACAACAAGTACCATCTTTTAACGTCTTTTGGTATGACGCGGTTGGGGATCGAACCCTGGACCTTCTGCTCTCCGGGCGGACGCTCTAACAATAAACCACGGAGGCGGTTACTTAAACACTAAGAAGAGAAAAGGGAAATGTCTGAGTGAAGAAACCCTACAATCTTCTCCCAATACCATTCCAGCATCACCGGTGTTCAACATAGTATATTCATTAGTATGACATAACTTAGAACTAGAGGATCTTTTTAAACTTTGACCCCTGCACCCCATTCAACTTTTTACACTTGATGAGTGATCTCCCCTTTATTGAGCAGCCATTCACTGGGCACATGTTAACAATTTGTTTTTTGTTACAGAGGAAGTGAAGAAGCTATGCTCAATGCACCTGAACAGTATATTCTTCCTGGACTGATACCTGCACTGTGTAAATAATATGCCATCTGTCTGGATGCATGTATGAATAATATCCCAGCTGCAGAGATGCCTGGCTGTGGACGGAGCTTGTTGATGACAGAAGCTTGCTAGTTCTGTTGTCGTGTGTCACATCCATATGGACACTTTAATTTCAAGAATAGTAGGATATCCAAATTTGACTTGCGTAAAAAAGCCTACATGATGGAAATGTGCATTGTGTGAGGTGAGGATACAGTAGTTGTTGATGTTTTCAAGATATCAAGTTATGGATGCCTTGAGCACAGTTACTGGTAGACATCTAAAAAACATCCGGAAAATGTTTTCACCGGAGGCCTTTCCCAAACTTTCACCAACATTAATATGACCTAATCATCAACATATGTCAAGCATGTCCTCTCTAACCATGACTTTCCTCCCACATTAAGCTGACACGCCGTGATATAACTGGAATACTGTTAAAAGCAGCGTTAAACCCAACTCACTCACTCACTCACACACTCTAACCATGAGGCTTGACCTACCAACAATATCTTTCACAGTAAGGCTACTAGGCTACAGCTGTTAACAAAACAGATGTCACTATCACTAATGTAACACAATTTGCGTAGATTAATGGTAGATGTTTACATGAACAAATTGTAATTTTCAGAAATCAACCCAATTTGATTGATGTTTATCACGGGGTATACTTGCCATTGAAAGATTCAGTCAAGGGAAGGGTAACACAGGTTTAGTGGACACTGATTGATCATGACACCAGAACAAAATCTGTAAAAAATAGTTGAAGCAGTTATTATTAAATAAAAGGTAAATTGTCATGACAATTATTATGTCAACCAAAAATATTCTTGTTTATTGTGTTGATAATCATGCCCGAAGATTCACCAACTATTGTGCTGGTAGATATGACTGGAAAGTGAAATCATGACAATGTAGCAGCTGTGTGTGTGTGCAAATCCACTTCACATTAGATGAGAATTCACTAGATGTGCATCACAAGATGTGTATATATATATTTATATGCCAGTGCATTCACAGTATGTTTATTCTGCTGTATATTAAAATTATTATGGTATTTTTTGTAAATAAATTATGCTCCAAGAATCTGATTTTTTTAATATTTTCATGTCTGTATACAATATCTCACTTATAAGGCCATAGTCAAATGATGTTTAGAATTAGTATCACCAACATTCCAAGAGCAGAAAACAATTGTCTCAATTGTGTGGTTATTTGAGATCACTCATTATTTTGTCAAATAGCCCCGCCATGAAGTGCAAGGGGGATATATGAATGGGTGCCGTCCGTCCGTCCTTCTGTCCGTCACATTTCGTTTCCGGAGCAGACCTTGAAAACCATACCATAATTCTTCACCAAACCTGGCACATAGATAGGTCTAGTGGTGAACTGGTGCCTTTTTATAATTTGGAATTTAAAAAAAATAAAAACAATTCGAGTTTCCATGGCAACGACTTTGATTTAGACTGAAAATGGCGGTAGTCCGCGTTTCCGGAGCAGATTTTGAAAACCGTACCATATTCCTTCACCAAACTTGGTACATAGATAGGTCTAGTGGTGAACTGGTGCCTTTTGATAGTTTGGGATTTAAAAAAATAATAATTCGAGTTTCCAAAACGACTTTGATTTAGACTGAAAAAGGCGGTAGTCCTCGTTTCCGGAGCAGATTTTGAAAACCGTACCATATTTCTTCACCAAACTTGGCTCATAATGTCATCTCGCAGTATTGAATACATTTCCTTTCTTGCTGGTAAGTTCTGCATTGCTTGAGTGTATGTTCCTCCAAAAGTGTCATGGACACGGTTGTTGCATTCACTGACTAACTTCATGCAGAAACACAACTCATTACAAATACAACAGTGTAACTGATCTTAAACCTACTCAACTGTATAAACACTGCCTCCTATCCTGTATATATTCTTGTCAACCATACTCTGTACTTCACTTGCTTGATAACGGTGTTAGAACCCACACCGAAACCATCGCTCCTAATTGTAATAAAGAAGTTCTCGTCGATATGTCTCATCCTTACTCATTACAAATACAGTTACATATTCTATCATAAACTGCAGATGGCAAAACAACACCAGTAATAACTGTTTTAGTGCTGCAATTAGGCCATTTACAAAAAGGCCCAGTGAACATAGTTCACAGGAGCTAATGCATGTCATAATGGCGGGGGATATGAGTATTTCATGCTTGTTATTAAACGAAATAAAATAATAGATAATGACCCATGTCTTACAACCTTGGTTATGCAGTGTGTTATATATCACATTACACTAAAAAGAATCTACTCGTGGGAGTAAGAAACACCGTGTTAGGTGAAGAGGAAGACAGACAACACAGAAGTTTTGAAATGAATTGAAAATGTGACAACTCCTTTGCTTTACTTGTACTTGAACTCCGATGGCATACAAGGTATGACAGTCACAAAACTGAAAAAAAGTAGAAGGTCATTTGAAAAATTCGAAGTTATTTTACTGTGAGAGAGTCGTCAGCAATACTCTAGCTATATCATCATAGTCACAAATATCTGGTTGGTCACATGAGCACCTACCTACCCAGCCAGTACGATGACTAGTCAGGTCACTCACTTGAGTCATGTCTCCATTGTTCCTGTCATCTGCTTCCTGAATGGCAGACGTCAAACACGTGCATATATGCAATGGCAGTTGATGTGGACCACCCTCCCAGGGTTGCTGCTTTATTGTAGATATAGTCCAGGAGGGGAACACCCAGTGTACGGAAGGTGTGACACTTGGTCCTATTGGGCTGTCAAACAGTGGAATGACTTTTTGAGTGTGGGTCAGTGTTCCAGATGGGTTCGTGGTGACGATTTTGAGCTTACCTGTAGGTATGTGATTTTGAGCTTACCTGTAGGTACGTGATTTTGAGCTTACCTGTAGGTATTTTAGAACATGGTCCTTCTGGTGACCATATATTAACAGTATTTGATGTTTAACAAATTTGGAAAAAACTATTTTACATATATTTTAGGCATAATTGTAATCCAGCAAAAGCCAACTGTCAAATACAAAAATCATAAAGGTTTCTGTTTGTTTAGTTTCTAGGGTTGTTAAATACATTTCTTTAATATTCATTTCATGATATCAACCAAAACAAATACTATTTTCATCCAATTACTTATCCTGTTAAATATATACTCAAATGCAAAACTTATTAAGACAAGGATTTCTTCACTTACAAACTTTTATATGAAATTTGGGATTTGAACCAGGAAAATGTTTATTGAAAATTCTCGAAAAAATGCAACCAATCATTATGTCGCTGGTGTTGCATGTTTTTTACTAATTAACAAATATTGGAAAAACATTGCATCACATGTCCAACCTCATATCAGTGGAACTGCAGAGCGCTGGGAAAAAAACTTTTTAATCGTTTTGATGAGATTTCACCATGCTAAATGATGTCGAGCCATAGGAATGTTTGAAACCGGTGATTTGCAGTGTGACGTCGCACGTCAATTCAACGTCCACAGGAACATCACATGGCACGTTATCAATAGAACAAGCACATCAAAGACCATCCCCTGACCGGACGCCCACCCGTCATAACCCCCCCCCCCCCCCCCCCCACCCCACCCCACCCCACCCCGCCAAGGCATGTGAATTCTTCGACACAGGTTCCAAATAGCAAGTCTCACAGCCTGTACTATCCCTGGCAACAGAGGCGCATCTGCGAGGACAGCCCAAGGACGTCTGAGCATCTGTGGCATCCGCAGAGCATCTGTGGCGATGCGCCAAGCCAGACGTCTCCAGTGTGCAGACAACACTTGCGTGGACTACACATTGCAAGAGTTGTGCAGCAGTATCTGACACAGAAGGTTTCATTAAGCTGTTTATGGACGCAGTCTTACGGGGGCTCATTTACTCCAACACATATGGTCAATAACACTGATCTTGCTGAAGAATCTTCAAAGAAACTTGATGTAACCGAGGGAGGAGGGCTCACCAAATAGTTATTGAAGCAATGGCGGTCGTTCTCCGATTGGGTATAGTTTTGTCAGAGATACAGATACAACCGTTGACTTTCAAACAGGAAGCAGACATGATGTCACACCTCTTTGTTTTCTGGAACAAAATCTTCACAGATGTCGGAATTCCTATTTGAGTTTATTCAGGCACAAAGAGATTGGAACTGCACTTGTCTGAACAGCTGGGATGATGCCTCACTTCTACTCCAGTAGCAAATGTGTGCATTACAGGAGAATCAATGTCCATGAAGCAGATTAGTGCCTTACGGGAGAATCAATGTCCATGAAGCAGATGTGTGGCTTACTGGAGAATCAATGTCCATGAAGCAGATGTGTGGCTTACTGGAGAATCAATGTCCATGAAGCAGATTAGTGCCTTACGGGAGAATCAATGTCCATGAAGCAGATGCGTGACTTACTGGAGAATCAATGTCCATGAAGCAGATTAGTGCCTTACTGGAGAATCAATGTCCATGAAGCAGATGTGTGGCTTACTGGAGAATCAATGTCCATGAAGCAGATGTATGGCTTACTGGAGAATCAATGTCCATGAAGCAGATTAGTGCCTTACGGGAGAATCAATGTCCATGAAGCAGATGTGTGGCTTACTGGAGAATCAATGTCCATGAAGCAGATGTGTGACTTACTGGAGAATCAATGTCCATGAAGCAGATGTGTGGCTTACTGGAGAATCAATGTCTATGAAGCAGATGTGTGGCTTACTGGAGAATCAATGTCCATGAAGCAGATTAGTGCCTTACGGGAGAATCAATGTCCATGAAACAGATGTGTGACTTACTGGAGAATCAATGTCCATGAAGCAGATTAGTGCCTTACGGGAGAATCAATGTCCACGAAGCAGATGTGTGGCTTACTGGAGAATCAATGTCCATGAAGCAGATGTGTGGCTTACTGGAGAATCAATGTCCATGAAGCAGATGTGTGGCTTACTGGAGAATCAATTTCCATGAAGCAGATGTGTGGCTTACTGGAGAATCAATGTCCATGAAGCAGATGTGTGACTTACTGGAGAATCAATGTCCATGAAGCAGATGTGTGACTTACTGGAGAATCAATGTCCATGAAGCAGATTAGTGCCTTACTGGAGAATCAATGTCCATAAAGCAGATGTATGGCTTACTGGAGAATCAATGACCATGAAGCAGATGTGTGACTTACTGGAGAAGAGACTCATTCACAATATTCGATCACAAGTCAACTCTGGTATGCATGCGGAATGTGAAACCTGCCGATGTACACAATGCATTATGCATGAACCTATATACGTGTTCAAATGTCACATATTATTACTCACATCAATTACCCGTGAAGAAGTAGAAATCAAGAATGCTGCACATATTTGTTCTTGTGTTGATTGATATGAAAGTATAGTACATGCTGTGCTGATATGAGGATGTTAATCACTGAAGTGCTATTATTCTACTCTGTACTGTTGATGTAACCATTTAACTTCACGTTTCATTTCGTCCCTATTTCCTTCAATCAATAGATTTCCTTCTAACACACACGACATGAAGTGCGGGTTTCGTAGGTGGTTTCATGGCCTACCATCAGAGAATAGAGTGTTTCGAGCCAACATATAATCATGAATTTATATGTGATGTGCAATGACGTCACAACAATTTTCGAACAATCCCCAATTTATGGTCTCAGACGACCAACATGGTTCACTATACACACCGAGTACAGGTGACCAAATCAGAACTCACGACTAACGTGGCGACCCCGGGTCACGAAAAGTCCCCAATACCTCATGCTTGTCGCAAGAGTTAACTGATATGGGCATCGGGCGGTCACGTGACTTGTCTGGTCGCGTCATCGTTGCTTGTTCTTTCAGTGACTGGTTACATGTCCAGACTGTATTTACAGGCCGCAATCTTAATCCATCCATAACTCACTCGCTAAGTTTGTTGGAACAATGATGATGTGTCTGGCGCTCCTGAAAATATCAACTTTGATGGTCACTCGATGAGATGAACACGTTACGTGACAAGACAGTTCTCTATATCACCATGCATGACACTACCCGGGACTCGAGGGAATGAAATGTCCCACGGCAAATATTGTACACTCGTTCACATTATCCTATCAGAACGACTGGGCAAGGAATGGTGTCTTACTACGGGCAGGGGGCAAGTTGTGCAGAAAGTGTGTGGGTGATAGTGTTACGAGAATGAGTGTATACAAAATGACCAAGTCATCACACTAAAGACCAAGGTTCCACACGGGGGTACACGATGCGAAACCCATCCCTGGTGTCCGTCGCTGTAATGGCTAGACTAATATTGAAAGCTAACATAAACCACAATATCACACGATCAACACATCACCCCATTGCCACATTGATCACCTCACATCCGACCAGCATGGTGGACTAGGGATTTTCTCTCTTAGGATTCACAGGGATCTTCGGAAATACAGATCTAAGTCACCAAGTATAAAGGTCGGCGATCTCGAAAATGGACATGAAAATATAAAAACAACGCATATATATATATTATAAGCAATGGGATGTCAGATGTTAGGTCTTCCGTGTTACCAGGACGAGGAAGTTTATAACGTTGCACCGACGATACTGTCAGTCTCCGGACTCCTGGGTTAACAACTTTAAGCTGAATACTGGAACTGGGAAGGACTTTCCCCAAACTGCTATTAAATGTTGTTTCCGATACATATTTCATAATGTCGGTATGTACTGATACGAGACCCACTTGGTCAAAAATGTCGAGTAACCGATGTCCTGTTAAAGCAGTGGATCTGGTTTCAGAGAAAATGACTGAGGAACCAATTTTCGGTCCACTTGGTTTATGGTGTTAAACGACTAGCGATATTTCAGGATTTCGCCGTAAATGGCATACCGATAGGACTCCCTTGTGTGTGTGTGTGTGTGTGTGTGTGTGTGTGACATGGCGGATTATTTGGAGAAAAGCTTTGTTATGGTTACCATAGAATTTGATGGTCATATGATTGTTTTCAGTTACCTGCCCCCCTGTCAATCAGAAACCCCTTGGCGTTATTAATTGTTTAACATTTAAAAACAACGATAGCGCATGTATGATTATTGCAATCACAACGTACATAGACAAACATACACAATAAGACGGTCGCATCATAGTCTGTACGCCACGATTACACCATGAATATAGCTCTAAAGGAATATTGGTACAAACTAGTTTTGTTTGTTTATTTATTGATTTATTTCACAGTGCCCCTATTACATTTATGGAGTAAATACCCAGGGTAGTTTCGAGTGTTGATTCTTGAATATTGATAAATTACTTAGATCATTCACATAAACACTATTGATAATTAACTATAGTAGTGTGTGAGTGTATGTGCGTGTGTCTGACTCAGTATCAAAACAGTTATCACACGGTAAAACTGTCTGCTATTGACAACCAAGTGCAGTAATTCGAATTCGAAAGAAGGTCAAACGGTCTGGCGCCAATTTCCAGCCTTGCTCTAGACGAATAAGTGCCGTGTGTTAAATTGAGACATTATCTCTGTTTAATTGGCGTCCAGTTGTAACTAGTTAATAATGAACTGTCTGATTGAAATACAATGTAAAATGTGAATTAGGAAACAAATGGGTTGATAAATACGACGTCCAACTCACCTCCTATACAAATATTTTTGTTAAGAAGACATGTCTCATAGGATCAACGGTGTATGTCATTCGTTATTTCCTTATTGACAATGAAGTTGTATAAAACAAAACGTTTCACTTTCAATATACGACATGGTGTAAACGTTGCAGTATAGAACAAGATGCTGTTGAAATGAAGACGAAGAACGTGTATATTCCATCTTTTCAGTCTTACACATCACCAATAGTAACTGATTACATTGTCAAAAATAGACATACTGTTATTATATTCTCTTTGTTGTTTTTAAATCTGACTTTGTATGAGGTCGATATGGCTTTCAATTTCTGTCGAAGGACATTAAAAACCTAAAGCCTAAGATATTCTCCGTCAGACGATAAGCATAAACGATCGGCGTTCTCATCGATATATTATAATGTCAATCACTGGCAGTTTTTTCTATATATTTAGTATAGTGTATAACGTGCATCATCCAACATACATACGTCTTGTTTAATAACTGCCGATCAATGCGATTTCTGCACACTGACGTTTATTGCGGGATAAGTGGTCTCAGAACACCCGAGGGACATTTGGACAAGCCTAACTCCGTTTAGTCAGAAATATTTCCCTTCGTAAAGAGATAGCGTATGTGCTAAATAAAGAAATTAAATCATCTTTGCACATGGTTTAGGCACCTAACTTTTGGACGGGGCGGCGTAAAGGTCCAAAGTTCAAATTCTCTATTTGTTAAACCCTGCACGGGTGACAGAGTATGTTTCTTTCTACACCTACAATAATGGGAAGAAAGGATCGGCATGGGTTTAAAAATGTGACCATGACGAAACTCGAACCTGTTTTTACTGGTTTGAACATATTTATACACAAGGAGTGAACGGGATTGGGGAACAGGCTCGTCCAACTTAGATCGCCCTCTCCCTGGAATTTACAATCTTCACAATTCCACTGTGATGGAAGTACACTTGACTGACATGCATATTGAACAGTAATCACAATACTTCGCTTAGAGAATGTACATTTTTCTTTAGTAATTTATGGCTTAGTCCGGGGCTTTGTTTATACTCGACAATCGTCTTATGTGTTCAGTTTCGTTTGGGGATAGTACTGTTGTATGTTGTATATCTGTCTCTGTACGAAATGAAACGCCTCCGTGGTCTAGTGCATAGCAGATAGGTGATATTGTTGTTACCCTGCCTGGCACTCGGCATTAAGGGGATAAAACATGGACTGGTCGGCTCGGAGTCGGTATACTGTGTCTGAGTGGGGTATCCATGTTAACCTACCTGCAGGGTGGTATTTCAGTGGGCAGCACTATAAAACCGACAGTAGTCGTCCGGACTAGAACAAGCAAGCACACACAACACACACACGCACGCACGCACACACACACACACACACACGCGTCGCTATATAAGTACAACAATCTCGAACGCGACGTTTAAACCCCAGCTCACCTGACCTGCACGAAATGTGAAATCGGGCATTGTTCTTGTATCTTGAACATCAAATTACAGAGTGAACATATGTTATTTCTCTGCCTTTTCTGTATCAGTAAAAACTGTTGAGCGTTCGTCCGTATCGTACTGTGCGGATATGCTGTTAGAGCCAGTGGTGGGGGGTGGGGTGTGGGGAGGGGGTGTGTGTTATTGGTTCTGATACTTGTGTGTTGCCAGTAGAAGAACGTGTAGAACACCTGCTAGGGTCTCGTCTCGGAGTGGATAGGTTCTGCTCGTTGTATCGTAGGAAAAGAGAACACTGAATAAACATATTTGTAGAACACAGGTTTTAAAGTACTTTAGTTTATTTCATAGTACATCGAGAAAATCGATAATGCGCCGGTCATTATTATGTGGTGGTGGTGGTTGGCCGATCATGATCGGTCCCTAAAAGATCGTAAATGATTGATACATATGTTGTATACATAGTCATTGTTAAGACAGTGCATACACTAAATGCCATTTCACGAATATGATCAACAACACGGGGAGGAAAGGTGTAATAAATTTTCACATTTCGTATGAATCATCAGCTGATCAGGAATCGTGTTTTCCTCACCTACGAATTGCCGCGCCTTCATCAGAGATCGGAGATCGTGTGTTGTTTGAAGTTATCACGGCCACAGTGGACGTCAAATCACTCCAGTCACCACGATGGAACGAACTTCTTACAGTGGAATGTAACAATACAAACGAAACCTGTTCGTAGTACATACATCCGTTGGAGAAAACTCACCAAACCGTGTCGATGAACGATGTTTACTTCCTCTTTCCTAATATGGAAGTTGGTGACGTAGAAGGGTTCCCCGTTCTATTTTAAGACAGTCACAGTTGACAGGGAAGTGAATCATAATCTACACAAGATGGCGGATAAATATAGACAGGCGCTGGGTCAGATTATCAGAGAGCCGGGTAATGGAGTTTGTGCAGATTGTGGAACAGAACGTAAGATATCAAGTATAATTTGTGTTTGGTCTGTAAAAGTAGCAGGTGCGTGATTGTCGTCGTCAGACGACATATCGACTCCCCGGGCCGTACAACATGGGGAGTATCATGCGGAAGAACAACAAGCCAGTTAGGTTTGACACCACGCAGCATAGAGCAGTATAATCGATTATTCTCGTTTTCCTAGGTTCGGTACAAAAAGGAGTTTAGATCGGAAATTAGGAGTGTTTTTGTATTAAGCTATGTTGTCGGTTGACATTTGTACATTCAGGAGATAATGACATAATACCTGTTAGCCAATGAAATATGTGATGTATGTTTGAGTCGAGAGTGAGACGGTAGGTCCAGTCAGTTACCACTGGTATCATTGTTACCATTGTTGTCAAGTTGTTATCATAATGGGAGACAAGTGGTAAGAGTAATTATCTGGTACACCAACACAACCACAAACCTTATAGGGATACGACGGTGTTGGTTATGTTTCTTTGGGCTGTAGGTGAACGCACCTATAACCAAAGTAGTTCGTAGCCATGGAGAATTCGTAGACATTCCCAGCTCGTAGACAAAAAATAAATAAATGGGAAATAGACATGAAAATTAATTTATTACAGATATCAGCTATCTTTTATTTTGATACGGAAGCTATAATCTTGTATCAAAACTTATGCTAATCCCCTACTCCGCTCACCCCCTACTCCGCTCACCCCCTACTCCACTCACCCCTACTCCGCTCACCCCCTACTCCACTCACCCCTACTCCGCTCACCCCCTACTCCGCTCACCCCCTACTCCACTCACCCCTACTCCGCTCACCCCCTACTCCGCTCACCACTTAGGCCTACTGAATGAACCTTGTCCTTCTTACCTTGGATATGGGTCTACTAAACGGGTTATTTATTTAAAATAGTATTTTCAAAGGATCCTGGGAAAGAAATACTGATACTTACCATATTTTTTGTTTTAATTTTTATTCATGAAAGAACTGGGGCGGCTGGGTGTCCTAGTGATTAAAGCGTTCACTCATCACTCCAATTCCCGACATGGGTACAATGTGTGAAGCCTATTTCTGGTGTCTCCTGCCATGATATTGCTGGAATACTGCTAAAAGTAGCGTAAAATCAAACTCACTCACTCATAAAAGTGACTGCAAAAGAAAACAATCAGAAACATGAACAACATAGCAACCGATGAAAATGTGTCTTTCACTTAGGAAATGACCCGACCAATCATATGCATTCTTGTACAAAAATCTGTTGTTGAGGTAAATGAATGACACATCAATATTCCGCTAAGGTGAGGTGGAAAATGGGATTTAACATTGCATTCAAGATTGTTGCACTTACAATGCAACGTGCATGCACGTGTGTGTGGCTGCTTGTACTAGCCTGGACTTATGCCATTTTTATGGTGTCAGCCCACTGAGATACCATGTCACAGTTTAACAGGAATACATCACTCAGACACAGTATGCTGACTCCGAGCAGACCAGTCCTTGTTTTAGCCCTTTCATGCGGAGGGCCAGGCAGGGTAACAACAAATACCATCTTTTAACGTCTTTTGGTATGACGCGGACGGGGATCGAACCCCGACCTTCCTCTCCCCGGGCGGACGCTCTACCACTAAACCACGGAGGCGGTCCTGCTAAGTATTAATAATATTGATAGTACAGGTAAAAAGAAATGTTTCTACGAATTCACTGTAAGGTTATGTCTAAGAGTTGGCCTTGTCTATGAATTCACCGCATTCCGTGTCATTGTACTCTAATGGCTTGATGAAAAATCATGGCCATTAAGTAGTGGTGCTCTGCTGTTTTTTGTTTGTCTGTTTCAGTGACTATTATTATTTTACAGGCCATATTAGTTTTTGCTGATTGGGATATAAATTTTGAAACAACATTGACAAACTCCCAGTGTATCAACTGACTGTGACACTGACCATACCGTGTCATTACATTTTGCAGTTTCAACTTCTCTGAAACAATATGGCCATTGGTGAGGTGAGGTGAAATGGGGTTTAACGTCGCATCCAAGATTATTGCACTTATATAGCGACGTGTGTGTGTGTGTGTGTGTGGCTGCTTGTACTAGTCCGGACTGATGCCAATTTATAGTGCTAGTGCTAGTTTAACATGAATACCCCACTCAGACACAGTATACTGACTCCGAGCCGACCAGTCCTTGTTTTAGCCCCTTAATGCCGAGCGCTAGACAGGGTAACAACAAGTACCATCTTTTAACGTCTTTTGGTATGACGCGGCCGGGGATCGAACTCCGGGCGGACACTCTACCACTAGACCACGGAGGCGGTCATATGGCCTTTGGAGATGAAACCATGGCAGCCATATTGGAGACATCATATTTGGCCATAATTCGTACATTTCTGAATGCATCATTATGAAATGTTATATGCAGCAAATATGTGGTCTTCGTTATAAAATATAATATGTGTTTTGACATAATTGATTTTTCGTCCAGTCACTACCTTTGGATTTTACAAACCACCATTTTGCTAGTGTAACTGAATTTTCTGAATTCCGTTCTGATTCTAGAAAACAATCAGAAACTTGTTAAAACCTATTTATCAGTATTTCTTTATCAAAATGTATTGAAAGTTGTTTTTGGTGTAGTTAGTAGAGAGGCCTACCACAAATGTTCTATGGTTGAATTTCAACCTTTATCACACAATGTTTGGTGTCACCAAACTGAAAATGCTGTCATGATCAATAAAAGGTGTGGGCAAAATTTGAAAACCAATATGTTAAAGCCTGCCACCATGTGTCATTTATTATCTGTATACATTGTGGAGCCATGGCAAAAAGTAGTTTTTTGCATATGGTTGCCAAGGACATGATGGAAAACTTTACTGTGTCTAGAAATGGTTCAAGCAACATTGGGAGAGGTTGTCAGTAATGTGGCAATGTTTCATCATGCCAAACATTTTGATAAAGGAGAACATAGCAAAATAAGTATGCAGACCAAAACTGTCCACAGTTCGCAAGCCAGTGTTTTGCCTATTGCCTATTCGTCGGCTACCTTTTGGCTATTCAAAGCCAAAACAGCCATTGCTTTGGCTGTGGAGGGAAGGGCTAGGGACATACAGAACTTCAAGAGGGTCTCTTTCTTGTGACAGACTAGTTAACACGCACCTGGCCTTGTGACCTCCAGTTACCTCTGGCACTAAAGACCTTTACACTTTCAACATGCTCTTAAATGTCTTTTCTCTGATACTGATGAAGTTGAAATTTGGATTGCATGTTCTCTGACCTTCAAATAGTGTGATTATATTGCAATTTGTTAAACAGAAGATTACAAAATCAATTTTTACTTAAGAAGAAATGTCTTGTTCTTATAAACTTTGTGTGAATGTCACAACCATACAAAGGTCCAAGTTAGTTCAAAGCATCACTATTTAAACTGGGGGGGGGGGGGGGGGGGGGGGGGGCAAGGCTTCACACATTGTTTCAATGGGGGCAATCATACCCAGGTTTTCTTAACACAGAGTCATCACTTTTACAGAAATTAATACCCTGCTGCCCCAGGTGAACCGAAATCCTAGATGTAATGGACATGGTGCAATGGATGCAATTTGCACCACGCATATTTCCATCATAACATGCTGCAGGACTTTTCTAATGATTCAAATGTCATGCATATATATCTTTCAACAAAGTTAAAGTCAACTGATGATATTGTGTAATACATGTACCAAGACTTGTGGAAAGTACTTGATTCTGATTCAATGACTGCATCATTGCAGGAGTTAATCCCCTTTTGAGAGCCCTTCTTTCTCAGTCATTGTCAGCATGTGTTGTGCAACATTAGGGGCAGAAAACATGATAGAAATCAAATAAGATAGTTTGTGACAATCTGTAGACATCAGCATGATCAGAGATGTTTGTCATTTGGCGATTCTTTATTCCTGACTGTACCCAAATTCAATTTAGAGTCATCAAATCTTCAGGTACCCAGGCTCAATGATGAAAATACAGAATGTTTATCTCCTGCATGAATATAGCATTATGTAGATTCCGATTTGACATTTGTTCATTTCTAACTCGGTTTACTAATTGTAAGTGACTAACCCAAATTTCAAAAATGTGAAATAGAATCAGAATTTGGAGGGTTTTTTTTCTCACTTAATCTATGAACTGACTTCAGCAATGAAGAACGCTGTGAAGTAGCCCAATGGATATAAACATATTTATTTCCATAAACATGATAAAGTGGAGGGATTGGCAAACAAGCAAATTTTGCTTATCTGAATGCCTCTCCCAAACATGATACATATACAAATAGCAATGTATTGATAGTGACATGAGAAATAGCATACATTGTATAATTGACATTAAAGATAAGTATTGTTCTGTAAGTGTTTAATTACTGGATTATCTTCCATAACTACAGTTACGTTATTATTTACATTCAGCACAACAACATTGCAGTATCATATAGCAAAGCCAACATCTCAGACAAAATCTCTAAATTGGCAAGAAGATAGAATAAAACTGTGCACCGATTTCAAAATTTGTTAGTGTCGTTAAATTTGAATTACCATTTAGAATTGAATTTAAATCGTAGCCTTTTACGAAATAATACATGTTTTGCCTTACTGTACTGTTTAAGGGACACATAAGAAAGAAATGAAGTGCATCTTCCGTATGATAGCCACAACAACATCTCGGGCTGTCGGATATAAATCTGGCAAATTTGTCGGCGTTTAGATCACTGCAGCCAAGCCTGAGATGGGAGTGTATAACCTGACAGAATCTTGATCCATAATTTGTATCAAAGTATATACCAGTCCTATCATTGCTTTTAAAACTTCCTAAGCTACTGGCATTGGTGTATTCAATAGGTAGTGAGTTCCAAATATTAACTGTATCTGGAAAAAATGATTTGGCATAATTTTTTTTATTTACACTTTGGGGTTTGCACCTGAGAGCAGTTTCTCAAATTATAATCACTTGCATCCGACACTCTATTTGGAACTAAGGATGAGAGATAGTCTGGTACTAGATTGTTAACCATTTTATAAAAAATATTTAACTTTTGAAAATGCCTTCTTTCTTCTAATGACGTAAGATTTGTTTCTTTATAAAGTTTACCGTGACTTGTGCCACGAACAGCCCTACAAATAGTTCTGAGTGCATCTAGATTTAGTTTTTCAAGTAGTAACGCATGTTCTTTTGTGCAGTTGTCCCATATTTGGCAACAATAATCAAATATCGGTAATATGAAAGATTTATACATAGTTTCCAGTGTTTTTCTATTTAAACGATACTTGAAACTCCTCAGACAGTTAATCATTGGACTGACTTTCTTGACTAGGCCAATAGACATGAGAGGAACTAACCCTTTGACTTTTCACTCTTGATAACATTTGAACTTTGATTTCATTAGCTATATATAGGTCAAGTGAGTTTATGTCGAGGATTGCTTGTCTTTCATCCATAGTGCATCGTGCACCGTTATGGCAGCCATATCATGTGTTGAAAAACCTATTTATGATTTTATGCCTCACCAAGCTATTTTTTAAAAATGTAATGAAATTTGGTGTATGTGTGGCAGGACTCTTAATTAAGATATAGAGATGAATGCTGGCAGTGTTGTCTCTCCCGACATGCCCCTGACTGTTCAGTATAAAAATCCATGGTAAATAGTTGTCATGTTTGTCTCACCATCTTATTCACTGACATGATGGTTTAGGTTTCGTTCATGCCTGTTATCGATCGTCTTGCGTTAGATTTTTACAAATTCTATGTTTAGTTGATTTATGTTTGTTTGTTGTTCATTGACATCATGAGCATTGATCCTCGCATCTGGGATACAATGACATGCATCAACCAAGTCTGTGAGCATGACCACCCAATCCCGTTAGTTGCCTCTTACATCAAACATAGTTGCCTTTTAGTTTTATGCCCTTTATTCTGGACAATTACCAGTTTATTCTGGACAATTACCAGTTTATTCTGGACAATTACAAGTTTATTCTGCACAGTTACCAGTTTATTCTACGCAGTTACAAGTTAATTCTGCACAGTGACAAGTTTATTCTGCACAGTTACCAGTTTATTCTGCACAGTTACATGTTTATTCTGCACAGTTACCAGTTTATTCTGCTCAGTTACAAGTTTATTCTGCACAGTTACCAGTTTATTCTGCACAGTTACAAGTTTATTCTGCACAGTTACAAGTTTATTCTGCACAGTTACCAGTTTATTCTACGCAGTTACAAGTTTATTCTGCACAGTTACCAGTTTATTCTGCACAGTTACAATTTAATTCTGTTTTTATTAGAAGTTTATTGTGGACAATTACAAGTTTATTCTGGACAGTTACAAGTATATTCTGGACAGTTACAAGTGTATTCTGCACAGTTACAAGTGTATTCTGGTCAGTTACATGTTCAAAGCGGCACTACCTGAACTCACTCACTGACCATGCTGAGTTACAGTTTAAATTATACTCACCACCAAAAGAAATGCCACACATGTTGGTTAATATATGAAGACTTCTCATATTCTCATAAAGATTGGTTCAATGCACTAAGGAACATGCTGATGTTGTTTGAACCGATGGCTGACATGTTGTGTGAACCGATTATCATGAACGAATCACATGTGGCGTCATAGATTCATGACCTGAGATGCACCATTCGTCTTGTGCAGGACTAGCATGTCAAATTTGGAAAGTATGTGCAGCATATCGTGATAAGAATAAAGACACTCTGTTGACCATGTGTCTGTGGTGACACTTGACTGATTTGGTAGTATTGTCAATAATTGGTACACATTGGAAACATTTCTTCTTAACGTACCGGTACATACTTCTCTATTTGTTTCTATAGTTTGCGTTTCTTTTGGTGGCGAGTATATGTATGTATATCATGATTGTGTTGTGACTTCAGGGACATGCTTGACTTCTCAAGTATGCTGTGTCCCTGTCTGTATCATATGACCTCTTTTTCCTGAAACACTTAGATACTACTTGTAAAATACACAGGGAATGAGAGTACCGCATTCCTTTGGTACGTTAAAAATCTGCTACTTAAGCTAAAACAAGCATATGACTTATTTGGTACAAAACAATTGGAAAAACATCAAGACTATTGAGTATAAGAGAATTCTAGGACACTTTCACATCAGGTTATCTTACCTAAATAAAGTTCATATTCATAAAGTTTTGTAAAGTATCAGAAGTTTTATGTTCGATAGTTGATAAATATTTCTTTTAGAGATATGACTCTGTGACTTAGTCAGTAGGCTTGCTGAATAATGAGCTTGATTGTGTGAAGATATGTGGCGGCAGTGACAACTTGCTAAGTTCTTTCCATTTCCCCTCTCTGGCGGTTTTGATAGTGTGAGTGAATGTTGTTTTGTGTCAGCCATATTACTTAGTTATATATGTCATGTTGGCCTGTAAAAAAGCAACTTTGGACCAGACCAACCAGTGGTTGATAGCAAGAGCAATGCTCCATACCGTCCAGGGGTGATGATGCATAGCTTGCGTTGTAACACCAAGTGATCTTAGTGCAAAGATGGTCGTAACTTCAATACTTTCACTCAGACTTATAGCAGTCATTAGGCTAAGATCTCTTTGTGGAACAGCACCCAGGTCACACATTGTTATCATAGACTGCCCTCTACAGAACAGGGATCTTGGATAGAAGAAACAAGCTTATGTTAATCCACTAGAAGTATCTGCTGGAAACTGGAACTAGATTAAATAATATTTCTCTGTTTTGAGTTTCACAAGTGTAAGGTCGTGATCCAAAGACACTGAAAGGTGTTATTACCCTTACGTTGCTAATTTGAAATTAAGGATTGACTGGACCAGTGTGCAACTTTAGCCACTATTTCAAAGGTGTAAGCACAGCTAAACATAGTCCTTATGGTAACACTATGCTGTACAGAACATGATGCTAGGAGCCACGTTGGAACTAATGGAAGGACACCTTGTTGTCAGTCTTTCATGTCCACACAACTTACAACTATAGGATGCTTCAGATATGTCTACAATGAAGATGATACGGAGTGCCACATATTTCTTTCTCTGAGACCGATAGGCCAGAATACATTGAACCTACTATACTGTGCACACAGTTTGTTAGTGGTTACATTGTTATGGATTCATCTCTTTCATAATGTTATCTTTTGAGTAGAACATGTTGTGTTTAGCAGAAATAAGAAAAGGTTTGTATTTATTATTTATTTTGTCTCTTTTTCAAATATTTGCGTTGGTAGATCTGCTAATGACACTGAAGTGTAAGGCAAGATTGGTTTGTTGCTTAATGCCGCACTCAGCAATATTCCAGTCAATCGACGGAGGTCTGTAAATACTCGAATCTGGTCCAGACAATCCAGTGATCAATATCATTAGCATCAATCTACACAATTGGGACCGACGACTTACATCAACCAAGTCAGCGAGCCTGACCACCCGACCCAGTTAGTCACCTCTTACGACATGTTAGGCAAGATAATAGCATGGTAGTTGAAGGTCATGTCTATGAAGCAAGTGTGGAATAAGTTTAGACTTGTTTACCATATTCGGTATAATAAGTGCCCTAGGCGCTTAGAAAATTGACATGGGGAGTGCTTAATTAAAAAGTATGCAAGTCAAATTTTTGTCAGAGATCAAGCCGTAGAGAAAGAATTAGTTCAAACATCAATGAAACTAAAACTTTTTCAGTGATGGTTACCATTTACTTACCGTGTGCACCATGTTCTACACTACAGTGTTTACTGTAAAAAGATCTGTAATATGCACAAGAAAGTAACAATTGTCATGTCAATTTTCGGGCTTCATATGGGGGAAGTCATAAAGATTACATACAGATTGGTGTGGTAGTTGTAATGGGCTTATTGGAGTGGACGGTTAAAACGGCAAATACAGTAATAGCTTTCAACTGAATGTTAGTGATGAATGAATCTGAAATTGGGCTTGGAACTAGAACTCTGATATTGGCTGGCATGTATGTTCTATAGTATTCAGTTGAGAACAACCAAACAGTTGTAGTTAACGTAGGATTTCTTGCACATGCCTGATGCATTCTGGCTGTTGCAGATCCGTCATGGGCATCATCCACAATCGGGATCTTCCTGTGTCAGGACTGTGCTGGGATGCACCGGGCACTCAACAGCATCAGCCGAGTCAAGTCCGTCACCCTCGACAACTGGGACTCTGACCAAGTGGAGGTGTCTATTTCCCTATGTCATCAACACTAATGTCACTAATCACGTTGTTTAAACAGCCTGAAGTAAAGTGGGGGAGATAGTGTTGTTTCCTCTTTCAAGTCTCACATTGTTAATTCAGCATTCATGTGTAGCATTGTACACTTGCTTGTAAATTTGAAGTCGCCTTCCTCTTCAGTCATTCAGTCATGGCACAGTTTGTGTTGTTGAACTTAGGGCTTTGTTTTAATTTCCTGTGACATGATTATGATTTATACAACTTGAATGCAAAGAGATGATTGAGGCATGCACACAGCTATTACCAGTAGTATACCCTTGCATTACTGTGAAAACAGGGAATTAAGACATATTGAGGGTTCATCCTGGTATATCCTTAAAGTTGGTAGTAATTCACCAATTGAACTGATTTATTTTCAAACATCTGCTACAAAATGTGATGATACTTTGTGTGCCACTTTTGTGAAGCAAGTACAAGCATTGACATTATTAATGTCAAATAGTGTTATATCATCTGTATTCAGTGATGTGATATGTCTTCAGCTGATGCAGGGGATTGGCAACAGCAGGGCTAAGGAGAGGTATGAAATGAACGTTCCTCCGTTCTACAGACGGCCACAGAAGGAGAGTGTGGAGTAAGTACCTCCAGTACACAGACATGAATACATGACACTACTTTATGGGTAACAACTTCTTGTAGTCTTTGTAATCCATTTGCAAAATTGATGTGAGCAGATTTGTTAGATTTTTGTCTTTTTCCTTGATGGCTGACAAGATGAAATAATGTAGAATAGGATAGGCCCCTGCTGATTCCCATGTGTTAGTCACATGACACCATCCAAGATGGCTGCTGACAGATGTCATACATGTCTTGATTTGCAGTTGCCTCTGTGCATGCTGTGTGGTATATGTGTATTTAGGGTTTGATTATTGAACATGTTGAAGAGCAAACAGAGAGAACAGAATTGATGGTAGGCTGGTCATGTCAACGTGAGTTACCATAGAATTCATCATTTTGCCATCTGTTATTAATATAACATTTTTTTACTTTCAGAGTGTTGAAGAAGGAATGGATATTTGCCAAATACCAGCGCCTGGAATTCACAGATGCAGACAAGCAGGACGCTTACAATTGTGCAAAGAAAGAAGGACTCTTGTTAAAACTTGGTCGTGATAGAAAACTCTTCCAACAAAGGAAATTTGTTCTTTCAAGACCAGAAAACAAACTTCAGTATTTTGTGATAGAAGACTCCAGCAAAGTGAGTGTATATCTCCTGCATGTAGCTGTATTGGCCTTCCACAGGCATGGCAGTCAAAGCTCCCGAACATCTTTCACTCAGTTTGTTAATGCCGAATAGTTGAGTCCAGACCAGACAAACATGTGGATGATATTATGAACAACGTCCATCACCATCGGGGTAAGATGACCGACACTTCAACCGCACAACAAACATAGGTTACTGGTTACTGGGCACCTATTATAACAGTTTTGTCGAAATAGAGGCTAAAGTATAAGGGCTAATAATAAATAGCTGGATGATCTTTGGTTTTTCAGCACCATACCTGTGAAGATCCGGGTTAGAATAGGTCTTCAGCAACCTATGCTTGTGGTAAGAGGCAACTATGCTTGTTGTAAGAGGTGACTAAAAGAATCAGGTGGTCAGGCTCAGTGACTTGGTTGATGCATGTCATCGTATTCCAATTGCATGGATCGATGCTCATGATGTCAATCACTGTATTGTCTGGTCCAGACTCGACTATTTACAGACCACTGTCATATAGCTGGGATATTGCTGAGTGCGGCATTAAACAACAAACAAACAAATAAACAAACCCATGTACTACCTGCATGACTTCGGCTTACCTTGATATAACTGAAATACTGGACAAAACCTACGAGCACAGAACAATCTTAGCGCTACAAATATTATAAATCTTCAAGATTGGGATCATAGGCTTCAGTATCCACTTGCACAAAGGGGTTGTAGAGAAAGATCATTGTAAGATATAACTGAAACTTGAAATTGGTCGGTGATTCAAATCGACTCTTCAACAACACCAAGAAACAATCACAGATATCACGTCAGAAATATCGTTAATGACGATAGTGAACCGCATAACCATAGTCGATAGCAAAAAGTACATTTCCCAGTCGACTCAATGCTGATACAAGTGTGAAACATACCTTTATTAAGGGAAGGATGAAAACGTAAGGCGCCTGCAAGCTATGTAGTAATTGCCATGACCTTTTGAATAACTCAAGGGCAGCTAATCTTAGTTCATATTCTAGATGGGAGTGGTTTCCCTTTCATGTTATATTATACAAAAATATTATTGATGTATGTTTTAATTTTCATAATAATTATGTCACAAAATCTGGATCCCAATTTGTGGACATGTTTGTTCGTATTTCAATATTTTTCATAAAACATGGGTGGGGTATTTCCTTTGTCACTGTATGAAACTCTCACCTAAGCCATGACAGTAGCAGTGCAGGAAGAAATTATATGCCATCATCCTAGTAGTCGCTCCCTTCAAATAATTGGGACTTTTTTTTATAAATGTGCAAGGTGTGATAGAGTGAGGTACATGTTGTATATCGTAACCGGTTCCATTGTTGGTATGCACAGCAAGCTATGCACATTTGCAGACAACTGTAGACACGAGCTAAATTGAAGATAATCGCATCTCCTCCATTGAAGATTTTGATCTTAGCTAAGATTGCAATCTTTATTTCAAGTGGAATGATCCCTCATTCTCTGTATCTCTAGGGCTTTTCATAAAGCTACACTAACCCCTGGATCCATTTCCGTTGTTCTCCCAACCTCAAATTTCCAACCCTGAGGCAATTTCAAATAATAATTTTACTGAATAAATGTTGCGAAAAGCTGTGTTGTAGGTCCTATAATATCTATGTACATATTCGTTTGTACTGATATTTACACTATGAAATCTATGTTCGAAATCTGTAGGTTTATTGTTCCATAAATTGTGTTTAAAAGAAAACAGGTCTGCTACATCCATGACCTTACATTATGTGACAGAGGGCCTATCAGCCATCAGGTTTGTCCCAGCAAGGTGATTCAAGTCATTCACAGTGTTGGCTTATTTGAATTGTAAGAATCAAGCAGTTAATGACTACTCTATCGGTATATATCACATGGAGAACATTTAGATACTTGGCACTAGACTAGAAGACATAGAAATAGTGCCCAGATTGTGGAGTTACAGGTCATACCATCTTGAAATAAGTCTTGAGCTGATGTTGTTGTTGTTTTAGAAACCTAGACCCAAGGCAGAGATAGACCTAGATGAGGTCAACGCAGTGTTTGTACCTGAGAAGATCGGTCACCCCTATGGCATGCAGATCACCTTCTACAAGGATGGCTCAACCAGAAGCTTATTTGTACATTCAGAAAGCTCCAAAGTAAGTCCTCATCTACTGCTAGATACCATGAGTGATAGGAAGATACTATGGTATGTTCAGTGGTCAGACTACAGTGTCACATGTCCTTCAGACATTTAGTCATGCTGGAAGGAATAGGGATGTAGACACTTAAATAGACTCTTTGATTGCAGTTTTATCATAAAAATATTTAACTTTTAACTTTGACTCATTGGAAATCATCTTCCCGAGGCAAGGGAGTTAACTGACTATAAGAGTCCAGTTTGGATCCACCGTTGCCGAACAGGTCTGGAATTCCGGAGTTTTGGCTGGACAAATGAGTTGATTTGGTTTAAACATATTTTATTCACTAAAAGTGAATGGGATTGGGTACAAGTTCTCCAACTAAGGACACCTTCTCCCAATCGAGTCTATGCATAGCCAAATCAAAATCTGAACTAGACGTGCAGTTTGTAAACAACACGGATTTCAACTTCCAGATTGTGGCTGACTGCAGGATTTGCAAAGCATGTGTATCCTCAACTGGGCATCAACAGATTATTTGCAAATCTTGTCATGTTTTAAATCAAGGTGCTCAAGTGATCTGAAGCACTTCTCGGTGTAAGACCAGTGTTATTACAATATAGACCTTGATTATCGACCAGATCTTCTTGACTTGGCTCCACCATTTTGTTTGAAGCAAATGCAAGTGTTTTAAAGAGAGGTGAATCTGATTGGTCAGTGGAAGGACATGGAATAGACATCACTTGTAATTGCCATAATCATGATAATCCCAGCCTAGTTCAGCAAGGGAGGAAACTGGACTTTTTTAGTCAGTTCACTCCCTTGCCTCGGGATGATGGTGGGAAATGAGAATAAGAGCTGTATGACCACGGGGAAAAGGAACGAATGTAGATGACTGTATGGAGATTCATGACTCACTATATGAAACTCCAGAGGTTTTTAACTCAGAAAACGGTTTATGCTGGTGATCTGCTAATGAACTGATTACATGAATAAGTCCATTATCATATATTATCATCATTTCTGGTACTGATCTATTATTTTCAAATCAATGTCCCCTCCTTTAAACATGCTTGATATGTCAGGTTCTATGAGATGAGACATATTAATTATCACAAGGAGTGTGATCTTTTAAACATATACAACCAGATATGCCTCTTTAAGGCACAAAGTATATTGATGGAAACGTTGTTGTTGATACTAAGCCATGTATTTACAGGACATTGTTGACTGGTATCATGCTATCCGCGCAGCCAAGCTGGAACGCAGGAGGATAGCATTCCCAGACAGAGATCTCGACACAGTAAGTATCGGAGCATTTGTGGTTCCCTTTCATTGATAAATAAACTTGTATCTACTTGCTGGTTCTTTCACATGGAGGAAAGTGAGGATGTACATGAGAGTGAACCAAGAAACATGTGGCTTCAGCTAAAACATATTTTAACTCATTAACATTTCTAAATCAGTTGGATAGTATGTGTCTTAGGTCTTAGTCTGACTTTTATTTGGGGCTAGGTAAACTGAGCTTCAGCAGACCGTGTGTAAAATCTAAACATGTTTCCTGAGGATTTTGTGAGCAGATGAAAAACAATTTTGACCAATTGCATTTCAGGGATGTCTGTGACTGTCCTCATGTTGACTCATGTCATGTTGTCATGCAGGATAGTTAGGTGCTTGTGAAGTGCTAGTACAGCATCGTGGGGGGATGTTTGCCTATCAGCCTGTCTAATTGTAGGTAGCTCTAAATGTGAAATTTCGCTTACTGTGAGTCAATATAAAGTGCTGAGTCTTTGGGAAGGCATGACATGCATAGTGTGGTGGCGTATTCAGACAAATAAAGAGAAACGGATACCTTCATTTGCAGTTGTTCTCTTGACGGTGTACCTTTGTTAATGCTTTTCATTGAACTGGTAAATGTCCAGAACTTGAAATAAAGTACCTCTACCTTTGATATTAACACTTTGTCCTTAATCAGAAATCAGCAACACCAAGATTGAAGATTGAATAATTTCACTACTTTTCTAGCAAACTTAACTTCTCTCATTTAACATGTTATGTACCTTCCAGGAAATCAATAACATGAAATTCCAAGAGAGGCATATTCAAATTAGATGGGTCAGGTCAGGTCAGGGGAACCAACAATGATTGTATTTGTCAAGGCTGCAAGTGTTAGCACAGACTTAAGAAAGTATAAATTGAGTCAGGGTGGATTTAAGGAACTAGATTTTAATTTGCTCCAGGTGCATGTTGACATGAAAACCAAGTTGTACCAAACAAAACTAGCTTACAAGTTGAAACATAGGCTGGTCCGCTGCCAGTGTAGCTTTAATCAATAACGCATTGCTGTAAAACGTAATAGGAACATACAGCCACAGTTTGATGATACCATGCTCAGGAAAGTAGGAAATATTACACATAACGCTAGGATTAGTAGTGTGGATATAGAGCTTACAGGTATTGAGTGTGTTCAATGATCAATTTTGTCTGAACAATTAAGGGTTAGTCTGACACATATTTGAAATTTCTTTTACATTTACCTGATGCATGTAGACATGAATATTAGGTTGCAGTTTTTAATAATAGGTTGCATTGGTGCATGTTACGAGGGGCGTTCAATAAGTTTTGCAACTTCAATATAAGACCAAGTCGCAGAATATCTTTTGCACTTTTATTTTTCAATGTAATCTCCATTCACCTCAATACACTTATGTAGGGTGGGTGATTTAACTGTACAGCCCAAACTTAGCCCCCAGTGACTATTTCCTGATAAAGTTCTTCACTCTATTAATGTCACCATTAGACACCATTTTTGAGGGTTACAATATGTTAATGGTACTTTTTAAGGCAGTGTCTAGTCCAACATATGCTCACTCATCTATGAAATTGGATTCCTAGATTCATCTGACTTTTGCATTGATTGGCATACTATCCGACCTTGTTAGCATGAAGTCCTTGGTACCATAGAAAACATTTCCTGTTATTAGGGGTGACTATTGGTCTGGAAATCACTATGGTGATACCTATTGATATTGCAAGCAGCTATTGCGATAAATATCAATAGTTTTCAGTGTATCATTTTAGATGGTTCTAGAGTTGAATTAAACGTTGGAACTGAAGTTTCCTTTGAATGTGATAACCATAACAACAAATAAAATGTAAAGTTTGAGTACGACTGATTTGTTTTTTCTATACCCAAAGAATTGAAGAAAAAGAAACTTCCTCATTACCATGTGTAAATTACTGCCACTCATGATCAAAAGAAAAACAAACTTGAACAGCATTGCATATATTTTATTGATATGGTAAATACGATCAAAACTATCAATATTCCTAACTCAAATCAATACTATTGATCAGAAACTGATTTAACAATCGATTTATTGACTTTATATCGATATTTCGATTTATTGTGACACCCCTACCTGTTATCCTTCTGAGACACATGTAGTGTCAATAATTTACATCATATCTATGCATAATGCCTTTGAAATGACGATGAAGTGAAGCCATGATGTATAAAGTTTAATGACTTGTAGGTGGCCCTCTATATGCTGACTCATTTCATGTTTTTATGTGTTGGTACATATACTCTCAATCTTTTGTTCCCAGTTGGCAGAGGACTTGACACGTGACTTCATGTTAGAGGGATGGCTGTACAAGATGGGACCACGCAATGAACCTTTCAAGAGGCGGTGGTTCACACTAGACAAGCGCAAACTCATGTATTATGAAGACCCACTGGTAGGAGCATTTGGTTTGCTTAAATGTTCCTTTCTAAAATATTATTGCATTGGAAACTATATGCTGTACCATCATGAATACAGGTACATATCTAGCCTTCTGTACCACCATGAATACAGGTACATATCTAGCCTCCTGTACCACCATGAATACAGGTACATATCTAGCCTCCTGTACCACCATGAATACAGGTACATATCTAGCCTCCTGTACCACCATGAATACAGGTACATATTTAGCCTCCTGTACCACCATGAATACAGGTACATATCTAGCCTCCTGTACCACCATGAATACAGGTACATATCTAGCCTCCTGTACCACCATGAATACAGGTGCATATCTAGCCTCCTGTACCACCATGAATACAGGTACATATCTAGCCTTCTGTACCACCATGAATACAGGTACATATTTAGCCTCCTGTACCACCATGAATACAGGTACATATCTAGCCTCCTGTACCACCATGAATACAGGTACATTTCTAGTCTCTTGTACCACCATGAATACAGGTACATATCTAGCCTCCTGTACCACCATGAATACAGGTACATTTCTAGTCTCTTGTACCACCATGAATACAGGTACATATCTAGCCTCCTGTACCACCATGAATACAGGTACATATCTAGCCTGCTGTACCACCATGAATACAGGTACATATCTAGCCTCCTGTACCACCATGAATACAGGTACATATCTAGCCTTCTGTACCACCATGAATACAGGTACATATCTAGCCTCCTGTACCACCATGAATACAGGTACACATCTAGCCTCCTGTACCACCATGAATACAGGTACATATCTAGCCTCCTGTACCACCATGAATACAGGTACATATCTAGCCTCCTGTACCACCATGAATACAGGTACATATCTAGCCTCCTGTACCACCATGAATACAGGTACATATCTAGCCTCCTGTACCACCATGAATACAGGTACATATCTAGTCTTGTACCACCATGAATACAGGTACATATCTAGCCTTCTGTACCACCATGAACACAGGTACATTTAGCCTCTTGTACCACCATAAATACAGGTACATATCTAGCCTCCTGTACCACGAATACAGGTACATATCTAGCCTCCTGTACCATGCATACAACTGTGTCTAGCTTCCTGTGCCATCTTATATGTAGGCACATAAAATCTTGAAACCTCACTGGTGGAAAATAATGCATGTCTATAACATGGTAGTATGACATTTCTTGTTGCAGAATGCTTTTCCTAAAGGAGAGATTTTCATTGGTCATCGTGACGCAGGGTACCATGTGACTACTGGGACTACGGAGGACAAGCCAACAGGGGGCAGTCCATTCTGCTTCACACTACACACGCCAGACAGGAAGTTTGTGTTGAAGGCCGAGTCTAAAGAAGAGATGGACAAATGGGTTGACATGCTCAATAAAGTGATCGACATGCCCCTTACCCCCCAGGACAGTAAACGTAAGTAGTCATTGCTTCAGGACATCATGCAGAATTACACTTCAGCTTATACTGAAGGGACCGCCTCCGTGGTCTTGTGGTAGAACGTCCGCCCGGAGAGCGGAAGGTCCGGGGTTCGATCCACGACCGCGTCATACCAAAAGACGTTAAAAGATGGTACTTGTTGTTACCCTGTATGGCGCTCGGCATTAAGGGGCTAAATCAAGGACTGGTCGGCTCGGAGTCAGTATACTGTGTCTGAGTTGGGTATTCATGTTAAACTGCGGCATGGTATCTCAGTGAGCTAGCACTATAAATCGGCATCAGTCCGGACTAGTACAAGCAGCCACACAAACACACACACGTACCTGCACGTCGCTATATAAGTGCAAAAATCTTGGACGCGACGTTAAACCCAATTTCACCTCACCTCACCTTATACTGAAGGATTAGGATGTGGCTTGTCATGGACAGGGTACTTTCTCTGACTATGGATGTCATGCTGCATTATGAGTGAGTTGGGTTTAACACCACTTATTCAGTGTGTCAGCTTGATGTGGGAGGAAAGCCCAAAGTTATGCAGGTCTTAGATGTTTACCACTTTGGTGAAACCCACCCACTATGGTGTTGACAAACCTAGTAATATAATTGAGGCGAACTGGGGTTTGAACCCATGATCAAAAGTTTCAGGCGTGCCTTAGACGACTGGGCCATCTGAGCTCCCCAGGATTATGAATGTGTGTACTTGGTACATTACCTTTCAATAAGGGATTTATCAAACAGAATACTTAATTTCGTTGTCTGACACATTAATGGTAGGTTGAAGATAGATAACGGACCTGCCATTCAGTATGGCCTCGGGAAGAGAACTTTGCCACACCGGGATGTTTTTACAGTTGTGACCCTAACAAACTGCTATTCCATCTATTTCTTAGGATGTCATTGTGCCAAAGTAGTTTTCTATAAAAATTATCATGATCACTACACTTTCAATATTCTACCATAAAGTAACTGTCCATATTAACCTTCGGGCATTACAAGTATCCTTGGTGACAATATGTGTAAAGTTTACACGGCTATTGTTCTTTTCCAGTTGCTGCCATTCTTGTTCCAAAGAAGTCCAACTCCATTCGGCTTATTAAGCGGTAGAAGCCTGAGTTTTGTTACTATTTATCATCATATCGAAGTCAAGACATTGAGGTCAACAACCACTAATGTGTGGAGTGATCTCCCTTGACAGGTTGGGCAACATGGACAGCATGGTAACAAATAGGAGCAAATGTTGCCATGATAAACATGTCTGAAGTAAGAAATTGTGACCGTGATGGTGGTATTTTGATAAAGTGTCCAGAATTTGGGTGGCATATACAGAAGGAGATTACTTATTTACAGTTGGTGTGAAGAGGTGGTGGATGTGAGATGTGGATAAACAAAACTTACTATATTTATGCATTGTGTTATTGTGTAGATACATATAACAATTACTTGCTAATGTTGGAAATGCATGTTAAATGTCACAGTTAATTCTGTACATCTGAGGAGAGAGGCTTACAGGGTCTTGGCACATTCTTAGAATTTAGATGGCTATGGATTTGTAAGAACCATACTGTCTACATACAACATGTATTTTCCAGTATTTTGTTATGACTGTGTTATTTCACATTATCATGGTAGGCAATAACAAAGGTGATTTTCAGGTCACAAGGCTTTAACTCCATTTTTTCTCTGTAGGCAGAAAATATATTAAAACAAGGAGAGAAAACTGTTTGCTCCCCAATCAATCTGGACAACTAGTAACAAGTCCTGATGTTCACCAAAAGGAAACTAAAATTATTGATCACCCTGAATTGTTTACATTATTTAAGTGAACATATTTCTAAAATGATATGTCCTTACAGTGTAAAAATATAATCTGAAATCTGTGTGATTGGAATATGTCATTCTTGTATATATAAATTAATGTTTCTCCTGTATATATGTGAGTATTTGATGTAGTCATGAAGTTCTTGTATTGCCTGGTTTACAATGTCTGCTTAAGACCAATGCTACAGATAGAAATATGTCCTTCCTCGGAGTTAGAAATGAGACAAAACTTACTAATATTATACTTAGGTGGGTTTACTCAATAGAATTCATTAGCAAGTACATCACACCCAGTATCAGATACACCTTATACCATGTAGACTGTCAAGTGGCCAGTCTTTCAGTTTAATGTCACTAAATCACACTGGAATCAAAGATAACTTGATGACTATCTGAGTGAGGCACTATCAGAGGAACCTGTATAAAGGAAGTGTAATCACCGGGACAAATGTTTTGTAAATGTCTTGTTCATGTACTTTTCAAAACCAATGCAATGTGTTGTGTTTCCAAGATTTGCTATTCATAATTCCAATGGTGCCATATTTATTATCACATCTATATCCCTTTCAGTGTTTGTGACATTTTGACTCTTTGTACAATACTCAAGGGCCTAGCTTGAATGTTGAGCAGGAATAGCAAAGCCAAGGACAGCACAGATATGGTTCCATTTGCAGACCAATCCTGACGTGCTGAGTTTCCGTTAGGGTCAGTGTGGAGAGACCCAGAAGGGCTCCCAACAACATTGGAGGAAAAAACTGTCAGTATTTAAACATAGGTACTTTTCATTAAATATAAGTTGCTTTGCCACCACAGAGTTGATTAAATGGCCATAGGGAAGATTAACAAAACTACCTCCTTCGAACTCCTGGCTCCATCTTCCAACACATGATAACCACACTTCAGTTATTCAGACGTAACATTTTGCTGTAGTTGGACAGTCCGTATTCTAGACAGAGGAACAGTGTGGCACATCAGCCTGGATAACAATGCTGTCAGGAAATGTATGGGAAGTTGGTTGTTTTTCTCCAATGTTTGTGATGAAGATAGGCGGGTCAGGCTAGGTCCTTTGGCTGATGTTAGTACGGCAGTAGTGGTTGTGAGTTGATTGTTAATGTGTCTACCTTATTAACCTCCTTACATATCGGACCCTCCATACTGTGGTTCTCTAGTCTATTGGTAGACAGTATGAATATGACACAACATCAAATCCTAAAATTCTGACAGGCCATTGTTGTCTTATTTTAAAGATGAGCATGTCCTAAATGTGAACAGGTTTCTAAAGGTTCCTTTACCATGTTTACACACCAGTAAATGAATGTGGCACTTCAGGCCTGTCCTGTGTTGAGTACCGGCTACATTAATGAACATTGATAATTCTAGCAACTCGCCTGAATAAGACTACATATAGACTAACTGTCCCAATTAAGAGAAAGTCGTTCTGAAAGGTAACCTTTCATACATCGGGCAGCGGTGTGTACAGATGTAGGTTTATGTTGAGACAGGTTCCCTAAAATAATTAAAATGATTTTCGGTAGTGTCCTGTCATTTGCAGAGTTGCCATTTTTTAATTCAAATTTACAAATTACTCATTGCTGAAATCTTGAAGGTCCAGAGCACTGTTCTGTTGTGTGATGTTCTATTCTCAAACAACACATCACTTGATCTCTGCTCACAGACTTCAAGTGAATGGGGGAAATATTTCTTTCTGATCAGTTACTTTAGTGACCATGACTCATCTTGTGTTTGTGTCAGGCCAATCAGAGTTCTTGTTTCTTGGGCTTGGAGATAACCACAACTTTTACAAAAGTGTTTAGCTGACAATGTTCTTATTTCAAACATCTTTTTGTTATATTTTTAAAACCTAGTCCAAGAATGTTTGGAGACAATTAATCTTAAATCCACCCTGGAATTTCTGTAAACCAACACATCAAATTGTCTGACCATATTGTCATTTTATGATGTAGTTTACAATAATTTAATAATCATCATCAATCTTCTTCATTTTATTAACATTAGGAAAGTGCTTAATTTTGAAGTCACACAATTGTAACATGAATTAACATCAATGCAGATTTTCAAAATCACAAGAGACTATTAATGACCCATGTTATTTTTTTACCGTGATCCTATGAAGTTATGTACCAGTCAATACATCAACCAAGTATTACTTGCATTTACATAATTGTAAAATTACAAACATACATACCTCAATGTGCATATGCTAGAAGTGAGGCCAGTCACATTATTCAAGCTTTTATGTAAATATGTATTAAACATACTTCTCAAGGCAATTAACTACAAGGTAATTAAGTCAATGATATTTCATTGATATTTCATTCTGTTTGTAAGATGTTGTCTTACTGAGATACCTTTGCACTGAGGTTAAAGACAAATAACTTTGAAAAAGTAATCCTTATAACAGAGGTAGGTGCTCAGTGATATCCCAGACATGTTATCGTTGATTGTGTGACTTTGCACTAGAAATATAATTTCGGTTTTGGAAATGTTTAGTATGTGAGGTCTACATATAATGAAAGTTTAAGTGTTTAAAGGTCAGATTATTTGTATGAAAGACCTGCTTGGTGCCGTTTGTTGGGGCCTCAGTTCGTCAACTGTAATCTTCCTTCAAACTATGTAGTGGAATCAAAACCATGTGTTATGTTGTTTTTCCATTATTTGTTTTTTGTCATACATTCAATATATTTTACATTCCTACCTAAAAATTGTGCTTGATTGATCATGTTGACCACATTTCTGATGATTTTATGTATAGTTTTATTATTGGTACATGTTTTTTCTCCAGGGCTCTCATTTGGGTAAACTACACAAACTCTTGGATCCATTCCTGTGATTCTCATGATTGCAAATTACCCACCCCGGTCACATTTTATCAACCAATCAAACGTCAAGATAAGGAAACAGGTATAGGAGGTAACACATATTGCCTAGAAACCAAAGCCACCCCCGTTTAAATGGACTTGAAGAAACCTTTCTATCAAAAAGATTTTTGAGGGTCTTCATTTGCATGTCTGTCAGTTTTTCAATGTTGAATTTCTCGTAAAGTCTATTGTAATCAGTGGGCCTGGTCACCATGTTGATATCGCAAACCCAATATTTAGACTGGGTTGTAACTGCATTCTGATTGGTCCATTAGACTGAATAGCGTAGCAAATCAAAGGCGGGTAATTTGAGATTGCTAGAACCCAGGACTGGATCCAGGGGTTTAGTGCAGGTTTACCAGATATGCGAACCCTGGAGGTATAGGATTTTTTCTTTATTGTAATATTATTTTAGTCCTGCCATATCTATGGTAAATCTGAACAGTGCATGCTTTAAGTGATGTTGACAACCCACACCATAGGCAGGGAAACGGCAATATGAATAACTGTTTCTTTCAGATTGTGGATACATAGTTTAACATAATTGAAAATAAGAGTGGCAGTTGATAATATAGGCAATATGCACATTGAAGGACTCACTGAGTTTTTGATACTTTGATATCAGCATCTGTATGTAACTGTGTAATTGTTTTGAGTTGGATGTTGGATGTTGCATCAGCAATGTTTCAGCAGTACAGTGGCTGCTGATCAGATCCAGCTATTGTGTAAATTCATGGACACCTCTTATATTACATTATGAACATAAGAGAATGGTGTTCTTCCTACATTGAATACTGGCATATTTAGCCATTATCATTTAAAAGCAGTTAGGATTATTTCATAGACGAGCTATAAGACATAATGTCCACAATTTATGATAAGACCACACGTAATTACCATAATGACTTGAGATTTAAACTGTTTTTCATTTCTTATCAAGCTTTTTCAAGTTTATTTTACAATTGTTTTGAACAAATCTTCTGTTGGAATAAAATTGTAAAATCTTTTATAAGATATTCCTCGTTGTTTGAATGTCTGTCCCCTAGATAGTGCTACAGAGAAGTGTAAGTAACTAGGACAATAGGTTCCTTTACTTAGCCAATATTTTGAAATACTGACCACTGTTTGTACTTTTTACGCATGAGCATATAATTACAGTGTTGTTGTAAAATATTCACTTTGCCTATTCTTTATGTGATGACATCATCAGACCACCAAGATATGCTGTCACATCCCTGAACACTGAAGTGCTATGGTTAATTAGTTGTGTGTTTTGGTATTGAAGTGTATAGAATTGGGACACTATTTATTACCACAGATTTCATTTGGTTATTACCATTCACAGGTATCATGATTATGTTTGGTGAGTTTTTTATGACTGATTATTTGTTGCCATTTACAAATTACATTTTCCCACCAGCATAACTACAGTAAGGTCAGGGTCACAAGATACTGCTCTGCCATATCACAAAAATAATACTCTGACATAATATTTGTTGTCAGTGATAATCATGGGTATAGTGTGTGAATGAGTGAATAGTTTTCCTACATGTAGCAATACTGACAGGTAGAGTCAGCCCTGGATATTAAAGTCTGGTATAACAAGTCCGATATAACAAGTTGGCTATAACTAATATATTCATGCAAACTGTGCCTCCTTTTCTGAGCTATGTTGTCCCTGGCCCTGTATTTCTGATGCCTGGCCTATCAGGTTATGGGCTACTCGACCTATATGTGATGAATCCGAATCTGACTAAGGGCAGTGATGAACAGAGATGTGTCAGATGGACATTGTTAATGTCAGTTCGGAGTGACATTCAGGTGATGCACCTGGGTGTTAGTCAGATACCTTAGGAGAGCCAAAAGAGTAACACCCAACCATTGTTATTATTCATGGGAATTGCTGATGGCAAATAGTGTCCCCCACGTTGCCTCTTGAGTTGCTTATATCCAGAGTTGACTCCATATCCTGGTGGCTATGACCCCTTGGAGATTTAGGGCAGACTAGGTCCCCAGTACCCCCATGCTTGTTGTAGAGGCCAACTGATGAGGCTATACCGGTACTCACTCACCCCAATGTAACGTCAGGACTGGAGAAAGCAGGGGGGGTGGGGAGGGGATCAATAACGTTCACAGTAAGAACATTGTGGCCCTGAAAACAATGTACAGTCCATACTGTATATCCCTTAATTGAATAGACTGCTCTGCACGTGGCTCCCTACTCATCGCTGTGCATGGACCTGTTTTTACATATACTGAACAAAAGTTAGGGATCCAAAATATATTTATATGCAGAAATAATTTATTAAACAGAAACTCAGTTTTCATTACAAAACAGTATCCCCAAAAATATGGATGATCCCTAACTTTTTTGCTGGAGTATATTAGAGCGTGGGGTATAAACCACAAGACAAGACAAGATGCATTCCCCGGCCAGAGCGAGTGTTTGAGGATGAGCCTGTGCCTGCAACACTACAGTATGTATTAAGTTCAATGCCCTAACAAGGGATAGTTAAGACATAGTCTTGCCAGGGACCCCCATCCAAGCAGTATATATATATAGAACTGCCTTCCATTGTAACCGCCGACCCTAGTTGCTTTTCCAATATGCAGCCTCTGGGGACCTAGTATCGCCACTTGGAAAAGGAGAACAAGATAAGGTAAGGATGAGTTGGGTGAGACTGGATTAAATGTGTTGATTCAACAGGTGCTTTTTTTTATTGAATATTATGTGAAGATCCCCTGAACAATATCAATAGCTTTGCCTTTTGTTTCAGATTATTTAAAGTTTGTAATGCTTTGTAATCAATTCCTGCTAATAAGAAACACAATTTTTATGTGGACCATTTATACTTCACATACACCCCCTTCTTGTGAGTTGTGGGTATTCTACTTGAATATAACACTGTCATGACAGATAATGGGGTATTGTTATTTGAAATACCTTGGTTTTATTGACTTTGTATGTAAGGCTTTATGAACACATGCTTGACTTTGTGAGAAATACATTTTCAATATACAGGTTGTACATTTCTGATCTTTACAAACCTTGTATAATATCTTTTTGTAAATAAATCATACAACAACTGTTTGTGTATTGATGATTTTTTTCCTACGTTTGTGGAAAATAAATGAAGCTGATATGAGATAGCAAGTGAGTTTTGTTTAACAAAAACCTATCTAAAATAAGATCTTTGTAAATACAATCATATGTAATGTACCGAAACAATTTGGCTTAATATATTTTTTTACCTCGATTCAGAAATTCAGAACCCATACAGAAATATTTTGGCTGCCATGGTGTTAAGAAATGACAGGGTGAATTAAATATCATTTTCATTTGGAACAGGGTGATTAAGTTCGTTTTCGAGACACAGAATCAGATATGCTGGTCTGAATGCGTTGCTCGCACGTACTGAGAATTTGGAAGCTTGATGCTGATCGGAGGGTCTTCATGCAGAGATGAACTCTGCAGGAGGAAACAATCTGAGGTTGGCTTCAATGCTGCTTCAACAGTGTGTCACCTAAATGTAGGACGAAAGCCCACGGTGACAGGTCATTGCGTACTCCACATTGGTGCAACCCACCAGGATGGGCTGCAGCTGACAGACCAAGGTTCTGGAACTTAAAACCCCAAGTTTTACCGGACGCATCCTATATGCAGAGTAATTATGGATGGATTGAAATAACATCCACTGCGAGTCCCATTGGACGCAAAACATTATGGACGTTGGAATGATAAAACAATAACACGGACAGTCAAAGTCAGATTTTCTTTTCTGGGGCTTTTAGTTTAATATCAAACAAGGAAATCCATTTCTGAAAGAAGTGTAAGGCATCACACAGAGTTTGTGTTTTATGTACAGTGGTCACACAGCAGGGATACCTGGGTCCCCACAAGTTCCCGCGAGTCCCCAGGACTCCCACATATATAGACCAGGGTAAATCCCTCCACACCAAGACCCAGCTCATCCTAAGGGAAGCAACTGTGCACAGTAAAGTTGACGGTAACTTGGTCTGTCCAAACCTACTGGACCTGTCTATACTGTTGACTAGTAGTCATGCCATTTGCCCAAGAGTGATTAAGGCACTTGGTGGTGGAAGTCATAATTCAGTTCTTTGAGAAAGTACAAACCCTAAATAGAAGAATTCTTTTTTGTATAATGCAGGGTTTCTGATGCTGGGTTTACATGTCAAAAGGTCCCATCAATGATAAAAATAATGTTCACTTTTCATTAACTGCTATTAATTCATGTGAATCACATGGTTAGTCTTTAAAAAAAGTTGTTTTTTTACTTCAATGCTACTGAGTGCTAGTATGGTGCTAGACGTCCTAAAGTTTCAGCTTTGTCCATACATAATATTCCAACAAATCAATCTAATGGATGGTTTAACCTTTGACCAGTCTTGTTTGCTGTGAGCTAAAGTAGTGATGATAAGGAAGAATGTTCTATCAGGAATTAAAAAAATGGAAATGTCCTAATGACATTTTACTCCAAATCCGACATGATCAGCCTTTTCTTCTCAACATACTTCTTCAAAACACAACACACACATTCAGCATGGAAGGCTGCAGGAAGGGCAGTCTGTCAGGGGTACAACGGAGCCATCTGTCATGACAGTCTGCACACACAGCTCACTATCATGGCTGCGGCTGAGGGAGAGGACACAACTGGGGGGGAGACTCTGCCCCACCAGTACAGTGTCCGCTGCCATCTGGTACACATTGTAATACTGCACATGGTAGCTGCACCCAGCATCCTGCCACTGTAAGCTGTAGGAGTGATCTCCCCCTGAATCATCTTCCTCTTGGTTGAGATGTGAGCATGTAAGTTTTTGTACACCCGATGAAGGATTTGATGGAGGCTTAGTGAGAATCTGAAATAAACCTTTGAGAGTTAGTGTTCCCAAAGAAATCAAAGCATTGGGCATCATTGTAAAGCATGTTGCTAAACATTTCTACTGAAAAGATTCTCATTCGAAATAGTAATGGAGTGAGTGAGTGAGTGAGTTCGTTTATTGTAGCTTTGAACAGTGTTACAAGTATCTCACGGCGTGTCAGCTTAATTTGAGAGGAAAGCCCGAAGTGATGCAGGTCTCAGATTTACCACTTGGAACTGGGATTCGAACCCACAAACATGGGTTCCTGGCGTGCCAAAGGGACACAACTCTGCATAACAAATTGCAGTGCCTTAGACAACTGGGCCACCTGTGCCCCCAGTAATGTAGGAGATACATGTCCTTCCATACAGATTGGTTACAAACATCTGAGACCTGCGTCACTTTGGGCTTTCCTCCCACAGTACGCTGACATGCCGTGATGTAACTGGAATACTCTACAAAGTTAAAACTCCCTCACTCACTCACTCCAGGTACTACAAACACACTAATCAAGACAACAGCATTATCACTATCCCCCACCACGGGGCATATTAGAATTTTGTTTGTTGATATAGTCATGAATACTATGGAAGTCATTCTTAACTGTATAACAGGTATCTCTCATAAGTATGTATATACACTTTCATGTAGTTTCTCAGGCAACTTGTCCCCCATTCAAGACAGGATGCATAAAAATCTAAAAACATGTTCCAAAGGATGTAACTCTGAAAAAAATAAAATTAATGGCACCAATTTTCTTAAGTTAGTCTTGATAAGTATCTCTCAGATACCCCTGCAAACTTTCATTCATGTAACTTCAGTAGCTTTTTGAGAACTCTTGTCCCCAATGTAGACACTATGCACAACGTAAAATGACATGGATCAAGTGCCTTATATGTGTCAAAAAATAATTTATGGCACCAATGTTCGAACTCAGTCTTGACAAGTATCTCAACCAGTGTTGATCCACCAGTGGTTGATAAGGGGTACCTGGCAGGTTTCGGAGTCTTCCCACCCAATGCTTTTCAGTCACCTCTTACAACAAGCAAGGTAAACTCGAAGACCTGTTCTTCCCCGGAAACCCATGGGGTCAGATTGCTACAAACAGTGTTAGACTACAGTGACATGAGTTCCATGTCTGTTATGACTGAATGAATCGACCCACCTGGATCTGTCCTAAATAAAGACAGACAGAGTTCAGCTCCTTGTCCCGGGCTGATATCCCCACACTGACCGCCTGTAGCGTCCATCCACACACCTGAGTCTCCTCCACCCTGAAACACCTGTACAAAGCACTGGTAGTTACTGCTGGTACGACTAACACTAACAGTTCCTGAGTATCAGGGGTGGCTGAATAGGAAGAATTTGTAGTACACCCTGACAGTTTGCATGTATTTCCATGCTTACAGGATACATTTGAAACAAATACACAACAGCATATTTCTGCAGGCATCAAAGTAACGGGGTATTCTCTGTTGATGAAGATGGACACAAGTGGCAACCAAGCTGGCACCAAGCATTATCAGCTGTGCAGACACAGGGGATGATGCTCCCTCCTTTGCGACTTTCATGAGGAGGGCAACAGAGTTCAAGACAGGAAGAGAGAGCCTCAAAAATGATCCAAGATCAGGAAGACTTCCAACTAACGAAAATGTTGACATAATGCATGATATGATTATGGATGATTGACGAGTTACCATATGTCACATAGCCAATACAGTAGACATCTCTCATAAGAGAATTTAGAACATTCTGAGGAATGAACTGGGAAAAACAAAGGTTACAGCAGGTTGGGTTCAAAGGCTTCTGACTCCTGATCAGAAACGCTCCAGGGTCATCATTCCACCAGGACAATGCACCTGAACAAAAGTCTGTTGTTACCATGGCAACTGTGGCTTTGAACTCATTGAACATCCTCCCTATGCACCAGACTTTGCATGGAAGATTTCCACCTCTTCCCAAATTGTCTGGCAAGCATTATGCAAATGATGATGATGTCATTTCTGCTGTGGACGACTTTGAACACCACCAGGAGGAGGCCTTCTACACCAGTGGGATCCAGGCACTCCTGCATCTTTAGCATAACTGTTTGGGCCTTGGTGGGGACGATGTAGAAAAATAATTAGCAACCAATGCATTCCATCGTGGTTAAGCTCAGAACTTTTCAGCCGTCCCATATGTGCAAATGAATAATCTCTTAAAAAACTCTACGTTGCCTGATCAAATTTAGAAAATCAAATCCATATTAAACAAAATATTATTACCCTGCTATAGTTAAGGGTATAACAAAGTTTGATGCATAGATATACATGTAAAATACATATATCTCCTGAAAAAAAAGATCCTCAGAAAATGACTTTTCAAACAGCAGGATCCTAGTTCAACATACAATCTTACAATACACCAGTACTATCCAATACACATTTAACAAAAATGACTCCTATCACAAACTTTTGAAAACATTGATCAATACAAACCTTGTCTTCCATTTATTCATGTTCTGCGAGTTGTAAACTCTAGTGTCTTCTTCATGGGGTCTTATTGACACTTTCTCGATATTGGTCTTCACACGGACGTATACGTCTTTGGTCTTCAGTTGCTTCCTCCCTGCTTCCCCACCCTCTTCCTCCTCCAGATACAGGACACGAGAGTTGTCTCCCTTGGACAGAGTCAACTTGAGAATAGGCTGGATGTTGTCCGGTTCCCACTTGCTGGTGATGGAGACATACAGCGCTGTAGAGACTGGGGCATCAAGCTGGAACAAACTGTTATATTGTTCTCATGCAGACTGTATGTGGGTATAGTCCTCTTCCAGGACACAACTCTGTAGAACATTGATAACGTGGATTCTGAACTACAGAAATCGTAATACTTTAATCACAGGTATGAAATTTGATAATTGTGTCCAGGGTTCTGCAGTTCACCTGGATCAAACTTTATCATGAGTTACACATGTCAATAGTGGGAATTGCAGGATTTTACAAACTGGTTTTGTACACAAGTCAAAATGTTTCAGCAAATTCCATCCATCAGTCTTTGGGAAGAAGTACAATGTTAATGTTTACAGATGAGAGTCTATGAGGACCAGAGGAACTAAAAGTCATCACTGTGATGACCAGCCAGATGTGACCTACTTGAACCACAGCGCTTCCTTCTCCACCTTGCCCCGCAGGAGCAGACAGCCGCCCCCCAAGTACCCATCACTCGCTGTAAACTCTAAGCTCTTGACATCTGACCTCTGACCTTGCAAGTTGAAGGTTGGCTGCAGCTGCTGCAGACTCAAGTTGTACCATGGATGGTCTTTCACAACCTGAAGTTAAGAGGAACTCTCTCCTGAATTAATTCAAATCAAATAGCGTAAGTCTGGACTTGATTGTGAAGAGATATACCTACACTTGAACCTGACTTACTATCCTTATCATACCTTAAACTATTGTATCCCTTCCTCAGTCTAGACAATGCTGCTTACCTCCCAATCTTGTCACTGGACTATTATCTGCAAGAGGACACTGTAAGAGGCTATCAAGTATTTCTAGATGAAGTACTATAATTTATCTTAAGAAATATAATCAATATCAATCGAGTGAAATAACACTTTTGGCAGGAACTACTTTCAGTCTGCCTGACTGTCATTATGACATCTTTCATGAAAGATCAGTGAGAAAATTCATAATAAATACAATAACTATTGTCTTTACTTGTGTCCAGAAAAAGGTGACATTTTCACTCATGCTAATATCAATTTTGTCTGGTTACTGAAAGAGATAAACATGCTGTCTGACAAGAAACGCCAATTATCCCTAGCTGTAAATCAATCTGAATCAGATCTTACCTTCCCTTTACAGAAGTATTTTTGTCCTTCACCTTGGCAGAAGGATGTACACAGAAGGGGACTGGTGAAGGTCGGGGTGGAACAGTAGTCATGCAACAGCTGCCAGAACCTGAAACAAACTAAACAATCTAGGAATTCAGGTTGTGGAAACTTTCTGAAGTTTCATGTGTCAGTACCTTAAATAGAGAATCTTACCCTCGTGTCTTTTGATATCAAAATGAGTTGATAAAAGTGGAAAAACTCCTAGGCTTGTCGAGGAGTTATTCCACTTTTATCAACGAGTGTTGATATATTTGATATCAAAAGACACGAGGGTGAGATTATATTTATCATCCAACATCATTCTTCCAACTTTTGCAGTTTGTAGACAGTAATAAGCAGTGTCTTAAGTGTAAAAAGTACTGCTGACAGCTTCAGTAGCAGAGCCATTAGTGATGTCATTTGATTGTGACTTCATGGTAACCAATGATGTCACAATGGTCTGCAAAGCAATGTGATGTAATTTCACTGGATCTTACCCAAGCGATATCTCCTGTTGGAGCCAGTTTTGGATGATAATTAACATTACCTAGTCGACACTTTGCAAACAATTTGCACATATCATAAAACATGAACCTGCAGACCACCAAACAATGATATACGTCAATGGTGACACACAGCATTGATGTCCTCTGTATAATAGTTCTGTGTGGTCCTACCTGTCTTCGTTCCTTGTAAAGTTTTCCACACCCTGTGTCTCGTACACCCACCCTTGAGCAAAGATTGCTGCAGATAAGTTGGCTTGACGAATCTTCATCATTGCCTGTGAACAGTATACATAGTAAGACAGAATATTTGTTTTATAGCTCTCATGACCTTTGCTTTCAAGTGAGTGTTTTGTGCGTGGTGGAATGATTGTCTATTTGTTTGTCAGAAACATTTGCATTAAAGCTGAAACTTTGCAAGTATGATCCCGGCTAGGGTGTCTCTTAGCTGTGTTCACAAACTTCTTCTAAACATGGCTGGCATGACAGCCATATTGAAAATGTCATTTCTGGCTGTTATTCAGCCATTCCTGAATGTACCATAATGAAACTTGATATGCAGCAGATATGTGGTACATGTATTTGGAATAACAAAAATAATATGTTTCTTGGCATATTTTGATTTTTAACCTTGATGCCTCTGCCATAGTTTTAACTTCCACATACCCCTGTTCATCTAAGTTTACTGCACTCACTATCACGTCACGGATTCATCTAGGATTCTAGACGGAGTGCCCTTGGGAGGTTAATTGGGCAATCATTATTTTGTTCACAATTGTGATTTTTTTAATATTCTTATTTTCCTAAATTCTAAGCATTGCGAAGTGTTGCCATAACTAATTAAAATTGTGATATGGAGTAAGTATGTAGTATACCTAAGAACACATTTTGTGACCTAGTTTGGACCCTCAACTCACCAAGCTATTCCTGTATCAATGTATATAATAGCTTGCATGCAGTTAGGATATCTGTTGTGTCAGTAAATTCTGTTAGTTATTTTGCATTTTCAGCTTTTCCTTGTAACACCTTTCGGATCTAATATTACATTTCAGAAAAATTCTAATGAGCTACAGAGCATCTATTTCAAAAGAACTGTATAATACAAATTCCTCAGCAGTGATCACCTCGCAGGAGTTGTATCCTCCACCCCCAGGGCAGCCACGCCCAAACACGTCCACACCCACAAACACATCATGGACACGCTTGCTGTCAGCCATGTTGTAGCTGTTCTGTAGCTTTGACTCATCCCAGTTGTAGTTGAGAAAAATACCATCACATGCATCGAAGAACATCCTAGGAAAAAGGGCACAAGTATTATATGACGTTTATCAGAAACATAAACAGCATTGCCATTAAGTGTTTATGACATAATGTAATCATATATATCTGGCCTGCTGTCAATCATGAAATTAAAGTTTCACCAAACTAAAGTGGGAGTTGACCCCTGGCCTAAAATGTGTCATGAAATGAATGCAAGTAGCCCCACCTTTGAACTTAAACACTAATAAATAAGTAAGTGACAAGACCAGGACTGTTGACTCAGAATTCCATTACATAGGATGGGAAGAAAGCAGTTCAATGGAACATAATTGTTTTCCTTCTTCACAAACCAAACTTCTCCAGCCCGATACATGATCTAACTTCCATGGAATAAATAGCAGTAAATTCAAAAAAGGCATATTATATGGGATTGGCCAGGTCGCTGACGAAGATTGTACCGGTTCCAAGTGTTGTTACATGGACATCTTCCCTTGGCAAGGGAGTTAACTGACCCTAAAAGTCCAGTTTCCGCTCGTGGTGAACTAGGCTGGAATTTCTTGGCTCGATCGTATGATGATTTATGTCCTTTCTGTGTCTCTACTATTGACCAATCACAATTCCATTTCTCATATCACTTGCATTTGCTTCAAACAAAATGGCGGCGCACGGTCAAGATTTGATCAATCATCAAAATCTATATTGTAATAAAACAGGTCTTACTTCGCAAAGAGCACCTTGATTAAAAACATCTAAAGATTTGGAAAATATCTGTTGAGGCCGAGTTTGCGGTACACATGCTTTGCAAATCCTACAATCAACTGATATCTGCACGCCAGTTTACGAACCCATTACCCAATTTGAATTGATTATGCATAGACATGTCAGTCCAGCCAAAATTAACTCCATAATTCCAGCCTAGTTCGGCAAAAGGTGAAAACTGGACTTTTATAGTCAGTTAACTCCCTTGCCTTGGGAAGATGCTACACAGATGTGAATGAGCAGCATTATGTATTTACCATTACTGCTGATGCTATATTGAACATTCACGGCATAATTATAATAAATTAAGACAATATGATGAGTTTCTCAAGAAAAATAAGTCATCATACATGGTTGGTGACAGTCAGAGATGAGTTGTGAAACAAACTGACCACACTTGACACTTGGTGAGAAGCACTTAATCGAGTGAGTGAGTGAGTGAGTGAGTGAGTGAGTGAGTGAGTGAGTGAGTGAGTGAGTGAGTGAGTGAGTGAGTGAGTGAGTGAGTGAGTGAGTGAGTGATCGAGTGAGTATGGTTTTACGCTGCTTTTAGCAATATTCCAGCAATATCACGGCAGGGGACACTAGAAATGTGCTTCACACATTGTACCCATGTGGGGAATGGAACATGGGTCTTCAGTGTGATGCTGGAACACTTTAACCACTTTGCTACCCAACTGTCTCATCTAAATCTAGGGCTCAATTACCATATTGTCCACCTGGAGCATATCATTGTTTCCAGTCGTGAACCATGTGTGATATGAAGCTCAAATATGTCCAGATAATATTGCATCACTTTATTGATATGAGCATGTGACACTTGCATTTTTTCACAATGATTTCATGCTTGCATTAATTTCATGAGCATCTCGTCACTCTCTTCACCACGAGTGTGCAGTAGGATTGTCTTACTTGTTTTCCTCATTCAGCTGATCCTGCCATTTCAGTTCACCTGACCTTGTGACACTGTCATACCAGATGACCTTTGACCCCATGACCTCCGAGTGACATCTCTGTGTCAAATAGGCGACAAACTCCCTGAGATGGCTCACTTTATCCTCCTACAGACAAACATACAAACACATATATAAACAGGGTGGCAGAAGGAACATATTGCTTCAGGACAGTTCAGGTGCAAATTGAGTCGTTCCAGTATGATTCTGTCAGTAAATATACAGTGAATGAATGACAAGACTTGTATCACCGTGTGTCAGATGAATGTGGGAGGAAAGCCAACAGTAACGCATGTAACTGACTTGTGAAACATATGAGCCGTATATGGAGCTCACAGATCAAGGGTCATAATATTGACTCTTCCAGTTGGTGGAAGTGGGCCCCTATCATACCTCTTCCTTTGGGACAAGCAGATCACGGCATGACTAAGGAACAGAATACTCCAGTGAAATTACAGATGTGTAGTATGTATATGCATTCACCTGAGGCATCACCATGGTTACAAAGTATCTTAAACAATCATAAATCAAATCTATACACATTTTCACATACATAGGCCCCGTTCTACAAAGTGATCTTAGGGCTACGACTGTCATAAATCTATGTTAAAGTATGGGAGTTGTGATCGTCTTAGTGCAAAGTTCCCTTTGTACAGGACCCAGGCTGACATTAACAGAGGGGCAGGTAACTCCATAAAGTGTTACAAACAATGCGTCCATCTTTGAGTTGACCAGGCCCACCTAGACTCCACACGCAGTCTCTGTACACTCACCTCAATGACATTCTCTATGTTGATCAGCCATCCATCGAAGCCATAGTACTTCATTATCTCCACCATCTTGTTGGCCAAGCCGCGGTAGTCACGTGACGATTGAAGGAATTCCGAACATATCTTCTTCCCATCATTCCATTCAGTGATAAATGTCCCTGCAGAGGAAACAAATTCTTGTGAAATTCAGACATCATTTATCTTTTAAAGGCAAAAACTGTGAGCAACACATGTAGAGATTCATACATGAGTTTGTGATTCAGACCAAATATATTAAATAAGTGTCTAAAGTCAGAGAGAAAGATCTCACCCAGTACTAGGTCTCCATGTGTGTGAGGTGCGTTAGTCAGAGAGGAAGAACTCAACCAGTACTAGGTCTCCATGTGTGTGAGGTGTGTTAGTCAGAGAGGAAGAACTCACCCAGTACTTGGACTCTATGTGTTTGAGCTGCATTAGTCAGAGAGGAAGAACTCACCCAGTACTTGGACTCCATGTGTGTGAGCTGTGTTAGTCAGAGAGGAAGAACTCAACCAGTACTAGGTCTCCATGTGTGTGAGGTGTGTTAGTCAGAGAGGAAGAACTCACCCAGTAATAGGTCTCCATGTGTGTGAGCTGTGTTAGTCAGAGAGGAAGAACTCAACCAGTACTAGGTCTCCATGTGTGTGAGGTGTGTTAGTCAGAGAGGAAGAACTCAACCAGTACTAGGTCTCCATGTGTGTGAGGTTTGTTAGTCAGAGAGGAAGAACTCACCCAGTACTTGGACTCCATGTGTGTGAGCTGTGTTAGTCAGAGAGGAAGAACTCACCCAGTACTAGGTCTCCATTATTGTGAGCTGTGTTAGTCAGAGAGGAAGAACTCACCCAGTACTTGGACTCCATGTGTGTGAGCTGCGTAAGTCAGAGAGGAAGAACTCACCCAGTACTTGGACTCCATGTGTGTGAGCTGCGTTAGTCCAGCATGGAGGCGGGATGGTCACCAGGTTATGGCTGAAGTATACAAACATGTCCAAATACTGCCAGTGGTAGAACCGGTATCCATCCTCATCACAGCCTGCAACAAACCTTAAAACAGAAAATAAGCTTAAATCAGCAGGAACAAATGTCAATGCAAACTCAACACAAGCATAAGTGCTGATGCATCATTATCATGTCGATCAAATGTTTAATTACTATTTGTTAATGTTATGTTATGAATTATTTGTGTGTTAGTGAGGGAGGGGGGTAAACTGTACTCTTTGGGGAATCATAGTCTGTCATACAGACCCAGAAACAAATATATCCAATACAGCCTATGGAAGTCCATAATATTTGGCAAGTCCCACACTCCCCTGTGTTTAAACCCATTCTACTCACCTGTCCTCCATCTACCACACTCCCCTGTGTTTAAACCCATTCTACTCACCTGTCCTCCATCTACCACACTCCCCTGTGTTTAAACCCATTCTACTCACCTGTCCTCCATCTACCACACTCCCCTGTGTTTAAACCCATTCTACTCACCTGTCTTCCATCTACCACACTCCCCTGTGTTTAAACCCATTCTACTCACCTGTCCCCCATCTACCACACTCCCCTGTGTTTAAACCCATTCTACTCACCTGTCCCCCATCTACCACACTCCCCTGTGTTTAAACCCATTCTACTCACCTGTCCTCCATCTACCACACTCCCCTGTGTTTAAACCCATTCTACTCACCTGTCCTCCATCTACCACACTCCCCTGTGTTTAAACCCATTCTACTCACCTGTCCTCCATCTACCACGCTCCCCTATGTTTAAACCCATTCTACTCACCTGTCTTCCATCTACCACACTCCCCTGTGTTTAAACCCATTCTACTCACCTGTCCTCCATCTACCACACTCCCCTGTGTTTAAACCCATTCTACTCACCTGTCCTCCATCTACCACGCTCCCCTATGTTTAAACCCATTCTACTCACCTGTCTTCCATCTACCACACTCCCCTGTGTTTAAACCCATTCTACTCACCTGTCCTCCATCTACCACACTCCCCTGTGTTTAAACCCATTCTACTCACCTGTCCTCCATCTACCACACTCCCCTGTGTTTAAACCCATTCTACTCACCTGTCTTGCATCTACCACCCCACCCCCCCTGTGTTTAAACCCATTCTACTCACCTGTCCCCCATCTACCACACTCCCCTGTGTTTAAACCCATTCTACTCACCTGTCTTCCATCTACCACACTCCCCTGTGTTTAAACCCATTCTACTCACCTGTCCTCCATCTACCACACTCCCCTATGTTTAAACCCATTCTACTCACCTGTCCTCCATCTACCACACTCCCCTGTGTTTAAACCCATTCTACTCACCTGTCCTCCATCTACCACACTCCCCTGTGTTTAAACCCATTCTACTCACCTGTCTTCCATCTACCACACTCCCCTGTGTTTAAACCCATTCTACTCACCTGTCCTCCATCTACCACACTCCCCTATGTTTAAACCCATTCTACTCACCTGTCCTCCATCTACCACACTCCCCTGTGTTTAAACCCATTCTACTCACCTGTCCTCCATCTACCACACTCCCCTGTGTTTAAACCCATTCTACTCACCTGTCTTCCATCTACCACACTCCCCTGTGTTTAAACCCATTCTACTCACCTGTCCTCCATCTACCACGCTCCCCTATGTTTAAACCCATTCTACTCACCTGTCTTCCATCTACCACGCTCCCCTGTGTTTAAACCCATTCTACTCACCTGTCCTCAATCTACCACACTCCCCTTTGTTTAAACCCATTCTACTCACCTGTCCTCCATCTACCACGCTCCCCTATGTTTAAACCCATTCTACTCACCTGTCTTCCATCTACCACGCTCCCCTATGTTTAAACCCATTCTACTCACCTGTCCTCCATCTACCACACTCCCCTGTGTTTAAACCCATTCTACTCACCTGTCTTCCATCTACCACACTCCCCTGTGTTTAAACCCATTCTACTCACCTGTCTTCCATCTACCACACTCCCCTATGTTAAAACCCATTCTACTCACCTGTCCTCCATCTACCACACTCCCCTGTGTTTAAACCCATTCTACTCACCTGTCCTCCATCTACCACACTCCCCTGTGTTTAAACCCATTCTACTCACCTGTCTTCCATCTACCACACTCCCCTGTGTTTAAACCCATTCTACTCACCTGTCCTCCATCTACCACACTCCCCTGTGTTTAAACCCACTCTACTCACCTGTCCTCCATCTACCACACTCCCCTGTGTTTAAACCCATTCTACTCACCTGTCCTCCATCTACCACACTCCCCTGTGTTTAAACCCATTCTACTCACCTGTCCTCCATCTACCACACTCCCCTGTGTTTAAACCCATTCTACTCACCTGTCTTCCATCTACCACACTCCCCTGTGTTTAAACCCATTCTACTCACCTGTCCTCCATCTACCACACTCCCCTGTGTTTAAACCCATTCTACTCACCTGTCCTCCATCTACCACACCCCCCTGTGTTTAAACCCATTCTACTCACCTGTCTTGCATCTACCACCCCACCCCCCCTGTGTTTAAACCCATTCTACTCACCTGTCCTCCATCTACAACACTCCCCTGTGTTTAAACCCATTCTACTCACCTGTCCTCCATCTACCACACTCCCCTGTGTTTAAACCCATTCTACTCACCTGTCCTCCATCTACCACACTCCCCTGTGTTTAAACCCATTCTACTCACCTGTCCTCCATCTACCACACTCCCCTGTGTTTAAACCCATTCTACTCACCTGTCCTCCATCTACCACACTCCCCTTTGTTTAAACCCATTCTACTCACCTGTCCTCCATCTACCACACTCCCCTATGTTTAAACCCATTCTACTCACCTGTCCTCCATCTACCACGCTCCCCTATGTTTAAACCCATTCTACTCACCTGTCCTCCATCTACCACACTCCCCTGTGTTTAAACCCATTCTACTCACCTGTCTTGCATCTACCACCCCACCCCCCCTGTGTTTAAACCCATTCTACTCACCTGTCTTCCATCTACCACACTCCCCTGTGTTTAAACCCATTCTACTCACCTGTCTTCCATCTACCACACTCCCCTGTGTTTAAACCCATTCTACTCACCTGTCTTCCATCTACCACACTCCCCTGTGTTTAAACCCACTCTACTCACCTGTCCTCCATCTACCACACTCCCCTGTGTTTAAACCCATTCTACTCACCTGTCCTCCATCTACCACACTCCCCTGTGTTTAAACCCATTCTACTCACCTGTCCTCCATCTACCACACTCCCCTGTGTTTAAACCCATTCTACTCACCTGTCTTCCATCTACCACACTCCCCTGTGTTTAAACCCATTCTACTCACCTGTCCTCCATCTACCACACTCCCCTGTGTTTAAACCCATTCTACTTACCTGTCCTCCATCTACCACACCCCCCTGTGTTTAAACCCATTCTACTCACCTGTCTTGCATCTACCACCCCACCCCCCCTGTGTTTAAACCCATTCTACTCACCTGTCCTCCATCTACAACACTCCCCTGTGTTTAAACCCATTCTACTCACCTGTCCTCCATCTACCACCCCCCCCCCCCCCTGTGTTTAAACCCATTCTACTCACCTGTCTTCCATCTACCACACTCCCCTGTGTTTAAACCCATTCTACTCACCTGTCCTCCATCTACCACCCCCCCCCCCCCCCTGTGTTTAAACCCATTCTACTCACCTGTCTTCCATCTACCACACTCCCCTGTGTTTAAACCCATTCTACTCACCTGTCCTCCATCTACCACCCCACCCCTGTGTTTAAACCCATTCTACTCACCTGTCTTCCATCTACCACCCCCCCCTGTGTTTAAACCCATTCTACTCACCTGTCTTCCATCTACCACCCCCCCTGTGTTTAAACCCATTCTACTCACCTGTCTTCCATCTACCACACTCCCCTGTGTTTAAACCCATTCTACTCACCTGTCCTCCATCTAACACCCCCCCCTGTGTTTAAACCCATTCTACTCACCTGTCATTGCGGTACCCCCCTTTCATGTCATGGCACACCAGTGTCTTGGGGGCATCCCCACGTCTACTGAAGGAGCGGGAAAGCTCAATGCTGCTCCTGGCCAGCTCAGTTGTTGATGATGGCTGCCATGACAACACAGCTTCTAAAGACTTCAGCGGTTCTATTTCCTGGCTCATTTTTCCTCAAGAAGCATTAACCTGGAAATTAATGAGTAAAACAGGTAAGTGAGATACTGATTGTTTTTTTTAGTCTTTTGACAGAGCTTTTTCATTCAGATCAACATAAGTTTTAAATTCAACACAATATGTTAGGGATGATATTGGCTCTCTTGTTCTACATATCTTTTACATTTTCCACCTGGGCTTCACATTTGAAACCACCATGGCTAAGTCACTTGATTAAACTGAGCAACTCACTTGATGCTCTGTAGACAGTATGCATAAATATACTTATCATATCTCCATGTCAGAATGATAAGATCTGATTGGTTCTTGTGATCTTGATAAAATATGATTTCTGAGAGGTAGAATAAATCATTTATACCATGCTTCAAAGCAAAACGCTGCATGCTTTTTCTAAGTCAATGAAGGTCATGTGACATTGCACAAGTTAACCTCAGCTCAATCAAACAGCTGTTTTCTATCAATTTTGAATTTGTTTTAATTCCATTACAATGTCATAATAACACGTCGGTAGGATAAATTTGATGTAGCAGTGTTACTCAGGGTACATGGGGTTTTATGCGTCCTGCATCAGGTTTTATATCACCTGCCTCTGGCTTGTAGTATAAAACCTAACGCGGAACGCATAAAGCCACATGTATCCCTCATGTTACTGCTACAACTTATAATTTATACGCCATACAGATATATTTGTCATGCTATATATCATATCCCACCACAATGCACTAGTCATTATATTGGCCTTGTTAGCAAAGACCTGTGAGACATGCGGGCCTTGTCTTGGCTGTCGGACGGCTCTCGGCTGGGGTGTTGTATTGTATGATATCCATACATCATATCATGTTTATAATGAATACTGCTCTATGACGCAGCCAGTAAATAACAAAGTCTGAAAACTCTGATGTCAGTTAGAGGAACATGGTGAGAGATATAACTGGCGGTTACCAACCTCAAAATCATAAAAACCAAGATCTGCATGCACATGTTTATATGACATCAAATGTGTGAATTTCATTTTTAGATCTACCCTTATATGGGCGCAAAGTATAATTATATATGTCAATGGCTGGTCCAAAGTGACTGACCTGGATTAATACATCATAATTACATACCAAATGTCAGGGTTGCTGATGATGTTTTGAGTATTTACGACATATGTTTTCATCCACTTTGGGTAGTCTTCTTTTATAGTTTTACTCCTTGGGGTCAAGTAGATCTATATTGGGTATAGTTAAAGGGGCACTGATCTAACGCAATTCCCCGGGACTGGTTGTTGCCTTTGTTATTGTTTTTTCCCAGTGAGTACCCGGATGTATAGCAGAAATCTAGACTAGTTCGTACCTCTGCTGCGCCATTCGTAAGCGCATTAGTCACTTGTATGGGTAGTAATATAGAGGGCGTATGGTCACATTGATCAACAAAATGAAATACAGTTTTGGAGATAATAAGGAAATGTAGGTATCTTTGTGGTTAGCATCGGTAATGGTGACGAAGTTTTGATAAGTCACTTGCTTGGTAATTTTGCGATTTTCGTTTACACTATTTTGACTTGCAACACAAAGTAAATATTTCACCTGAGCATTGCTTTTTGATAGTGTGTATATTTTTTACTGTCAAAATGTGTAACATTTTCAAATTTATTCAACGCCTTAATATTCAGTTATTTAACAAAGTGACTGAAAAACATTTCCATCTGTATTATTATGATAACGAATTCCAAACATTTTGATGTTTAATGTCATCACCAAGAGACTGAAAATGTTACGTTGAAAAGTACATTTCTACGTTGTTTGGCTTCTAATCCTACATAATAATCTGTTGTGATGTTTGTAGGCCCTTTTGATCGCCTTAATCAATCTGGACAGATTTTTTAGTCAAAATGACTGAAATATTTACACATTTTATAAATTGCCTGAGAGAATTACATTTTACAAATTGACGGTAATATATACACGCTTACAAGGGAAAAGGCCTGTGAAAACAACGTCTATCGCGCATTGAAGAATTTCCCAACCAAGACGTAGAGAAACAAAGAAGGAATCGGTTCAATGCTACAGCAAATGAAGGAAAACAAAATGCAAATACCATAATTACAACCTACCAAATTTATGTGTATAAATTTTAGGCAGCTTCCTTGTTCGAGGAATGTATCCGTGAATATCCATACAAAGGAACAATATCCCACTCGTCTGCAGCTGTACAAAGAAACCTATTTGATGTCACGTGACTCTGTAACAATCACATATTTTAAAAGATATATATCGTTTTGGGATATTATAACCCGTGTTCGTTTCTCAACTGATCACTTGGATTGTTTCAGGTGTTTCACATAGGTGTCAAGTCTCAAGGGTCAGCTGAGAAAGCCCACGTGACAACTATTTTCATAATGTCGACGGTTCCTAAAAAATCCATTGAGTGATAGATAACAATGATCAATCAATCAACGTATTATCAGTTAACCCTTTGAACAAAGTATGTTGTTTTTACATCGGCACTTCACGCAAGAATATGTGTGTATTCCCTTTGTTTTAGTAAACCTAGACTTTTGACATATCCACTGCAAGATAACAGTGATTAATCAATCAACGTATTTTCTGTTAATCCTTTGATGACTAGGAACGATCCGTTGATTTACAAAAAAAGTAAATCAACTGATCATTCACCTCTTGCTGGTCTGCCACGTGTATATTACATAACACACATTTCACCTCACTTCAAACCTGGATTTAGATTGAATAATTACCCCAGACACAATAAATGCCAAATGGGAACCTTTGTCAGGTAATCTAAGTGGTGCTACCACTAATTGTACCTGTAATAAATTCATTAACTGAGCATCAAGTGAATGACGACAAATACACAAGTATAGGGTTATGCGAGAAAACGTGGATGACATCAAGGGAGTAGTAATCTATTATCGACGCAATCCAAAAACCGAAAATGCTTTCACTGCATGGATACTTTTTTTTAGTGTTAACTATAACCATCTGGGGTATTTCCAAATGACGACATCCGATGAGCTCCGCCGTTCTTTTTGTCTGTTAGTTTAGGCTGAAGAAATTAATTAACATGCGCCCTTTGTCGAAATCTTTATAGATCACGGTTAACCAATCAGTGTTTATGCAAAAATGCGTAAAACAAACATTGCCTCCAGCCTCCAGCCTCCAAGTTTATTTAGCTGTCCTTGCAGACGGTATCCCAGTCTCTGGTCACGCTCAGTTGCGTTGCGTATCATCCGGGTACTCACGGGGGAAAAAACAATAACAAAGCCAACAACCAGTCCGGGGAATTGCGTTAGATCAGTGCCCCTTTAAACCAATAAGTGAACATAAATCTGCTAAAACGTGGTTTGAGGAGACTTATAATTTGCATCGGGGAATTAAACGCCATGCATGTATTCGTTCAGTCAATAAAGATATGTAGACACGTTACGTAACGTATGCTATTTCTTCCTACGTATTTGTGTGCAAGCGACTCCAAATAAATTGGGTAATGGAGATTTGTGGTGCTCACCTATGGATATGCGCAGCTTGTCTGGAGCTCTGGAATTGTGTAATTCTTCTATCTTGCTATTTCGTCAAAACAGATATCTCTGGTCATAAGTTGCATCCAAAGAAAGTTACAAGGTAGGACAGCCGATGAAACGGAGTTGTCTCCCCATCTTCCTTGTCATTTATCCAGTTTCTCATACCTGTATGGTTATACGAGGTATGCCCAGTCCATGCACGCTGAGGTTTGGTTCGAAAGCAATCATATTTCAAAGAAACAGCGTGAGTCAACCGGCAGTTACATTCATAAAGATAATCGGCTCGTGTTATTCTCAGAAACTAACAGCCCAATTTTTTAATGCTAATCTGGTAGTCGAGAGGAGGGCCAAGGCGGGTATATGATTCTCGCGGCCCTACGTTTTCTTGTAGAATGAATGAATGAATGGCCATAACTCAATATTGTGTTCAATGGTCTGTTACATGGTTGCGCAGGCGTAGATCTAGAGGATTGCTGTATATTAAATGATACAATATGTTTTAAATAGTTTTCACAAGCAAACCAATGTCAGATAATTGAACAATAGGCCATGCCAAATCATGTATCACGGTATTTAAGCGATTTAAATCTTGGCCCACAAACTTTTTATAAAATTATTTAATATTTATAAAAATGAATAAAACTCAATATAACTATGATTTTAAATGTACATCACTAATTAATGTTCCTCCAATTCCTGTGTGTAAATTATTACAATTATTTACAGGTAATTAGTAAGGACTAATATATTATTTTTCAGAAAATCCTTAATAGAAATTCTTTTATCACTATAAGGATTCGAGGATAGATTCTAGTTGAAAGTATTTAAAAAATTTTTTTCAATAACCTGTACGTTCTGTACACGCTTGGACCGCACAGAATATATTCTGTTTGTGGACCCAAGATTCAGTTGAAAGACTGATTTGTACATAAAAGAAATTATAAAAGCAGTTTTGTAGTATTTACCCCCTCCCCACGTTTTCCCTCACCCTTCCCCCCAAACTAAAATTTTATACTTAATTGAGATACTTTATAAAATTCAGACGTTCTTATATCTTTGTAAATATGTATAATTTATGGCTGTGCCTATATGTTTGTAGGAATATTTGGTGCGTGTCCCGTATCTTGTTTAAAAATTAAATTGCGCAACTTATTAATAAGTTTTGACAGTGGACAACACTGATAGCAAGATCAAGACTCGAAAGGATACTCTTTTTAATGAATTATTCATGGCAGATGAAATCATTAATATTTGTAGTCTACTTTTAGCAAATTTTATGCACATCTGGAAGAACAGACTTAATATACAGACGCTGATGTAACTAAATTAGTCCCATCTTACCACTGACTCTCTTGATTGTCAGTGGAAGAAATATTTAATACTCTGAGAGAAACTTCTTTCAGACTTAAATAACATAGAAAATGAATAATGCGCTCATTTAGACTGATAACTTGCGTTACATTTCCGGAAAGCACATACTTACAATTTATTGTGACCTTGCTATATACGATAAATAGTTAAATAGTATCATTTAGTAGTTCAATGTTATTTACAGAAACTATATAGCAGAAGGGTATCACAGCTTTGTCTATTATCTATTTTATATATTTTGTGTATTGTAACTATTTTGTCTATTGTATTTATTTATCAGCTTGTTATCGTTCCCGTGTAGCAGTGAGCAACGCGTGAAGGTAAAGGGTAGTTAGTTGTGGACTTCTAGACAGTCGATATATTTAGAAAGCACTATTTAGAGCGCACAATAGTTCAGAGTGCTTTCCTTTCAACATCAATTATTTATTAGTCAGTTATCGTTGTTATAATTGTTCAGATATGTGAATACGTATTTCTTCTCTATAATTTACTACTTATCAATCCCATATTGTACATAATCCATTATTTCTGTATTGATAACATACCCAGAATACCACAATGGCAATAAGATTACAAGTGACATATCTGGTTAATCAAGTCGACTTGAGGATCGGATTACATGTGACCTATTCTCATTTTGTATTTACCCTCTCACACCTATGCAAGTTCACAAATGCTATAAAACATCTCCTCTATTAGTATGTAGATACTAAGAAATATTACAAGCATCAGTAAACAAATATTTATTGCTCTTTTCTATGTTTGAATGTTAACGTTTCACGTTTGATTCATTAGTCACTTCTTAGTGTACATGTATGTAAAGAATATACTATATTTACTGATCGATTTATGTGCTGATATTATGTTATCCGAACACATAGATTCTCTCTGTGTGTGTCTCTCTCTCGCGCACGCTCTCTCTCTCTGTGGATCCGTAGTGTATTATATTTGATAATTGTCTGCAGAAAGTATTAAATTCTTTCAAAATAATTCTAAGTATATGTAATTGCCTTGAGAGGAATCAGATGGTTGAAAGGTATCCTTCAGTTAGATATAAATAATATAACACATGACTGAATACTGACTTCAGTAGCAAACCTATATGTGAATTTAATTTGATCAATTGTTTTACTGCCAGACATTTCACAGAACAATGATAAAACGATTACTAATGAACAAGCTAAATATATTAATTATTAATGCAAACGACAATATTGCCAAACTAGATACACAATTATTACATGACAATCATAATATTGATAATACTACCGTTGTTGCTGCTTTAATGAAGCCATTCTGTTTAAAATAGAAACAACGCTCTACCTCTCTTCCTCGTTTTTACGCGAATGTGACGTCAAGCGTAATCAATTTTGATTGGTTAGAATCGACCTAGTTAGTTTTAGGTGATTCCCCGTCTTTTATCACGTGACATCAAAGCTTGATTTGACCTTGTTGAACCCAAGCGTCACAGAAACGTACCTGATTACGAAGACAAGTCATGTCGTGGATATTGAACACTGAGTGACAGGTATGCCCTATAAATACACATTGTATGTATTCTGTGTGAAAATAATGTTTTGTGTGTGTGGCGGTCAAATACTGAGTAGATGTATTTAATTCCGTCCATTGTGCAGGTTTTAATGATTCATTATGGACATTGTGGTCACAGGTACGACGACATTCATTGGACAGTTGTCATAAAATGCATATTCATGAAGGACACCTATTCGTTGCCAATGTATTATATCAACAGGCGAAAGTTAGCATAATATTCGCTTTAGCTAAGCTCACGGCCAAGCCCTAGATTTAGGGTCGCAAATAATCAAGCCAGACCCCGTGAGCGCCAGGTAGGCTTAATATGCTGACTAATCATATTTGTCAAACACTAGGCTATTGTTTAACTACATTAATTATGACAGAAATAAATACGGAAGGCAAATTTAACGCCAACTATATCATGACACATGTGCAAAAAGCACAAAAAGCACTGGTGAAATCGGATGATACATTAGCCGAATAAGGTGTTGCAGTTCAACATTTGAACAAAGTATGCATCTAATGTTTACGTTACGCAGCTAGAATTTTTAAAAATTCAAAATAAATATAAAAAACAGTTTGTGGAAGTGGGTTAATATTGGTTCCTTCTTAGGAGACTAAAAGATTTACATTTGTAATGATTAAAGAAAGGAAAACATTGACAATTTGACAATAAATGGCGGTCACTGACCACCATGTTAAGTTGACTGTTTTCCCATCAACAAGACACAACTAACAACACTAGCAAGACACAGTAAACAGTCGCTGACCAAAATATTCAATTCTTTATTGATGTTTTATTGTCATATGTCTCTGTATATGATCCTATTTAACCTCCTGTGTTATATTATATGACTCCCCACATACCTTCCTGCACGTGTTACATGTAGGATACACAAGCTGGAAATAAGGACATCAAGGGATTACTAGTTTTTTTTATTTATTCATGATTTTAGAACATAAAATAAATATCTTTCATTTCTAGTTTGTTTTTGTATGGTAGACTGTCTGCTTAATAAAACAATAAATATAATGGATATGTTAATGGAAGTATCAAACACATAAACAGCATTTGAACAATCGTTATTCCAATCCTCTCTAAACTATATGTAATACCAACCAGGCAGGTTATTATTGTGTTTGTGAAAGTTATGACTGTTGTGAAGGGCACCTGCAGCTTAATTCATCCTCTATAGACATCTCGAAGCGACGACAATGATAGAATGCACACACAGGCATCGCAGTTAAAAACTATGCGGGGGGTAACCGCACGTGAGTCTATGATGCCTTTTAGCATTTTGGTATATTAAACATATCCTTGTCGAAAATGGTCAAAGTTTTTATTTTCAATCGTCATAGCAATAACTTTCATATTCAAATATAAGCAACAATAATTCGTAATCATATTTACAATTCAGAGCTCCAGATAAGCTGCGTATCTGCGTGAAATACGCAGCAGAAATGCAGAAATACACAGTAAAATATAATCCAAGCGTATCAAATACGCAACGAACATTACAGATACGCTACAAAAATAAAACTTGTGCGTATCATCAAAATATTGTGAAGTAACCTTGCGTATTCGATTAGCAAACCAGCAACTTATTTTGAAATTATAAACGGGCATTCCATCAACCTTGCCAAACTCCATGATGACAGTTACATCATGATCATTTTCCATCACACTTTCTTGTGGAAGCATCGTGGTATTTTTGAGTCCTATAAAGCTCTCGAACCCACACGACACCAGTTTGCAGGGACTAGATGAATAGTGGTTTTAAATATTTAACTTAAATACCCACATGTGTAAAAACTAGTGGGTAACAGAAATTTGAATACGCAGATAGAATTACTGATACCCAATGATTTTAAAATGCATGGGTAAAATACCCACAACACCAAAAGCTTATCTGGAGCTCTGTCAATTACATTAACTTCAACCGTGAGGGTCATATAGTGAGAAATCATATGTTCATATAGCCAGACAAGTTTGGAATTTAAGTTGGGTTTTCAATATATTTTGATTTTGTAACTGTATAAAAAGGTCGCGATATTGTCAGGAGTTTTATAAAATAAAAAACACAATAACCCAACCATAAGGATGTATTCAGTAGTATAGGTCTGTATTACTTGTCTATCTCTTGTAGCACTGTTTGCGAAAATAGTAGGCAAACCTAAACATAGCCCCTCAATATATATCCAGGTTATTACTGAAGGGCATCGTGTCTTGGCGGAATCGCTGAAGTGTACTTATATATTAACAACCATGTTAACGAGTCCATAAGAGATTTCCTGACCTTCCTGAACTAGCCCCCTATAATAAGTCTCTGTGTGATTTCATTGGTTAAACAGGAGACAAAGTGCATCAATATTACACAAATTAGAACTATAAGTTCTAATGCATTAAACCACACCGTGTCATGTGATTTATAGTCTACTGTGATTATTTGAACGACACGTAGCTGTAGACAAATAAACGTATTTTTTTATTGACGCATGTACCGTATTCAGGTCCTCCTTGGTTACATGGGTCGATTTAAAAAACAACTGTGTACAGCTACGAATTCCTGTGCTTGAACACGATGCTATTAACGAAAGCAGCAGTAGTTATAAACATTTACATTTATATGTAGAGATATTGTTATTTTTAAGATATAATTTAATTCTTTACTATG